TTTCGAATTGTGTACTCGCTTCAACAGCGACCATCGTCACCAATCTTATTTTTTGTCTTGCTCATGTCGCTATGTACTGTGGTTCAAAATATGATTATGGCTTACTTATTGTGGTCATCTATACGTATACATTGGTGCCACCGATCATGAGGTGTAGAGCACCGACGGAAAAGAGGTGAAAATGAGCGAAATAATCAGTAGGTGGGCGCCGTGCCGAACAGCGCCGACGATGGGACAAATGTTGATGACCAAGCCAATAGTGAACAAGAAGTCATAATCACCCTCGACAAAAACCGAAAGAAATGAATAGATGGCTAGTGAAAGGAACCTTGTAAAATGGCTAAAACTGACTGTTCGAGACCCTCGAAACCGAATGGTGAAAGAGAGGATTAACGGGGTGAAGACAACCCGTTCCAATCACCCCGTGCAACGTCAAAAATCACCGCGTCGGAGCACATTCCGGTGAAAGTAAACACACGCCGCGTCGAAATCAGCCCAAAACGGAGGTGATTTCTCGGTGGCTTTCACCCTTTCCGACCTCCGTAGTGAAGTCGGCTCTCACTTTACCGCTGACTCGACGGAGTCGACACACACCTCTATTAAAATTCTCTGGGATGTCATCTCTGCACAACCGGAGATGAGTCTACCTGTATCCACCAATGGGCCACAATCGCGTCGAGTGGGTGAACGCCGCGGAGGTAGAAGGGAAAACGAATTTGAAATTCGAATATCCGGAGTGAAATATCTTGGCGCTTTGTTGGACAACGACGGTTCGGCCCACGAAAGCTTCCGGTGCGCAAGAACGAACCACGTCCTCTGTTCGCCGTGGTAAGCGCGGACAGTGAGCTGGACGTCATCGACGTCGGCGATGACAATGATCAGCACTCGGTGCTCTCGGCGGTTCGCATTGAGCGCGTACGCATCGGGCATATATAATTTTAATCCGCCGCCGTACCACTCTTTCGTTTCTTCCCTGTTCCTCGGACTCGGGTCTTTCACTCGTGAATGCACTACCGCTCGATGTGCGTCGCAGCCCCCTTTCGATCCCCATCGCTTGCTTGCTCGTCGAATGCTGACCGCCATGCAGACAACATTCCCTCAACCAGCCTTAGAGCCCAGTTTTGAAGGTAATCATACTGGCAGGAGATCAATCGCAAAAGTTCTATTCGACCATGTCGTGAACTTTACCGGCGTCGGGCTCGTGTGTGCCGTCGCTTACTTTGATCCGTATGTGTTCTTCAATTCAGTTTTTGTGGCTTGCGACTTTGAACTCATCTCTCGTTATGTGCTAGAGGGAACTGGGGCGTGGACTTGCAGGCTGGATCTGAGTTCGGGTACAGGCTACTTTTTGTGGTCCTCCTAGCCGGCGTGTTCGCCGTCTTCTTACAGGTGTGTGTCATCTTGCCTGCCTCTGAAAAAGTACCGACTCCATCTATATCGTCATACCAGAGCTTGGCCAGCAAGTTGGGCGTTGTAACAGGTCTCGGTGAGCTCCTATCTTATCTTGCTTTTGCTCAAGTGAACTGGAACTAATGATGCCGGTAAGATTTGGCGTCCCATTGTCGTCTTCTCTTGCACGACCGCCCAAATCACACCCGACTATGGCGTTGGCTCGCACTCTACCCTCTTTATGCCCTCTCAGAGATCGCCATCGTCAGCACCGATCTCGCCGAACTTTTAGGTTCTGCCATGGCGCTCTGCATGCTGTTTCCTAAACTGCCATTATGGGCAGGCGTCGTTATCACATCCTCCGATGTCCTCTTTATACTTGCACTCGGAGACCCTTTACGAGGCCGCCCGGCGAGGTTCTTTGAGGCTATCATTGCTGGTCTTGTATGTGTATTTACGGTCAATCTATGTGATGCCTGAAACTGATCGATGTTTAGGTTTTGGCAGTCTTGATATGCATGTGCATCATCATTTCCAAAGTGGACGTCAGATGGGATGATGCGTTCAAAGGATTCGTTCCTTCAAAGTATATCTTCCAACATGGAGGTTTATACACCTGTAAGCATTTTTGATCCCTGTGGCGTGATACCTTGCTGTGCGTTGACCACCCTCATGCTCTAGCTGTCGGTATCATAGGAGCCACAGTTATGCCTCACAGTCTATTCATTGGTTCGGCCCTCGCCACTCAAGACAGAATGTCTGTGAAAGATATTCCCACTGCTGTACAACCACAAATCAAGTCCCTTCAAGACCTGGCTCGCTGGCTTATGAGCCGTCTGCGCTCCGCTGGTCCTGTCAACTCGGAACAATATTCTTCATCGCATCCGAAGAATCACTTGGAACGAGAGAACAATAGTTTCGCGTTCGTGAGGACTCATCTGTACCACGGAATCGCAGATCTCGTCGTCAGTCTCATGGGCTTTGCTGTCATCATCAACTCATTGTACGTTTGCCTCGCCACCAAGTGGCCGATGAAATCTTTGAACTAAACTGCTTTATTTCATTAGGATTCTCATTCTCGCAAGTGCGGTGTTTTACTACGGGAGCGGAGAACTTGGGGATTCAGCAAGTCTTTTCGACGCGTACGACTTGCTCAAGGAATTATTGGGTAGTGGTAAGCATATGAACTCCACGTGAAGGTCTGCCCAATGATCTGATTTAATTCTCGCATCTAGGCGCCGCAACGATCTTCGCCCTTGCGCTCCTCTGTGCTGGCCAAGGTTCTTCCATTATAGCCACAGTCGCAGGTCAGACAGTCTCCGAAGGATTCATCCACTGGCGCATCTCTGTACGTCCGTCTTTCCTCTTTCCCGCCATAATCTGGCCTTCTGCCACCGCCAACTCTGGCTAACGGTGTACTTCCACGTAGCCCGTCCTCCGCCGTCTCGTTACCCGACTCATTGGCTTGGTACCTTCCACAATCGTCGCAGTCGCAGTCGGTCGCCCAGGGATAAACTCACTCCTCGTCATATCCCAAGTTATATTGTCTATCGTTCTCCCATTCATCGTGCTGCCACTTCTCCTGCTCACGTCGTCGAAGACTGTGATGCGGGTACGACACCCGGATGCAGACAAGAGCGTGATGAAGGACTCGTCCGAGTCGACGGCAGCATCGACGCCGCGATCTTCTCATGCGCCACTTCCACCTCCATGTGCACATATGCCTTCGTCGCCAGCATTGCCTTCGCCACACAGACTAGCGGCTTTCGGGTCTCCTCGTTCAGTCAGCTCAGAAATTACGCGGGTGTCTAGGTCGTCCTTGCAATTGGACACGGACACAGTCACTTCGAACTTGGACGTGGACGTGGAACGTGCGGAGATGGATGGATGGATCGATATGAGCAATGGGGTCGTCGTCGCCGGGATAGGGTGGGCGATTTGGCTGCTCGTGCTTGTGGCGAATGGGTATGTTCTTGTTGTGTTGATGATGGGTCAAGAGAGTTAGCGGACTGTGTCACGACGTCAATGGACTTATCACTATAGAATTGAGCCTTGATTTGTATCCCTTTGTAGTCTTGTAATATGGTTTTGTACATTGCGTTCGGTGGTTGTTGCGCCACATCAAGTAATTGGTGTCGGTGACTATTTGGTGGACGTGTCAGTCTTCCTTATGGGGATGATGAACAGTGTCATTGAAGACGAATTCAAGAGGGCCACGCAAAAGGGATGTGGCGAGAATAGTGCTAAAGCACGTGGTGGCAACTATACGCGAACGAACGGAAGGGCCGCCATAATTAGCCGCTCACTGCTCGGATTACAGCCATCACCATTCTCATCGTTGTCTTGGACGGTTACCTCTACTGTTTCGATAATATTTAATCCTACGAATGGAGGGACCCTCGAGACGAAAGGTCTGGTTGTCTTGTGCTCGCCATTGTTTGTTCTGTTCTTCTGACGCGCATCTCCACGCAGATAGTGTCCAATGCCAAGGTCGACTTCAACAACATTGGAAGTCGTAGTCGACCGGTCTCTCCATTCAGACCACCCCCAGCGGAGTCTTCGACAGTCATACGGCCAAAGGCCAAGGTGAACAGCAGTGCGACACCGCTGGGCAGGAAGTCGACCACTGCAAGCAGTGTCGTCAGTTCCGCACCCCGAACTCGTCCGACATCGCCTGCGAGACCTACTCATGGGAATGGTCCCCGACCGGGTCCATCCCATTCTGTGGTCGATGGCCCGGTCTCGAAACCGAAATCGGTGCTCTCGCCACACGTACTCTCCCGACAGCGCTCTTTGACCAGCGCCGACGGCCCATTTACGAAGCGTACACAACGGACAGACAGTGCTACTCTTCACCCTCAGGATATTCCCAGCATCTTCTCTCCCGACCCGTCAGATCCGACCAAGCGTCCGTCTACGCCGACTACTGCCTCTACGCCAAGTGTTGTGCGCGTCAAGGCGAGAGTATCTGGGCTTGCTACGAAGGCCCCCCTCTCCGTTCCCTCTTCACCCTCATCTCACTCCTCCTTCTCAGCCGTTCCTCCCTACGCCACTACCCGCTCCCCTCAACATCGACCCCGTGCTCCTTCAATAACCAGCGCACTATCCATCAAGGTCCCTCCTTCATCACCTCCCTCGGTTGCCTCCGCTGCCTCCGGCGCACCATGGGGTCCCATCACCACCGCTGCACCTGCCGCCAATCCACACCGATACGCACCCTCCCAACCCGTCGCTCACCGATATAATCCACTAGCTTACGGCAAGGACGCGAACCATTCTAATGACCGCGACTCGCAATACGTCCATGTCACACCCAAGGTCGACCCTACCGCAATCCCCCTCCCGCCACTTTCTCCCCCGACATCTAGCGTCTCGTTCTCCTCACGTTCTTCTCACTCCTCGCTTTCTCAAGGGACGCAGAGCTCACTCAGTCGTAGTACTGCGCCTACGCTCAATTCGCATGTCAATGGTATGGTTTTGGGAGATCGGGAGCAGGAGGGAGGAGCGCCAAGGGGGACTTCGACGCTTGATTTGTTGGTCGGGTTCATGAGTGGAGATGAGTCGGACACGAGATCGGCTAGTGCGCAGACGTCGCAGCGTCCCGCTAACGATGCTGGGAGTAAGATTCGGGCGGAGGCGAAATCGAACCGAAAGGTATGTTGCTAAACATTCATGTATCGTCATCATTCAAATATACTCATATTGTACTCTGCACTCGTCAGATTGAGGATTTGGAGATCACGAACCGCTCTTTGCTGGTTATTAACTCGTCGCTAGAAGCCACCAAGCACAAGCAAGCCAAGGAGATCCGTGACCTCCGTCGGAAACTCAGAGAATCTCGCCTTATCCTCCCTCCCAAAGCCTACCGTGCCGTCAAGTCCTCACTAAGTCCTGCCGAGGCCGCTGATGACGAAGAAGAGGATGCGGAGGAGGGAGACGATGAAGAGGAAGGAGACGAGGAGAGCTTCTCGAAACAGGACGAGACGTATCGGCGAGTGAAGAGCATGCTGGATGGGTTGATTGAGAGTGGGAAGAAGGCTCTTGAGACCAAGCCGGATGATTTTAGAGAAGGAGGGAAGGGAGGGAAGGTACTTAATCCCGTGGAGCTGCAGTCTTGGAGTGAAGATGTTGTGGACGATGCTCGCTCGACGAACGCGGATTCTGCTGCGAGCAGTCGTCCGCTAACTCCTTCGAGGATAGCCACGCCTAGGCTAGACGAAGAGGACGACGTTGATTCGAATTCTGAGGGTGAGGCAGGGTCTATGGATGATGATGATATTCCTTCAACATTACTCCCGCCTATCATGGTGACTTCAAGCTAGACATAATACCGAACTCTCTACATCATGGTATCCTCGTTATGCACCACACTTTATAGCATGGCTTATACAGATAGGAATCCGAATGACGCTCGCTGCTGGAAGTGTGTACTCTGCATCTATTGTTCTTATATCTCTTACAACCCGCTGGCACGATCTTTTTAGTCTCTCTACCATCTGTCTCCATTCTTACTTCCCTGTCCACTCTTTCCCCTCTGTTTTTTCGTCTTCGTTTTCTTCTCTTCGTGGATACCCTTGCATCTCTATCCATATGTCTATACATCCTTCCTTCCTCATATGCATATCTCATCCTCATTGCCCCGTCGCTCGCACTTGCCCGCTTCTCCCCTACAATCGGTTTCTCTGGATCGGTTCGTCGCATAGTACATATATTCGTGTTTACACCATACATACCTGGTCAGGACCATACCACCATTCATTGTCGATGTTTCAGCGCTTTTCTTCTCGCTATATACATACACACATACACACACCGTTCGCCCACTCATTGATCTCGTCCAACCCGGTCTACGTTTCCTCATCTCAATCCACGATCTCAATCCTCATCCACATCATCAGGTAACACAGCAGTATCGCATGCATTCGATAATTAGGCAGGTATCGTCTCACGTATCAGAAGTGTTGTAGTGAAGCAGTTTACAATCGGCAGTAAGTACTTGGGACGGTTTAGTGAATCGGTCGACACATCTTTCGCTACCCAAACTCCTCATCTAGGATATAGAGTAATCAATTCTTCTCTACGTCTCGTGTGATTATGATACAAGCTACATCATCTAGCGGGAATTAGAAAACACTTCATCCGCCGTACCCAGAGGTATCTTGCACCGTAAACAAATCCAAGTCCATAGCCACTCTCACTCATTGTCCGCTATACGCTGCGCACGTCTCGCCAACTAAAGAAATTAAGGTCAGAGCAAGACCAGAGGTTGAGACTTGCAAGGAAATTTACTCACAGCTGCTGCCAAATCCATCTGTCCCGGCGCACCTCCTCCTCCACCCCCACTCGGCTTCGGAGCGCCTCCACCTGGGCGTGGTGGCGCTGCAGGGGCGCCCCCAGGCCTAGGAGCAGAAGGAATGGGAGGTTTTCCACCCCCAGGTTTCGGTGTTCCCGGCTTCGAAGCCACAGGAGGTGGTGGGGCAGGCTTAGGTTTCGCGGCCACAGGTGGCGGTGGCGGCGGTTTTCCGCCAGCCAGCGAGCTGTTTGGTCGGGAGCCCGCAGGCGAATTACCGTTCGAGCCGTCTGGAGTGGCGGCCTTCTTCCATGGAGTGGCCGATCCGTTAGCTGCCACCATGCCAGGGAAGACAGAGACTGGTTTGGCATTGGCGCTGGCGGCGACGGATTGTACGGGCTTCATGACGTTGGGAGTTGGTTTGGCTGCGGGTTTGGGTGCACCCGGCGCGGAGGGCACCGGACGACTTGCGGGTGGCGGTGGTGGTGGAGGCGGAGGGGCCGCCGCAGGCTTCGGTTTCGCTGGGATGAGGACGAGGTAGTTACTCGGGGCCCATCCTTCGCTTCCATCCTTCTTGACCAACCACCAGCCGTTGTCGTCCTTCTCTACCAACTCTACCACATCGTCCTTCGCCAACGTCATTTCACCTTCCTGGCCGTCGAATGCGAATTTGGCTTTGTATTTTTCGACGTCTGGCTCTTCGGGGGGCGGAGGCGGCGCAGGAGCACGGCTGGGAGGGGGCGGTGGTGCTGGTGGTGCACGGGAGCCGCCAGGCGGCGCGTGGCTGGAGGATGCTACGGATACAGGAGCTTTGGGTACTGCTGCCGGTGTAGACTTGCCAGGTAGTGGCCGAGAGGCAGGTTTGGGGCGAGAAGCAGATGGCTATCAAAAGGGAACGAAGGTCAGTGGATGGTAGGCTGAGCTGAGTGATCCTAACGGTACCTTCGACGGTCCACCCGCCTTCAACAACTTGCCCTGAGTGATTGGCCGTACGACACCAGCTTTCCTCTTTGCAGGTGGTCGTGAACGACTGTTGGCTGGTTCTCCAGACTGGACGTGGATAGTATGACTCTTGTACAGATCCCCCTTCGGAACAGTCTCGTCTTTTAACGATTTGATCTGTGCAGTCTTGCCTTTCTTCTTCATGTATTCGATCCTGTACAAAGATCATAAGGGAGACGTCTTCGGGTGATACAATGGTAACATACGTCGGCGCAATATGGATATTGATGCTCCCTTGTGTGAGAGATAGCAGATTCGCCGAAAGCTCGGTCTTGAACAAGCAACTGACGATTGGATCACCCTCTTCAGTAGGTCCAAGGTTGAATACCTGGAATGGGGAATGAGCCTAATCTATGTGTCAGGAGTGGTAGCATACTTACCATCCAATCGTCGCGAAGATTGGTCATAGAAATACTCTTGATAGTGACGAGCGCAATCTTGCGGTCCACGACCGTCTCGGTCACGCCGTTAGTGGCGTTGGTGACCAGGATATACAAGGCTTTAGCAGTCTGAAGACGTATCGGGTTAACCGGGAGGCGACCGTGCACAATACGAAGTACGAACCACTACTAAGAAACGTGGGCTCGGTTTACTTGATCGACCAAGTTTGGAGATAAGAATATGGCCTCTTGAACTGAAAGTGACAGGTTCCGCTGTGATCACGAGCGTGAGCCTCATGGAAGATGCTCAGATGGGCAGACTTACAGCCAATGCCACATGCCGCACTCAACTCGTCACCCAAAGCACTGTGCCCGTTGATATCCAGGTAATCTCCCATGAAACGACGATAGCTGAGCAGACTGAAACGTCTGCGTTCCTTCCTATCCGCCAAGATTTGGTGGCCGTAGTCTCTCCGTTGTGCATACTCGATGGATTCCTTGTTGTTCTTCCAGAAGCGCTGGATCCGGCGAGCGCATTCATGCTTGTATCGCATATAGTTGCGGAAGGCTCGCTGAATGCGACCGGCCATGTTGTGCCAGTATCTGTCCCGCATCGTTTCTAGCGCGAATAGCTACAGGTCCTGATTTAGTAGCCGTGATCAAAGGCGAACGGTGAAGGTAAATTTACCGTTTCCGGATTCTTGATAAAAGCCTTCGTCACGCCCATCTGCCACTCATCCTTCGCAATACCCGTGTCCTGCAAGATTTTCTGACAGCCAGACCGTGCGTCGCCAGTCCAGGTATATTCTCCGGCATAGGAAGTGTTAGGCGATAGTAGGTAAAACCGTTCCACCATCTTCTCGAAGGTGTTTCGGTAGGCAAAACCGGCACGACGCACACGGATATTCTCCTGAAGACCAAGATACTTGATCTGATGTAGCACGGCTTTATCGTCGTATTCAGTGCCACTGCGGTTCTGATTCGGCTTGATCGTCCGGATATACGATGGCTGAGCTTTCATGAGGTTCTCAACGAGAGCGCCAGCGGACGCCTGTCGCCAAGTGAGCTATCAAATCCTGGATGCTATGTCATTCACCACATACCTTGATCCTGTCACCTGCGGTAGGTGGCCGCTTCTTGCTGTTGGGATCTGGTCGATCCGGAAAGAGTTTTTGCAGGAATTCGTTGCTGCTGGCCGCGACCAAGTCCAATAGGTCCTTGATCAACGCATCCTTGTTCTTGTCCGTCATGCCGCTAATATTGTACATGACGTCTCCTGCATAGTGCCGGACCAGGAACTGAGAACCACGGGCCTCGAAATGCGGATTAGATGACAAAGCAGAAGATCGTTGCATGAAGCTGTTGTCAGCGGCGGTAGGATCAGCGTGTGCGGTGGCGCAAGCATCGTTGAGAGCCGCGAAAATCCCCGGTGGACGTTTCTCCTCGATCAAGTCGCATACGATCTTGTTGTTGAAATACTTGATTGGTGTCCATTTGATTTGCTCGCGGTCGTACTCTTCCTGCTCTCTCTTCAGTGTGAGCTCGATAAAGATCTGCTGCAACTTCTCGTTGACGTAGTTGATGCAGAGCTGTTCGAAGGAGTTGTCCTAAGGGTCGGGGAGTTTGAGTTTGTTGAACACCGGAAGACAACTTAGTACGGAAGCAAACCTCAAAGATCTCGAATCCGAAGATATCCTGTAGAGAAAGGTGATTATAACCTGAGAGGTTCGTTGACACGACCCTTCCTGACGTACCAAAATACCAATAACCTGCGAAACAGCGGTGCGAGGCTTCATCGAGACGTTGACCCTAGAGACAATCCATTCGAATAGATTGTTATAGATGGCCTTCGCAAGAGCATCCCGTCCCGAAGAAGCTTGTGCAGGGTTCAACGGCACATCGTATACCGATCCACGACGTCCGCCTCGCTGTGTCTCCATGACCCTGGTGGTCATTGCCTTCAGAACAACAGCTGAGTCTACACCCATGAGATATGCGACAAAGTCAGTGATGCTTGTGTCCGCGACTCCGGAGTTGCCATCGTCTGTCTCTTCATATTGCACGTTTCCTAGCCAGAGGATGATGGCGAGCATGCGGAAGATCTCGCTCTGTTCATGATCGCTAAGACCAATAACTTGCATTGCGTTCTAGATGCAGTGTCAAGTTTGAATGAGAAAGTTGATGCAAGGGGCTTACAAGGGTCTCCGTGAAATCATGAGGATCACTTATGCCATCGACATCAAGACAGTTGCTAACACAGGTATAGGCGTAAGCTTCAGGGCCTTGCAGACCAAACTCCTCTACATGCACGTTGAGTAGCATTCAATGAAAGTATGAAGCTAACATACCGCGTTGCGCGTCCGAGGCAGCCTTCGTGAACTGATAGAATATGTGGAAATTCCGTTCATTCTGCACTTGTCCGACAACTCGTGCCTTCTCCAGCAGATAATTCGTGATTTGGGCACCGACAGGCTCGCCGTGGTCGTTAAACATGATTTCCAGGTACTTTCCCTGCCGTGGATGAGCGAGTATAATGATTGGAATATTGAAGGAGATCTCACATGACGACTGGAGTTATTGTTACGAAGCGTCTTCGCACAACCAAAACTCTCGAGCAGCGGATTCGTCGCCAACACCATATCCTTAATCTGCTGAATGCTACTGTCCTGTCCTCCAGAGACCGCGGCCACATATTGCATGATACGTTTCGCTGCCTCCGTCTTGCCAGCACCCGACTCTCCTGAGATGATGACGCACTGATTATCGTTGTAGGCCTTCATGTTATAGTATGCAGATTCGGCGATGGCAAACACGTGTGGAGGAACTTCGAGCCTGTTCTTGCCCTGGTACCTCTGCAGAACCTCGTCCGTATATATTCCAAGATCTGTGGCGCAAAATGTTGGTGGCGTATGAAGTGAGGACAACGGAAGCAGACTCACCTCGGAATGGGTTGACTGATATCAAGACACCTCCGATATACGTATAGATCTCGCCATTGGTCCATCGCTTCTGCAGATTCTCGTTCACGCTCTCATTGCTGATGGTGGTAAGAAGGGTCATGTCAGATACGCCGACCTGCTTCTTCTTGAAGCCTTCCTTCCAGTCCGCCTATCAAGCCCGTTCAGTACTGTGCACGCTGGTAGCATGGTTGGGTTCGAAGTACCTTGGCTACTTTCGCGGGGCCAGATTTCTTAGGTGCGGCAGTGGCTTTCTTGCCGGCCTTCTTGGACGGCGCCTGGATAGAATATGCTTGAGCAAGGTATAGGCGAGTTACTGTGGGCAGGGCGTACCATGCTGATTTACTACTGGTTACGCTAGAGTCTATATACCGATTCGGTTGATTATGGATATGAAACACCAGAGATTGGATACCAAGACAAGAGTCCAGCAAGTGTCAGAGAAAGAAGAAGAGAGGTGAGAGTGGTTAAGGCGGTTGTCGATGCGTCGGTAGGAAGCTAAACCCAGAGCGCAGGCGGGGTCCTGTGCCTGCTCATCACGTGCCGTCGTCAAATATACAGACCAAGTGTGGCCCTGTTCATCTACGCACTTCTATGCTTTTTGACTGCAATTTGCTCGGTTTATATTAGTATTCCTAATCAAGAGTATCCATCCACATAGCACAGCAATACTAGTGATAATGTCGCTACAGTGTGGGATATGCTAGTCATGCCAGTGTAGATACCGAATGTTCGTTGTACCCCTGTGGCACCGACGAGAAACTATACAGTTATACTCATTCCGCAATCAATGAGTGCCTTCAATGCCTCCGCGGTAGACCTCACCAACTCCATATTCCCCCCATTCTGCCTCACTACGTTGGTAAGCGCCTTCAACAAATCCGGCATCTCGTCCGTCTCCGTCAATGTTTTCCGCGAAGCGTCGTCGAGATTGACAAGGAAGTTCCTAGCACAGACGACCCCTCGATGTACCAAACCTGGGTGCGATTCAGATTTTGCTGCTTCATCGTCATCCTCTTCGCGTTCAGCGAGTACGGTAGGGTCGATCAGTTGCGTGAATGTACTGAGGACGCGGTGCCGTTCGTTTTCGAGGTCGAAGAGGGCGCGGCAGGCTCGTGGGGAAGATGTGAGTGTGGCGAGTGCTCCAGAGGCTGCGAGTCGAGTAGGGAGATCGTCGATGTCCGATAAGGCTATTAAGATATGTAGTTTCGACTTCGCTCCCTCCGAACGACCGTCGCCCGTATATCGTTCGAAAACATCCTCCGACCCTGCTACCAAATTGCACAGTAATTCTGTGGCCGCTCGACGAACCAGGTTATGGTCTTCAAGAGCCAAAAACTCGATTTTGTTCATGAGGCCTTGGGCTTTAGCGACGCGACTGGCAGCTTCGGGACTGTGAGATGAGATGTTCGTCAACGCCATCATGGACTCGAAACGCTGGAGTAGAGTCGATGAGGAATGTGTGAGGAGAATGGCTAGTGGACGGATAGCGTCATAGATCCCGCCCTCACCAGGCCCGAAGACGTGCATCGGCGAAGCGGTGATAGCGAGTTTCGCCACAGCCTGGATAGCTTCTAGATCGGCGGTGTCCAAGTCAGGATCAGAGGTCGAGGTCCCTGGAGCAGGCAGAGTCTTCAATATGAAGTTCATGAGAGCCTTCGAACCGCCGCTTTGAAGGATCCGTCCCCGGTTCTCTTTATCCTCCGTGAGGCTAAGTAGAGCCTTGCTTGAGGCGACTCTGATTCCTCGGCTGTCTCCAGTCCTCAATGCCATCGAAAGCACTTCTAGCCCTCCGCATCTGACCACTTTACGGCCTCGCTGCTTCGCATGCTCGTCATCCTCTAGGACATCTAGCGCTGCATTCTGAGCCATCGACGACGTTTTCGCCATGCGTCTCAGCTTTTCCATTTGAGCATCTTCAGCCGAAAGACGAGGCCGGTACGCGCAAAGGTTCGAGAGAATGATGACGACTCCGTAAAGAAGAGAGAGACTTGGGGCGTCAGGAGGGGGTGCACCTGCCTTGCGGATGGGTATGACGGAACATAGTTTTGTGAGGAATGGTAGGTCATCACAGAGGGTCTCCTTGACTGCGGGACTCATGCTAAGGTATGCGAGACCTTCGACCGCATCCGCCAGTGAATCTTTATCTCCGTTGACGATCAAGCCCTGCATTAACCTGACCAACTCAGCGTCATGTCCTCGAGGTATATCCTTCTGCTCTCCCGCGACCTCTGCAGCGTCTCCAGTGGCCCCACGGGAAAGTTTGACGACCGCGATGGCTGCAGACGCTCGAAGAGCTGGATCCTTCGTTTGCCGTAGAGAGCTTTCCAACCACTTTATGCAGTCAGGGGGTATGACAGCTCGACATGCCTTGTGGCCGCTGGCTTGTGAGAGCAGATGGGCAGCCTCTTTGGAGACAGTAGCGGTAGGATACAGATCGAGAAGGTCTGTGAAGGCTGTAAGGATGTCCTCGTTTTGAAAGATAGACGACGCGCTCTGCCAGTCGACCTGGAAAAGCGCGGAGAGGAAGGAAAGTCCAGCTACTATGTCATCTTCGGAGGGTTCTGCGAGTCGAGATGAAATGATGGGCTCGAACGTTTTCGTCAACAATTCAGTGGCAGGATCGACATCGTCGGGAGCAGCTTTTCCTTTGGGTGAGGTGCGAACTCCTTGGCAGAAAGACGAAAGGATGAGGTATGCCTTAGATCGTAGGGATGTGTCCTGTCTGGGTGTGAAAGCAGAGATGAGGTATGATAATTCGTCTGGTAGCAGAGACGTAGTCGTCTGTGATTTTTGCAGCAGGTTATCGAGAGATTTGCCTTGATCAACGTCCACAGAATCTGACGCCATGTTTCAAAGCGCAAGAGCAGTGTCGAAAGCAGGAGGAAGAGTGCGTCGGAGATCTCCCGACGCATTTGTCTCTTGACCTCAAACAACAACTTCTGGCGCACGCGATGGACGCCGACGCTGCAGGACCCTCTGCTCTTCCGACACCACCTCCTCAGAAATACACAGTAAAATCTGGAAATACTGTGCTTCTGAAGCTGCCGACAGGAGACGTGAAGAGCGTGAAAATAGACAAGGACTCGTGCGTAAATTCTCGCATCCTCTCCTTTCTCACTCTCTGAAATGTCTACAGCTCTGTATCTCTAGGAAAATTTGGATCCTTTCATGCCAACGAACTTATTGGACAACCTTATGGGCTAACCCACGAGATTGTGAACAAACAGCTAAAAATTGTTCCTCCCAAATCCATTGTGGACATCGGTACGAACATCTCACTGTAAGAGACCCTTGGAACAACGACATTCATTCGGTTAGAAAACAGAGGATACAGAAGCTACGAATGAGCTCATCAACGATGGGCAGTTTGTCCAGCCGTTGACCAGCGTAGAGATCGAGGCATTGAAGCAGTCGGGTGCTCATGCTTCGGTGAGTTGCCACACTCTTCATCTCTGCTCTTTCCTGACCCGGAGATACCAGGACATCATAAAAAAGCAGATAGAAATGCACGCCAACTACTCCCTGAAGACTGAATACAGCAAAGAGAAGTACAAGAAACGCAAGGAGGCAAAGTGTGTTTTCCTCGCCACTTGACCGCCCATTCCAGCTTCTAAAGGCATGCTTCGCCAGGTACTCGAAATCCTTCACAACCATCGAACCCACCCTCTTCAACGTCTGCGAATACTGGTACAACAAAGATCAACCCCGTATCCGTGACCTCCGCATCGACACCCTCTCCCAACTCCTAAACCTCGGAAATATCAGGCCAGGCGGCCGTTACATCGTAGTGGACGATGCATCCGGGATGGTCGTGTCGGCCATTATTGAACGTCTAGGTGGTAAGCATGTCGCTCCAAACTGGTAAGCTCGAGGTTTCGGTCCTCTCATGTTCTTTTCATTAGGTAGCGGACGGCTGATCACTATTTGTGATGTCGATTCGCCACCGGCGTATCCAGTCATGACACAGATGAACTTTCCCATCGAGGCTGTGGCTCCCGTACTCCTCTCCTTGAACTGGGCAACTGCAGATGAGGATTATGCTCCTGGTGAGTGCCTCTTCATAATGTGTCCCATTCGCGCCACAACTCATGAATTGGCATAGTAATGGCACCAGTGGAATCTCCTACTACTCTGAAGTCGGAGAAACACAAACAACGGATGAATAAACGCAAGGCTGTTTCAGACGTGTTGAACAACACCCGGGAAGAGCTATTTGCCGGTGGATTTGAAGGGTAAGCCTCATTCCTCGCCTTTTCGACCGTCATCACGACGCTTAAAACCTTTTGTCCAGACTCATCGTGGTCAGCGAATATGAACCCTTCTCGATAGTGGACAAGCTAGTACCCTACCTAGGAGGCTCTGCTTCAATAGTCGTCCACAGTCCACATCTACAGGTGATTCTATCCCCCAGCTTCAGTTCATCACCGCCGCTGACGTCTCTTCCTCAGATCCTCACAGATCTACAAGCCAAACTTCGGCAGACACCTCGCTATCTTGCCCCAGGTATCACAGAGAGCTGGCTGCGACGCTATCAAGTCCTCCCCGGCAGGACACATCCAACGATGGTAACATCTGGCTCGGGCGGATATCTTTTGCACACCACCAAAGTGTATGTCCTTCAGTCTTCTTTGTCTGTCTATTCACGCCCAATCCATGGAATAGGCATGACAACCCCTCGGCCATGCCTGTAGCCGCAAATCGCTCGAAAAGGCCGAAAACATCTAACTCAACTCCGACGACTGAGGAACCATTGCCTACTGTTGCAGATGGAGGTCCCAGCACGGCGCCATCGAATGGGGCTACACCTGCTTCCGTCGAGTCCTCTTGACCGTTCCTGTGAGGACTCAGGCTAGGATAGTGGAAAATCTCGGTTGATGATTCAGCGAAGCGTAAACGTCAGCGTATGTGTACACACACAAATCCAACTCGCCAGGCTATCGACCCCATAGTATGATGAATTACGCGTCGTGGAAAGTCGTGAAGTTGTCATTTATAAGCTACAACGAAGGGGGTATACGATAGGATGCATGAAGACGAGAAAAGAGAACAACAGACAGAGTAGTAATGCATAATGGTTGCACAGGTCACAAACCAGGTCACCGCACTGGGTACTCCAGCGGAGCCTCTGGGAACAGGGCATTGAAAACCTATAGCAACCCCTCAGTAAGTATAGAACGAACGAATGACAGGTCGGAAACGCACCTCATCAACAATAGTATAAATAATATGCTGGTTCAGTCGTCGATTCTGTAGCACAGCAAATATCCGCCGAGCTCCTCGTCGAGCATTCGACCGTCCGATCATATTAGCGGCCAAATCTTCGAGGAAAAAGAAAACAAGGAGACACTTCAGTATATAGACTTAGAGCGAGACTGAGAAAGGCTTACCAGGCATCAGAGCAGAAAGCTTTCTGTTCGCCTCGTCTCTCGTCCGCAGCTTCTCTTCCGCCGACCGTGGAACCGACGTGGATTTGAGATTCCCTCCGGGCCAGAGAGAATTCCGGAATAAATCGACGAATTGCATGATTTGAGGTTCGACGAGGAAACTAGTAATAGTCTCTCTTATTTTCCTGCACGATATCAAGCAAGTGAATATGGTATGATCTCGCACGCAATCAAGTAGCTGCGACGAACCTTTCCACCGTGCTGCCCAAAACTTGCTGCAGAATAATGACGATAGCCTGCCTCCGCAGCCAATTATTCTTCTTATTGAGCTCGAAAATGGCCAACAAGAGATCGCATATCGGAGCCGAAAACGTCGACGAGCTCGTCTCCCCATCCAACGGCTTCAGATCCCCAGAGAACTGCAACAACGCCTCGTCCGAAGCCGTCTTCCCTGAAGCTCTGAGCGCCTGCGCCACGATATCCTCGTCGTTGATCGCAGAGCCGACCACACCAGCGAGATCGGCGGCCTGGCGCGTCAATCGTTGGATCATGACGTCCAGCATGGACGGACCGAAAAACATGTCATCGACGCTTTGGGCGACAGAGTTGTACATAGTGCGGACGAGGTCCTTGCCGGGGAAGTTCGTGCTGCTGGCACCCTTGGAGGTGGCGACTGGATCCGTATTCGCCACTTCGAAAGGTGAATTTCGGGATAGGAATGCGCGCAGTTCATCACTCTCGCAAACGGCGGGGATGACGATCAGGTTCTGTAAAATGATCAATTGAGCATGATGCATGGGAGATGGAAGGGATGTGAAGCGCACCTGGATGTATTTCTCGAGAGCCGTCCGGCGATTATCCACAAAGGTCGCCGAAAGGTTGGTTACCAGTCGTTTCCCTGGGAAATCGAGATTCCTGACGAGAGCGTATCGCTCTCGTAGCTTATTGTGCATGGCCAGAAACTCGTTATACCTCCGCGCGACGACCCAACCAGTCGCGAAACTCCCGTCGGAAGCAAGCTGTTGTACCTCGATGAGGTATCGCACGACAGCCTTCCCGCTATCGTCCGCGGTCGTCGAGTTAACTATCGTGAGTTTGGTCCGATCAGGCAGGAGTCGATTTGCCAGTTCCTGCTGCTCATACTGCGTCCTCTGGAAGCTGACCTCCCGATGCTCCCTATTTAGTGCGGATTTGGACTTCCGAAGGAGAGCCAACTCTTGTGTATCGCCAGTCAGCTCCGCATTCTTGATCAGAGTGTCGAGCATAGACCGCTGCGTCTCGAGACTCGAGACTTTATCCGCTAACCGTTGGATTTCGTACGAAAGCTGCAAGTCTCCTGGTCCGGCCAGCTGAAGCGACTCAGACCTCCCATGATTATCATCGCCCTTGTCGTCTTCCTGGTCGCCATCCTCAAGGGGAGGATCTTGCTGGGGCTCTAGAGAGAGCGTCGACTCTTGAAGGTCTACCGCAGACTCGAACAAGCTTCCGGCATTGGATGATGGTGGTTTGCGCCGTCTCGCGGTCTGCTGATTATCAAGGGCTATAATATCTGTCAAGGCGGCCTGAATGGCCTCCACCGTAGAATGGCTCTCGCGAGTCTCCTTAGTACGATCGTCCGGGTCGTCGAAGAGTGGTGCCCGTGAGGAAACGGAGTCTGTCTCGGCCACTGGAGACATAAGGACATCGAGGCTGGAGGGAATAGAGCGGTTTGGCGGTGGTGTAGGAGAGTGGGAAGATTCAGCGGACGGAACAGGAGTGGGTGAGGCTGAATCGCTGCGGAAGAGTTGATGGTTCGCGCCAAACAAATGGTAAAACGACGGGGTAGAGTCGGATCGCTGCATCGGCAGGGCCACAGGTGCTGTAGCAGCACGACGGCGTGATATCTCCAAGACCGTGTCGTCGCTAGTAGCACTGGGTTCCCTGCGCCGGATAGTGCCACCTGTGTGGCGAGTACCGGCTGATACCTTCCGAGTGGCGTTAATATCTTCGACGACGCGGAACCAGAGCTCGGACCTCTCCAAGTCCTCAAAGTCCTGCTCCATGCTTTCTTCCACCTGTCTCTGAGCGAGCATCACGCTCCGGCGGGCCTTGCGTTCCATTGCCAGCGAGGGAGTATCTTCGTTCAGAACAAAGTCGCGTATCGACGAGACGTGCTTGGCTGATATACATGATAAAGAGGGATGAGGGGCCGCGGTGGAGAAGTAGAGCTCGTATACCATGGAAGTGTCTTCCTTTGCTGTAGTTGACGAAGACGGATTGTTGATGGGATCATCTTCATCCCCGGAGGTTTCTGATTCCACGGACTCCAGCGGGTTCTTGAAGCTCTCGACCGTCAACCAGAACTGAACCAGAAGAGACCGATTCCGTCGGTCCATGAACTCCATGAAGTAAGAAAGAGAGCTCGGATTCCCTAAGATGTCGCGTAGCGATAGGCGTGTCGGAGCAGGACTTTCTGAGATGGATTGCTACAAGCATGTCAGATCAATGGGTATCCACAAAGAAGATATAGAACCAACCGAATCATCATGGCCGCCCAAGACAGAGATGCGATGTTCAGCTCTCTTTTTGGCGGTATACAGCCTGTCCAGAAAGGCCACAACGTCCTCCGTCTTCTCGCCATTGATCCAGTCCTCCTTCTCGTGGTTCGCTGTGGAAATACGTTCAGTAAAGGGGCGAGAATGACGAGGAACGGACACACAGAGTAGCAATCGAGTTCGCCTGATCTCTCCCATAATATCACTCTTCAGACGCCTAGCGTCGAGAAGTGAAGACGTCCGATTGATGCTCCGAAGGAACGACTCGAATTGACGAGCATCGGTACGGATGGTGATCGCCTCGGTAGTCGACAATCTTGGGGAGGCCACTCGCGGTACCGGCCGTGGCAGTTGAGCCTCCAGCACGTTGCGCACTTTGGAGATGAGCCGCCTAAAGACAACCGTCATGGAGTGATCTCAGGTAACGTGGGCTGTTACACGCACTGTTGCCGGATTGCTGCACCAGCCTATGTTGCATAAGCATTCAGTTCATGAGCAGGGAGTGCAGGACTTACCACTTGGTCTATTGTTCGATTCCAGAAATCCGGATCGGCGAGCATGTCCATGAGTGGATAGAGGACAGAACACGCCACAATCTCTCGAACGACGATCTTGAGGGCTTTGCTTCTCCCCTCTCTTTCCGGTAGAATGTATGGCAGTACGCGATCAACAAGTCGTCTCAGATGCGTCTCCTCAGCTTGTTTCGTGAAGCTCGAAGAAAGATTGTCGACAGCAGGATGGAGTTTGCCACCGCCTTTACTCGCGTAACGGCTAGCTAGAAGCATATCCAGCTCCTCCGATTGGGTCAACCTTCTTTCTAGACCTGCTCCACGCAAAGCCACTTCAGATTCGCGAAACTGTTCAATATGCGCGGTGATTTTTGGAAGTACGCGTTTGACGAGGACGGTGGGTAAGTCAAGGGTCGCGGCTTTGGCCAAGAATCGCTCGAGGGAGCTATGAAGAGTAGAAGAGACGGCGGTAGGGAATGAGGGGGATGATGATATCTCTTTGTACCACACGAGAACAAAGTCTCGTACGATGAGGATGAGAATATCATTGACGGCGGCAGAAACAATGGGTGCGTCGGGACGAATGGGTGGCAAAGTCTGAGGAGGCCTGTAGGACCATTGGGAGCGTGTAAGAACAGCCTGCCAAGCTGCTGGAGTTGAGAATGCTAAAGGTCTTGGTGTAGGGGTGCCGACTTGAGCAGGGGTTCGAGTCCGAGAGTCGAGAGCATAGCCAACGAGGATATTGAATACAAGAAGAAAGATGACACAGAATACGAGGACAAAAGGGGTGACGATGATGAGCGCGACGGGCGACGACGCTATGCGGGTGAAGATGGGGACGATGACGGCGAGAGCGGCGACGAGAGCGACGGAGAGCGCATTGACGGTCTGCATCGTCCCATGAGGCCTAGGCACAACAGCAAAGCGCGACAATGTCGGGAGGAGCAATTAGCAGTCGTGGGAAAGCTGGCATAGTAGCGGATCGGGCGAACGTCCGAAGTGCTGTCAGTCGCGCTCGTCGGAGCACGTAAATCGAAAGTCCTTTCTGACTCTACTCATCGTGTCCGACGACAACGAAGACATTTTTCGGCAGCTTTCAGTTCACCCTGTGCACGGTCTCACGGTCTTCAGAATATTGTGAGCCGGCCCTCCTTTTCGAACCACAAGATGGCCGCCACATCAACACCTCCGAAGCCGCGTCAGATGAACGTCGTCGAGACTTTCTTCCTCGGAGGCCTAGCAGCATGCATAGCGGTGCGTAGTCTTTCTCTTCCGATAGTGTGCTTGTCTTAGCTTGTCTTCTGTTCTGCTCAGGTCACCTTCTCCAACCCTGCGGAAGTCATGAAGACTCGTATGCAGTTGCAGGGCGAGTTGGTCAAGGGAGGCGGTAAGAAGGTGTATCAGAATGTGTTCGATTGCTTCGGCAAGACCTGGAAGCATGAGGGTATCAAGGGTATACAGAGAGGGCTTCCTCCAGCAGTGCGTCTGTGACTTCTTCTCCATAGTGGCGTTACTCAACATGATGTAGTATGCATACCAGGTACTTACAGGAGGAATGTTTACCTTGAGAAGCCACTGCTAAATCTCTTGATGCCCAGCTGCTTCTCAATGGCTCACGGTTGGGTCAGTTTCTCACCACGTCATAAGTCCAAGAAACAACCAACAGGGTATCTATCTAGGATTCTACGAGCCTTTCCGGCAGAACATCAATCGTGCTTTCGGTCTGTCTCCCAAGGACCAACTTCCTGTCACCTCTGTCATCGCGGGAGCAGCAAGTGGTGCAGTCGGAGGTATGCCTCAACATATGGGAAACTGAACATGATCCTCAGAGCTCACAAACGACACAGCGTCGCTGGGTAACCCTCTTTTCTTGATCAAGGCCAGGATGCAGGTGAGTCACATTCGCGACGTTCGTATGTAACATCCACTTACGCCCAGTCTCAAGGCCTATTCGCCTGTACTACCAGTTGGTGCTCAGCATTACTATAAGCACTCCTGGGATGCCCTTTCGACTATCTACTCAAGAGAAGGTCTCCGAGGCATGGTTCGAGGCATTGACGCCGCCATTCTACGGACAGCGATGGGTTCCTCCGTTCAGCTTCCGACATACAATTGGACAAAGAACCAGCTGGTCTCAAGAGGCATCTTACCTGCCAATAGTGTCCTGACATATCTTGCTAGCAGCTCAGTGTCAGGAGTCTGTGTTGTGAGTCTTATCTACTACCTTTCGAGCTACGAGAGGCTGATCCATTCCGGGCAGCTTCTGATGATGCAACCTGCAGATACCGTACGTCCTTTCTTTATCTTGACCATGCCGAAGCCGGTCATCATAATTCCTTTTAGGCTTTGACCCGAGTATACAATCAACCTACTCAAAAGCTCCCGAATGGTCGTATCGTTGGTACACTATATAAAAGCCCCATAGACTGTCTTTGGAAGACCTTCAAGACAGAGGGCCCTCTGGCGTGGTACAAGGGTTCTACTGCCCATTTCTTGCGGATAGCACCCCATACGTTCGTCCGCTCCCACTACTCTGCCCGTTCCGGTGTTAACCTGTCTTCGTAGGATCATCACTCTTACTGCGAACGATATCATCCTTAATCTTTACCGTAGACTTCGGCACGGGGAGGTTCAATAATAAGCTAATCGATCGCCCCTGGGCCAGACACGACTCAAGTAGCCCCATCGATCTTTGCAGCCCCCATAGTACAACTGGCGCGCACTTTCCTTTAGTCTGAGCATTGGTCTGACCTGAGCCAAATCAAACCGTTGTCCATCTGTGATTCCGGGGGTTTCAGTCATTTTGAGCGGATAGGATATTAATATCCCGAGCCTCTTGTTCATTACGATGAGCGAGTCGACGCGTGCAGAAGGTGGCGAGTTGACTTCTGCAGACTTCCGCCCTCCCCCTCTCCCACCCGCCACACCCTTTTATTCCCGACGCTCTATTCGCACTCCCTCAAATTCTATGCGCGGGAATGATCAGTATTCGCACTATTCTCTAGGTATATCATACTACATATTATTCCCGCTACTTTAGTAGTGGGTCTTACAGGAAGTATCGTTCGGTTTTTGGCTTGTAATGCGACGACCTTCCCTATATGGTAGATGCTGACCAATTTCTGACTCAGCTATCCCGCCTGAGTTCGGCCACACTTCGTGAACGTCCAAGTCATGACAGAATTGTTTCTAGAGTATTCATTTCTGTTCATCTTTTTAGATCGTAACCTCGGCAAGGTGTGAAGTGTGACACACATGTACTATGTTAGGGTCACGAAGCTGCTGGGCGAAGCCCTGCAGCGGCAGTGACCCCTCACTTCAAGCTCGAGCAGTAGCACGTCCGAGTCATGTGGCATACTCTTCGGACGTTGCTAATTCTTCAATCGCTGACTCTCAATTCGAAATTATGAGATCAATTGAACATCTCATGCTGCTCGTGGCCAATATGTTAGACTGGTACTTACATTTGGAGCAAAGATAAGTAGCGGGACCTGCCGTTCACCGGCCTTACGCCTGCGTTATATGTATTATCTACTCTATTCCCCGAGTGAGAGACATGAGTGATATTCACAGAGGCGCGCCACATCCACATGAGGCGTGAGACAAATGGTGTGCAAACACGCGACAACAGCGCGTTCATCGTGCTCGTGTTCAACTCGGCGCTTGTTTTGTTCAAATCCGACAGGTTCCTTCTGCCTTTCTTTCTTTTTGCTCCTACTGCGATGGGTTCCTTGTTTTCTTTCTTCATCCACCCTTTTGACACGATTAGACCACGAAACAACGACGATGAAGGAAACGTCGACGACTTACTCTATCACCTCACCATTTTTTTCGCCTTTGGGATCTGGACAGTAGTCAGACGATACCAAACAGCGCGGAACAGAGCGATACCCTTCAAACATGCGGCCTTAGAGGTAGACTCCTAGACATTACTAGAACCTTATGCAATTGCTAACGAGGTCGACTCATGCACAGGCCTCAGACCCAAACTACTCCGACGGAGTATTTATCCAGAATCCTACTATCAATAGCCACAGAAGCAACCGAGACGTTGCTCCAGCCTATGAAGTCCCAGGCAGAGAATACATAACCAGCTTTGATCCTGCGACTGGCCTTCACCTAAACACCTTCCCCGCGGATGAGACGCAGGAGATTACTGACAAGATCAATCGGGCGGCTTATGCTCAGACGGAATGGGAAAAGACGACATTTGCCGACCGGAGACGAGTGGTCCGTAGCTTGAAGAAGTGGTTGGTGGAGAACCAGGACATTTGTGCCCAGACGGCTTGTCGGGATACCGGAAAGACTCGTACGTCTCATTTGGCTTGTATCATGTTGGCTCTGCGCTGAACTTTGCAGCGTTTTCTTTGTAGTTATCGATGCTGCATTGGGAGAAATCTTGACAACGTGCTCGAAGATGGACTGGCTCATCGACCATGGCGAGAAGTACCTGAAGCCGGAAACGAGGAGCTCCCCTTTCATGCAGATCTATAAGAAATCTCAGGTCCACTATGAACCTATGGGCGTCGTTGCTGCCATTGTATCGTGGAATTATCGTATGCCCCCAGCCATCTTCTTCCTCATCTTCTCCATATTCTCATCAATTTCTAGCATTACACAATGCCTGGTCACCTATCCTGGCTGCTATATTTGCTGGGAACGGCGTCGTCTTGAAATGTTCGGAACAGGTGGTTTGGTCGACGACTTGGTTCATTGGTGCGATTCATGAATGCATGCGTGCTTGTGGCTTCAATCCGGAACTCGTACAGGCAAGTGCACGCATCAATGTTGTTTTTCCTTACCTTACATTTGCACATAGCTCGTGTGCTGCTTACCTTCGCAAGCCGATGCTCTCACTCGCTCACCTGTCATCAAACACATCACTTTCATTGGTTCAGAACCTGTCGGCCGTTTGGTGCGTATATTATGGTACCATCGCCCGATAGACCCATGCCTAACTTGTGTACAGGTTGCAACAGCCGCAACAGAGCATTTGACGCCTGTGACCATGGAGCTTGGCGGAAAGGACCCAGCAATCGTTCTTCCTGGTACTGACATCGACAAGTGGGCAAGCGTCTGGATGCGCGGCATTTAGTGAGTATTGTCCTTTCTGAGTCGATTTGGGTGCTTATAACGTTCTTGTGACAGCCAAAATGCCGGGCAGAACTGTATTGGGATCGAACGCCTCATCGTCCATTCGTCGCAGTATGAGGATGTTTATGCGCTCATTGTCGAACGCGTTCGTGCCCTCCGTCTTGGTTCCGCCTTATCCGCAGAAGGTGTCGGCTCTGGTGTGGATTGTGGCTCCATGATCTCGAGCGAACGATTCCAACAGCTCGAGGACATTGTCGATGATGCTCGCAATCAGGGCGCTCGAGTAGAGCATGGCGGCATGCGGATGCGCCACCCTTACCTGGAGCATGGCGCGTATTTCACCCCGACTGTCATCGGCGACGTCACGAACGACATGAACATTGCCCAGAGAGAACGTGAGCGCCAACCCAGTCATTTCTTTGTTTGTTCTCATAAGGCTTGTTTTAACAGTGTTTGCTCCCGTCGCCCTCTTGATGCCCTACGAGACTATCGACGAGGCTATTGCCATTGCTAATGGCACCAAGTTTGGGCTTGGTGCGAGCGTCTTTGGCCCGGATCAGTATTTGTGCATGGACGTCGCGAAACGGCTACAATGCGGTATGGTATCCATCAACGATTTTGGTGTCACATACGTACGTCTTCCTTCACGAAATTTGTACGACAGGGACTGACTCAAGTGTTGCTTGTCTATACAGTTGAAGTACGTCAGAGTCTTGATAGTACAGAATGTGGGCAAGTACTGAGACGATTGCTTATATAGCCAAGACCTTCCTTTCGGTGGTTTCAAGGCCAGCGGTTACGGACGATTCGGTGGGAGCTCTTCACATGCGGTGTCTATCTTTCAATAATTGACACGTTAAGGTTAACAGGTGGGCCAGAGGGACTTCGTGCTCTGACAAACGTTAAGGCCATCGTCTCCGATCGCTGGCCATGGCTCATCCAAACGAATATCCCCCGACCTCTGGACTACCCTATCCGATCTCTCTCACAGGGCTGGTGCGTGTTCACATTTGCTGCATATCTTATCGGATTCTTCTTTGCCAATGTTGACTTCTCATCGACTTGGCAGGGACTTCGTGAGCGGGCTCATAGCGCTGTTCTACGCAGATGGTTGGCGCGGTCGTATCGACGGTCTGAACCAGCTGATGAATAATCGGTAGTGTGATTGCACGTTCGAACAAGGTTGCCGTACCATCACGGGAGTCTGTATAGTGCTTCTTCATTTGCGATACCTTCTTCATCCCTCCCTCTCACTTTCTCCTGCCATTTACTTTGCTGGATCTATACGGATATATTTTCCTTCTACGCTTGCTGACCGTGCTTTCATTGCATCTGCGATGAGTAATATTTTTGGAACTTGGTGCGCAAGCTGGACGATTTTATCTCACACATCGCACAAGATGCATGTCGGGACAAACGTGATGCTGGTGCCTGTGCGTCGATCAGCTGTCTATTCTCAACTCTCTTTGAAACGGCTGCAATCTAGGTCCTTACCTGAGCCTCTTGCTACTGCTTCCAGTCGTACATACACTATTTTGACAATCCATCTGGAGAAACACGCTCTTATGAGCGGTGCTTCGAGTCGCCGAAGGGAGCAGGATTGTCGTCGACCACATGCGCGACGATGGGATCTGGTCCGGAATGGAAGTAAGTTCCTGCACGACGCTCTCCCAACCTCCATGATTCCATACACGATTACATGTGCCTCAGGAGCTCCTTTTGTACCTTTCGTACTACAGCACTCGTTCGCGCCTGCACCACATGAGTTGACCAGAAACCTTGTGGCTCGCCGGTCTTGGCTGCCAATCGTTATCTCGCACATGGGTCCTTCTGTACCGCCCTTTCGTCGATGTTCCCCGGACGAGCGCGTTGTGCTGTTTGCATGAGAAGGTTGATGCGAATAGAAGCAGGGCTTTCCGGTCACCGATATATATAGGAAGGAAGAGGCACTGGGAACGAGTCCTGTTCCCTGCACCTCGGAGGACAGTAGTTCATCTCGTCGGTCGACCTCACATCTACTGACCGTACCAGACTTTGTTCATGATGCTTGGTGCTTCTGTGCTTCTTACGACCTTGGGACTCGCTGGTTCTGTTTTGGTCGACGCGAGGGCTACGATCAGGAATGCTAGTGATATTTCTAGTCTGGATGCGAGCCTGTTCAAACGCATAAGCAGCACTTGTTCGGGTACTAGTTTGCAGACTTCGTGCCATAATACGACAAAGCAGACGAATAGTTGTTGCTTCGAATCGCCCGGAGTGAGTACTTATTCGGTGACTTGTTTCCTTGTGAATCGCTCTGATGGTTCGTTTTCTAGGGATTGTTGCTTCAGACACAAGTGAGTTCGGTTGCGAGCTGGTCTTGAGGTGTAGGAGCTTACTTTGACCGATTAAGTTTTGGGATACCGACCCTTCTACTGGCCCATCCGATAGTTGGACTATCCACGGTACGTCCTGTGCATTTTGTGGTATGCATGCTCCTGTTTTGACTGTACACCACTAGGTTTGTGGCCCGATAAGTCCGTAACTCTTTGTCAAGAGTTTCTGCAGTATGATCATGCCTTTTCTTTAGCTGTGATGGGACGTTCGAGGAGAACTGCGACTCCAGTCGTGATTATACCGGTATCTCTACTTTGCTCACGAACCAGGGCGCAAGCGACACCCTCAGCTTCATGGAAGAGGTGCGCCACTCCCAGCCGCTCAGTGCCGTCCCGTCTTCTTACGACTCCTGGTCTCGTTTTGCGTTAGTTCTGGGTCGACATCAACGGTGAAAACGAGCAGTTCTGGGAGGTGGGCCATTTCCTCTTTGTATCTTTGTGATGCCATGTTTATCGTGATTCGCAGCATGAATGGGCTACCCATGGAACGTGTTACAGTACCCTCGAGACCTCTTGTCTCCCGTCCGGAAGTGCCAAAGGAGCCGAGGTAAGTATCTGCCTACCTCTCCGTTCAAGGCTGATGTAGCTGACAAGTTGAAATAGGCTGTAGCCTTCTTCGAAACAGTCGTTGCTTTATTCAAGGTCGGATTGGCCATTCAGACCAAACTGGGCGGTGTAATATTAAAACCCTTTGATACAGACTTTGCCTACCTATGACTGGCTTGCAGCTGCCGGAATCACGCCCAGCAACACTGCGACCCATACCTTGTCTTCGTTGACCTCTGCGCTGAAGTCTGCCTCTGGAGTGCGTTTCATAAGTCCGTTTCCACTGCACCCGTTGATCTGAACCTTCTGCCCCATAGGTAACACCGGCTTTGGAATGCGATGGCAGTACTCTCAATGCGATTGAATGGTTTTTCAACTTGAAAGGATCTGTCATTGATGGGACCTTCGTTCCCATTGGTAGGCCGCCATGAGCTTTTCCGGACTTCTAGTGTTGACTGGCCTTTTTTCAAGACGCTATTGAGTCTGGCAGCTGCCCATCCAGTGGGATCAAGTACCCCCTCAAGTCAGGTTCTCCGGTCAGTGTTATATAGCTAACCACGGTTCATGCCCTTGAGCTAACATGCGTCATGCAGACGAGTACTACGACCTCGGGTGGCTCATCCCCCACCGCAGTGAGTCAACTACCTCCCTTTCTCCCTTGACTGGACGGGCGACTCACGATTATTTACCAACCAGACCGGCCTTCCCTCAAAAGCCACCCTCAGCGCGCTCAACTCTTCAGGCTCCAAAATCGGTGGGATCCTCTCTGGAGGAACCCTCAGTTCCCAAACGCCCGGAACGATGACCATCTCCGGGTCGACCTCTAGCTTTACCATGAAGTCTTCCAAGGGACTCTGCGCCGTTCAGAGTGGCGAGTTGACTTGTGCGAGCAGCATCTCCACGGGGACGTCGTTTTCGGCTGTAAGTTCAACTCTCTCAGTTTACATCGATGTCAGTCAGTGCTGACGATCGGATACTTCAGGTCACGTCTGGATCGAACTTACTCCTCGCAGTTGGTGGATCGACTGCGTTCTCGAGTAGTGCAGTTCCCAGTGGTGATACGCAGGAGACTGTCTTCACAGGAAGCTCAGAGTCTCAGAAGTTCACATTGGCTTTGGTGTCTACCTGATATCTGGTTTGGGATAATAGTGGAACGAAAAGGACATATCTTTGTGCGTGGGATACTGGAAGATGACAGAATGTCGTCGAAGTGGCAAGAACGAGTGCTCATTTGAATTGCTCAATATTTGATCCTGACCCGATAGCGCGCATCGACGTTCAACGTTCAACTTTCAACGAAGGACCACGCAATGCCTCCTGCTGTTGATCACCCTTCGCTTCACTTGCGACTGCTGCCCCAAACATTCTATGTGATCCAGCAAAACACTAAAGATCCTATCTCTGAATCCTTACTCGCATTATTGACCGGAAGCAAATCCGGAAGCAAATTCTTGTCCATCACTCGTACCGATGAGGAAATCTCTATTATAGGACAGTGCGAAGATACTGAAGAATACAAGGGTGACTGGAAATGTATCAAGATAGCAGGACCTATGGACCTCGGTAGACCCTCGCCTTCCTGCGGCTGTAAATGCAGAGATTGACGCGGATCATAACCGACACCATTAGGTCTGACTGGAATAATGTGCGACTTCACCACACCGCTCAAGAAAGCAGAGATACCTATTTTTGCGATGTCGACATGGTGAGCGAGCATCGTTACAAGTCCTGCTTAGTCTGGCCTGTCAGCTGACGCTTTGATTTGGTAGGAACACGGACTACGTCTTGATCCCGAAGGCGAAGGCAGATTCTGCCGTGCAAGTGTTGCAGGAAGATGGGTGGAAGTTTACAAGTGATTGAAGGCGGTTATCGTGGCGTCCATCAGATTACTGTGCGATGTGGCACCCTGCCTGTTTGAAAACCTCTTACATCGTCCTGCGACTCTCTTCTTGGTAAGAGGTTAGTTCGACACAGTGTCGTTGGACTGCCACGGACTCGGACCATCTCACCACACTCAAGGATAGTGTCCAGAAAACCCTGTCTACGGAGGACCATGGGGCTGAACAGATATATTGCTCGTATGAGGTAAAGAATACAATGTCCACTGAACATACCGGCAAGGGTCGCAGAATTGAGGCAGGTAGGCAAATCTTACAAAACTGAGCCCACTGAGGGAGCTTACGAGGACCGGAAACAATTCCTTGCTCAGTTGAGTAGTGATGACATGCCATGATACCATTCTGCTCAGAGACGACGACATGCAACGAAGCACTGTTTCAAGTGATTCATAGTCCTCAAGAGCGACGGCCGCAAATGATTTCTAGATAGAAACGAGCGACACGTCAGCCTGGTGAATAGACTATGGGGAAAGAGTGCGTTTAGATAGACGATCTTCAGGAAAACCCGAGTTGTGATCTCACAGCGCGTGAAGCAGTCGTATAATAGGGAACTCAAGTGTTCATCACAAGAAAACCATAGCATTGTAGAGGATTGCAAGGGCTCAGAGTACTCACCACTCGAGGTTGTTGCTGGATGATGGACAAGAAAGACGCAAATTACAAATCGAGACAGGACGGCGCTTTATAATATGGGTGACGTCACGCTGGGACCAAGCGGAACAGGGATTGCCACCGCTCGGCATTCGGGCGCCACAACTACCCTTCGTCCACAACACTCACGACACTCATCCCTGTCCTCACCCTACACAATCACTACCTGCGCGAAGGCTCCAGATTATATACCACAGCATCGACTTCAAATTGTCATGTCTTCACGGGAACCAATGTGGTACTGCCACGAAGTCAGTCAGCCTGCGTGCTTCTGCAATGTATTCAATCTGATTATCTGTGCTGTAGTGTCGAGCAGAAATGAGGCCCCTTATGGTCAGTATCCAACATATCCCATCACGGCCATCTGTGCTTACCATTGAACTTGTCTGGATTAATAGGTCCCAGATCCCCATTGTGCTTCATGCAATGGTACATTCGTCGAGAAGGTCTGCTCTTGACAACCTTGTCAAGCGATCTCTTTGATTGATGATTACTGTGTTAGATTGAAGGAGAGGCAGATGACCCTCGCGTTTTTGCTGACTCTGGTCCTTCTGGAATAGAGAATCTCTTCGGTGAGTCCCATGGTTGCATCACTAATGACATTATACCGATCATAACACTCCAATAGGGAGCCTTGCTCAGCTCATAGGTGGTGGCCGAGCTTCGCGAACACAATCTACGCCTAGATTAAACCCAACAGTACCTCTTGCTGCCCAAGTATGCTCATTTTCAGCTTCTATCAACTTTTGTACAAGACTGATATCTGCTGATATTAGGCTGACGGCGGCAGATCCTTTACCACAACTAGCCTTACTGGCACACGAACCTTTGTATTCGGTGGTCCATCAACTCTTGAAGGCGGGGGCCGCACATTGAGAGTCAACCGACGTGATTCGTGCGTTCGCGCTCAAATTATTTCACCATAGGCTTGACTGATCTTGTTTGTGCTAGCGACGACAACACGCCGTCGATTGCTGGCCCTCTGATGGCTCAATATTTGATGACTCTGCTAGCATCGAGAGGAATGGCTGGACAAGCTGATCTATTCGGCCCCGCCGGTCTCAATTTCATGATGGGTGGAGGCGTAGGCGCAGAGAATGGGCGATGGGGAGACTATGTATTCAACCAGGAGGGTATGTCCAAGCGTTAATGGTCAAATATATGAACGCCTCACCTTCACTCTCAGCTTTGGATGAAATCATCTCACAGATTATGGAGAACTCCAATTCATCCCATCCCGTTCCTGCTACCGAGGAAGTTATGGAGAAACTGGACCGCTCAGTCCTCGAAGAGGGATGTACGTCGACTTGCTTTACTATACATTGGACTATCACTGATTGGTTCCGCTTGCAGCCCCACTCTTAGAACGTGACTGTGCTGTGTGTAAAGATCAATTCTCACTCACTACTGAGGATCCCGAGGAGCAGGTCGTCGTCACCCTACCTTGTCATCACCCGTTCCATGAAGGATGTATCACTCCCTGGCTCAAATCCAGCGCCACGTGTCCCGTCTGCCGGTTCGTCTTCCGTTTAGCACATGTTAATAAGATCCTTTGTTGACCTACACACCGACTGTAGACATCAGCTTGTACCACAACCAGAGCATCATTCGAATGGCCCTCGTCCGCCTAATGATGGTCCTGGGTCGCCCCATGGACGCACCGGTTCCGGAAGTTCTCCCGCTAACGGCAGTGCTGGTGGTAGTGGCGCCGGTGGTGGAGGTGTCTTAAGCAGCTTTTTCAATATGGTCAGCGGTGGTAGCACTGGGAACAGCAGCGGTAGCGGCTCTTCGCATCCATCCTCCTCGCACTCCAACGAGCAACCGAGAGATCCTCCTGGAGGGTGGCGAGACTGAGTTTGAGAGTATTGTCGAGTAACTGCAGACAGGAATATCTAAAGGGAAGTCATGGGAGCAGTTGCTCGGTATTCTGTAGCTTCTTTCCGTTGGATGTATAATCTGGTATGAATTGGAGGTCAGTACTCTATCTTTCACGTAGACTGGGCATGCCCCCCTCGATTTTTTTCTTCATCTCCGTTGCAATATTTTCTTTTGAGGCATAATTCTCTTCTGTTCTTTGTTGTACTAGCTTTCGATCTTAACATTATTTGACGAGGAAGGACATTCGTTCGACTTGCAGGCCCTCTTGAGTTCGTGATGCAAGACAGTATAATTCATAGCTTTCGATGTATAACGTGAAGCCTCGACATGATATACACGAGATCCACTACTGCCCCTACGCGACCTTGTTCCCTCAAATACCGTCTCAGGACAACTAATTGGTCGTTGCGGTCGTGAACGGCGTGGTAGCGAATCCAACACGCCTGCAGAAAAAAGCCGTGGTCAGCAACTCATGCATAGACTGCCATGGAGAGATACGCATATAAACTGACCTGTTCGTAGTGTCGAAAACGCTGTAGAACCTCTCAAGGAAGGTCATGCCATTGATAAAGTCGAGACCCTAAAAGATTGGTTGCGAACGTCAGGTAGCGTTCATTCACGCGAGAAGGAATCATGAAACTTACGGCTCCGGTGCGAGTGCCAATATTTCCGACAATCAAGTAGACGTTGTTGGCCGTGCCGCCGATGGCGCTATGAGATTGGGGCATGATTTTAGACTTCCTTATTCCAGGCGGAGGTCATAGCCATCACTGTACCTATTGAGAGCACGAGGCCAGATCTGAGCGTTCGGAGTGAGGCCGAAGGTTGCGCCGTTGATGCGGAAGTTCAACGTCTGGAGGTTCGCGAACTGGGCGGTTGTAAGACGGAGTAGACCGGTGTTGGCGTCCATGACGGCGCCTGTGGCAGCCTGGTAGCGGGCGAAAGCATCGCTGTAGATTAATCAGGGTACATCCATGGATAGTTCTACAGCGGTTGAGACGAACCTGGCGATGAGGACGAGGGTGGTACCAGTGTCTGTGGATTAAGCGAGTGTCAGCTTGTAGAGCTCGGTGAAGGACGCAATAGAATGACGACTCACCAACAATGCCGGCGGTCGTACTCAGGATAGAGGTACCAGCCGTTCCGTAGGTAATCGACTGGCTAATGCCCCAAAATTCGCTGGCAGGGGATGTGGTGGTAAGTGGCCTAGAAAAAAGATGTCAATACAACTATTTATCCACAATGTGAAGTTGCGGACGTACGCAAATGTGATAGAGCCAGTGAATTTGGACGAGTCAGTCCCGCCGAACGTTAATTCACCGTTCACGGAAGAAAGACTCGTCGTGGGCTCGAAAGACACAGACACCTCGCGAGCAGAAATCGTGCCTATGTAGTATGAGCGCATTGGCCCCCACATTTAGCTCTCCTTCATATCTGCTGAATAGACAGACGAGTATAGAGATACCTTGAGTAAAGAGATTATCTGTGACAGTAGGGATCGTGTCACGGGTGTCTGGACTGAGAGTACCTAAGAAAGCAGGTGTGCTATTCTGAGCGAGGTACGGTGTGCGTGATGGTGGTTGTACATACCGACGGTCAGGTCGACTGGTCCAATACCGAGGATACCATCCACGCCATCGAATCCAGTGGAGCGAGTTGCAGTGCCGATGGACTGCCTGGTAATCGTTAATCCAGTTCTGCACGAGCCAAAAGGAATCAGTCTTCGAGGAAGGACGTCAAGGAGACAAGAACTCGACGTACCCAAGGCTGACCTGGTCAGTGAACTCAGTTCCGGAAAATGAACCACCTGTAGATCGCTTTAAGAACACAATAGAATGGAGAGGGTAGGAGTAACTTACTGCCGTAAGTTACGGCCACCCGGTCACTAGTCTGAGTACTGGTGCTCGTCCTGACGTATGCTCTTCCCGCGCCAACCCAGGTGTTGGAGCTTCCGGTGTCCACGATGAGGCTGTCTGTTGATCAAGTAAATCTTGAGAGGGTGGTCCAAACTGAGGGCGTGACGACGTACAGGTGGTCGCCGGACTTCCCACTCCAACGTTGACGACGTAGGAGACGGCCTGGTTCTCAGCGGGCACACTGACCACAGCATCGGAGCTTAGGCCATTAATCTTCGCGTTAGCCCTGTCCACAAGACTTTTGGCTCGAGCCTGGTCATGTTGGACGAGGTGCTGCCTAGATCATAACCACGCAGTGTCAGAACATGTGAGAAATAGAAAGAAGTGGTGGAAAACTTGCGGAGAAGTGATGTTCACGACCTTCGCGAAAGGAAGAGTGATTGGTGAGTCGCGAATGAGCGCTGTGGGAGATGCAACAGCGCCTAGAGCCAGCAGAAGAGCAGCGGTGAGCGATGCGGTAGGGAACATGTCTGCACGAGACTGGGCGGAAGAATCGAGGCTCGATGCTTGGCTGAGGGGACGACTCTTCCGCTCCAGCACAATTTATAGCAGAAGTATGCGAAGGCCCAGGAACTATGTGTCTGTCTTGGCTTTGAAGGTCTCAGGAGCCCCCATGCGATGCATGGTCATACTTGGAGAGTCGATCCCATCCCGTTTTCTTGTGTCTGGGAGGTATGAAATCAGCTTGTGAAAAAAGGAGAGGGCGGCTGACGAACCACATTGCGGATCTCTATTATAACTTGATATGTTGACTTTTGATATCGATATTACGAGTATGGCCCTCATACGACGCATCTTACTTGCTGCTGGACCAATTCGACCCACGGTCAAGATGTATCGACCCACCGATTTGGCTCCATGTAGTTCCAACTCCTTAGTCGTGCGTAAAGCACTAGAAGACACACATGGTTTCAGAGGGTACAAGGAAATTACTCATGGAGGCCACGCGATTATGAACCGTGTCAGACCTGAAGGTCCAAAAGCGTGGAACTATTGCACCGATGTGAGAACAATGCCATTGGCAAAGCCGAGACATTCTGGCGGCGAGGCATCGATGAAAGATACGCCAATCACGTTTAAGCTACAGTCCGACGCCATATCTGGCTCTAACGAGTCGCAAACGAAGTTCCATTGTCTTCCCTGAGCCTCAAGCGGAATTGCTGTCGAACATGGACACACGGTCCGTACGATAACCTTGGGTTGTGAAAAGAGTGTGCTGCCCATATCCAAAAAGAAAAGATGTTTGAACCGTAGAAGAAACCTTCATCCTAGCACTTTCTATCAGAGCCATAAGGGGTATCAGATCGTCAACCTGCGTTTAATTCGTGGTGGCGGTCGTGTAGGACGTGGTCGCAAACCTAGAAGACAAAATAGTCTTGAGTTGATGGGGGTGACGGATGGGAACGCGAGAGACGTACCCAACACGCGAATTCGTAGTGTCGAACACGCTGTAGAATCTCTCGAGGAAGACCAGACCGTCAATGAAGTCCAAGCCCTAAGGGGACCGAATCAGTCTTGATGGATGCCTGAAAGAACGGTACGTCTTTACCTCGCCAGAGTTGGTACCAATATCGGAAACAACCAGGTAGATTTTGGAAGAGGATCCTCCGATGTATCTGCCGAAATGTTATTGAACAGTTCGCAAAGGATATGTGTTCTCCAAAGTCTTACGTGTTGAGAGACCTCGGCCAGATCTGGGCGTTGGCAGTGAGCCCAAAGGTGGTACCACCGATCACCAAGTCGAGGGTCTGCAAGGAGCTGTACTGGGATGACGAAATCGAGTAGAGACCAGTGCTAGAATCGTACGTAGCGCCAGTGGCGCTGACGTATTGCTTGAAGGCATCTGAAGCGATATAAAGGAGGGTAGTACCAGTGTCCACAATTCCGGCCGTGCTGGACAGAATTGTAGTGCTACCGTCTATCGCTCACTGTCAGCGAGTCAGTACCCACAGGGACGGAGAAAATACGGACAAGTGATCGACTGGTCGATGCCCCAATAATACTCGGCCGGGGACGTCGTAGTCACCGAGCTAAGAGAAGCTACTGAGACCTTCGTACTAACAACACGTAGAAAATATACGCACGTATATGTGATATCGCCAGTGTATTTGGTGCTGTCTGTTCCACCAAAGGTGAGCTCCCCGTTGGTCGAACTCTCAGATGTCGTCGGCTGAAAATACACAGAGAGGATCTTGTCCGGGATAGTTCCCTGAAAGAAGGACCGCGGAAGATTAAGCACCGACAGAGACGATACGTTGATAACCATTAGCCAAGACGACGAACCTGAGTGTAAAGGTTATCGACGACAGTAGGGATCGTGGACGATGTGTCAGGAGATAAGGTACCTAAAGGCGAACAATCAGTCTGACATGCCCATGGATCGCGAAGACGCTTGAAGTACCCTCGGTAAGAGCGTCGGGACCAATGCCGAGAATGCCATCGTAACCAGAGAATCCACTGGATTTGCTCGCCACACCGATACTTTGATTCGTGATCACGAGGGAAGAGCTCAATGTGACAGTGTCGGTGTACTCCGTGCCTCCATAGCAAACAAACATGTCAGCCAGGTCATACATGCGTAGGTTCTGAGAGGGGCTCTCACCAGAGAAACTGCCGGATCCATAAGTCACAGACTAAATCAAGAGCAAAAAAAATTGATCATGCGCAGACGGTATGTTTTGATAGGGAATAACATACCACAGTGTCAGAGGTCTTCGTAGACGTGGAGGTGGCAGTGTAGGAAGTACCCGCGCCCACCCAAGTGTTAGAGCTGCCAGTGTCCACGATAAGATCATAGTATGTGGCCGGAGAGCCTAGGAACAAGCAGTCGGTTTGTCAGTTACTCTCGGCCTTCCATGGATGGACATTCTGTGTACCCACCGACACCAACAGAGACTGTGTATGTGACAAGTTGGTTAGTGGCATCGATAGATGAAGATGTAGCGTCGGCATAGAGGGTCGATCCAGTGCGCCTAGCCTCAGCATTCGCAAAGAGCTGCTTAATGCGGGCTTGATCCTGCTTAACGATATCCGCCGTCCCGGTCGTATTGATGTGCTTCGCAAAGGGCAGAGTCACGAGCGGTTCACGCACTGTGACCGGAGTCGCCGCAACGGCCAGAGCGAGCACGAGAAGGGAGGTGAGAGCAGTGACAGGGAACATCGTGAGCTGGAGCGGCAGAAGAACGTCAACGAGGAGCAGACCAGAGACCACAATGATCTATGAAGGGGTATGGGCCCTATTTATGCCCCAGCAACGGGGGATGAAGGAAAAGCAGAAGAAGCACTCCTGCGGTGCCGTTCTCTGCTCTCCGATCCCGAGGCTCATGCGGGCGAGCGGACGTTGTGGAATAGGCTAACCTGAGGCTAACCATGTGTGACTATAACGCTAGGGAGCTCCCTCACGTGAGCGAGATCGAATACCTGCTAGCGGTCAACTAAGTAGCCATTGTGATGACAGAAAGCATTGAAATGAAGGGATGTCAGGATCTAGTAGCGATCTTGGCGCGGCCGAGGAAGACAGAGATAAGGGCTAGGCAGCAATTAGAAGTGAAGACAACTACATACCCATGGACCTTCTTATCGGGTTTAGGATTAAGCAATCCTTTGTGGCCTAAAGTAGCGCGTTGAAAGCTCATTCCGTCACGTCCAACTTCCACGACGTGTATCTGGCTATGACGAGGAAAGACGGGCATTATGAAGAAATAAATCAATTACCCTTCCCCGGACACTTGCCGAATATAGTTTCCATCTAACGCGCATGAATATTTGGCGCAAGCTTTGGTTACTTCTCCGCAGTTGCATCGTTCTGTAAATCAAATGTCCGTGAGCGAAGACGATCCGAGGGTGGATAGGGGTGAACCTATCACGACGAGCATATGGATGATACGAAGATCGTCTTCACTGTCGCAGCTTGCTGTGAGATGTATTTTGGCGTAATACTTGCGAAGTAGGACGTGATTCAATGCGCCATACGCAGTGCCTATCGTGACTAGAGTATATCGATATCACGTTGAATGCATCCCGGAAGGTGACGGCGCACATCATACGTGCAATCATGTCGCCAACAGGCATGGTAGATGGTCTTTGGCGGGGATTTTACCCTTTCAGCAAAATTGGGTCAATTCACTAAGATTCAAAGGGCTCTGAGCGATGACCGGGTGAGAAGATATTGCTTGTGAAGGAGTATTGTGAAGCGCACTAATACGGAGCAGCCATAGTGGTTGACACCGTAAGAACCCGTTTATAGAGGCATGCATATACGTATAATGCTGATCGTTATTTCTAAGCATAGTGTCCGATCTTCCCGCTGCCTCCTTCGAACAAAACAGTGCGATATGAGTGTTATTTCCGCCATAAAAAAGGATGGTACGCACCGTAGGATAACAGAGCGCGAGTGGAAGGAGTACCATGATCTCGGCCGCTCACCGTTGACTTTATTGGTGCCCAAGCAGTGGGGAAAATGACAAAAATAGAGTTACAATTGATATCTGTCGTCGTCCCTCATGCTCAGAGCAACAAAGAGAAACGAGAAACAAGTAATGACTGGGCCACATTCTGCTTTGCCGGCACAGAAGATGACCCCGTACACGACGAAAGATCGCAGTTTACCAAGGGAAACGGAGGTCATCGCTCCGCAAGCCACCCAGACGCCACAGTATCTCCATTCGAGGTGTGTTAGACCGCTCGAGAACAAGCCTCTAGCTCATAGCATCTCCGCAGTAGGCCTCACGGCTACATAGTTCGCTTGGATTGATGACTGCACAGTTAACAATATAGGACCATGGTTTGTGATTCCACAGGTCTACGTCTTCAGACAATCTGGCCCACATGCTCTCGTACCAGACGAACAGCTTCTTCGGCAGCTCCCCACGACTGCTGGTAACCCGCAGCACTATGGCAAGATGATATCAGATAGCGCCAAATATGAGGCAAAAAAAGTGATGTTACCCAAATCCGTAGGCGTGAACGACCACCAGCTTCCTCTCCTGTTCGTCGTCCGACTCATTCGGCTTTGGCCTCAACATTCCCGTGGTTGGAAACTGCACGACCTGCGCTTCCACTCGCGGACCGCCTTCACGGGCGGGCCGCAAGCCAACGTTATGACTGAGGATCCTCGCCTCGGGAGCTGCTAAGGCAGGCACCAGGGCCTTTGCACGGGCAAAGATACCTTCGGCGGTGGGAATGTCCAGAGAGGTATCCCAATTGTTGGGTTGGAAGGTTCCTCCAACGAGCACCATGCCAGGTGGGAAAGGCCGAGGAATCACGTAAGTCGATTCACCGTTCTTGGATTGAACTGCAAGATATCAGCCATCAACATGTCAGAGCGAGAAGAAATACTGGGTACTTTATCAAAAGTGACGAACGAGGGACGTATGCAACAAATTCCTGCGCGCCCGGAGCATGCAGAATGATTGTCTGGCCTCGTATGGGGTGCACCTTCGTGTCTTCTACGCCTATCAGTGACCGAGCACCTGCAAGTTGCGTTTGCACGAGGTAAGTATAAAGTTTGAGGAGTGGTAGCTGAGATAGAGCAGAGATATACCTAGGCCTGTGGCATTTACGATGATGCCGCCAGTTGGGGTCATAGCGGCCGCCTGATCAAGGCTGACGAGTCTCTCTTTGACGAACCGGACACCTCGCTTCAAGAGTTCTGACTTGAGCCAGGGAAGGTAAACACCTGGATTGATGGAAATGGTGTCAAAGCCCAAGCCGCTCTTGACATGCGGCGGACAGTCCTTCAGACTCTCCGATGAGAGCACATGAAACTGCCAGACACTCTCATCAGATAATGGGGCGAGGTTGATCAGGAGAAGGACGTACGTCGCGCACGATGTTTTTCCACCACGGATTGCTGTCGACCGTTTCCGCTTCGAAGTACACCTTGGACGGAGATTTCTACGACCATGTCAGAAGGCCAGACGAAGTCCTAAAACGTGCAGGACAAGAACTCGCACCAGGACCAATCCAGTAGGGATCATGCTCCAAAACTTCTCGCTATTCATTCCGTCAATTTCTTAGTAGAGATGTCCAATATCTTCGGGGTCTTTGGGTGAAACTCACAAAGCTATCTTCTCCCATCTTATGATAATCCTCAGCCCAGTCTCATTAATTCGTATGTGCATCAATATACGTACCTGTACAATCGCTCATCGTAGTTCATAGGAGACCAGTTCGCGCCCTGCAGTAAGTCATAAGTCATCTTGAATGCGTCGGATCAGCGTCGACATGATTTCATACCGCCCAAGGGCTCGCAAAAGCCTGGCTCGTCTGATCCTCCGGCATATCTCTGGCCACGATGGTGACATTGAAGTCGCTCGTATTGTCCGTCAGAAGATATGCGATTGTGAGGCCGGCGACTCCGGCACCAATGATCGTGAGGTCTACGGGCGAGGCTGGAGAGGCCATAATAAAACCTGCACCGATTGAGAGTGAGATGTGTGGTAGATGAAGAGGTCGTACACAACGCACTTCAAAACGATATGTATAGGAGATAACGGTTCTTTCGACGGATGCCGAGTCTCAAGGGGCCTTATGCGTGAGGCCAATGTAACTGAGGATCTGTAACTGAGACACTTACAGGTTGAAGGGGTGCAGTAGAAGATCGTAAGTCCCGATGAAAGTTTGTGCACCTCGTAGGTGGTCTTGATCCCTCAAAGGCCCCGGCGCTCAGCGTTCTGCTCAATGTCGACGTGACTTGAGAGTATTCCGTATCGGTTTGTAGTCCTGGCCAGACCACGACTAGGCTCGACAGGTCAGAATCGGCGCGCAAAACCGATGTCGTCGAGATACAGAGCTATTCTGAGCGAAGGAATGAATATCTCCATGATCCATGATATGAACTTGACCGTGACTCGAGTCCCGAGCAGTGGATGATGATGAAGCGATGACAACCAACTTACGTAAGGATGCATATGATAAGATTAGGAATCTTATCTTGTCGTGTGTTTCGACACAGGGCTGACGGCCACAGCCCAACCTGAGGGCCATTTTTAATTTTTGCTATTCTCGCAATATTCTCGCATACCGCCGTGTATAAGTATACCAACACTCATTGTCTCACAGGTCGAGGGATCTTCATTACAGTGAACTGTCAGGATCTTTGACAGAAGGAACGCCCTTCCCGATCAAGGGGAGCTGAGATCCTGAATAAATGACCGGAAGTCGATTTTTTTTGTAAGGGAGGCGAGGGGTGAACTAACTAACTATATTAATATTTAAAGCATTTAAATATTATTTTTGAGCCAATCAGAATAATATCCGCTCTCTATTTCTTTTTGACAATGAAGCACGAGTGGTGCATGTTTATTCTATCATGCAACTGCACTTGGATTAGGCTAGGTTATGTTCGCCGTTGACGTCGATCTTCCCCTGCCCTAGCCTCTGAGCCCAAGCCTTGTGCTTCAGTGTTTCCATGATGTATGACTGCTCAAGCACACTCAATTTTTGCTTGATTCACCAGTCTGAGTGCAGTCTGAGCTTTGCGCAAGACTGTCTAATTCTTAATTATTTCAGTCTATTTTTGACCCAGACATCATCCTTGTGCCCTCAAAATGCTTCTATAGCAGTCCCATAAGCAACAGGACATGATACCTACATCACCCCCAGTGTAAAGTATTATTTTGGCTATTTTTCGGGATTTTCTGGGTGAGGTCCAAAATTTTTTTAAGAGGCCCGACGACCTAACTAACTAACTAAGTCCCGGTTATTCATTATATTTGTCAGCTCCCCTTGTTCCCGATGCTCGAGAAGCTCAAGACTCAGACGGTGTAGCCCTGGTCACAACAACCGGTCGGGGTCAGTATGTATAAATCTGTTATAACTGTGAAAATCAGTTTCAAAGAAAGAAGACTAACGCCATTGATCCTGATATTCTGTCCGTTTATCCAAGATGATCCATCACTAGCTAAAAACGCCACGAGAGGCGCCACCTCTTCCGGGAGCCCTATCCTCTTTTGTGGATGTAATTCCTCAAAGAACTTGATCTGCTGTTCTGTCTTCCCATTTCTAAACATATCCGTGTCAATGGGGCCAGGAGATATGGTGTTGACGGTGATGCCTTTAGGACCGAGTTCCTTGGCGAGGACACGGTTGAGTTGTTCGATCGCACCCTTGGTGGCGACGTAGAGTAGGGCAGTAGGAGGAACGAGGGCGAATGAGGTGAGAGTGGAGGAGAAAAGGATGATGCGGCCACCTTCGAGGGCGATACAATTAGCAACCCCGAACAAATAAGTATCAGAGGCGATGTCATGGAGGCGCGGCGTACCGGCTTTCATGTGTGGCGACGCCAGCTGCGTAAGAAATAATGGCCCCTTCACATTGACCTTCATGTGAGCATCAAACTCATCCTCGTTTATTTCCGCCAGAGTCTTGCTACCTGCCATAGCTGAGGCCACCGTAGCATCAGTATTTGGCCATAATCTGCTCTTTTTCAAAGCATATGACATACCTGCATTCAGTACCAAGATATCCAACTTCCCGAAAGCCTTGAGGGTCTGGTCCAATAGCTCCTTTCCACCCTCCATCGTTCCCGCGTCTGCCTTCACAGCGATTGCTTTCCCCTCTGGTATAGCAGAGACGACTTCATCCGCAGCGGCTGCGTTGGACACATAGTTCACCACGACACTTGCCCCGTCAGCTCCGAGTTTCTTTGCGATAGCTGCACCAATGGAGCGAGAGCTTCCGGTGACGATAGCGACTCTACCGGCGAGGGGAAGAATAGGCATTGCGATGGTGTTTGTTGGACTTGAATGGTGAGAGTACCTGTCGAAGATACGTGCTTGAGAACATGGTACTCTATTGGTCACTTAGTTATATTTGGAGGCGAAGTGGTCGTGACTCTTCGAAGAGACGGAGCTTAGCAACGACGGCATCCCGTCTGACGATGTATGTGCTCTCTGCGATATCCATATAATTAGATGATCGCAGCTGCAGGTAGAACCCCTTTGAATCGGGGTCCATGGGGTGTATCCTGGTGTATCCGTTCATCTCACGAATCGTGAGAAGACAACCCTGCGGCAAGTGCATAGGTCGAGTCCATCTTTGCTAGTCACCTTAACGCAGAGATGGAGCGTCGGGGGGGGGGGGGGTATTTTGAGGATCAAGGTGTTAGTGAATCGATGACGTAGCTGAGAAAGGATAGCATGACGGCTTGTTTTTTGTGCCTACAAACTTTACAAAGGTGGTGATCCTGCGGTACGTGCAAAATCCCCACCTACCACTATTCTATTGCTATCTTACCGAAGAATCTTCTCCAGCAGCTCGATGCCATTCCTACTATAGGATGGTCCACACCAGGCTTATCATACCTAAGTGCTATCAGGTTTATATTCCAAGGAAAGTCGATATTGGATGAGGGGTATGACAAGGTACGGCTGCATGGATTTCTCTCCATCCCTACTCTGACATCGATGTACTCGTGTCTGTTTTCAGTACAAGGACTCTCTCTTCAGGATCCCAATGATCGACCATTGGTCAGTTGTGGTCAATAGCCCAAAACTCATCGATGAGCTGCGAAGAGCACCAGATGATCATCTCGACTTCAACGAGGCCGTTGTCCGCGTGTGTAACTTCTGCTCCATTCTTGGCACTGGTACAGTATCTATGTAAGACCTAATGATTTATTGTCGACCGCTTGTAGTCAATCGAAGCTTTTTTTACACTTGGACCTTCCGTAGTCAAAAACGACTATCACACTGGGGTTATCCGCTCCACATTGACACGAAATCTTGTCAAACTCTTTCCAGTCATTCGCGACGAGATCAGCAGTGCTTTTTCCGAGATCATCCCTACAGGGGTCAACGATGGTACGTCCAGCTCCTTATTATAGGCTTTCTTGGCCGCTGATTAATATGATGTTGTGTACAGAGTGGGTAAAGGTACCCGCCATAGACTCGATGCTGAAGATTGTCTGCCGGACCAGCAATCGTATCTTTGTTGGCCCTCAGAAATGTTAGCACAAGCTTTGCGTAGTCACTGCAGACGACAGGCTTCACGCTAATCAGTGTTTTCTAGGTCGCGATCCAGACTGGATCGCTTTAAACTCTCAGTTTACCATCGACGTGATAACCTCGGGCTTGATCATCAATCGATTTCCTGACTTTTTGAAGCCGTAAGTCATCCATCTACTTTCCTCGCGCGTTATGCAAACTTCATGGATTACACGTAGGATCGCAGGACGAATATTCAGCAAGCTTCCATCAAGCCTCAGGCGAGCGGAAGGGCATATTAGGCCTCTGGTCGAAGAACGTCGTCGTATGATGGAGGAGCTGGGAGACAGCTGGACAGACAAGCCTGTAAGTCACACTACCATACTCTCAATGGCACTATGTATATTCATACGCTGATTTTATGCAGAACGACATGCTGATGTGGCTGATGGAAACCGCAGTGGGCGAAGAGAAGACTTTACATTGCCTGGCAGCTAGGCTTTTGACTGTCAACTTCTCAGCTATGCACACTTCGTCTATGGTGAGTGTCGATGTGTCATCATTATGTTGTCACCTTGACACTATCATTCCCACAGAGCTTCACGCAGGCGCTTTATCATCTTGCAGGCAACCCAGAATATATGCAACCCCTTCGAGAAGAGGTCGAGTCGATCGTAGCTACACATGGTTGGTCCAAGGATTCATTGAACAAGATGCGCAAGATCGATAGTTTCATGCGAGAGTCACTGCGTTTCAACGGTCTCGGTCTACGTACGTACTCAGAAATATTCAACTTTTGTGGACATTGGACTTTGTCTCACTGATTTCACCCTGCATAGTGGTCATGTCCCGATACGTTCGCAGGCCTTTCACATTCTCTAATGGTATCACCGTGCCTGCGGGAACTGTTCTCGACTGTCCAGTCTCTGCTATCCACCACGATGAACAATACTTCCCTGACGCCGACGTGTTCTCTCCCTTCCGGTTCTCAGACATGCACGAGGATGAAGGTGAAAGCTTGAAGCACCAGATGGTCTCCACCGCTTTGTCGGATTCCTCTCCATTTTTGAGCTTTGGTCACGGCCGCCACGCATGGTATGTCGCCACATATATATCCGGGGATTTTCTTCTAGCTTATCATCGTATATTTGGGTAGTCCCGGCAGATTTTTTGCGGCCAATGAGCTGAAGGCTATGCTCGCACACATAGTGACCGAATACGACGTCAAGTTCGAGGACGGTGCTCCGCACCCCGAGAACACAATCATCGGGTCTACTGTCGTGCCCGCGAATGCGAATGTTCTATTCAGGAAGAGACAGGGGGCGTGATCCGAGATGTGCTGACTCTTTCTTTATCCCCTTGTACCCGCTAATCCTTGCTGCGAAGTATAATGTTCCTCGGTGGCCTCTAGGCCCGACATTCCATTCTGCATGTGGTATAGGACTCGGTCTAAATGTATGTAAAAGCGCAGAATGCTCATTACAAGGCAGCCACGTTCTCCAGCAACACCTTCACCCTACCGACCACATCATGCGCAACCTGCGCCTCTATGCCGTCCTCTTGCCAAGTTCCCACAACACACATGTCTCCGCCTTTAACACTACAAGCAGAGAACGCAATGACCGGTCCAACGACGTTCGCGCTCTGTGATAACATCATCCTAGAGATCGTCCACCTCTGCTCCTTCGTCTTCAACCCACCATCAACAAGGCCGACATTAGAAACTTCGAATGTCGGATTTCTCTTCTGCCCAAGGTAACCCTGGATTAACCCACGTATGTCCCGCACATAGCGTAACAGCCCCATCGTCGAATTCTGCATCCCCTTCTGTATCTTCATCTCCAATTTGCCTTTGACCTCTCTCGCCACACTCCACACCGCTTTCCAATCCAGCATGACCTCTCCATTCGGGTCGAAGATCACGTCCTTGTTACTAGTGGACCCAGACGGAGGACCGACGGGGATGTCAGAGCGAGCGAAGAGATGTTCAGTAGCCTCGATGAATACACCCATCTGACTATCGTACTCGCCACTGCCGCCGCCCGTTTTGTGACCCATGAACCGTCTCGCATTCATCGCACATACGCACTTCAGCTTCTGGGCCTCAGAGTTTCCGCTAGCTGCCAGGTACTCGAAGAATGCGACGGATATCAAAGTCTCTAACAGCGCCGTCATCGACGTTTGGTTCTTCCTGCACTGTTTTGGGAGCGCGGCGGCCGTGCTCGCGTCGAGAACGAAATGCGACATTTGAGTCTGAACCTTGTATGGGCCTAAACTTGGTCCGCCAATACGCTTCGAGGGGTCCTCTTCGAGAGGCGTGTCGGGAACGAATACGGGACGTCCGGTCCATAAGGAGCGAGGAGGGCGAAAAAATAATGGCCCGAAGATAGCTTTAAGGAGGGTGAGCCACGAGACCGACATGTCGATAATGTTCTCCATGGGAGGAAGGAAAGGGACATCTGTACGGACGTCTACCACGGGACTCGAGGACGTCTCCGCAGGTGCTCCTTCCGCAGAGTTCAAGGCTGCTAGCAAGCTCGAATGGAAGATCTGAGCGCTGCCGCCGTCCGCAACGGAATGATGAATGAAAAGTGCGATGTCCACTCCGGGATTGCTAGGGACAGCCTCCGAGGCGGAATCTGAAGGCGTCTGCGAATTTCGCCAGTGGAGAGGAAGGAGAACGATGAGTCTCCACAACGGCAACTCGCCCAAGCGTTCGAACTGCCTCGAGTGATGTTTCTTCGCGACACGGTCTATTTCCTGCTCGCGATATTCCACATTGTCGGTTGATTCCGGGAGCTCCGAGAACGAAACGACGCTGTCGAGGTCGATGCGGCGTAAACGAACGAATTGCGGCTCCGCAGTTGACTCGCCGACCAAAGACACGCTCAACGAAGGGTGCTGGTCTATAATTTTCCTGAGCGCGGGATATATGTATGCTTTCAGAGCTTCAAGCGAGCTCGCAGGTCCAGGACTAGTATTACCAGCATCTGGCAAAGTGGAGGATGGTGGGTGGTAACGTGCTGTCATTCCTACAGCGTGGTAGAACCCAAGGGAGTGCCGGACAGTGGACCATTTTTCGAGAGGACCTGCGAGACTAAGTCTTAGCTCTACAATCAGGACGAGCTGTGTCGAGACCTACTTGGATATCTGAGGAATATGGAGTCTTCAGCTGCAACTGCATTCGATGACTCAGACATGCTGCTCGTGGACTCCTCGACGTTCAAAGTTGAGCGCTGAGCGTTGACGTGGAATGGGTTCACGTTCCAATGGACCACGGTCAACGACTTCAGCCTCCGATGGGTGCTCTCTCGTAACGTGATTTTATGCCGTATGGAACATCTGAAGGGCTGTGCACGCCACACGAAGTGGCACTCGGGGACATTGACAGGCCAGCCTGAGGATCTGAAGTTTGCACTCAAGTAAGTACAGTACATACAACAGTCAAGTCTCGGTTAAGTCTGTTTTATCTTCGAGCCCAGGTGATCGACGGCAGAACGTGGATTGTCCGATCGTTCTTCATACTAGACGACAAGCGCCGCGTACGCCCGTCCTTGAACTTTCTATCAAGTCATACAGCAGACATAGACTTACATACATTTGACTATCCTACAAAAGGCGCTGTTGGGCGTGATCAACCCCGCGAACGTGATGTAGCAGTCGGCTTGCCAATAGGGGAACTTGGCAAACCCTTCCCAACACCCTGTTGGCGCCCGGGTGTCAAACCTCCGTTACTTGTAATAGTTATACCAACCAATCAAACAAACTTCGTGCACTGACCGACCAGAGGAAGGCCTAGAGTGCGATCATTAGTGTCTCAGTGAAGCCAACAAGTAGGTTTGCAATGAGCACAGACTTACCAAGAATAACATCAAAACGTCCATAAGTTATGGATACAATACGCGTTTGATACTGACCTACGTCGCCAGAGTCAATCAATCCATACGCAAAATCCAAGAAACTGAAGATGGCGCATATCACTCACCAGTCAGTAAACCAATAGACAATTAGGGTTCCTGTACCCTCTACCCAAATACCTAGACGAACAGACGCACACAGTCGATCGCCGGTCCGCATCAACCCCACAGCACGATCTTCTTAAACACCACTCCACCGTCGTCCCTCGTCCTCGCCACAAACACGGCACCAAGCCTCGTCGCTTTAGACATGGACCCATAATAGTAAGCTTCATTAAGAGAAAAGTCGTGGGAGTAGCTGTAATTATGGTGAACGCACCATCGCCGAATCCATCTTCTGGACATTGCGAGACCGCAAGGCCAGCAGCGATAAACGCAGCCTTCACCTGCCCGAAAGTCCCGGTGAACAGAGCTCCTTGACGCCCCCCTTGTCCTCTCTCCTCGTTGTCCCCATCACAATGCGCGTTCGATGCCTCCGGGATCATCGACGATGCGAGAGCGGAGGTTGAGGCTTGACTCGGGGTGTCCATGCCCTCGGCTAGAATAGCGTGCGCGAGCGTCCTTCGCAGGCGACGAAGGATATTGGATGGAGTCTTGCCTTGCGTTTGCACGCCTGTTTCTTCGCAGGTAAGAGAAGGATCTGAGGAGGGTTGAGATTCCTGTTGCAGCGAAGAGTCGGCGAAACGGATGAAGAGGCCATCGGGTTGGGACGAAGGTGTACGTTTGGCGGGACGGTTAGCCCGATCGCCTACATCCGTCGAGACCTTCCCAGTTCTCGATGAACCCGACATCAGATCGAGGTCAGAGAGCATAGCTGGGGGTAGATTTGTCGATGATCCAAAGATCGCCTTTGCAGACGGACGTGCATTACGAGACGAGGATGTCGTCGGTCCAGTGGGGATAGCTTGCCATGTCCCACGCCGCTTGAACCGCGAGCGGGGTCCACTATCTATCCCGATAGGGCGGTCGACATGGACATATCCCTCATCAGACTCCGACTCCGGAATCCCTTGAGAAGTTTTTCGACGGAACAAGCGAAGGGAAGAGCTGCGTTCCGGACGAGGGAGAGGAGGGAGGGCTTTGTCGAGGGTCCGGGGATGGGTGCTAGTGGTGGTATTTGAACGTGTGAGCGTAGGTCGAGAATTGCGAGGGGTATCAGGTTTTCCTGGAGTAAGGTCGGGAAGGAGTGCGGCTGTAGGGGAGTTGATGGGGATTCGAGGCCAGACAGAGACGGCGGAGAACTCGAGAACATAGGGAATGCCATCGGGCGTGAATTTGACCTTGGGATTAGGGGCCATGAGAGCGAGGCTGAAGATGCGAGGGTGTCGAATCTAAATGAATAGTTCGTCTTGTGATGGTGGAAGGTTGTGGACTACCAGGTGTCTCACAAAATACTCAGTGAAAGGAGTAGAGAGAGGAAGAGGACAGAGGAAGCTAGAGGCATGAAGTTGGGTGTGCATAAGACGTCGCTAACAATGCACACAACATGAGGCAACCATGTTGTTTTGGCCTGATAACAGAAGAGAACGATCACCATGCAAGCAAAGGGCGTAAATATAGGAGAAGCAATCCTTCAGGCATCACGCAAGTAGCGTGGTTGCCGCTTATGGCTAGAGAAGAACCTCAGAGTATGGGACGGTGGCAAATTTGTTGTTGCGAGCGCTTTGCAGGCAAGGCAAGGATCACCCCAGATAAGCTCTGTGTATTAGTACTGGCCAACGAGATCGCGCAGGTGCACAGCTTCTAGAAGGCGGGGAACATCCGCAGATACCACAATGAACGTGAGGCGCGCCTACTATGAGTGACTGAAAGGAAGGAGGAATGACTTTGAGGTATGCAACGAAGGAAAGAAAGGGAGGTGTCGGAGTTGAGAAGCTGGTGCCACACATCGTGGCGAACAGGAGGTGGCCATACATTGTATACGTGGTGGAAGGAAGGACTGGTTATTCCTACTTCGTGTCGGGCTATCATCGGGTCGAGTCACAGCTTGGATCGTTCGTAAGTTCCATAAATCACCTACACCGAGCAGTCGTAGAAATACGAGTCATTCTCGCATGAACGATTGAGTTTTGGAGCCACGACGTGTCGCTGAGGAGCATATTCGGGATATCCTGGAGGCAGTGAAAGAAGATATACTCGCGCGATTGTTTGTCGGTGCATATCGACGGACAAGGAAATTGAGAACCTTTGGCGAATCCGGATGAAACTGATACTTTGGGGGAACGTGCGTTCAACAATAGCAATCGGCCGGGCGCATGCAGTCTACGTCCTCTTGGAGTAGAGATTCGGATAGAGCAGGGCAGGTGATTGGTTAAAGTGTGAAGATGCGACCGGATAAGAACCTAAGGGGAGTGGGCGGAGAACGTGATAGTAGATGCCAATAGTGAATGTTGCAAATTAAAGGGCCAGGAGTAAATGGCACTCCACCTGAGCTCAAGCACCGCTTGTTTGTCGTCATTGTCCAGTCGTCCTCGAAGGACGTGAAGGAGCAGGTCACGTAAACATTCATGACCCAATGTGGCCTCCACAAGTTAGGCGTTGAAGCCAAGTATACCGAAAAAGGTCAGCGCAGATGCCTGCGAAGCACAGACGTCATCGAGTAGAAACGGAAGATACAGGGCCAACGGACTACAAACGGAGAAAATGGAATTCAGAGATGCGAGAGATGGGAAGGGGCATAGTCCAGGTGGTCAGTGACTCATATGATTCCGATTTAAGCATCTTGATCCCGACGAGTCTCTGGTCCTGTGAAACGCAGGAAAAGATTTAATCGTGACCTAGTCCGTGGGTTGTTCAAACAACTACAGAGCTAAGCAAGAGTATATGAGACCGACCAAGAAGTGGTTGGAAGGAGATGAAGAAGCTGGTGCGTCGCGCCAGCGAACGTGGCGATAAGTCCGAAAGAGGGAGTGACATCATGTCGGTCGACGCTCAGTGAGCTCCAGATTGAGCGGATAGATGGCCGAAGTGAGCGAGTTCGTCCGTGTTTGTGACCCGGACGAACAGCGGTCGAGAAGAGATCGATGACATGTCATATCCAAGGCACTATTTATTCTCGAGGCCCACCCTTTGTCGCTCTCTCCTCAACCTTGAACGCGTTTGCCCCACAGACATCGTCCACACCTCCCCCGCCTTCACCCCGCCCCCGCATTCTTCATGTCTTCATCCATTGTTCCTAACGCAGCGGCCCCGCCCCCCAATGTGCCCCCTGGCGCCGGCGCAAGATCATCCAAAGTCGCCCTCCATCTTGGACACCTCCCGAAGAAAACGGATATCAAGGGACCTTATCCTCGTACTCCTACTCGGGTAAGTGCTTTGTTTGTTCTTTCTCATCTCTAGCGGGCTCATATTATATACCCGCAGATTGACCCCAATAACCCTCCATGGCCAGCGTACCGCGGTTACCATGAATACTCATTCGCTCACGCAACTATGGGCCATCGCCTGCCCACTATCCTTGGCAAGGCGATCGACGACACTATCCGGACCCTCAACGAGCAACATGACGAGGAGAAGGTCGTCGATCTCGTCAAATGTTGCGAACGTATGGACGTCCTCATGCATGATCTCTCCGGCAACGCGAAGCTTAGACCCATCATCGATGATGGCGAGGCTGACGTCGCTTTATGGAACAAGGAAATCGCAAAATACTTCCAGGGTAACTCCTTCGCCGTTTTGGTGGCTTCACGTGCCCTGCTGATCGTCCGAATGAAGGCAAGGACTTCATGAACGCACCTTGGCTCTTCGCCGAGGCATATAAATATCGTCGCCTGCATGAGGCTTTCAGCGTCAGTAAATATTGGAAAGATTACGATGTCTTCTACCGGCAAAAGGTGAGTTTGCCTTCAAGGCTACCATCGCCGTCCACTGCAATTGGTAACCTTACACTCATCTGTTCTAAAAGTGCGATACGTTCTCCCGCTCCTCTGACGCTGTATTCGAACTCTCCCTCCGCTTCATCGAACCCTTCAAACGTGGTCCTGATGTGTCTGAGGAAGAGCATCTGGAGGCAGAGCGTCTGATGTTCCTTGAGCTTACACAAGGTACCACCTTTTTATCTCCTTGCGTCCTAAATAAGACTCACTATCACAATAGTGTGCTTGTGGGGGAACTCGACCGATCTGTCCCTTCTCATTAACATGTCCGAGGAGCAAATCAAGTCTCTTCAATCGACGGGTGGAGAGCACCTCGCTGCTACTGAAAAGAACATCTTGGGCAACCACATGGGCGAACTCTGGAACACCGTCAAGGATCTCCGGGTCAAGACCGGCGGTAGGATTGACTTCGTCCTCGATAACGCTGGATTCGAACTGTATTGTGATATGGTCTACGGTACGCTCACACAGAGGCCGCCGTGCATTTTCGTGGCTGACAACGCTCTTTGCTCCAGCCGACTTCCTCGTACAGACTGGCCTCGCCAACCAAGTTCGCTTCCACGGGAAGAGGTTTGCGTGGTTCGTGTCCGACGTGACGAAAAAGGACTGGGACTGGCTGCTCAACACGATGGTATACGGTCATCTTTTCCCCAAAGCTTCCGAACAGGAACGCGAATCTCTTCGCAGGTTGGGCGAGCGCTGGAAAGTACGCTCAAAATGCTATCTTTCGTGACGACTGATTGACCATGTGTTCTATAGCAATACGAGCGAGAGGGAAAATGGGTTTACGAGCAACATCCTTTCTGGTGCACCGGATACACCTTCTGGGACCTGCACAGCGAAGCCCCTGATCTTTTCCTTCACCTCTCCCGCTCCGACCTCGTCATCTTCAAGGGTGATCTCAACCACCGCAAGCTCACGTACGACTGTGCCGCGCCTGCGTCGACTCCATTTGACATCGCCATTGGCCCCATGGCCAGCTCCGCTGGTGCACCGAAAGTCTGCTCATTGCGTACCATCAAGAGCGACGTCGTTGTCGGTTTCGAGAACGATGAGATCGCCGAAAAGCTGGACAAGGAAGAGCCCGGCTGGAAAATCAGCGGGAAATACGTGCGTACTTTCTTCGGCTTTGATTTACGCCGCCGATTCTTGTATACTGATGTCGATCCCCTCTTCCTCAGGCTGTCGTGTTGTTGTCAGAAGGTCGTCCTGGCGAGAAGGTCCGCTTCGCGTAGACAGCGCAGCGGGATATGTTTTATTTTTGTATTTCCGAGTTGGTGGCGAGCTTACTTATCCTAGATGTTGTTCTTTACCTTTCGTTCTCTTTTCCAGTTCCTATGATAGGCAAACCCACGATCGCGCCATATTATTCCTGTATCTACCACCGCTTACCCCGACTCTTGTCTTTCTACTGTATGGCTGTATACCGCATCTGTTTTTGAACGCGAGCGCAGTGTAGGTTATTGACAGTAAATATGACTACCCTGCTTACACTGTGTGTATCACACAAAAAATATCGCAATGCGAGTTTGAGTACTTGAGTCTTGTTTGTGTGGCCATTCACGCCAAACTCACGCACTTGAATGAGTGCCACCCGGCAGTCCCCGCGGGTGGCACCCCGCACCCGCTCGCCACAAAGTCTTTCATCTCGCCCTTGCTCAAAGACTCGATGCTCCGACATCTCACTGTTACCAACGCACCCAGCCGGTACTATTCACCTTACGTCTCTCAGCTGTTCTACGGCAACTGCTCCCACTCTTCCCCACGAAGTGACTAGTTCTAACCCCTGTCGAGTTCACGACGACTGTTTTCCTTGTTCGGGAGGTATACGAACTTAGTTGGCATAAAGATGTATCGAAATATCTTTCATTCCAAATAACTGCATGCACAGAAGGGATGGGGCAGTCGGTAGAGCAGGAACCCTCACGTCTGCCGAACCTGACAGGGGCCATCTGTACCAATGAACAGGACATTAAGATCAATGAAGGATGGGCCCCTCAGCAAAAGGGCTGTTGCATAGTCGCAATGATGATATGGTGCATGTTATGAACTGTTTTGCGAGGGCCACACTACGCTACATAGGCGACATCAAGGCCAAACATCCGAGGATGGCGTCCGAGTCCACGCCGAGAGCCTTGCGTTAGAAGTGCTTCGAATTTGCCGGGACCGTTTGGCACGTACGATCAGAGTCTTGGCTGGTGATCGTGGATAGCACGAAAAGAGGGTTGTCAATTCAGCGAGGCATAGCAGAATGCCGTGCGTTGCAAAAGCTACATGTGGCGAGCGCATCGTGAGAGCTAAACTTGAATTCGTTTAGCGTGGGCGCATCATCGACGCCAACAGTGCGACCGTAAACGCAAAAAGAGAGTATAGACTCAAACGATTATCATCAGGTAAAAACGTGGATCAGCAAAGACCGAGGGCCACCTTCCAGATGGTACCCAGAGCTATGAACGCATGCATACAATGTCGGTAGTGGACGACGCACTGTCTCCATACTAGCAACTTTGTGCCCGGTTCCAAAACTCGAAGAAAGCGCGTGCTTGGGTTATAAAGCCATGCAAAGGACCTAGGCACGATATGAAGGACATAAATCGAAAATGGATCCAGAACCAATACGCAGTCCGAACGCAGACGCAAAGTCGTGCACACCGATACAGAGGTATGTGAAATAACAGCCAAAAGCAGAGTATGGAAAGAAGAGAGAAGAGTGAGAAACTTGATAACCTAGTAAGAAACCGCAGAGCGCGAATTGGAGCTGTCAATGAGACGATCGTCATGAGCGAAAAAGGTCTCCTGAATCACGAGCTCCGGTTGTGATACATGAGCATGAGCACATACCTAACAAGCGAGACGACACGGCGGCCAGTCACTAGTCAAGCCAGTGAGGCCACACAGCGTATTCATCCCTCCCACACAGCTACGAAGACCCAACATGCGTTCCAGACCATGGCCAGATATTCTTCAGCCGACTCTGTCCTTTCTTGGACTTCATCTGCTCCTCGCGCTCATGCTCCCCAATCGAAGCTTCGATGGCCTTCACCCTCAGCCCGACAGCGGTGGCACCAGTGTCACCGACACCAGGTTTCTTCGTACTCCGCGACCGATGTGGTACGAATGCAGGTAGCGGAGGAGGTATTGGGGAAAGACCCTTCTCCTTCTTCACCGGGATAGGAGGAGCTGGTCGCCCTACACCTCTCCTCTCCTGCTTCACCGCTTCTCTCAGATCTTTCACCGAGCTCGCCTTCGCAAGCGGGAAAGGACCCGAGATCATAGGTTTCTGCACCTGCGCCGTCCCTCGCACAGTCCCCTTCGTGGCCTTGGCGCCTGACTCTCCACTCTGCCCTCGTTCATGCCCATGCCCATTACCCTTCCCTTGCCCAGAAGACGGCGACTTGCCTGAAGCCAGCCGCTTGAGAACCCCTTCGCTCGCGCTTTTGCGTACGTTGCGTTTGGAGGTCGTAGACGAATGGGAATGTGATGCGGAGAGCGAGTGTGAAAGCGAGTAAGGCATTAGGTCGTCGTATTCCAGGTCGTCTAAATCGTCGCCCTGCAGGCCTCGTCCCTTGCCCCAATAAACCTCGTTCGGGCATTTCTTCTTCCCTCCAATGCTCGATGCAGGACTCGGGCTCCTAAGCATGAGTCGTCGCTTCGAATCCTTCCTCTCCACCTCCGCGAATCCTTCGTCGATATCCTCTTCCTCATCTTCATCCTCCGCATCCTTCCTCACGGCATACCCAGTAATTCTCCTCCTCTTGGCCCCATTCTGTCCGTACCCGTACTCCTTATCGGAAAACGGGTCCTCGCAATCATATTCCCACTTCTTCGGCTTCTCCACAAACTTCACTGTACCTCCTCCCATCTTATGTGTCCCCGTCGTGTTTCTCGATGCCTTCGAATCCGCCCTTGTTAGAATACTCCTCGGCGGCTGTACAGTCACCGTCGAGCTCTTCGAAATCGTAGACGTAGGCCTCGCTCGCTTAGTCGACAATCCCTCTTTGTCCTTTATCGGATGCGAGGGGATCTGATCCTGATTCTGGGTGACGTTTTTCACCGAGTGATCGTCTGATAGCCGTTGATAACAGCGCTGTTGTTGGCGAGACGGAGTAGGTGGTCGAGGCGTCGTCTGTCCGAAGATCGGAGAATCTTCTTCGTCTGTTTTCGGCCAGCGAGAGTGCCACAGCGATGTGAGGAAGGAAGAACGATTGGACGACGTCGCAGAGGCTTGCGTGCCCGCGGTGGAAGGGTCAAAGGGGGACGATGTGGAGGTGGAAGGCGCTGGGGTGGTGTAGGTGCTATTTGGCCGCTCGTGCCGGCGGCGGTGGAGCCAGAGACGAGGGACAGTGGGAGGAGCGGGTAACGAGGGTGGGGCGTTGCTGTTGTTTGATGGCTTAGAAGGAGCGGAGTGTCCGGTGGAACGGGAGAAGGAATAGCGAAGAGGGCGGTGGACCTGGATGGGAGAAGGGGCAAAGGGATGCTCTGGTTGATCCGAGTTCGGCTATAGCACAAATGTGAAAGGATTGAAATCAGTACAAGGCTGACAGCAGTGAAGGTGTAGGGAAAAGTATATGTGACGAGGCAAGACGCTTTGCTCACAAACATATACTCCAAGGGTATCGCGATGTCGTCACCAAGCCAGATGGGATCGGCGGAATCCTACTCATTCGGACCAGGCAACAATGTATGGCCGCAGCCACGACCAGTAGCAAAAGGAAAGCGCGTTGCGAGAAATAAGCCTCCGATGACAGCGATGTGCATACGTATCACGCAAAGATGCGCAGACGACGGTTGTGAAGGCCACTGCTACTTACCGTATTCGGATCCTCTACCAACGTCGAGCTGGTCGACGTATCACTTGAGTGCTAAATGGAGTAGTTTGATACTTCAGCATCGTACACAAATGACAGAGGCGATTTTGAAGCCAGAAGAACTGACTGAGCTACTAGCGCTCGGCGCACGGACTGGATTGAAATGATCTTCGAATGGGTTGATCCCATCCTGGACTGGCGCGGTGTTCACAACCAGTTGAGAAACTCGCGATCGCGGCCGATGAGGAATAAATCCCGGGTACTGCATTGAGCTCGTGAGTAATACGCTGGCTGTAAGGTTGCGAGACATGCTTACAGATGGCATAACAACGGACAAAGAGAACGCGATGTACAAACGTACTAAACGCAAAGAGAGGGTCACGAAAATGACACGGACAAGCCGAAACGTTGAAAGGCGAGAGGACGAGGGGCCTTGGGGAAAGGGTGAAAAGCCAGCCTACGCACACACCTATCACTAGATATCTATTCCTCATACACGTGTAGGCCACACCGTCTGGAGGACTCCGATCTCTCCGTGAGATGGAGGGTGCTGACCCGGAGGAACTTCGCGAGCAAAAGGCAAGTCTACATCATGATGCGGAACTCGCAATGCTTCCTATGGCAAGTTCAAGTTATGACTGTGAGTCGCCGCTGCAGGTATGCCGAAGACATGCGGCTCCAGCGTGTTGTCCCGATCCCAACTTCCTGAACAGATAGGGCGTTCGGGCTAAGGGAAGCATCAAACCACTCAAAGCAAAATTTGCAGCGGGTTCCATTTATGTGAACGTGAGATGTGAAGGCGTGCACGACTACTGCTCGTCGTGTTCGTGAAGCAAGTATGTGACAGAAGCTGAGCGGGCCGTCACGAGGAGCTCATCAGGATCCATGACTTGGAGCTTGAAGAGACTCGCTGCAGGTAGAAGGAGCGGATACTGATACAGGCGGTGATAGATGAACAAAGCGAACGAGCAACTGCTATTAGCGCTGGATAATCTCTCCAATCCTGAAATTGAGGTGTCGTAAGTCGGCTAGGATGAGTATACCCTGGCAAGCGAACGCACCCTAAAATACATAAGTTATGGTACTAGAGGGCCGACTACGTCCCAAATGAGAAGAGCCACTCAGATTTTGAACGGTGTCTCGACGTGTACACCACTCCAGATGCCTCTAGCAGACTCTGTGGTACTCTCGATTGTCCTCCTCTTCAGTGGTTTGATTTTGGCACCCGAAGAATCCAAGAGCAGCTGGACTTTTTGCTGAATGCCAGTCACTTCGTAGCCTTTTAAGCCAACGACTTTCTCCCTATCGTTCACTGCACGCAGATGTTAGTAAATTAGTATATCGTTGAAATGAAAAATTAATACGCACAGTAGAAACCTCGGACGATGGGCTGTTTGTGATTCCGTTCTCGAACAACGATCTCAACATGAGGATGTGCGCGGGCATAGTCTTCAAGATGGTTATGGAGGAAGGTACGGGCGTTGGCGGACGAGGGCCATTTGTCGCAGTATTCGAAAACGAGTTTTCTGCATTGCGGAATGAAAGCTACGTGCCCATTTGAGGTGCGAGAGGCGAGCTGTCCTCGGAGGAGCACCCGGTGGACCATGACCGTTGTCGAACACGACTTTGTTGAGGAAGACTTGCACGTCAACGCGCAGAGGTCGCGCGAGGAAGAGCGTGGGAAGGGTCTCACGTGGGCGGTTGATAGGGTTAAGGTTGCTGTTGGGCGATGGAGGAGGCCACATCTTGTCTCTCGCGCTGGAGCGGACGAACGCATTCGCCAAATCCGAGCACGTCGCGTCGACCAGACAAACGCGTCGCGTACATAACTCGACGCCACACCACCCCTCATCCGCTGCTCTCGCTTTCTTCATAGATGGCTCGCGCAACTCGCTCAGGCAACAAACAAGACGACACATTGATAGAGACCAAACCTACTGACGTGCCTCTCCCTCTTTCCCCGGGCAAGCAGAAAGGACTCAGTGGCCAAATCAAGAAGCGCAAACGCAGCTCGAACGCAGAAAACGAAGATCAACCTGCGGCAAAACAGCTGCGAGCCGACTCGCTTATCAAGGGCGAGGACTCACTCGAAAACGATGTCACCAAAGAAAGGCCCGTCGAGGTGAAGGGTGCAGGAGATGTACCCATCCTTTCGGAGGATGCTCAGCGCATTCTGGACATCCTCGAAATGTGCGTCAATTTCCACCTATCTTCATTCAACTCGCCTTTCTGATCGATCTTTTACAGGGTCGATACACAAGGCCTTCTTGACAGAGTCTTCCCCTTACCCGCCGATCCCGCGGCCACCCTCGACCCTCAATCTTCATCGCAGTCCAATACATACTCATTCCGTACACTACTTCAAGAATCTCAGCGCCATCCATTGCGTGTCCTTAAGGTATGCTATCTATCTTGATATTTGCGCCATACATCACACTGATCATTTTTAGTCTGCGGTTCAACCCCTCCTCCCTGTCTTCACTCACCCCCGCTCCCGTCCATCTGCACCCGCAGCGCAACAACTCAAGTTCTGCAATCTCGCTCTCTCCCTTCTTGACCAATGTTCTTTCCATTCCTCACCAGCCTCCTTCGATGTCGAGTCTCTCCTTCCAGACCCCGTGAACCACCTTTTCTCCGATTCTGAGGGCACTTCAACCTCTCGCTCTTCCATTTCCCGAAAACGAAAGTACGCCTTGATGCAGAAACTTCCGACCGGAGAATGGTGGACTTCTGTTGACACGGAGGGCGTCTCAACTGACGGAAGGGAGCTCAAAGACTTGCCGACTGCCCAAGCTGAGCTTGTCGCCATTCTACCATCAGCATCGTCGTCCTCTGGTGTGTCGTCCTCCGTGCCAACCCTCGGAACATATTCCAAAAGAAAGCTGGTCAAGAAAGCATTTGACACGGGCCCGAGACCCGTCTTCACTGGCGCTTTTCTAGACTATGGCCCTTATGCGAGCTTTGCGCCGACATTCGATCAGGACAGCGCGGAAGTTGGACGAGTCAGGCTAGGCGAAGTACTGTGGGAGGAAGAGAAGAAGAGAAGACTGGACAGATTGAGGAGTGTGACTTCCAAATCTGGGAGTGTCGATGATATTCAGATGGAGGATGAGAGCGGTGAAGTGGAAGATGTGACAGATGATGAAAAGAGAAAGCTGGTGGAAGGCACGAAGAGCGTGCCTGAAGAGACGCTGCACGACCTCCTTCCTCCGGAAGAAGTGGCCTCTATAAAATCGGCTCTGGGTACGCTAGAGCTAGAGCAGGCCGTGCAGGAGCTCTTGGACCGCAATACAAAAGCGCTGAAGAGGTTGGAGGAATTGCAACGCAGACGACTCGCTTCTGGCTCAACGAAGGTCGAGATGAACTCGGAGGAGTGGGATGTCGGTCAGTAAGACAGAAAACATCACTTGTCCTTTGACTAACCATATTCTGTACTTGCAGCCCAAGGCATAACAAATTCTTTGGCCACTCTGGCCTCTCTTCGCCCCCGTTCCTCTGGTAGCACTCTTCCGCCTCTTATTCCTTCTCCGGCAGCCTTGCACCAACTCCACCGTACACTACCTACCGGTCCTTCTGAAGGCTGGTACGGAACGCTCCAGTCCAATCGCCCCACTACTGCCCTTCGCGACGATACCACCATTCATCTCAAAACCAATCACATTCCTGCTGCCGCTGTTGCCGCCGCCTCCGCAGCTACACCAGCTATCACGACCCCTGCTACACCCGCTTATCAAAACTCCAGCCTTCGACCCGGTGCCACAACTCCCGCTACACCCTCTGCAGCGACGGGCTACGCAGGGGCGTATGCATACTCTGGGTATGGCAACACACAATACAGGACTGCTGGCTACAATTATGCTCCTGCATCGACGAATGCCTATTACCCGAACGCGTATGGACAAAGTGCTTCCACCGCTGCGCCGGCGACACCGGGAGCATCGACCTCCGGCCAACAGCAACAGCAATACACGGCCGCGTCTGGAACGAATCCGTACTCGTACACGTCTTCGTGGTACAATTATACGCATCAACAGCAACAGCAACAACAACAACAACAACCCTCTCAGTCGGGCACGGCACCGGGTACACCCCAAGCCGGCCAGACCACCCCGTCGTACAACGCTTTCTTCAACTCTCAGTCGCAGAGAGCTGTGGCGAACACTTTGGCTACTACGGTAGCTACTACCGCAGGTGCGAAAGGGTATACGCCTACTTGGGCTGGATCGACGGCGGCGGCTGGGTCGGGTGCGAGCGGCTATGCGCCTACGTTGCCAAAAGCAGGGAGTACGAGTGGGAATGGGAATGGGGTGACGCTGGGGACGCCGACGACTGGTGCGGGGCAGTATTCAGGTTATAATTATGCGCCTTATCAGTCGCATCTGGCGCAGACGCAGGCCGGGCAGCGGTAGTACGTCTGTTGTCTGGCGGATCTCTGATTGATCCAATGAACATCTTGTAGTCGACGAATTACATTCCATTTCGATCTTTTTTTTTTCATTCTCCATTCTCCCTTTTGAGGAATCGCCACACGTCCACTCTTGACTATTCCAGCTTTTGTCAGTCGTGATCATACGCACCTAGCGGGCCTCTAATGTTTGTTTCTTGCACCTTTCGCGCGTTTATTTTTTTCTACATGACTTCTTTGACTGTAGTTAAGTTGGTTGACGTCTATCGCGTAGAAATCTGTGATCTATTCCTCCTGAGACGCGATACAAGTCTTTGTCGTCGGCAGTCACCTCGATTAGACGTCAAGTTCAAGGAGCAATCCTCGTGCAAGGGGTGTGGCGCTCTGACCCACCGAGATCTTCGGTTATCTTCCGATCGAAATATTCTCGGGTACCATACTACCACTCCGATGAACTACGACTAGCCTGCACATGTGCTTTACTCGTTACCACATCTTGACTCGCTGTCGACATGAGTAACAGTTGCCCAACTGTGTCTTGACTGCCATGTCCACTATAAGTACACTTCATCTGAGTCCGGGTAAGCCTAAATATATTGGATGGAAACAAAAGATCGATGAAAGGAAAATCTCCTCCCAGCAAGGTTACTGGTGCAGAAGGTAGCGCTCCCCCAGTCACAACAGTTCAGACGAAAGAGCCACACAAATCCGGACAATAGGGGAAGAAGGAATGGTCGCGTACAGTACCACGTGGATTTGAGGCCCCGCAATGTTTGAGATGGTAGACGACGGCATCATCGCCTCTCGTTCCTCTCGCCAATACCATTGCTCATTGTACTACGCTCTCTCCTCGTACGTGTGACTGTCTCCGCTTTGCACTCAAGATCGGCAACTCTTTGCTTCTTTTCACACTCTAGTCTCTAGAGTGGCACAAAGCCGCTGCGCGGCTTTTGGGAATAACGGAGCCGTCACGACTTCAACTAAACGCAGTGCGCGAAGCGCTTTCTCCTACCGCACCTAGGCTTACTAGCTGGTGCTAGGCATTGAGGCTATGTTTCAACCCGTTCTACGGCCCAGTGAGGTCCTGAAAGTCAAACTGCAAGGGATTATCGTCCCACTTGAGGAGCGAAACAACAGGGAACTACAGCTTTCAACGGAACAGGCCAATGCCTTTCTCGTCATCGCGGTGCATCGAAATCCCAACAGGAACGAAGAGGAAGGCTGGTAAGATACGTTGTATTTTTGTCCTGACGTATGCATACTTATGTTCTCGGCAGTCTGTTCGTCTACGAGGGCCCGGCGTTGCCGACGCCAGCTCGATTACGGACTCCTCGAATCCGAAATGTGTTTCCTATCGTTGGCCATATCGATGTAAGAATTTCGCAAATAAACAACGAACCCTCCTTGGACATGGATGAGAGAACCGAAGGCTCACAACCAAGTACGTCCTTTTGCTTTCATGGTGACGAATGAGTGCTAACGTTGTATATTTATCACATTGCATAGACGTCCGTTTGTCTATCGAGATATACAATGACAATACAACAGTCCTCGCGTTCGTGTCAGATGAACCGCAAGGAATCCCCTCTTTTTTGTCTGAATTTAGGCGACTGAAGGGCATCGCACGTCGGTCTTTCTCTTTTTGCACTCCCAACGCACATCCTAAACTACGAACTCTCAGACAAGAACAATCCCCATGCCTCAAAGTATCCATGGCTCACACCGTATTCTTATGATCCATCTTGCTGGCTTTCTGGTAAAAGAGATAACGAATTCTTATTTTGTCTCCTCTCACTAACAGAAATTCTCAGTGATGCCGCCGCCTGATCTCCGGGTGCTTCGCCAGCCTTTGAATGAGCGTCTCAGCATCGGAAGCGCAGGTATGCCGGGAAACGAGGTCGCCGACTATAATGCCATCCGAGATCACTGGTTCAGAAATAAGGCTCGCCACAACGCCACGAAGCCAGAACTTCGTCCCTCGGAACTAAAGTGAGTTCAATATTATCCGTTGCCGCTGCTTACTTAGTAAATGGTCTTCAGGATACGTATAGGAACGTTCAACGTGAATGGGAAACTACCATCACAGGACCTTTCACCCTGGGTCGGTGGACAGGCAACTCCGCAGGTAGAAAATGACAAAACCGATGAGGCTGAGGGATCCTTGGGAGGTTGGGAGAAACTCATACCCCCGATGAAAGAAGTCTCTCCAATATCACTTGGAGACTTTGGACGGAGTGTCTCTTTTCTAGATACACATCCAACTGATGTTACTGCTCCAGCAACAGGTCAGTACACAGCCGAAAAACCCAATCATTCTACGATCTGATCTCTTTTCATAGATGGTAGTACCTCAGTGGAGCATGACAGGAAGGAAGACTCCCCAGCGACGACCGACCCTGACTTACTGGTCTTTGGCTTTCAAGAGTTGGACAACTCGACCGCGGCTTTGGTGATCGCAACAAAAGCAAGAGAGGCTTTATGGACCCACTCGTTGGTAGCTGCGCTAGGAGAGAATGGAGAGAAGTATGAGAAAGTATGGTACCTGTATATCCGTTCACGACCCTGTCTAATACCGAACTGGCACAGCTCGTGTCACAGCAGCTTGTCGGGATGCTCATTATCGTCTTTGTGAAGAAAGAGTTAAGGCAGTTCTTCTCTGGAGGAAAGACCGATTACGTCTCCGCAGGTATTGGTGGGGTGTTGGTACGTGATTTAGTCTTTCATCTCTCCTATATAGGATTGTGGTCATTCTCTATTTATATAGGGAAATAAAGGCGCAGCGGCTGTTCGGATCACGTACTGCCCTCCACCCTGTGACGATGGTACTACGCCTTTGCCATCCGCGTTCACTTTTGTAAACTCTCACTTGGCTGCCTTTGAGACCGGATTAGAGAGGCGCGATGCAGATTTTCACGATATCTCAAGACGGCTCAGCTTCAAGATAGATCAACAATATACCCAACAACGGTCGGAGTCAAAGGATTATGAGCCTGCGGAAGCAATTCTCCGAGTATACGAGTCGGATGCTCTCTTCTGGATGGTGCGTGTCAATTGTCGACTGTTTGGAACGCATGATCTAGAATAATGAATACCCGCTACCTGTGTATAGGGAGGTCGGTCCCGTACTTTCGGTTAGATTAGCATGACAAGATTCTGAGTTTACCCCTTCTAGATCTAAACTACCGGCTCAATCTTCCTGAAGACGATGTAAGGACGATACTACGGTCCGCCGCACGTGACAAGAGTGCTTATTCGCTGCTATTATACCATGACCAGGTATATACACGTCGTCCATTTCACGATATCAATCATGCTTACTTCTGTTCAGTTGAGGGAGTCCATTCGTAAACGGAGAGCCTTTGCGGGATTCTTAGAACAACCTATTCAATTTCTCCCGTGGGTACCCCCTTTCAGTCTCCAGACTCAGTGTCCTCTAACTGCGATAAGAGTACAGAACGTACAGGTTTGGTGCTGGTCTGCTGACAGACTCGTTAGGATATGATATAAAGTGTGTCTCATCCTCATCTAGTTCACCGTTATCGCACTCATTCGCGCTTTCTATTCTAGACGGAAACCAGCATGGACGGATCGGATCCTCCACCTACCTTCGCCTTCAATCTCTGTTCGACAGCTGTCGTACTCGGGCCACCCTCGTATTGCTATGAGCGATCACAGGCCTGTATCAGCGGACTTTTCCGTCCAGGCAAGTTATTGCTCCCTGTTTTAACCCGTTGTGGTTGTAACACCTTTTGTCGCATCAGATACCCGTAATTGACACCGATGGATTGGACAGAACCGCGCACACCCTGTACAAAGCCGTCTCAAAGGCGAATCCAGAAGAATTAGATGACATACCTACACTTCGACTGACAACCACAGCTCTGGATCTAGGGGTCGTTTCGTAGGGTTCCGCTTATTTCCTCTTATATTCTCGATCATTAATTTATGTTTTCTTGTGGAAGGTACGAGAAGGCTGTTTGTCGGTCGATTACCGTTCAGAATACGAGCGAGGTAAGTCGCAGGTTTCGTATGTGACACACACCGTTGTTTAGTTTTCTGGTACGACAGATTCCGGCTGCCTTTAGGTTCTACGCGAATATGCCAGGCGAGTCAACTCGTGAGCACTCTGTCCAGGTTATTTTCAATTGTGGTTGGTAAGTTTTGACCTCGCATTAGATCCAAGCTGGTTGAACATCGAACCTATGACCGTGAGATCCATTCACACATGTCATTGTTACAACCTGACCAAATCCGGGCATCGTGCCGTATAGGGCTTTCTTCTCCCTGGCGAACAATGTGACCTGAGCTTCACCGTCCTTGTCTCGCGAATAAATGCACAGGATCTTAACGTGCGGCGGGAGACTCTCGACTCGACACTCATTCTCCACACTCTGTTAGGGAAAGACCACTTTATATCGCTCAGTGGACAATATGGCAAGCATTTTTTTACTTGCGAGTCGTCGGGTTTCCTCTATACTCATGTTTATGTAGCCTCAACCTGCTTCGGCAACAGTCTCTCTGTCCTCGCGCGTCTTCCTGGCCCAGTCCGAAACCTCAAAGGACCAGGCGATCTCTTGCCGGAGAATGAACCTATCCACGGTTCACGCGAGATTCAGAAGTTAGTGGCCTGGTTGAACGTCCACGAGGCGGAGCGCTTCGTGAGTTTTTTCGATGTCTTAGAGTTCGCCGCAACTCAAGATCTTTGCAGGATGATCTCTTCTTAACCGAGCCCGACAGTGACTTGATCGCCGATATTCGGGAGGTCGGTAGCCCTTACTCGATAACCGCCTTTTAACACTAATATACAGCACACAGCGTCTAGACACAGGCGCTGACTTGGGCGGCCTCAAGGCCAGAGACGAATCCCCCGACCAAGCCGCCTACGCCCATGCAGTGGCACACACGCTAATCGCGCTACTAGACTCACTTCCTGAACCCATTGTTCCTTTCTCGTTACACACACGTTGTGCAGCTGTTAATGATCGAGAGGAGGCACTGGAGGTACGCCAACTCTGTCATACACCTTGTCATATGATGCGGATACTCAACTCTTTCGTACAGCTTCAAATGCAGATGCCTGCTCTGGTTTCGAATGCCACAGTCAACGTAAGTGTCATTGACCTCGATATGTGCAACTATCACATAGACTGATGACGGTCTCGTATATAGGCATGGAGTGCAATAATCGGTTTTCTGCATGTTCATTGCTCTGTGGGTGCTCCTCCGGCTCTTGAGTCCGACTGGCCTCGCCAGTCCCGTGCAGAACGGTTGGGTAAGTCCACTTTCTTTTTGATCGGTGTCTCTCTTGAGGGTCCAATTTGACCAGTACAATTATTACAGCACCAACATTCACCCGCGTCCTGCTACGAGACGAACCCGAACAAAGTGAACTCGTATCTCCAGTGGGAAAGAGGCGGTTCCTCTCATATTTCCTTGTCGCATGATGTGGCCAGTCAGCGTGTCTTCGTGTAGCCGCATGGCGTATTTTTCTACACGGGCTCAGATGCAGCAACATAACACTAGCGTTGATTAGACACGGTATACGTGATATGTTGGAGTCGACTTGTATTCAAGTCCACCGTCTGAATCGGTGTGGAGACAGTTTCTTCAAGCCTCAACACAAAATTCTCTTCTGGCCGATCTAGATTGCAGCCCGAGAATTTCTGTTCATCCTTATGGGCATAAATATGATGAAGAGACGTTCGGCGACTCCGCTTCAAAATGTCCCCTCCAGGCTTGCCGTCTGGATATGACCCGGGCGCACCCGAGGCCAGAAAAGCGTAGAGTGGCGTAGGCCATTCAGAACAAGATTAGATCCTAAGATTAGATCGAATATTTGACTCGACGTGAGTGCTTTCCGCTCTGAACCCTCGGACCTCGACTGCATAAATATCTGCTTCCTCCTATTGTAAACCGTCACTTTCATACTTGCTTGAATATCCAACCATGGCCGATACCGAAGCGCTAAAGGACCCCGTCGCTGAACAACCCGCGTGAGCATATACAAACCCGATCACCACAAGATTTCAGGCTAATGCACACACAGAGAGGGCGACGGTGCTCCCAAAGAGCCTTCTAAGAACGAGTTGAAGAAACGTGCAAAGGAGGCCGAGAAGGCGAAGAAAGCTGCTGAGAAGGCTGCCAAGCAAGCAGAGCTCGCAAAGCAGAAAGCAGAAGCTGATGCAGAGGCAAGCGTCTTGAACTTCTCGACTTCATACTAATCCCTGACCATCATGCGCAAATCGTGGTCGTTGCTATATTCTCACAGGACTGCTCAGTCGGACTCTACGGCAAACTTCCTCTGAATCAATCGCAAACCCGACCAAATATCAAACGTGTCCAGATCACCTCCCTCTCCCCTAATCTCGATGGTCAGACCGTCGTTCTTCGGGCTCGCATCCATACTCTTCGCGCACAAGGAAACAAGATGGTCTTCTTGAATCTGCGTCAGCGTATTGAGTCCGTCCAAGCATTGATCACCGTCACGGAAGGCAAGGTGTCAAAACAGATGGTCAAATGGGCCGGTAGCTTGGGCAGCGAGAGCATTGTGCTGGTGGAAGGTGTGGTTAAGACTGCGCCTGAGATTATCAAGAGCGCTACTGTCGGGAACGTTGAGGTCCACGTTAGCAAGGTGCGTATCGGAATCACGTCGTGAGACAATTTCGATACTGATTTTTTCCGGCGTAATGACCCTGAACAGATTCACCTGATCGCTGCGGTCGAGGGTCGACTACCGTTCTCGATAGACGATGCTCAACGTCCAGAGACTGAGGTCCAGGAGGCGGACGCTCAGTTCAGCCGCGTGCTCCTCGACACTCGTCTGAACAACAGGATTATTGACCTGCGAGTAAGTGGTGGACTATGCATGATCTTGGACGTCCTTTGCTTAGACAATTTATCATTCTTTAGACACAAACCAATCAGGCTGTATTCAAGCTTCAAGCAGCCATTGGCGCCCTGTTCCGCGAATTCCTGGAGTCAAAAGGCTTTACGGAGATCCATAGTCCAAAACTGCAGGGCGCGGCAACTGAGTCTGGAGCATCCGTCTTCAAAGTCAGTTACTTCAAAGGTATGACTTCGATTTACCTCCTTACTGGGAGGAACCCCGTTGATGTTGATTTTCGACGTGTAGGCAATGCTTTCTTGGCCCAGTCACCTCAGCTCGCAAAGCAGATGGCCATCGCGGCTGATTTCGAGCGCGTTTACGAGATCGGGCCCGTCTTCCGTGCTGAGGATTCAAACACGCACCGACATCTCACGGAGTTCATCGGATTGGATTTGGAGATGACGATCGAGGAGCATTATCACGAAGTCATGGAAATGCTCGACAGCCTCTTTAAGCATATGTTCAAAGGACTCACGGAAACGTACAAGCGTGAGATCGACGCTGTCGGACGTCAGTTCCCCGCGGAGCCCTTTACATGGAAAGAGGAGACCTTGAAGTTGACGTTCGCTCAGGCTGTCGACCTTTTGGTCGAGGATGGTGTTGACAGGGCCGTTCTGGACGACATCAAGTAGGCTTCTTCTCCGCGGGCTCGAGATCTTTCTTGGACTAACTTCATCATTAACTACAGCACCGAGAACGAGAAGAGGTTGGGCCGGCTCGTGAAGGCCAAGTACGAAACCGACTACTTCATCATCGACAAATTCCCTATGGAGCTCCGTCCGTTCTACACCATGCCTGACCCTGAGAACCCAGTTCGTAGCTCCCTCTGCTGTATACATTCCTTGAGGCTGATCTGACCATATTTTGCAGAAACTGTCGAACTCGTACGATTTCTTCATGCGTGGCGAAGAAATCCTGTCCGGAGCGCAGCGTGTTCACGACCCGAATCTCCTCGCAGAACAGATGCGTGGAAAGGGCGTCGACCCCGCTTCCATGCAAGGCTACATCGACGCGTTCAGGATGGGATGTGCGCCACACGGTGGTGGAGGCATCGGTCTCGAGCGTGTTCTGATGTTGTTCCTCAAGCTCAACAACATCCGTAGAGCTTCTCTCTTCCCAAGAGACCCAAAACGGTTGGAGCCTTGATTCTGGTCAGAGTCGCTGTATAATTGGTTCGGTGAATAGGTGGGCAGAGAGTGTAAACCGAGTACGAATAACAACGAAGATGTACATTCAATATACTGTATGTACCTGTCGGTAACTCGATTCCTTCATGAACAGTCGGACACCAGTGAGATAGTGTATACAGTGTACAGCACCGATATTGTGCGGCTGTATCCGTGTATGGCGTTAGCAGAATTCATATCTGCCATTCCTCATCATGCATCAGTCTTCAAGCTTCAGCCACTGACGTCCCTGCCTTCTCAACCTTCACGAAGGGATTGTGGTTTTTTGTAAACCCTCTCAAGTCGATTACACATTTCTATGTCTCTAGGGATGTTTCAGGACGTGGCGAAGAGGTACTTCATGTTTCTTTTTGGTTCGAACACTACGCTCTATCCCAGGCACATTCGACCAGAAGTCTCATACTGTGTTTCATCACGGTATCGTCAGGCCTCAGCTTCACACGTTCACCGTTCTCCAGCGTTCTCCGGAGCGAATAGACTAAGTAACTAGTTTCGATTTCGCCTAGCATTGCAACCACGTAACGAAGGCGTTCCGAATCGAATGCTTTCTCCTCCTTCCCATCTATCTTTCCTCTCACACCGTCAAGGGGCAGGCCCATTCTGGGTGTACTTGTGAACGAACGAGGAAAAGGTTGATCGACGCCATGCAGACATGCCATTTAGCTTGACCTGCGCAGACCTCGGAAGCGACAGGCGGGACTTTTGGAGCCGCCTCAGGAGCGACAGGGTCCGCTTCTCCGCGTTATGAACCTTCGCTCCCTTTATATTTCTATTCAAACATCAGCACATGCGTGAGCGGTCGCACCAACCCTTTTCTCCTCCCCCGCCCACCCCCTTCCCCCTCTTTTACCTCCCTTCTTTCTTTCACCTACCATTCTTTCTTTTTAACCTTCGTTCTTCGTTCTTCCTCAAGTCCGTCGAGATACCATGTCTGCTCAAGTCTTCAGTGCCGAAAACCCGGCGGCGATGATAGTCATTTTCATCGCTATCTTCTTTATCCTGGTCGCTGTCGTTTTCTGTGCCTACAAGAAGTCGAGGGTGCTCTCGGCGTGCTTTAGGAGGAAGTCATGCAACAGGGCTGGGACGAGGCCAGGACTGACTAGGGAAGAGTCAGGGAGCGAAGTGCCGCAACTTGTCGTGGGGCTGGAGCCGGCGACCCCATCATCGTTCATGGGGGAGAGGACGCCGTCGAGTTTCTTGGGTGGCGGGAACGAGAAGAAGAATTTGGACGCTTTGGAGAAGGGAATTGTGCCAGTGGATGTGTTACAGGTGCGTCTACTTTTCGCTTTGATTTCGAGCGATTCGGTTGTCATCGAGACGTCTGACCTGACGTCCGTTCCGTCTGGTTTACGTCTGCAGCACGAAGATGACATGCAGGCCACGTCGAGACGGTCAGTGACCCTGCGATTCAGTTGAGCGCTTTGACTCGAGGGTCGCTACGCGTATCATTGGCCTTGGACCGGTACGTTTGGTCCTCAATGCTTTGTGTGGCGAGGTTAATGGCTAAATCTTTTTAGGATCTTCCGAATCCTTTACAGGCCACTTTACCATATGCCAACACATGCATCGCACTTCACCTTATTCGACTATCCGTAAATCATCATGCTGCTTCAGACACGCGACGCCATGCGAACCCCAGCTCCCACTCAATCCACGATCCCCGTCTTGGTCTCATCAACGCCGTGCAGATCGGTTGTAAAACCCTGTACTACCTTGCGTCTATGCTGTCTCAAACCACAGATGCCTCTCTCGTTCGCATATTGTCACGCTACTGCCAAGTCACAAGGACCTCGCTTTCGTCATACGACTTTCGCTGTGTTAGATACCTGGACTCACCCACTGTCATCCAACCATCCAACTCAAACACCATCGCATATCGCACATCGCCTCGTCTATAACGGATTGGTTTAGTTGCACGTATATACCCATAGCCCGCTTGCGTCGTTATCGTTCGTGGGTTTATTCTTGATTATCGTCATGTTGCCGTCGTTCCATTTGTTTCGTACTGAGATCTTGATACGTACCTGTACTCGCACTGTTAGTAAAGTCTTTCGTTTATCCCACCTTCGATGTAGAGCGTCCAGGACGGAATAGAGTCCTCGGAAGTACTCAGAGTTTCTCACTGTGGCAACCCTCCCGACCCCCTCCTGACCGTCAAGCGACCTCGGGCAAGGCACAGAAGATGGTGCCTGCAGCTGAGTCCCAAAAAACGGTAAGCCCCTATCCAGGTTAGCAGCCCTTGGCACCAGGTCTGGAATTATACGAGCAAAATCTGCAGACAGCCCAACAACGCAAGATCTCACCACAACCAACAATATTTCATGGTCGTGAGCTGATATATATCGCGAGACTAGGTTTTGCAATGAGCCTCAAGACCTAGGCCACATGACCGTGTCTTGTTTTTGAAATTCCTCGCCACATACTTTTTTGGTTCACCGCCCGGCGCCACCGAGCCTCAAAGTGAGCGATGATGCGGTCGCAAATGGGAGAGATTGAATAGAGGAACATATCCATAATAAATCCACTGGATTGCTGCTAGTCAGAGTATAATGACATATAAGGTACAAACATCGTGGCCGCGACGACAACTTGAATGTGCATGGCCGAAAGGAGCGAGTAGTGATGAGAGCGAGTCTGGGTTGGTAGCGCGAGTGATAGTGGTGCGGCGAGACGTTACGAAGTTTGAGATTCATACGGCCGGACGCCGTTGCTTCGAGGTATCGCTTCATTAAAGAAGGAGTGAAGTAGACTATGAGTTAAAGGAGTCAGCTCCCAGTTCGGCAAGTCCGTTCGAGTTGTGTTGAAGAGAAATAATGAACCGACCTAGGTGATCTAATATGTGACGCAGAAAACGTAAATGATGGTGAAGTGAAAGGGGTGTCATGTCTTGCGAAGGCCGATCTTTTGCCAGAAGGTCTTCGTTGGCTGTTGAGGTTCCTAACAATTATTCCATCCGTCGGTCATTTCATACACCCAGACAAACTGCAATAAGACAGACAGGCTCACCTGTGAAGAAGTCGAATGCTCCATCTCACTCGTGTTCCCCTTCTCCACATCTAGGACCGACTCCGATCTTCCCCCATCCGAGGTTGCATACGGCGAGAGGTTTCCGCTAGAGGAGGACCCCAATCCCAAAAGCTTCACAGTGCTCGCCCCCTTCGGATCCATCGGGGTCGTCGGCGAGGGTGGACCGGACATTATCGAGGGAGGAGCGGGAGTGAGAGTCACAGATTGAGGTCTCACAGCAGTCGAAGGAGATCGTCTTCGTCCTCCGCGGCGACAGAACCGACGAATCCCTCGAGAAGAGCGGGAAAAGAAGAGCCAGAGGAGGAGAGCGACGGCTACGAGGACTGCAGTGATAATTATACCGATGTAATTTCGGTGGCCGACCCGAGCTTCCGTTTGTTGTGGTGATGCATCGCTGAGCATTTCAGGAGAGAGGGAAGGAACGGATGGGGAAATCGTGTGCTCAGAGGTGTTGGTGGTGAGCTCCTTGACGCTGGTTGCTGTCGGAAGGACGTCGCTGGTAGCGCTCGCGGTGAAAAAGACGGTGATTGATGAAGAGGCTGCGTCAGCGGCGGCCTCAGCGGCTGCGAGAGGCTCGCTTCGCCAGTATAAATTAGTGTGCATTATTTATGTAAAAGGGTGCTGAACGGAGCAGAGGAAATGAGGGTGGCACAGCGCCACACTCTGCGCAGTGGGACCGAAAGAGTTTTGCAAGAAATATAGAGATAGAGAGGCCAAGGAGAGGTTGCACTAAGATTGCACGACGGGGGGGAGGAGAAGCTAGTATAGTGGTCAAGCCCAAGTCCCGTAGACCGTGTCGTGGAGAACGCCATTATCGTACGAGCTGATCCGGTCGATCGTGTAGTTCGATGACAATCCGGTCTGAGAGTCTGAAGTAAGATCCCGAAGATATTCAATCAATTTTCCCGTTGAGGAGAGCGATTTTCGCGTGATGATGATCGTCGCCCTTGAATGAGATTCGGAGGTGTACGTGGCGTTGACTCGAGGGAACGCCACAAATGAACATGGCCCGTTCCGGTGCGGGCCGTGGACGCGATCAGAACGCGTCGCGTCGCGTCACCCTTTCAACCCATGTTTTATTTCGGTAATGTTATCAGAAAAGCGTCCAACGATCTTCGCGCGGTCTTCAGCCTATATGTTGCGTTCATTGGACAGAATAACAGAACCACGATTACTGGCTCGGTCAATCATCTGGTCCGGCTAAGTACTCAGTACTTATGGCCGACACCTGATTCCGACGAGGGCGCTGGCCACCGACTCGTCGGAAGGTTCAAAGCTATATCATCCAACATACTTACTCTCACACTTGCGGGCAACCGAAGAACTCAGTCTTCCGCCCGTATACGACATGTCCATGACGAAACATATGCTTCAAAGTTACTTATGTGGGGACCCTTCTTCAAGTTCTACTTCTGCCCTTCTACCGCCACTCGTCTGTAGTTCTTCCGTCAAGTTCGCTTGCCACTACACTGGGAATATGTCGCGCAAAACGCGTATAAATGTCAGTGTGGGCACGCAGGCTCATATGAGTCCATGAGAACGTGCTATTTGTCTGTGCTCTGGGGGTGATATAGATGATCCCCATAGCTTAGACCGAATAGCCCTATACCCGAGGGGATTCTCTCTATCTTCTTCATCATGACATCAATATTTGTATCAATTTAAGAATATGCGTATGCACGGAAATTAAGTAGGATCGTCGGGAACGACCCGAATTCGAAGTTTTGCCACTAGGTGGCAGCAAGGCAATCCTACACGGCCCTGTGCTGCTCAACGTGCCCTATTCCTCGCCGTCCAATGGTGTGGGTGTGTTTGCGTGATGTTATAGTGCATGCCATCTCTTGAACAGTCTGCCTCCTTCCTTCAAGTTTGCGGATCTGCCGGTCACCCCATTCCCAGCGTGGCGCGACGGCATGGCTCCCCCAGACTATCCATCGCGTCAGTGGACGCCAAGTGCTTGAAGATCGACGCCCTTCCAAACCTTCTCTACTAACCAGCCCGACCCAGCCTGGCATCGATATCCAAATATTCCACCGGCCGTGTACACGTATACTTATCCGTGATCGAGTGAAAGCCGAGGACATCCTCCTATACACTCCACGCAGAAGTCCTGCAGGCCGTCTCGCATGACCGCAATTCTTACATACTTAGGTAATCGAACACCGTTTCCATTTTTGGAGAACAACTTGAAGGAGATGAATGCGGGAAGTCTGAGGTAGGATGATGAACGGCCCGTCCCGCCACCAACATAGATACGGTTTGAATTAATTAGGAACTCGCCACGGAAGCGGGCTCAGGTTCGACCGCTGTATGTGCGATTCATGGTCGATGTATGCATGTAGGTCAAAGAGCCGTACTCTGTGCGTTGCGGCGCTGGGTGTTTCTGGGATAATGGTAACTTAGTGAGGTCCTGGGAGCGAGTACAGGTCGGACCAGTCAACCCCTATAGAAACAGGAGACGTGTAAGGTTCTATCGTTTGATGCATCTATACAGCCAACAGACCGCAAAGGTATGATAGAAAGGCGCCGGCGGGACCGAGCATCCATCTCCGTACAGACAGAGCGCTACTGCGCGGTCATGACGCCTGGGCTGTGCGGTTTGAGATGATTCATGATTCATGAAATCCAAACTCAAAGTCAACACATCACCGCCCAGTGAAAAGGGTATAGCAGCAGATGGTTCAACGTTCAGATTCTTCCGAGCGGGGGCCAAATGCCCACGGGTTGAGATACCTGTGTGGATGTCGACTGGAGAACCAGTCGAAACGAAAGTCGCTCGTTGGTTTACAACCAATACGAACTTAGACAAGATCCGACGCGAGAGTCGCTGTGTACGGCAACGATAGCTATAGTCGCCGTTGACCGTAGGGTGCAGACAGATGTCTTGGAAGTTCCCAAGTATTCAGATGTATGTTCACGTCGATGCGCTGGCATTGATACGCCGCCATGCAACTTGGACTCGAGGCATCGCTTCTACGTTCCGGATCCCCACCCCCACAAGCTACGGATATAGACCATCGTCGAGGCAACGGGAATCATCAGCATCTATCCCCATCCCCGAGAGCACTCGGATTGCGGCCTACTTTAACCATAGCGAGGGTAGACAAGTTTAAAGTGAGCATGAGGGAGGTGTCGTCCGACTTACTCGCCATAGCGGGAACGAGGCGGGAGGGGTACGTCGTACATACAGGTCTTAACGGCGAATCATGGAATGATAGAGAAATGGAATTCTAACTGTGATTTCGTGGTTAGACCAGTCGGATTACATGACATGAAGCTCTAGGAGGTCATCGCGATGGGTCATCCAGGATTCAGCACTCCTAAGAGGAGCCATGATGACCATCATCGGGAACTGAGAAAGAACTCGAAACTTAAAGGAGAAGGTTATATCAAAGCGGAAATGAGGCCCGTTCCCAGAAGGAGGTTGCGGGAGGACGACGAACGTTGCTTCCAAACTCCCAAACAAGCATACAATGCTGTTATAGCACGGACTGTGTCAATAACCGAAGGTCGTAAGATATGATTGAACGAAGCGTGGTGATAGTTTTGTTGTCGGGATGCCGAGTTCTGATGGTCTCGACGGCCGTGCGCGTTATCGGGTCCGCTGGTGGCATAAAAAGGAGACGATATTCGGGGTTCGGCGGCGACAGTCGCTATTATGGGAATGCGGCAAGGAGGGGCTATTTACAGAAACATGTAGCAGAAAGCTAGCTATCGGCTGTCGGGGTTTTGGGAGAACAGGATGGGGTAATGCAGGGGTAAGAAAGGTATACAACAACGGGCGAGAGGACGGCGAACGCTATATTTCCGCCTCAGGGTCTCCATGATGCCTGCAAGCCTCCCACAAACAGCGCCCAGGCCGAGATCAAGAGATTCGCGGTCCAGTGGAGAGGTCGAAAGGTAGACCGTTGCTGTGAAAGCTCGAGCGGAGCTACTGTATTTGGATTGAACACCACAAGCTCAAGATTCAAGAAACGTCAAATCCACGAGCTCGCAGAGATAAACATAGCAAATACGACCACGGTGGGCGCAATAACGGCACGATCCCGACTGCAACCCGGCGTTGGCTCCTGCTGCACCAACTTTTGAAGGACAAAAGGGGAAGACCAGCTCAAGGCGACGTACCTTGCGTCGGCACGAAGGCTAATACTTTGTATTCTCGTTCGTCGGCTGGACTTCTGGAGTGACGTACAGATACAGAAACAGCGATGCATGCTCGTCTTGCGTCGCACCGTAGAATCATGCCGAAAGACGAGAATAAACATGGCAGGGAGCTTGATGGACTAGGACGTGACGGGGTATGAATGTTGGATAAGCGGGGATTATAATCACGATCGCTCGAGAGGAGAAAGATGCCTTTTTCGAGCCCACAAACAACGTCCAAGCATTCTATGATCAGTCAGCGCAAGTAAGCAACACGACGAAATAGCCGTTAAGCCGAGGCCGAGAGATGCTTACAGACGACAGTGATGCGGTGGGTTTGCTACAAGCAGCGAATGGCTAACGAAGCAACTTGACGGGCTGCCGATTGGGGAACCAAGGCCAGCATTACGGCATGACCTCGCTGCGTAAGGCTCCTACCGAATCCGAAGTGTGGTTCTTGTAATCTAGAGCTTGAGTAAGTTTGTGAGTAACGGAGAGGCCGGTGAGAACCGAGATGAAAAACTCTTGGACCCCAGGTTTATGCGAGTGAATATTACGTGCCTGATAGTATGGAATTAGTCGCCGGTGTGGGTCCATCAAGGACCGTTAGCTGGGCAAAGCGAATGACGACGGAGGAAACATAGTTACCGGGGCGAACTTGACCGTCCGAGCATGAAAATCGTTCAGGCAGAGAAATCGGGTGCTGGATAAAGGTCCTTCGACGGTCGTAGCGGTGGCTAAGTCGTGGACCAAGCGCTGAAGAGAAGAGTCCGAGACTGCGAGGGAACAGGGCGCATCAGACCGTCAGACGTCTGAAAGAGGAAGAAGAAGCTCATGCCGTACATATATGTATACAAGACCAGCTGGATGCAACTCAAGGCCCATTCCTCCCAGGGTCAACATCAGCGGGTCTGATTCGCCATGGTCTGTGCGGGGATAAAAGACGGAGCGCGCGTGTCCATGATGTATGGGGGCCTTTCTAGCAAACAAACGGAGAAGACACTCGAGACATCAAGCATGTTGCATCACGGCCATCACACCTGCTTCTTTGGGACTGGTTATGTCTGATGAGATAGGGTCCATTGGAGTAGTTCCGTTACGAACGCGAACGAGTATTTCATACGGACAAGTACAGGAACCTGCGATGAGGACTGAAGAGTCAGACGAGTGATGGTCGGAGAACATACCGGTATATGAAAACAGCCGATGGATTTGTGGCTGTATTGTGGTGCTTGTGGGGATCTATTTGAGGCGCTAGAATGGCAAAAGTGTGACCCAGAGATGAGGCCACCTACGTACATAGAATGCTGTCGAGAGCAGGGAATGGTGTACATGCTGTAAGTTCTGAAGTAACGATCGCGCTAGCTTGAACGCGAAGGGGATGTGAGGGCGGTACCGCGCAGCAAAGCGTCTCTTGAAGGAAGAGCGCGACTGGGAGATGAAAGATGGCCGTCGGAATTTGCGTAACTTCCAGAGAGAAGATGGCGAGGATGAGGTGTGAACGGCGGCCCACAGGCGCGTAGCCGGACGAACGGTAGGCCATGGATAATCCTCGCCGATGGTGCACACCTGCAATGTCGCAGACAGGTGTGCCAATGGGTCGATTCATGAATAGACAGTGAAGTGGTGGATCGCTCGGTCTGGAAAGGCGAAAGACCTGAATCCGGTGTCAGTCGGGAAAAGATCAGCTCGCAGGCTGGCGACGGAGAGGTGCCGAGCGAATAGATCGCTCATAAGTCCAAAAGAGGGAGTTCTCATCGAGAGGAAGAGGCGCAGGCGGTTGTCTGAATTTGCAAGTGCTTGAGTTTACACAAGTGTTACATAAAAAAGCCAGCCAGAAGAGGCAAGAAACGACCTGGTGAATGGGAGGCGCTGTGATTGATGCGAGCAGTGTTGAACCGAGGCCCGAGAGATGGAGGCTTGGGAGGAGTGGAAGGGAGAAGAACGTGGAGAGCAACGAAAGATCGATGTGCCGATTCGAAGCTGTGGACGAGTCCGAGGGCAATGGTGGGAGGAAGGTAGAACGCCGTCCGCACCGTTCTGTCGGAACGAAATGGCTCGGAATTTGCACTACTGGTGCACACGGTGGCAGACGGAGATAGTGCAGATCTGATGGCTGTGAGCGGGCAGGGCGGCCACTGTCCCGGCGGCTGCAAAAGGACGAGTAGGCCGTCGAGGACGACGAGCAGGGTGCCCGAGCAGGGGCGAGAGGGGTCGACGACGTCGCCGGTGGTAAGCGATGGACGTTGAGCGGGACGGGCGGTGGGAGGGCGAGCGTGGGGTGAATGCCGGAGATTAAAATGAAATTTGAAATGGGGTCGAGCCAGGACAGGTCGTTCGCACGGGCAGATCACGACGCGTTTTCCGGCGCCTCTGCTATCCTATTTATGCCTCCATTCATCCATGCCAGACCGTCCCCCTCCCCCCTCAACGGCCTCTGCCCTCTCTCTCTGCGTCGACGCCGTTCGCGACGATGGCCCCCAACATCACCACCATTCCCCGTGAAGTCCTTGAGCGCATTGCTTTCGAGCTCGTCATGACCGACCAGCGAGGTCGGCCTGCAGAGCTCGTTAGCCTCTTACTTGCCTGCCGCGACCTGAATAAGAAACTGTCTTTCAAGCTCTGTCCTGCTCTCTACGCTCGCATCCACAAGTCCATGTTTGATACTGCTGCCCCACACCGTCGCTTCGGCTCTAAAGCCATCCGCTCCTCCAATCTTACCTCGCAGCTCCGTGCAAACTGCTCCATGCTCCGACGTATCCGTCAAGGAGACGTCTATTCTCCTCACGTTCTCGATGACTTCTGGCTTGCATATGTTTTGATTATGGAAAATGATGGGAAGAATAGGGTGCAACTGGACAGAGCGGGCTTGGGCGTCGTTGTGAATAAATTCGTGCGGTCACGGTTGTGGGAGGACGCAGAGAACGGTTGGCCACGGGAGAAGGCCATAAACGCTCTTGCTCTCTGGTTGCTGTGGTGCACAACGACGAGAGGTTCGTCTTAAATGGTTCAATTCCTTCTTTTTCTTCTGTCTCAACAACTTTCACAGAGTCTGTCGACCATGAACATCCTACGGAACGTGCAGAGCTTGTGCGGCTCCTCCTGCCATACGTCGTCATGGCTTTCAAGGTACGCTATTCATTGTTGGCTCTATCTATGCTCCATCCTCAATATCGATCGCCCAGTATCCATCCTTTCACGCCCCCGACAACCACTTTTTCCTTCCGTTACCGGAGGAATGGGAGCGAGATGACCTTGTGTCTGTCCGGACTATCCACGGATCCTACCCCCTCTACCGCGAACCCGATGAAACGAGGCACACCTTCGCGCTCTACGGTTCCGACGTCGACGTCGGCACTCCATCGCTCACAGCCGCCGCCAAGCTCATCTACTTCTCTCGCCGTGAAGTCCTTCAACTTGACGTGCCCGACAACGTCCCCGTTAACCGGGCGCAAGCCAACGAAGTTGGTTACACCCGCCAAACCCAAGCCGACATCATCGAAGTCAACACTCACAAGGGCGCGAAGTTTTTGTCTCCGTCAGATTGGAAATGGGCAGAGAAGTTGTCGGACGAGGACTACTTGTACGAGACGGATGGCGTCTGGAAAGCGGACCTCAGGTCACCGAGCGCGCAGTGGGATTGTGATTGGGAACGAGTACGGTACTGTTGGGATCCGTGGTCTCAGCCTTTCTTGAAAGGTTCGACATACACGTTCGGTTGTCTAGACGGACTGTTCCAGGGCCGTATGCTGGTAAGTTACGACAGTCGATATCTTCTCTTTCGTATAGAATTACGTGTCCTGATTGAAGGTGTAGGTTCCCTCGGATGACGGCTACTTCAACCTCCTTCCCACGATGAACTACCCGCAAGACTTCAGCGAAATGTCTCCCTACATGACAACCTGGCCCGTCTTCATGCGTCTACGAGAGCATCATTGTATCAACCCTGCCGTAGCTCTGCTTCCAGGAGGACCCCCCGATGACCTTGCGGACGATGGCATTCAGAACGCTTGGATGCCCGCAGTCCATTGCCGTGAATCCGACGTAAGTCTAATTTCACGTTGATAGTCCTGTTTTATCATACTCATATACAGTTTTAGGGGAAGGTTATTTGTCGCGATGGTGATGACAACATATCGGAGTACGAAACATACGCATCGGGTCGTCCCTCTTCTCACAGCGCAGATACCTGCACCTTCTGTATCAGACGGAGGGCAGCCGATGAACAGGCGACGAGAGAACGATATGAGGCGCGGATTTCCTCTGTTCGGATAGAGGAAGTCGAGGATGAGGTGGACTTCCCTCGGCACGAGGACTACGAAGAGGATTTCGCAAGAGCATGGTCCCTTCCTTCGAGCTCGGACGAGTCGGACGATGAAGAGGACACTCTTGACGGCTCATGCTCCGGGATTCAAGACATCATCATCACTGGCGAGGTACGTCTTGACTTATCACCTCCTTGTACTCTATTGCATCGCTGATACCCTCCTCCCCGCAGACCGACCCTGACCATGGTGCAGCCTGGGGCCGCTTTACATTCCTAGGCCGTGTTCGATCTTGGGATGGACTGATCGCCCTCGTTCGTATCCCTGTACGTTGTTTACCCTCCGTGTCCGACTCCTGCAGCCTTGCTGATCTTTCGTATGTCATTTGAAGTATGGCCCACAGGCGCAAATGGGGCGTGCACGTTGGGTGTTCCGTGGCTACCTGCATTACGGCCAGGTCCTCGTCGGCAGCTGGCGAGGCGCGGCAACGGACCCGTCTTCGATTCCTTGGGAAGGTCCGTTCGTGGCGTCACGCCGCACGTAAATGCCCATACCCAAGGGTCGTACGCCGGGCGTGCACGACGAAGCTTTGGCCCCACCTGTGGCATCTCTCTCCGCCCCCTCGACTCTATTTCCTCCCTTTTGTCGGTCCTTCTCGGCACACGAGCAGATACTATACAGCGTAAACCCGTTCATCTATTCTCTCGGCCTCAGTCTTCATGAACTTCGTTCTCCCCACACCTTTCGCGTTTCCCCATCCAATCGTCATCGGCCCCGTTGCATCACTCCCTCTTCCGTTTTCGTCGTCTGCGATTCATCTTCTTTCCCTCGCTTTCTCGGCTTAGGCGCAAACATCCTTACGCTTTAGTCTGTACGCTGATACTCCGCTCGCTTTGCCCGCTTGTCTCCGGATCTCCCTTCGTCATTTCGTATATCACGCCCCGTTCGGCTGTCCCTCGAACTGGGATGGTACAACATCGCTCTATATGAGGATGATGTACAAGTCGTATACGTGCCCCTCGCATGCTCACCGATCTGTCTCGTGTTGCTCTTAAATTGTAGCTTACTTCTACCGTTCTTTCTCCTGGCTTTCATGATTTCATCCCGGGTCGGAACAGAACTTTCTCCTTTCTCTCGCACTGCACCCCGCATTCCCATTCTGCTGAACAATTTCCCATTACCTCACATTCTCGTATTCCCATTTGCATCAATACATATCCACGTCTCGTCATCTTTTGTGCTTCTCTACTCGCATCCGAATATATATATATACCTGCCTTTTCCTTGCGCATATCACTGCATGCATGTCTCGCTCTTGCTTCCCTCTCTTGCTTTACATATCGGCTTCAGTTTCGTCCCTGCTGTTCGTCTTCGTCTTTACATGCTTCCATACATTTTCCGTCTGTTTCCGTTTTAGATTCAGCGCAATACCTGTTTATTCACACACACACAATTTCTCGTCCGTTTCTTTGCATCCCTCTGTGCCCTTCGCGCAGAAAGTTAACAATGTACTACATCCAAGCCGAGCCTTCTGTAACTGTGCTTCATTCTGAACCGCTCAGCCCGTTGCCCTCGGTAATCTGTCTGCTGCCGCCGGATTCCTAGTTCGCGCACTGGACCCGTATGGACTGTATTTGTCCCAGGTCGAGGGCAGTGCATAGCATTCCACAAGAGCCAAATGAAGAGCAAAAGGTCAAGCCCGACCGACGGCGACTCATTGCATCGGTAGCATCGACGACGTCACGAGCGAGCCGCAGTAATAATTGCTGCAGCGGCAACTAGCGGCTCGGCTCGATCACGATCGAGTACTTATGATCGAGTAGCAGGCACGGAAGCATCTGCCCTCGTAAAAAGCCATCTCGCGTCGGCTCAGCATCACATCGGGGCTCCCGCACACCCGGAAGCTCCAGCAGAAACTGCTAATTGGTCAGGATTTGCGGAAATGAATTGTGAATAACGGGTGTTGCAACTCCGACGTCCGTTTGGAATTCTCTCTTTCGGATGATGGAGAGGTGTTGGAGGGAGGATATCGCGAGGCACACGGACGACGGACGACGGACATCGAATTTATTGACGACGGACGGCTTGAGCGCACATGAGGCGCAGGTTAGGATACCGTTGGCACGATTTCGCGAGGCCGCGGTGGAGCTCAAGGGTCGAGACTTGGGCCTAAGACCGCGGTTCAAAAGCATGGAGGAGGGTGTCTTCCATGATTTCTTTCGAGGAGTGCGTATCATGCTTGCTTACGCTTCATGCTAAGCATTCACTGTCTTGCGTGGTCATTTGTTTCCTGCTATCTCCGTAATCAAGGTCACAACTCATTCCATTTGTGATACTCGTATAGTAATTATCTGCAAGCGTACTAATAACCAGAGCTGCGGCGGGCCAGACATTAGCAGGTATGCTCGAGTTCACGGACAAGTGGACACTTTCATCTTTGGATATCTCGTGTCCATTGTTCTAATTTCGGTGGACGACATGAGAGCGGGATGATGACCAGCGGCAAGCCGACGGTACGCCTCGCAGGATGTGTCCGGTGATTCGCTCGTCCATGGTTGCCCATCTCACACTCTCTGTCCTTCCATCCACCCATCCATTCATCCCCAAGGAGCTCGGTTCATCAACACCGCCTTACTTTTGCTTAATTCTAGTCACCCTGTCTTCACCGTCGCGGCGTCTCGCGTATAGCGCCTCGTTCCACGAATGCAGATCCAAGAACAACTTGACTACGGCGTCCATGAAGATCCCCGCGGCACCACGAGAACGACGATCCTCACCGCCGCAACGACCGAAGCAGATGCAGCCGCCTCCGTCTCCGAGCCCGAGCACGTCGCCGCACGCGCCCCGTCCCAGTTTCAGACGGCGGCATTCGCACGAGCTGAACCCCAGCCCGAGCACCTGGATACTATGACTCTGACGGCGTTAACGGACATGATGAAGTCGGAAGGCTCTGAGTCTTTCGAGGCCTCCGTCGTGACGCGCGTCTATGCTGGCAAGTTATTCGACCCGGAGAGTCTGGAGTTATTGGAGAATAGAGTGATTACTGTCTCGGAAACATTGGGCTTAGTGCTTGACGTGAGGACGTTTGAAGAGGCTGAATACGGGGCAGAGACAGCAGTATGGAAGGATAAAGAGAATCGAGGCGAGGTGTCAAAAGTTAGAACGGTGGACCTGCGGAAGTTGACGGTGTTGCCGGGTTTTGTGGACGCACATGTACATTGTGAGTTGCTCCTGACAGTCCTGTTTTTGTGTATTCGCGTGCTGCGTCAGGGTGTATGGATATCGTGTTGATCGCCGTTCTATGGCAGTCTTCTTGCATGACTATGGCGAGACCTCATGGGAAGACCAAGTAAACAAAGAAAGTCTTGTCGAGAGGACGGTGAGGGCCACAGTCCACGCTAAACGCACACTCATGGCCGGTTTCACAACCGTCAGGTCAGTTCTCTCTTCAGTCTGTGCATACGGCCCCTTGCTCATCTCGCCAATACCAATCCCACCGTTGATAAGCGAAGACACTGATTGGAATACCCCCATCCCCACCCTCCTCAACCTGCATCTTACAGAGACCTAGGAACAGAAGGCGCCGGAGACGCAGACATCGCCCTCCGCAAATGTCTCTCAGGTCCCAACCCTCTCATCCCAGGCCCACGTTACTTTTGCGCGGACCGCGCTATCGCATCCACCGGGAGCTACCAACCCAAGAGCTCAATACACGTGCATCAGGAAGGAGTGGACGGCGTTTCCGGTGCTGAGGTGGCAGATGGTGTAGATGAGTGCATCAAGGCAGTGAGGAGGCAGATTGGTGCTGGCGCTGACTGGATAAAGGTATGTCGCGGTGACCCTGATTGCAACGGCGTCATGGAGCAGAACTAACAAGTGTGCTTGCAGATCTACGCAGGTGAGTTATGCCACAGACTGCAAACAACAACACACCAAGGGATACTCGTCTGACTCGCCGTTCGAATCGAAATGACAGACTACGGCGTTCGCAGCCGCGCAACCCTCGCCGGCCCAACACCCTCCATCCGCACCTTCTCAGCTCCCGAAACAGAAGCCATGATCCAGACAGCTCACTTCTACGGCGTCAAAGTCGCCGTCCACGCCGCCAACCGAGAAACCTCTATCAGCGTCCTTTCCCAAGGCGCAGACACCCTCGAACACGGCATGGACCTCGACAACAAACACTCCTTCCATCCTCCACGCAAAGGAGTCCACGAGCCTCATCTGTACGACCATCGATCGATGAAAGAGCTATTTGCGAACGCGATCTGGGTGCCTACTCTCGCTGTGTTCTATAAATCGGGCTTGAGGGAGAAGAACTTCGACCGCTGGCAGAGAATCTCCGAGACGTTCAGGAATGCGTTGGCGTCGGGGTTGCAGAATATTGCGTGTGGAGGGGATACAGGGGCGTTTTCGCATGGAGAGAATGCGCTGGAGATGCAGTTGATGGTGAGGCTGGGGGCAGATTGGAAGAAAGTGTTGAGGTGGGCGACGTTGGGCGGGTGGCGCTGCGTGCGGTCTATGGCGTGGGAGGGTGAAGAGGGTGCGAGGCGACTAGCGAATATGGCGCGGATGGGCGAGACTGCGACGGCCGTGGGGGACAATGAGGTGCCGTTTGGAGTATTGAAGAAGGGGTGGGCGGCTGATATCGTGGCCACGAAGGGCGATCTGGAGAAGGACTTTGAGAAGGCTGTGGATAGGGGCAGTATTGACTTCGTGATGAAAGCGGGGCGCATCTATAAGATTGATGGTCAAGAGGTACCCTCCCCATAGGCCAGTGACACCGATTCCATATTACATACACTCTACCTGTGAATACCTAACATTGTACAGTTGAACAAGCCACATACCTTGACATTCTGCGACTTTGATACGCACTACCCACCCTTACTCACCTCAATAACCATGCCGATCCATTTTACCATTTAGAGCGAACGAAACTTCTTGGACGATCACGAACGCGCTAGAAGCTGCATAGATCATATTCACTATCATGGTATCATACAAAGGAGTCGGATCAGAACCTGGCATATCAAGACATAGGCGATACAAAAGGAAAAAAAAGGTGAAGGCCGGGTGGATAGGATGGGTAGGGTGCAATCAAGCGCCGAAACCGTAGAGCGTGCGACCGGAGCGCTTCAACGCATAGACGACGTCAAGAGCCGTGACGGTTTTGCTGAGAACACATAGCGCCACATCAGCAACTCAAGCTACGACCACAAACACAGAAGGGAAACAGCGTACCGCTTAGCGTGCTCGGTGTAGGTGACAGAGTCACGGATGACGTTCTCGAGGAAAATCTTCAAGACACCACGGGTCTCTTCGTAGATCAAGCCAGAGATACGCTTGACACCACCACGACGCGCAAGACGACGGATAGCCTGTTGAGAGTGGATTGACGAGCTATATGTAAGTGATGCATAAAAGGGTGATAGAAATGCGATATAACGCACGGGCTTGGTGATACCCTGGATGTTGTCACGCAAGATCTTGCGGTGACGCTTAGCACCGCCCTTACCCAATCCCTAGAAGAGAGGACAAAAGGAGTCAGCATTTGGCCCCCCTCTCGACACGAATATGACCTTCAGGTCATACCGCCGAACGCGATGATGTTCAAAACAGTATGTAATGCACTGACCTTTCCACCTTTTCCGCGTCCAGACATTGTTGATATTGTTGTAGTGATGGGAGGGGGCGGAGGGCTGTAGAGATGATGGCGGTTGAGAAGAGAGAGGAACGACAAGCGGCATGTTCCGCTAATACACGCTCGTCCGCTGTGTCACGTGTCGGACTCACCGCCGCGACGCATCCCATAATGGGAGGGACAAACATTACAATTACGAGGTATTACTTAGAAATACTTACGATTACTTACGATTACTTACAGTTACGGCGGCTGCGCTTCTAGGATCTATTTCGTTACAATTACTTTCGATTACAGTCGAGGTGCGAAATGATTACTATTCAATACTATTCATTTGTATGATCCGTACGCACCAAAGACATTTTTGGGTCAGGTGGAAGCTCCGGATACTTAGGCCCCGACTGTTCGATTGCCGCCACATTCACCTTTTGGGGATGAGTGCCCGTAGCCTGCTTTTCGCCACATTTTTGCTGTTCTACCTGCCGTTCGACTCAACACTGTAAGGACACGGGAAAATCATGTGTATATCACTTGCAATGCTGCAGCACTTGTATCATTCAGCATTGATGCGAGTGAGTTGCTGAACCAAAAAGATATGATGCACGTGCACGCAAGAGATTTCATACCATTACTTACAATTACTTACGAATTGGGCGCAATACAGGGGGAATACATTACAATACATTTCCGGATCTCAACGCGCATGATTTCGAGGGAATACTATTAGATTACATTACGCGGCGGTAATGTAATGTAAGTAACGTTTGGGAAACCCTGATCCCATTCAACAGACTTCCAAGAATCAACAAACCATCCTCTTCCTGTCCGTTTACGTGTCGGGATAGACTTCTTTTGTGTTCGAAATCCTTCACGAGCCTTGATAAATTGACTACGAAACATGGACCAGCTGCAACGCCTCCTCGAAGGCAAGTGAGAGTCATCGTTTGCAACTCGCACCATTCATCGATTGAAGCAACGACTCCTGCCTTGTAGAACAACTTGCGGTGGCATCTTTGCCGACAGAAACCAAGGAAGAAGTTATCCCAGGCCCGCCTGAATTTCTGAGCACCGTTTTGGGAACCTTGCCCTCTACAGCGAAGCCCGGAACGGAAGCACTTCCACTTATTTCTCCTGACCCAGAGCGACCCTATGTTACTCTCACTTTTGCCCAATCTCTCGATGCGAAGATCGCTGGCAGGGGTGGGGTGCAGCTTATGATCAGCGGCGATGAAAGTATGAAGATGACCCATTGGTGAGTCGGTAGTTCGGTCTTGATATCTTTATCTCGATCAAGGCATTGATGACCTGTTAACTGGAAGAAAGGATGCGTACTATGCATGACGGTATTTTGATCGGGGTTGGTACCGCTACGAACGACAATCCTCAACTGAACGGTAGGTTGTTATCAGCTCATAACATATTTAATAGTCTTGAACATTTCTCGTTGTCAGTTCGCCACCTACCATTCCCACCTCAGAATACCCATCTTCAGCACTATCATCACCCGCGTCCAATCGTTTTGGATCCAGCCCTTCGTCTTTCGAAGAAGTGTAAGCTAATCGCCAATGCTTCCAAAGGCGCCGGTGTGGCACCGTGGATAGTAGCTGCTCGTCCATCTAAGGCAGATGGCTTCTGGGCAAGCGAAGGCGATGAAGATAGCGCAAAGGAGTGGGAGGCGCGAAAAGAGACCCTTGAGGCTGCTGGCGCAAAAGTGATCCTAATCGAACAACCCATCCTTCGTACGCTACTGCGTCTCCTTTCTCGGTGACTCTGTTTGACATTGACGATATCAATGATTTGCAGATCCTGATCTTCCGTCGACAAGTACTGATCTTGACCTCTCCGCCGTTCTGAAGGCGCTGCGTGCTGAAGACATCAAGTCTGTCATGGTTGAAGGCGGCGCGAGGATCATTCAGTCGTTCCTGTCCTCGACGGTGGAGTCGGGCATTATTGACACTCTGGTCGTGACTACCGCTCCTGGGTTCATTGGTCGAGATGGGGTAGGCTATGGGGAGGGCTTGTCTCGTGTTCCGGGTATGCGATATGTGGCAACTGAGGTTATGGGGAAGGACACGATCGTCGGTTTTAAGGTGGCCTCGTGATGTTAGGAAAGCTTGATAGCTGTTTTCAGAATTGTAGTCGCATCCAGGATTTTCGTCGACGGAGCTTGGCCCCACTCGGCCGGGGCTTCCAACGGGCTCGCCACAGGCTGGGCCACAGCACTCTCGTATGCCTCAGCAACCCCTCAGAGCATTAGTCCCGATGAACATGTCTCCAAGAAAACTCCAGAACCTCATGCAAGATATATGTCTCATAAAAACTGCCTACCTGATATTTTGAGGTGGAATAGTAATGCCTATGTTGATGTTATGAGGGCAGGTGTGGCCCTTCGTAGGAATTGGTGCTTGCGTCCTGAAACGGTAGCTGGTTGCGCCAGAAAGCTCCGACCGCTCCATCGAACGAAAACGCGGGTACGACTACGATTCTGAAAACAGCTGGAAGGACTTGAAAATAACAAAGGCTCGAGAACGTTCAAAGGTCGTCGGAAGCCGGAAAAGCACCGTCTGGGCGTTGTGATTGGCTCTCGCGCGCTCGGATCACCATTTCAATTTGGGGCCTTCGCTCCACACCTGTTCTCCAAACTCTCGAATTTTCGGGACAAAGACTGATATTTTCGGACCATCGTTCATATTTTGCGTTGCAGATACGGTCTAATAGTCCATGCAGTATCTACATTAGGGGGAGAAATGGCTGTGGCACTCCACACCACGCAAGTTGGAAAGAGCGGGAAAGGGCTAGAATCATGTATGACGTAGTTCCCGATTGTATCTGGCAAGGGGGGGATGTTGCCGGCGGGACGCCAAGTCACAGCCACAAGAAACCGTCTTCGCGTCGAGCGAATACCGGCTCATCCACCAACGCGATTCACCAATATTCGCCAATTCTTGTGATGTTTCTCGAATGATCTAGTATCTTCTTTGCGCCCCGGAGCGCTTTCTTTCTTTAAAACCACAAAGCTCGTCGAATAGCTTGTTTCCTTTACGCACCCTTCGTCTCTGCACTCACTATATCCCGGGCCCCGTCTACCGTCTCTTCAAGGGACTGTGTACCGTACGTATCTCTCTTTTGCACACTTCTTCGTATTGACTAACGCAATTTTACTTACAGAGACCACCATATTTCGTTTCAAAAATATTGTTCGCAGCTCCCGACCATGGGTGACTCTCAACGAGGACAGCCGTCCAGGCCTCCAGAAAACTCTGATTCCGTCCCGAATGCAGGCAGGCAAATGGGCTCATCACACCAGCCTCAATGGAATCAGAGCTACAACTTCAGCCCTCGGTATTCTCATGTTCGCCTTCCATCGCAGATTTTCTGGCATCGATCTTACTACTTTTTGCAGACCATCCACGAACCACCATCTTTCTCGCCCAGGGAGCCAGGTCGCTCTGATTCAGATGCCACGAGTCCACCCTTCGTTGGGCCCTACACGACCGCCTCTCCGGCCCAGCCCATGCTGATTTACCCCCCTCCCATGCCCGTATACCCTCCGCTACAGCTCGTCCATCATCCCGTCCGCACAAACTCATTCAGTACTTATTCTGTGCCTGCAGCCCAGCCATTGCCCGCTATGCAGACACTACCCTACCATCACCACGCGTGGGCCCCGCCTGGGAATCCTGCACATAACACTGTCTACTCTCATTTCGCGCCCATGCCGACTACGAATAATTGGGGTCAAGCTTTTGGCCCACCCATGAACGTCAATGGGCCGTCAGTACCCGGACCATACATGTTCACCTCCCCGCAACCTCATTTCCCCACGAACGTTGCCGCCGGTGGACATGGCTCCTTTGGAGAGTCACAGTCGGGTACGTGGTGGCAGTTTCCTTCCGATACAAATGCTTCACCGACCTCAGGTTCGAGTTTCCATGCGTCCGCGGAGGACTTGTACAGGACTTCGTATGGTCCTACTCGAGAGACAGAGTTGAGGCCTGTAGCGATGCATTCCCATGCATCTCTTCCGCCCTCTTCTCCGCAGCACGCGATACCGACGCGACGAATTAGCCAGCCTCAACCGAGCATGGTCCAGCCCGCCGTAAACATGCAGACGACGCCTCAACCTCCCCCACTCTCACCTCTCACCCGTTCCGAACCTTCCACACGGCCTTCTCTTGCTCGGTCGCAGAGTCATACCTCATCTACTCACTCTCCAGCACCAGTGACACGCTCTCAGTGGGCCATGTGGGTAGGAAATGTCCCGGCAGACGCCACAAACGAAGAACTTTCCCTCTTCTTCAATCAACCGCACCGTAATACGCCGTCGGACAACAGGGAAACTTCGCCTTCGACACTGAGCCCGATTTCGGGGGGCGTCACTTCTGTCTTCCTCATCGGACGTTCCAACTGCGCGTTTGTTAATTTTGAATCGCAGTCACAGCTCGAGTCCGCCGCGACGACATTCAATGGTCGACGATTGCGCGAAGGCGATTCACGTGGTCCTCGCTTGGTATGTCGCGTTCGGAAGCAAGACGACGATGACCATGCGGGAGTAAATGGGCAGCGTCAGTCGAACATACACGTGAAGTGGCTACGCGAACGACAGCTCAGGACGGATGAGACGACGGCTGCCGTCGCCGGAAACAGTTCTAAGCCAGCCCTGCCAATTTCGCGGCCCGTCACTGTCGACGATATCGCTACGCAGCTACGCTTCCTCTCCTCGCGGGCCGTAGATGTTGATGCACGCAAACAAGGCAATGTCTTGTCGGAAGACTCGTTTGGGAGCACAACCTCGAGTTTACTGTCAAGACATTTTCCTCGGCGTTTCTTTATCCTAAAATCGCTGAGTCAGGTAAGTTTTGCCAAGTATCAATCAATCTTTACAAGTATATTGATTTCGGTTTTTTTTCCTCCGAGTGACCTCGACGAGAGCGTGCGAACCGGCTTTTGGACCACTCAGCCGCACAATGAGGATATCCTGAACCGCGCATATCGTACCAGTCACTCAGTTTACATCATCTTCGGCGTCAACAAAAGTGGAGAGTTTTATGGTTATGCCAGGTATGTGATATCTCGAGTTCAAAGCCGTTCTCTTGCTCAGAGCGACCACAGAATGGCAGGGCCCATTGGATCAGCGTCACTACTGTCATCACAGCCCATTATCGACGGAGCCGCCCCCGAGCAGACAGCACAGACCACCAATTTACTCCCAACAGCCCGATTCAGGGCCGAATCACCGGAAGTCGTTGATGAGGAAGAGCATTCCGACCAGGACAACGCACGATCTCATCCCGGGGATACTTCTCAACCACCGTCATACATGAGCATCATGTCAGCGCCACCCCAGCTTGGGCCACCGCGCCAGCAGGGGCCCTCTGCGGACGCTCACCCAGTTACCGATTGGGCCCCTACGCTGATACCCGCCGTGAACCTCGAAGGCATCACAGAGAGTATCAGGGAGCCAGGCGAGGAGGCAGATGAAGTTTCTCCTTCCACAGAAGCGAAAGCCCTCGGCACACCGTTTATGGTTGAGTGGGTCCGGACGGACAGACTCCCGTTCCTACGCACACGCCATCTCCGCAATCCCTGGAACCATGGTCGACAGGTCAAGGTTTCTCGAGACGGGACCGAGTTAGAGCCCGATGTTGCTTGTCAGCTTCTCGAGGAATGGGACCGACCACCCCCTCCCGCCCCATCTACACAAAATACGCCATCGCGTACGAAACCACACGCGCCTTCACAACGCCGACGATCTAAAGCATCCGCCGGTCCCACCTCTCCCACCTCCCCCTCATAATACCCGCTCGACCTGACGGAAATACGCTAGTGTCAGGTCGTTCACGTTCCCATCGCTACGAAATCTGTCGACGTCCCGTTTGGAGTTGTCCGACTCGTAGACTCAAGCTCTATTCTCAATGTTTTACGTCTCTTCATGTTTTTAATGCCCCATTATCATCACACTGCATACGTAACAGTGCCCCTCTCTTCCTCCTTTTTTGCTTTCTGCTTAATGACACACCATCAGCATACACGCACACACGCACACACCACATACGTAGTCGTACCCTCCATCATTTTTCACTCCCTCTTTTGGTATCTCCGGTGTTGTTTTTTGTTTTTGTTTTTCCCTGGCGTATACTCGTTATTTGTTGTTATCGGTCGTAATGCTTTGCTTTGTGTTGACGATGTTGCAAGTTAGGGGTAGTGTTTTTCAAGTTGCTCGGGTATACGTACACGTTCTAGCAAGTCACTGTATACTATCATGGTACACGAGATGCAATTCAGTTGATTTTTTTTCCATTTCAAGTTCAGCTGAAAGCATAAATGAAGGAAGGTACGTGTGGAGGGAGTTATGGTTCGGCGAGTGGCCAGCGCCACACCGCGGGTGTGGCACTGGAACTGGTGAGCTACATTTCATCGCATTAATCCATGGCTTCCTGGAGTAGCACCGTCATCTTGTCCAACAAACCCTGTGCTCACTCTTCAATATATGGTCGTCAATATACTATCTTCCCTCGACATTCACCATCACCCACCCCATTCTGTTCTGGGGCATTGGTGCCCAAATGCAAGACCGCTGGATCGTGGCTGAAACCGTATGCGTTATGGTTTCAGACTAGCAGCCTGAGATGCAATATCTTGGTAGTTATCGGTGTTGGACCACTCCCATTCCTACTTTATTGGTGAAACGTCAACCTTTGCTCCAACTCAAAGCTTCAAGTGGTCGATCCTCACCATGAATCGCTGCCCAGTCGAACTGTGGGCCCTCATTTTCGCCCATGCGTGTTCTGACGACGGTGGAAAGACGTATCGCTCACTAGCACTCGTCTCTCGGTACTTCCACTCAACGTCAAAGCATCTGCGATTTCTATCCATAGACATCAAAGATCCACAAGGCGCCGAACTGCTCTCTGACGTCCTCGAGCGCGAATTCCTAGTTACATTTCCGTTCCACCCACCCAATCCTCCTAGATTCCGCCATCTTGCCCTCACTGACCGGCATCCGGATCCCAGTCACGTCTATGGCCCCTCTGACGCCCTCAAGCTCTCCCTGGCATTCGAGCGCATCCTACACACTGCGGCTCCGACGCTCGTCTCCCTGACCATCGACAAATCGTACTTCAGTCGATTCGCACACAATCTCGTCCCCGGGTGCCTCCCCGCCCTCGTCGAACTCTCGCTCACGAACCTCGAGTCATTCCCAACTTCCAGACCGGATAACAAGAGCGAAGGATTCTCGGCACCGCTGCCCTCGTTGAGACGACTTCACGTCCATTTCACGGAGAGCACCGATATGGAGTGGTACCGGGCCAATCTGTTCGACGCTCTGCCTTGGATCGCGCCACACCTCGATGTGTTCCATGTCGAGGGGATGTTTTGGTACGCTGGGATCGTGGAGTTTATCAGTAGGACGATATATTGCGAGAGTGGGATCGCTCGAGAGCACCCTTCCCCGCGCCCGGAAGAGCCATACCCTACGCTTCCGGGAATCGCTCCATCCTTGGCAGACTTCCGGATCGGCACCTCGAACTCCATCTCGAGGTCGTCCATCGTTCAGCTGGCAGACGAGACAGATAGTGAAAATGCGAGGGAGAGGCGACGGCAGCTATCACTCAAAGCCCAGGGCTACAAGTCCAGGACCCACATCGCATCCTTCTGGCGTCGTCTGCGTGTCGTGATCGTCCCGATACCCTCGCTCCACGAATATCCGGGCTCGTACCCCAATCTGAGTGGACAGATCGACGATGCAACGACACACTTTCCGATCTACATGAGCAAGACGGCGTTTGGGTTCATGATCAAGCTTTTCGACGAGCTCGCGCAGAGGGATGAGGAGGGGAGGTTAATCGTGATTGATGGGTCGCGGGAGGCATTGAGGAGAGATGAGAAGAGTAAAGGTTGGGCGGGAAAGTTGAGGAAGTTGTTTACGCCGGCGCATAGTCGATGGACCTAGTAGATGTATACGCCACCTAGAATCTAAGGATAACCACAGAAGGATGACTTCGAGAGTATGCAGTGCACCTAGGGAGAGAGACTCAGTGTGGTCCTTAAGCCTACAAGCAGTAGCGGCGGCTGAGGCTGAAGATGATCCTTTAAAAGCTCGAGATGCCAGCACAAGTCGTTTGTGAAGATTACCCCAATTTGTTTGAAACCGACGACATTTGAGTGGATGCCAGTGGAAGGCAAATACGACCATGACGCGTGATGGATCAAGCATCCACGACTGCACGTTACCACAGTTCATACATTAGTTCGTCCACATCCAATCATACCTACTGTTATGTTGTATGTACAAACGGACATGTGGGTAAATGACATACTCCGGCGGTGGCAAGTGAACGACGACAGTGTAGAGTTCAGAGCTATGCCAGAGTAGACCTGGAAGCCCTTAGTGAGAACCAAGAAGGCACAGACAGAGAGGATACATCAGGTCGGGCACCAATTCATGACACTTGCCCACGAATTGCATGCGAGGCAGCCAGAGGGTATGGGTGAGGCCAAAGCGAATATCGAGGCAAAGTTCCTCGCGCGACTTCGGTAAAAAGCGTCTGGACCGAGAGATTGGCTCAGAACTGAGCACTTTATTCGTGCGGAAGATCTTCTGCCCCAAAGCTCAACAACTTCCCTGGAAAGTGGGCATGTAGAAATTACATAAATAATATGCACAATGCAATTATCGACCTTTGTTATCGCGATGAAGCGACATAAGGGAGAAAAGAGGACAAAAGAGGGAAGGAACAAAAGACGAGCAGAAGTTCCGAGCGCAAATGCCCAATTCCAGACGCGTCCGTGCGCAATCTCTTGCGTTTTTCGTTGACTCTGTGCGTGGGAACTTATTGTCGGAGCGCGAAGTTGCGACCTCATCGCCCCGTCATCACTCCCCTCTCTTCCCTCTCAACCACCACCATCAACTCCCCCGACCCCGCCCGCCCAGCAAGTCACCCCCATATTTCTACCCAACCACACTCTACATCGTCCAATGGCCCGTACTAAGGTATATTCCCCTCCTATTCATCGTCGTTGTTGTTGCCGTCGTCTCACACGTTGTCTCCTAGCAAACCGCCCGCAAGTCCACCGGAGGCGAGTACCCACGCTGCCGATTTACCGCTTTCGTCCCGCCGCCCTTTCTCTTGTCTAATAACCTACCCGTCTCTTTCTATAGGAAAGGCTCCCCGTAAGCAGCTCGCGACCAAGGCCGCGAGGAAGACTGCGCAAGCTGTGCGTTGTTCAACATTGTCTTTTGTCTTGAACCGCTAACTCAACTTCAACTCCTGATGGTCCACGCGTGTCCGTATTGTAGGCCACCACTGGTGGTGTCAAGAAGCCCCATAGGTTCCGCCCTGGTACCGTCGCCCTCCGTGAGATCAGGAGGTACCAGAAGTCCACCGAGCTCCTCATCAGGAAGCTCCCCTTCCAGCGTCTCGTCCGTGAAATCGCTCAGGACTTCAAGGTCTGTTATGACTATAAGCTGTGTGTATGTTGCGGTGCTGACAGACACGTCTCTATTGCCTTGCTGGGTCTAGACCGACTTGCGCTTCCAGTCCTCTGCCGTGATGGCCCTCCAGGAGGCCGCCGAGGCCTACCTCGTCTCCCTCTTCGAGGACACCAACTTGGCTGCCATCCACGCCAAGCGTGTCACGATGTACGTCTACGTCTGCTACCCTTTTCGGTAATGTCTGACGCCATCCCTTTACAGCCAACCCAAGGATCTCGCGCTTGCCAGGCGTCTCCGTGGCGAGAGGTCTTAAAGAGTGACAGCTCTTCTTGCCCACCGGTTGTTATCCATCGTCTCTACCTTCTATCGTACTATGTCGCACCCCCACTCGTGATTGTTTCTGATTTCTTGGCCATGCCTTCCTCTGTATGATGTATGTGTTATATATGATCTATCGTTGACAAAACTATCGTCGTATCGTGCGAACGTTCGTTGAAAGCACAACCTGTTTAGTGAAACAATCTTTTGGAGTGAAAGGCTATGGTGGTAATCAATTTCAGCGCTACATCCCCGCCGTACCTTGCTAGGACTCGAGAGGGAACCCGTTTTGGAGTGCTTTGCTTTTGTTCTACTTCTTTCGGTCATGTTATGACGGTGGACATCAGCAACGACGCCATACATTTTTCGTCCAACCATCATGCTCCTTGTATCTCAGTTACAAATGCTAGCCCTCCAAGAAGTCTCAGAGACCCGCCTTCGTAGGGATGAAGAGCCCATCCCAGCACTTGAATCCGACGTCTGTCGAAATCTACGCAAACGAGATACAATCAGTCCTACCAGACGAGCGGACAAGAAAGAAGGCGTATGTACGTACCGTGGACGAATTGCACATGGCGGTGACAGGTGAACCCGTCAATGTAGTGGCGGCAATGTCTTTCGCGACGATATTCGTGGCTAATACAAACAAAGGTAAGTAACAGGACATATGTTGGTCGTGGTCAGAAAAGGACAAGAGAAAAGGGTCGACGGGATGGTGAGATAGGGGGAGGACACGTACCGGTGTCGGGGTACAAGTCGAATATGGCGACTTCTTTGCCTGTGGCGTTTGTCACTGCGTACCTGTGAGAATAGTTTGTGTGGACCACTTTCAGGACTCGGGCCCTCGTGGGGACATGATAGTTGTGTTGGACGTACCAACAGGGATCGGTTATACAAGAGCCTTCGACGTGTCCTGGCGTGCTGTCGACGACGCCAAAAGTTAAGATGAGCTGTGGCGAGGCTGTGTATGGAATGGAATGGATGGACTCACTCTTGGATGGTACCAGAGAAGTTCTGGAAGAGGAAATCCTGGACGTGGGTGTTATTAACGCTGGTCGAGTTTGGCTTGGGTCCGTCCTATGGTCCGACCTCGTTAATGTGAAGTCCGCGCGACAGAGGTCTGGGTGATAATTGGGGTGCATACGTCTTGGTCCCAATAACTTGGAGCGGTTGATATGATGAGATGAGTCACTTATCCTCGGTTGAAGAGTGAAAGGAAAACTTAGACTTACTTCTGAGTAATATAGATCTGGAAACAAGAATGGCCCGAAAGAGACCGTATTATGAGTATATGAGGATACATCTGGGGGAAAAAGCACGCACGGGGAACATCACGTTCTCGAATGCGATGTTCTTCCAGGTGATGCTACCAAAACAAACGGAGCATATGCGGTCAGCAAGATTTATGTCTTCGTTCCATATCGACGACTCCAAGGAGGTAGGCCACTAACTTTCGAGCGAGACCGTTTCCTCCCGTCCAGCTCTTGAACCGAGCAGCATAGAGCGAGTTGTTCTGCGAGCATCCCCTTCAGTGCTCACGAAGTAATATAACGAGGAGCAGTTAAACGTACCACGACGATATTCTCGATCCTGCGCGCAGGTGCACAAAGAGAACAGTGAGACCATGCGAATAGGCTATACATCTAACCACTCATCGAAAATGCACCATATATTCTCAACATCCGCTACGTCGCCGCCTTCCCCGAGTGAGCCTATGGAGAGCCCGTGCCCATTTTCACAGTAGGAGTCCCTGAGAAAGATAGAGGTCGCGTGAGCAGGTTCTCTAGAAAATGAGACGAGGACGCAGAGGGCTTACTTGAAGACGATGTTGGTCGCGCCGTTTCCGACGGTGAGGCAATCGTCTCCGTTGACGACGTGGTTATTCTCAAAGGTGAGGTTCGTTCCGCCCGCAGAGAATCCTAGAGGGGCAGGTTCTCACACTCCACATATAGAGTACAGGGGCAGAAATCGGCATACCGTCTCTATCGAAGGCAAAGTTGAAGAGTGTAAGCAGCTGAGACGCATGCAATGGATAAAGACTCACGTATTGAATGGGAAAGATGACTACACAGCCCACGTATAAGTCAGTTTGCAGAGTATGGCACCAAGTTTCCAGCATACAAAGCCGATGCCTGGGAAATACAGACCGTGTCTGACGCAGCCAAGATCTTGTTGTTCGAGATGACGACATTCGACGAGCCACTGGTAGCGAAATTCCAGCCAATGGGCTAAAACATCACCAGAGATAGTACTTTAGCGAGAGGACCATGAGCCCGTGGGTGTCAAGACTAACCTTCCAAATTTTCATATCCGTGATCAGGCCGTTAGTGATCTTGCTGAATGCAAAGCCGTGAGGACGATTCGTTTCTTCGACAGCATCCCACCACTGTGTATGTAAGTCTTAGTGAACGTGAAAAGAGAACAAGTGAAGATGGCGACTTACCGCTTGCCCGTGCGCGTCCACCCAGCCCCATGATGGGTCGGTAGAGCCTCGCAGAGTAACGTTGCTGCCGCCTTTAAAGGTGAACCTTGAAAATGGGACACCTCGTCAACTGGTCGCCAAGCATGAAGATGGGAAGCAATATACCAAGCTCCGCCATAGCTCTGCACGTCAGACTAGTCAGCTCAAACCTAAATACCCTAGGAAGGTACGCACAGAGGATGTAACAGCGGCTACAGACAATCACCAAATCGTATTACGGACCTCACGTCAGTAGCAGGCCTGGAGAAATCACGTCCACACACCTTGTACAGCAGAGATATTCGTTGGATACGACAAGTTTCCTTGAACACTTACCTCCACATTCGTCAACTCTGAGAACGTGATAGGGCTGAAAATGTTATAATAAACATCCTTCTGAAATAAGATGGTCGCATTTGACGTGTAGTTCGTGGAGGCCAATGCAGCCTGAAGGGCGACAGAGTCGTCGGTTCCATCGGTGTGTGGCACGACGTAGGTCGTCCACGCGTAAACCGAGGACAACTGCAGAAGACTCAGTGCAAGCAGAATCGACAACATCTTTACTATGTCCACGAAGAGAGGCGTAAGGAGCAGGAAGGGGTACACCAGATGCGACGGTGATAATTCGGTCGCGTCTCGAGGTATTTAAGTGTTGGGAAGGAGCGCATGTGATGGTGCTGGAATAGACGCCGTAATTTCGGGTGCTGAAAGGACGTAGCACGAGGTAGCGAAGTCTCGTTGTACGACTGATGTCCAGCTGCCTGAGGAGCTGGATTGTGCCCAAGACCTTTGGGGCCTACCACCAACAAGAGTTGTGACATGCCTAGAAGGAAATATGCCAGGCAATGTCGACATGTTGAAAACCAGGGCGGGTTTGCGATTTCATCGATGAAAGCTCTCAAAACAACGTCCATTTTAAGCTGATCTCGCAAGGACTTGTTGACGCAGCGGTCAATCGGTCATGTTCAAACAAAGAACGGCGGCCCGGAGATGTTCATGTTGTGGTCCGCCTGCACCGCGTTTCAGCCTGTCGCAGGTCACATTGCTACGTACCTGTAGTTGAAAATTCATTATGGTCAATACGGAAGCATTAGTTCTTCAGAACGAACCACTCACAAGAGCTACCCTTGCGCCGATAAACGTTGCCCAGCACTGAAAGATGTGAGGTGCTCACAAGAAATAATCGTTTGCATGCAAACGAGCCTTACCGCTAGTTCTGTCAGGATAGAGAGATTTGGTTGGTCACCTGGGCGTTCACGAAGCAACTGGTCAAAAAGCAAAATCAAAAGCCTCGATATTTATGGACAAAATGGAATGCATTGCTTTGAATGAGGTGCAACAGCAGATGCTCATTCGGATCGTCGGGGAAGGATGTAAGGGAAGGAAAGGCTACATCAACGATGACACTTCATTATTCCGCCGCTCAGGACCGTTGGGGATCCTTTCCCATCTCGATGTGCTCTGATTCGAGTGGTAGACTGATAGTCTGGGGGCTCGATTGCCTTGCGTTAACCTTGATATTGATGGCAAGTGTCTTCTTGTAGCCCGCCGCACTGTAGATAAGCGGGAAGCTCTGTGTTTAGTGCGGGAAATTCCTATGGAAGCAGCATAGAGCATTGGTAAAATGATGAAAAACAGCGTGGCAGAGGGACGCACCCATTGAATTGATACCATAAACCGCACCTTGACGTCTCTGACGCTGTCAACCAACAAATCTGAGAGAATCTGCGTTGATGTAGTACTTCGCAACCTCCCCTGCAGCAGCAACCGCCGTCGCGTCCGGCACGAGCATGAATGTCTGGGAGAACACGCGAGGGTGTCCTTCGATGGACTTCGCAGGCGTCGACGCTGGATTAGCAGCCGGTCCACCTCCATGAGTCACTGTCCCAGAGACTGTTATAAGAAGAGACGGAGGTTGACTGCCTGCGAGGACACGGCCAAACGAGTCAGCCTTGCGCTACGTCGCGAACCGGGGAGAACGCACCTGGGATAGGATGGCAATCGAAAGACTGGACTTCGTGCTTTGTCTTTGGCATACGTGTAATGAGATCACGAACACCCTCTATACCCTCATAGGGGGTCCCATTCCATGTTAAAGCTGAGTTGCTGCGATAGAAGTTGGGCAGGTCGTCGATGCGCGTGGAGGAGTCGTAGGTGCTATAGTATAGTCGCGTGAAATGGTCGGCTGCCCGAGTCGCAATCTCTATACTGTATAGAAGAAGAACCTTCAGATTTTCGCTTTCCATAGACAGCTGTCCAGGAAATTGACGCACTCTTCTTTCGTAAGGACTGTCATGATAGATGTGGGGGTCTTTCTGCAGAATTATTGCTACACGTTTACGTGTCATCATGAGTATTTCAGTCAGAATCTTGGGCGACATAGTATCAATAACACTTACGCACGAAGGTGTGAGGCAGAAACGAGATGGAGAGACAAGAGCTCGGGCCTATCGACGCTTGAAGCTGCGTTGAAGTATGAGTTTATGAGCAAAGAGCGAGTCGCGTTCTTTCGGTTCCGAACTGACACGCTTTGCACGTGCTACGAGTACCGAAGCGCCGCCGTAATGCTCGGAATGTTCCGGACTCCTCTCGTTTTCCCATATTTTGGTTGATTTTCTCGCCCATTTATGCTCGCTTACACTGCTACGGTATACCTCCCGGAATTGAGCGCTTTGAGAGAAACAGACCAGTCAGTAAGTTTCAGCATACAGTAGCCGCGTTTCAAATTTTCATTGTTATGCGTCCTTGTTTCTGCAGACAGAAAGTTCCAAAAGTCATGTAAGACTGTTGTGTATATTGTAATTTCTATTGTAATTTCATACTTTATGCGCCCTGCATATATAATGCGCTGTTTATCGGCAGAATTATTTGTTGCGAATTAACTGTACTCTGATTCGGTGGCAGTCGGTGGGTGGCGTGCCGTGCGTAACGTGTATTACGTCAGCTAAATACGAGTAGTCTTTGGTGGCCAAACAAGGGCCAAACAGACTTACCCCGCTCGCCCCGCACTGCGTCGACGAGCACATCCCCGACGACATGGCCGACTCTATTAGCAATGGCTTCAAGCCCCTCCCCCTCACCGCTCTCGGCGAGTACACAGTAACACAGGAGATCGCGGAGGGAACGTTCGGAAAAGTCAAGAGTGCGTCTCCTACGTGTCTTACATTTCCTGCTCAAAGAGCTCACGGTGGCCCATGCCGTTCCTCCAGTGGCCACGCACAAGTTGACGGGTCATAAGGTCGCCATGAAGTTCATCTCAAAACAGGTCATTCAGCAGACAAGGACGAAAAACAGAGTCCAGCGCGAGGTCGAATATATGCGTACTCTACGGCACCCACATATTATCAAGCTGTGCGTCCTCCCCCGTACTCTATCAGGGCCATATACTTACGACAAGCTCGCGACAGATACGAAGTCATCTCGACAGACACAGATATTGTCATTGTCCTCGAATATGCCGGCGGAGAACTGTTCAATTACATTGTCGAGAATGGACGCATGCCAGAGCCCCAGGCACGGCGATTCTTTCAGCAGCTCATCTCCGGGATCGAGTACAGTCACAAGCTGAAGATCGTCCACCGAGATCTCAAGCCGGAGAACGTGCTTCTCGATGATGACCTCAACGTCAAGATTGCTGACTTCGGTCTGTCCAACGAGATCAAGGACGGCGACTTCCTCAAAACCAGCTGTGGCAGCCCGAACTATGCAGCACCAGAAGTCATCCGTGGGGGACTATACACGGGACCGGAGATCGATGTCTGGAGCTGTGGTGTTATCCTCTATGTCATGCTTTGTGGACGATTGCCATTTGAAGACGACGATGTCCAGACGCTCTTCACGAAAATTAGCCGTACGCCTCGCTCCGACAATAATAATACTCCGTCCGCTGCTCACAGACCCCCTATTTTTAGAGGGACAATACCACATGCCGTCCTCTCTGTCTCCTGATGCTCGTCACCTCATCAATCAAATGCTCGCCGTGGATCCCGTCCGACGCATTACCGTCCAGGAAATCACACAACACCCGTTCTACACGACCGACCTCCCCAGATACCTTCAACCTCTACCACCTCCACCAGGACCTGTCCTTGGCTCATTATCATCACTCGTCGTTCCCGCCAAACCTCTTGACTTCGAGATCATCGACGGCCTGGGCAGAATAGAGGATGATGTAGTTGAGGAGCTGGCATCGAAGATCGAGGGCGTGGACAAGGAAGACGTTTGGGAGTGTTTGAGGCGAGACGATGGTTCACAAGGGAATGCGGTCAAGGTGGCATACATGCTTTTGAGAGACAAGCGGAGGCTAGGCCGAGATTGTGAGTCTGAATTTTGTGTGTCCGTTCTACGTAATGACTGACAACGCGTCAGTGGCGGCTTTCGAGGAGCAAGAACGGGAGGCACAGGTCGCTGCTATGGATGTACGTTTCCATCATCTTGCTTTTGACTTCCACGGCTTAGAACTTCTCCTTTAGCCTCGAAACGTCGTTTCTCCTGGCGCCATTTCACCGGGTGGAGGGGAGAACAAGGAGAACCCGTTCGAAACCGAGTTCAACGAGTACGAAGACGACGACGAAGATGAAATAGACGACGGCCTCGACTTCTCCACGCCACAAGAACACCAAGCCGAGATCAACAACTTCGCCGTCCTGAACTCATCACTGCCCGACCAATTCCCTGAACAGCACCATCTCGCCTCCTATGCCTCCGCGAAACGGTCGGGTACGCCGAAGGAGAAGAAACAACACCGGACGAAATGGCACTTTGGCATTCGGAGTCGGTCGCCGCCGATGGAGGTGATGTTAGAGATCTATAGGACGTTGAAGACACTGGGGATGGAGTGGAAGGAGAAGGAGACGTTGGGTGGTTTGGGGATGGCGAGTCTCCAAGGGAAGAAGAAGGGCTCGAAGATGGAGAGAGCCCGAGAGTATGATGGTGATCATGTTGACCTGAAGGCTGCCGCATCGATCTACTTCGTAGAGACGCGGATCCGAGTCAACGACGTTGTAGTATGTTTCTTCATCGCTTTCCGCTCTTAGATCCTGAGCTGGAGCTCACCTTGCTATGTATCACAGGTCATGATGAACTTGCAACTGTACATGGTGGACTCGATCAACTACTTGGTCGACTTCCACCACAAACGATCGTACAAAGCCTCAACAGACCCAGGCGCAAGCAAGTTCGATATGGCAGTCCCGGACACCACGTCTGAGGCAGGGTCAGAGAGGGAGGTCAAGGAGGACGAGATCGTCTCGCCGTTCATCTTCATGGACGTCGCCTGTCGACTCATCCTAGAGCTCGCTGGCGGCGGGGAACAATGATTTCCTCCCAGTCACATATACACACTACGATCTCGGGTCTTCCTCCATCTCATATCATCTCAACGCTTGACCTTCGCATTGCTTGCTTTCATGCTCGATCTATAAAGGCGAAACCCACGACGACGACTAGATGTATGCTGGGCGTCAAGGCGAAGTTTCAATTCTGATGTATTTGTTTCTTTCTTGGCTCTTTGCGTTATCGCATCACTCTTTCCTTCTACCTTTTTCGATTTGATTTGATTTTTATCCCACAGTACTAGTTATGCTTGTTGTGCTTGCTATCCATGTTTGCTGATTAGCGTCCTCCGTCTGCTTGCTTGTTGTCCTTTGTATCTTTATATTTCGCGGGCTTGCCGGCCTGAGATCGTTGATAGTTCCTATATGGCCTTTCAGGGCCTGTGTACATAGTTACATAGACAGCACTACTGATCATCCGTCTTGGTGAGTGTGGTCTGCTGCATGGACACGACAAGTGGCGAGGATCAGTAAATTCTCTGGTCTACCGACCATTTGTTTCCCTCGTCAGACTTTTGTTGATTGGGATGAGGTCCATGCTTGGGCAGGCTTCCTTCTGCTGCTCAAATGCTTACACGTACACATCCATGACTGCTGCGCTCCAGTTATAAACTTATAGAGCTCACCAACTGCCTTCCGACTCCTTCCAGGCATCTTGCGTCGTAAGTGCGCCTGCACCCACCCGCTTTCAGACTATGATGAGAACACAGAGACAGGAGGCGTAGCCGCGCGCAGACACGCATCCGAATCCCGACGTGGTTTTGGTACAAATGTCCTCGTTTGGGAGGCTAGAGCGGATGGGACTCGCTTCATACTAGGTTTCATGAATCAGAGCTAAATTCGACTGACATACAAAAGGGGAAGGAGGCGCAAGAACTCGAAGTTTGCGGCGTTTAGTGGAACTAGTCGGAGTATGGTATGGGCCTTTGTCATAGGGACCTCCTGCCACAACAGCGAGAGATCCACTTCCACCGATATGTTAGGAAGGGCGAGGCGCAGTAAGGTTGTACTTTGCGGTGGTGTTGTTGGGCTCAGCGGTGAGCTGAGAAAAAAGGCTCTATTATCCGCAGATCTAGACAATCCTGCAAAACAACGTTCAGCTATCCAGGTGCAAGCTCGATCGGAGTTGGCGACCAACATATCCGCTCTATACTCGCGGCGGGAGAACATGCGGAGCGAAGAAGTTTCCAGATGGCCCATTAGTCCTCATGAGCCTGGAGATGAAGAAGAAGCAGTGGCGGGAAGAGCGGGAAAAGACGTACCTGGGGTCAGAGGCTGGCCACGGCAAGGCGTCGAGACACTTTGGACTCAGGTCAATCCCAGTCGGTCGTTCAATAATCGCCCGAAGTACTTAGGCACTCAGACGTTCACAGGTCATTCAGCGTGCAGTTCCCAGCAGTTCAATCTGGATAATAATAGACTTTTATCCACGGAGTGGAGTCATCTGTAAATGAGCCTCGAGTCGTCGGCGGACTGTGTGGAGCATCAGATTTAGCGAAGAAGGATGAACGTAGATAGTACAGACGCACCAAAGACAGAAAAATTGTGGACATTAGTCTTTATTGCCCAGTGAGGTAAAGACTGTACGGTCATTTAGCTCAATGTCTGAATGGAATTAGAAACAGTGTGAGTAGCTGGATACGGAGGGATCTGACACGGAAGGGACTGGTGGGTACGAACTAGTCTGGGATGTGCATCATGTGTCCTATGACGAGGGCTTAGAGAGGTAAAGAGTCCGTCATGGGTTTAAAACCTTTGTCCAGCAGGTAGCTACTCGGCGAGTGTTCGACGAGTTTCTGCTCTACGACGTGGATTGAAAGTGACAAGTATCTTGAACAACTAGACAAGGGACGATGAACGGCAAGGTCAGACAAACAGCAAACTATACGTGCTAATCGGACTCTACTACCACGGCGCATCGGGCTCCCCACCTGGAGTGGGTACATCAAACAAATTCGTCCACGAGGACAAAAGCCGACCATGATCACGAGTCCCGTCAGTCCTACTCACACAAAGAAAAACAAACGAGCACTGGCCGCAAACTGCGCAAGAAGTTGGGACGTCATCAACCCAGTGCTACCGGGACTCACGCGATCCCAACCAGAATATGACCCATAAGTCTACGCCCATGTAGAGCTAGAGCCAGGCTTGTCTTAGCCACTTGTGCCTACAGTAGGATGAGAACGTCATCTGTGGTTGACCACAGCTATGATACGAAGACTCTCGCATCAGGGACTGACTGGCGTAGCCTGGAACATCGGTAGAGTGACCCGATTTTCCACAAGCGCACATACGATGAGTAGTAATATTGTGATGGCGACGCAGCGGGAAGACGCACGCACCGAAGGCTCTTCCTTTAATGAAGTCATGCTATGTTTGGTGTGCGGATGAGGATGCAGCGAGCGAGCGAGCGCTGCGGCAAGCGTTGTTTCATGGATACTTTCTGATGTTCGAAATTATATTGCCATATGCACTCGCACCTCGTTCCGTCCAATCGACCTTGGAGGATTCCAGATTCCGACTGAATGAGAAGCCGTTTCGAGAAGCAGTATAGCTTTGACGTGGCAGACAGAAATTTCCAAGCGTTCCTGAAGCTCGACTTCACACACGGGCCACCCGTCCAACCAGACGCAACGGTGAACGGTCGGAGCGCTTGCTAACACGGGTAGAAACATGCAATCGCAAACGACGCAAGCTGTCTATTAGTTTCGTTCTGCTCTCTTCCCTTCCTCAAACTCATATCAGAAGATCAGACATGACTCACCATGTTTGATTCCACCGTCATTGTGCGCCGTCGTCATTCCGTTCGAAGTCCTTCCTGGACGAACGCTCGTCAATCTTCCCCATGAATAGCCCTCGAGAACCATGAGACCAAATGAGACTCGGCATCGTCGTTCGGAGCGTCACTTCTCATGATATCAAGGGTGCGTGAGGGTGTCTTTGCGTGCGAGTGAGGTGTACAAAGAAAGCGCTTAGTGATCTTCTTGGACGTAAAATGTCACGACGACGACAATAGCCGGCCTGTGTCTGTCTGTCAAAACAGTCAGTAACTGTAGGAGTAGTGAAGAAGATAAATTTGGGACGAAGAAACCGCTGCGCTCGTCGAATCAGAAGAAGCAAGCCACCGACGCCCATACAGTGTTTTGTAAGAGTCGCATGCGCCAAGCAGGCGTGCCATGATGTTCAAGGTAGGGGTGACGTTCTAGCGTTGTTTCGGCTCGCAGGTTTTTTTTCTTTGTTTTCGACATATGGTCAATCAGCACTGCGATCATGCAGGCTTGGCTAGGGCGTTGATTGTGAGCTGGGAATATCAGATAGGGGAGAACCAGCTGTATAATATTTCTAAGAAGAACTCGCGGATGCACTACGCACCCACAGGTGTACACAGAACAAGGCATCTGAAAGATGGCGTTCGAGCAGTCGTCGAACAAAATCATGCCGCTGACAAATCTGGTTACTGGAGATAGCGTCTGGGCCAAAAGCAGGAATAAGCGTCCGTTGCATCAGGACGGCGAGCAAAATCATCTGATGCCACATCCTCTCTGGACTGAGGTATAAATAATGCATTAATAGTTCCCTTTGCGGATGAGGAGGAATCAATGATACACACACCGTACACATGCGCACCTACGTGCACGCCGCCGGCTTGAATCCCACCCCGCACTGAGAAGAACTTCTTCATGCAGCCAATAATCCCCGCATCTTGATGCATCATGATCAGTGGGGAATACACGCTCGCGAACTGCAACGTCGGGCGGCACCGTTCTTCGAAATGAGAATACCGTGAGATTCATCGACGACACGCATTCTACACCTGAGCATCCGAAGAGAAGAGACACGGTTATCTTTTCGAACATGGATAACGACCGCCCTGGGCCTCATTTCCGACGCGTGGATTATTCCTCGATAAGCCGAAACGGCCTATGCGGCTTCACTGTGTACCAACCATACCCGAAGAATTAGCCTCTCCTTCCTTCCTATCCGGATAGGGAACCACAAAGAGTTATCCATTCCAGAAACAGGGGCCGGGCGACTGAGGCTGTACGCTGTAACGGTGCTCCTTCCGGCGTCTCCGAGCCTTTGCTAACGCAGAATGACTGCAGTGCCACCGTTATCTTCTCCTCTGAGTCAGGAGATGATTGATGAATGCCGAACGGTTCAAAGTGCGTACCTCTCCCCATCTCTCCGTCCTCCTCCGAGTTTTCTCGAGCCTCGACGGATCCAGAGACCTCTCGAGTGCTTTTGTATTTGTAGGACGGTGGTGTACGGTGGGGTCTATCAAACCAAGACAAAACTCTATCCATTCATTGCTGTACAGTGTCCTGTGCCCACAAGCCAGTGTTCCTGCACGTTCGTATTCCGAGGCTATCCGAGTCTGAATATCGTTGGAGCCTGCCAGTGGTCTCGGACGGAGCAAGCACAAGTAGAGCATCGGACTCGGACGAAAGTCCTGGAAGGTACCCGAGACAAGCATGTAACACAAAGACAAAGCTGAGACCCAAGAGAGTACCCTCCCAATCCGCGACGGCGACCTACATACAGCTTTGACTCGGGACACGGAAGGAGTGGAACATTGACAGAGCGAAAACACGTTGCGTTGCAAGGCCCGCCGGATTCTGAATCCGAAACCGGTCCCACTCGGCACGGTGTTCTACGGCGTCGGCAACTCAAAAAGTATTTGTAATAAATCGCCTTGCCTCCTGCACCGCCCCGCATTTTCGAATTTTGATAGATTGACTTGAATTCGAAATTCAGAGGATTGCGGAGGACCCGACCGATCGGCGCTGCGTTCGTACTTCGCGATTGTGTGGCACTGCGCCTGACGAGGTGTGGCGCGCTCCGGTACACACTGGTCTCCTGTACATACCACAATTGCAAGTGGCGCCTGCCAATGGCGCAAATGTGCTGCGCCCTTGGCCATGGTGCATATTCGTAGCGTCGTTCAATGTATAATGTATCTCGCAGGCAGGATACGACATCGAAACGCCCCAACGCCTGCGCCATCATCGCTCGTCATGCAGTGACTTGAGCACGTCAAACCAAAGACTTCGACAATTCGGATCAGATCATCAAGTCTAACAATGCAGAGAAAACGAATCATCATTGAGAGTGAGAGTGAGAGGGGAGATACAAGTACAAATGATCTATCGAGCCATGAAACTGGATGCGAATGGGGCCATCGTATGAGCATAGCCTACGGCGAAAGGAATAACGAGGATTGACAGATGTGGCGAAGGGGCGAAGGGGAAGAGGGAGGTTGGAACGAGATGGGGGATGAAGGATGAATAATTGGTTGGCGAGAGGGTTGATTGCATATGTAAAACGGAAGACGAAAGACGAAAAATGAGACGCAGGAAGGTGATAAAAAGAAAGAAACCGGGGAAGTACGAACTAACGAGTCTTGAGATCTGGGTTAGTGATGTTTCGTGTATACCGGACCAAAAGACAACGAGCAAGAATGCGAGAAGTATGAGGGTGATCAGAGTGAAAACGAGCAGATGAAGCAGAGGTGAAAGACAAGAGAAAAACAGAGAGAAGGAAATGGGTGCCCCCTGTGAGAAGCACCAAGCAAGTCAATGTCTAAGTATAGCGTACATACACCCCCGCTCACTCACGCACACGAGGGACTGAGAGATTTTAGAGTACAGATGAGAGAGACAACGGGGTCATATGAAAGGGGAAAGAAATATAGAGGATAAATTGAGGTGGAAGCACTGTCGTTGGCTATTGCGGAGAACAGTGGCATCCGCAGAGCAAGCCCAGTTGCGACGAGTTTCCTCCGAGTTAGTTGGAGTTTCGTTGGAGGTTGGCAGGGACTAGGGAGCCCGTGCGATGAAGAAGCAAAACGCCAACGCTCCCTTCTAAGAGGAAAGCATGCGCGAATCTATTATGATGCAGAATGGATGAGCCACCGTAACCAGACAGCACAGATAGAACGATCCAGATGGTGAAAATGTGATATAGTATCGAATATGGAAGGATGGAAGGAAGGATGACGGGGAGACGGCTAGGAATGGGATATGCGGGGATGGAGATAGGAATGGGGGCCGGCGAAAGGAAGAAAGAAATGGGGAGCGTACGCGAAGAATGCAAAACAGACGTACGAAACTGGCGGTGAGAACCCCAGCGGGTCGTTTTGATGATGATGGATGGTGGTGGTGATGTGATGATAGGTGGGGACGACGGGGGATATATGGTTATGGTGATGCAAAAAAAGGGGAGTGTGAAGCGGAAGGGTACTGAGACACAGCTGACGACAGCGCTAGACACCGACAAACGACAGGAACGATACTCAGAAAGGGAAAGCGGCTCGAGTGTGACCAATGGGGAACGGTTATTGGAGTCGATGGTACGTAAGAGAACGAGGGATGAGCACGAGGTATGTAGGATTCGGGACTGGGAGGGCTAGAATGTTGCGTCGTGAATGTTCGTAATGGAATTGCTAGCAATGACGTGGACACGAACCCGGTAAAGACTGGCACGTAAAGACAGGAAGGGGATGGGGAGGAACGACGAAAAAATCGTCAAGCGTATCCGTGTGGGTAAGAAAATCGCGAGTGAGAGGAAATGAGCTAAGCTGTCGATAGGTACAATGAGAAGAAAAGAAAGCCAAGGAAGACGTTACAGAGAAAAGGATGTTTTGTTCCGCTCACTTTATGGGTGTGAGGCGGAAGGCTATGTAGATGTATTGGAGTGATGGATGTTGGAGTAGAAGAATAACAGAGCAAAATGCGACGTCAGACAACAAAGTCCAATAAGTAACCATATCGTTAGAAGCGCAACCGTGCCTATGGGGCACAGCGCGCTGAGAGACCAAGACCTCTGCGCTACGAGCAGGAATCGCCACGCTTTCCCGATATACACCGCGTAGCGATTCCATTCCGCGGTTGAGGCCCTAGCAGCACAACCGCTTTCTCGAAGCTATGGGGTAAAAGGTCGTGTCAGAAACGATGATCGACACGAACAGATAGAACGACTAACCAATCAACCCTCACAAAGACTCAACGCTCGCGAGCAAGCTCAGCCCATCATCCCGACAGCCTCCACGCCCATCGTGTTGCCCATACCACCGATCCCGGGCATGCCGCCGCCCAGAGGTGTAAGCCCACTTGAAAACCCGGCCTCACCGATCGCGCCAGACCGCGGAGGTGCGGCAAAGCACCACTGTCTGAGGAAAGCGGCATACGTCGAATCAGACGGGTTCATGGCGCTCGGATCAAGAAGTGTCGGTGAGGGCGAAGGAGACCGAGAGGACGCAGGCGACTGTGAAGGTGGCGTAGGGATGTATGTAGGCGAAGGCGATCGACGAGGAGAATTAGAGCCGTGAGAGATCTGGACAGACAAGGCAGGGAATCGGCGAGTCGTGGGAGGCGTGAGGCGACCAGTCTCTTTCGAAGGCGTCGTCAGCCGGGGCTTGGAGTCCACCTCTCCCTCCCCATCTTCCCCAGCACTCGAAAATCCTTCATCTTCGGCCTTACCGTCCACGTCAACCACCGACAGAGAGACGTTCTCCTTCTCGTTGCTCTGTTCGCGCTCCATGAAGCTCAAACCCAACATGGAGGACATCGTAGGGGATGACTGGCGGTCAACCGACGGACTCCTCAACTCGGGCTCCGGGCGCGATTCCGTCACGGGCTGCCCTCCGATGGATCTCGTCAACGGCGACGTAGGCGTCGAGTTTTGGACGGACGGCGTACGGGTAGCAGGAGCAGAACCTCGAGCGGGTGCAGCGTAGTGCTTCAGGTTCAGACGTGTCGCGAGCATGGGATTGAGGGTAATCGGTGAGTACGCTGACTTGGGGCCCGACGGTGCAGACGGTGAGCGGACGAGAGGCGGAGGGCGGACGGAGAGAGGGGGAGGTGATGGAGACCACTCGGGAGTAGACCGGTCTGCTGCCGGAGAAGGTGAGTCAGGTAAAGAGAACGTCGCTTTAGCCTGCTGCGGTGACGTCTGAGCGGGTGGCGGAGCCGCGCTGGCCATGAATGGAGCAGCAGACGGCAGAGGAGAACTTGCGCCTCGTTTCCTACCAGAGACGGGAGCTTTGGCGCGGAATGCCACGCTGTAGTTTTGACCACGGTTGTTGTCCCACCACTCACCGATGCCTGGGGCGGTATAACGGGTGACGAGGAAGAGATTGCGCTCTGGGAGACGGGCCTCATAGTCCTCGAGGCGAATGGAGAAGCTGAACCTGTCCCAGGGATCCTGACTACCTTTGGCGAGAACACCTACGAGGTCGCCAACGGTAGTGGTGGATGTGGTGCCAGCGATGGCCTCGCGATGAGCGACGCCACCGACGTACGTACCCATGACCTCTGAAACGGTAGTCCAGTCATCGAGAGTGAAGCGGACACCAACTTGTTTCTCGAAGGCGATGTTGCGGACAAGGACAGTACCGCGCAGCACGGGTGGCCTGGCTGGCGGCAGAGACAAAGACTCGAGGTGGATGTTGGCGTATGGGTCTGGGTTCTTGGCCGGAACGGCAGAGGACTTTGGTGATTCCGCATCGAGCTCGGTGATGGGGATGGAGGAGGGCGAGGAAGCCGATGGGAAACGAGGGAAGGGGAACGCGTTCTGGTCGGCTTCGGTCTCGGTTTCAGTGTCTTCTGGGTTCGGCGGGGATGAAACCGCCGTGGGACGGCCTGTGCGCTTGAAGAGACGAACTGACTCAAGCCCAGAGTCCTTGTCCTTGAAGTGGACGTTCTTTGCGCCTAAAAACGGTGTCGAAGGCTCGGACTGGGCCCTCGAGTGGCGGGCACGAACGGCGTCATCTGCGATGGAGGAAGAGGACGAAGACTTGAGAGAGGGTTTGAGTGGGCGGCCATTGGAGAGAATGATGGTGGAAGATGAACTCGTTCTGGAGATAGGCTTGGGGCTGGGAGGCTGGGAGGGAGAATATATGCCGGGTGACGCGAGTGGGGAGGAGGTCGGGAAGGGGATTGCCTCTGCCTGTGGGGTCTCCGGGCCCAGCGGAGAAGGTGGGGGAGAGTTGTCGTGAGCGTCGTCTAGGTCATTGGGAAGATGAAACAAAGGTTTGCGGGAGTTTGACGACGATCTCCTGCGGGGGAGAGCGGCGAGGGGGGTGAATGCCCCTGGGCCGCGTTCTGAAGAAAAGGAGATTGAGGTGGGACGAGTCGCTGACTTGGGGGACGATACGGAGATGTAGGGCATCGCTGTCTGCGGTGAGGAAAGTCTGCTGGCTGGGGACGGGAGGCTCAGCGAGACATGGAGATGGTGGTTCGTGAAGAAGAAGGGGAAAAGGACGAGGGAAGATAAGATGGGGCCGTGCGACCGTTTCGTTCGCCGCTTTCTGACAGGCGCTGAGACGATTTATTGATTTATCGTCATTTATCGTCAGTCGCTTGACGTCACCCGTGTTGTTTCGCAGCCCCACCCACGTTGGCTTCCCCGCGCTGCCCCAGGCGACCCCGCTGTGGGCTGCATCCGCCGCCGCCGTGCTCGACGACGGCGGGCGAAGCTAAAGGAGATCGTCTGCGCCGTGCCATACATAGCATAGCCAGCCGCTCCACAAAGTCTGATAGTACAAGCTCTGCGTCCGACCCCCGGACCCGCTTCCGACCTCCCACGCAGTGCTCTTCGAGGCCCCAGTCTATCCCATTCCCGAGGCCTTCACACCCTTCATTCCCTTCAATCTTTCCCCACAAAAGATTCAGACTCTCTTCCAAGAGCTTCCGTCTCGCTTCTACACCCTCTCGGTCTCTTCCCACCCGCTTCTCTCAGTTTTGTTTTTACTTCAAAGCGCGATAAGCAACCGTTGTCTTTTCCTGACCCCTCTGTTCGGAGACGTCGCCCTCCTTTGTCCTCATTTTGTGGTAATCATCCCCGTCGGACACTGCCCACGGAACGTTTTCGCTCTAGCACACCCCTATGTCTTTTATATTGCGAACTCGCTCGGATGGCATCCATCTGAATCGTTCTGATCCTGCTTTCGATTCGGTCTCGCACAATTTTTCAATGGTCCAGACTTGCACTGCCGATGCTACCACTCGGCAAACAAGAAACAACCATGCTCTTTTCCGCAATCAGTGTAGTGGCACATCACAAGGGCAGCGCTTCCTCTCGCTTTCGATTTCGAGTGACTGCCCCAGAATGTTCAGATGACCAGTTACTACGCTCATGGTCAAAAACATCTCTTCGTCGTCATGGACCCGTGGTTCACTTCTCTCCTATCTTTTGTCTTTAGGAATGGCTGACGACCATCTCTGTTCTTCAGGCTCGCCAACATTCATCGTAAGTTACCAACTCCCGCAACAGCTCTAGCGCTCAGAGTAGAGTATGGATGCTTATCATCCCCAGTCCGGCTTGATATTGCACTTAGCCCCTTCGAGCTTTCAGGAGATTCGGATTCGTCTCGCTAGGCATGCTTCCTCTTCACAATCCTAGCATCGTGCCAGGAACAGTCGTTTGAAAGCTACCCCAGGTTTTACGCCCGTCTTACCCCGTCGTCCCCTCAATCCAACACGTACTTGTATAGCTCCGTGAACTCTCTCTTATCCTCCTCCGATCCCAACCGCTCCTGACCTCTCCATCTCCTGTCCTACAGTACACTCAGACTACCTACACAAAAATATTACTGCGAACGTCGTTTCTCCTTGACCCGCTTCATCGTTCACCCACACCATCCCGCATCTCAATCATTTCAATCCCCATCGCACGGCGCACGGCGCACGCCATCTCATCTCACAATCTCGCACGGAAATCTCGCTTCCATAAGCAGTATGGAACAGGATAGGGGCGGCAGCGGCCAAGAGATCTACGATCGCCCCCGCTCAGTTTTTGACTTTGAAATTTCTGGGGAGGGACACGAGGCGCACGCAGGCAAGGTTTCGCGACAACTCTAAAACTCGTCAATTGAGTTCTCGTATGTTCTCGTATGTTTTTTGTGTCTGCTTTCGGTTTACTTTTTCTTCCTTGGCTCGTCTCAGTGTGCCTGGTTCGCAGGTCTCGATGTTGCTTGTTGCTTGTTGCTCATTCTTTCTTGGCTCTTTTTGGGCTCCCGTTTGTGCGTCGGTCGGACACACCTCCACCCGAGTACGCCCGATCTCAGGTCGCTGAAGGTTTGATCAACACCGCCAACACCGCCGTTCGACAATTGACCGTGGCACCGCTGTGGCACTCGGCATGCGGTCCCGCCCTTCCAACATCCCCGTCCACGGTTCTCATTCAGCAGATAAGTAATGTGCTCCCAGGTTGCCCGTAGATCACCGCCGTTTTTTTTGCAAAGACCTTCTCTTCCGTTACTTAAGGGTACGGGTTACGGTCAAGCTTGTCGACTAAGCGGGTTGTTCTGGCGTCGGGAGGGGTGAAGCGGCACGGATGTGAGGTATGTCGGGTTCGCCGAATCATATGCGTTTGGGTGTTCATTTTCATGGGATAACTGGTACACCAAGTACTTCCTTTCTAGCACTGTTGGTCTGGTAAGTTCCAGACAAGTCTAACGAGAGTCGGTGAGTCCAGTTCGAAAGTCGTTCGAGAGACAACTCATACATTTTTTCCATTCTGCGGAACAGGTAAGGAGGCAACGACATGGACGGCTTCGTCAGTGGTGGTGTCTTTGAGCCACTTCGGCAGGAATTTATCACTGGAGCGATGTCAGCGGCGACCTGAGTAGTTGGGCCCGAGAGCATCCGTGTCCGTACTGTATAGACACCGTTCGCGCCTCCGCGAGGTTCGATGTTCCGCTTTCAAAGCTCGTTCCGTCCGTCTGTGTCTCCGATTCCGTGACTCCGATGGTGGCTATCTTTGCTGCTGGGTTTCACATATGTATCTTGTCGGCCATACTTGACTCGTAACCCGACCGACCGACAGGCCGAGCAGTACTACTGCGTGATAATAGTAGTACCGTCCAGTGCTGACCGTTGTCCATTGCAAAAGGTCGAAGATATCCTTCTTTCAGCGTTGACAGTTTTATTGATACCTGTGCGGTACACACCTGTCAAAGTGCGCACATCCGTGTCCTGTCCTTCCGGTGAGTTCCTTCGTTCTACTCCTGCACCTCATCCTCGCGCTTACCGCCCAATGTTCTCTCTTCACTACTCAAAGCACTCAGGTGCAATTACAGCGGCTTGAATCTTATCAAACCCGCCACGTCCTCAAGCTCAAGATCATATCAAAGCGTACGTACGTACGTACAGCCTTTTCTGCTTCGTCGGTTCTGATCTAAACATAACTTAAGTACTACTGTTCTTTACACATACACATACAGGTAGGCTTCCGGCGCGTTTCGTCCGCACCAAGCTCGAATCTTCGGACGAGAGTGTCCTCCCATGACCAGGACAAAGCAGCTAGCCTCTTCTATCATTCTCATTCTAAGCTGCGATACGACGCAGGAGCGCGAAATGTGGAAGGCTTGGATCCCGACTGACTGACCGACTCGGAGTTGGATTGACATACACTTTGTGGAGAGCGCCGTACTAATACTAACCTTGGAATCCATCAAACTTCAGGCTGAGGTCTTCTCGAAGTGTGGCGCGTTCGTTCGAAGGTGTTCGTATTCTCATACTCGGGTGTGTTCCTTGTTCTTCTTCGCGAGCCCTAGCTCGAGTGGCTACTAGGAGAACACACTTACGCTTAGGCTGGCACTAGGTCTGATTTTGCTTTTACTTTTCTCTCGTCTCCGAGCGGATTCAGACTAAGTGTTTGGTTTGCTACCTGCGGATCAGCCTGAATGGTCCCTCTATAGCGGGAAACCTCCTCAGTCGTGCCTTTCTAGAAGAGGCACATATGCCTAACGTGTACAACATAGCAAGCTTCGTTTTCTACTCAGCCTCTCAAGCCATGGGTTTCGCCGACGAAGCCATTCATTTGATGCCTCGAGCCCCGCGCTTCCCAATCTCCCTTCCATTCTATTCTTTCCATTCGCAGGCTCGTTGAGTCGTGTGTGTACGCATATTGCTCCTTCTTACCATTTGGTCTCCAGTGCGGACGAGTTTGGCCATGGGGAAGTACATAACGCCGGTATCGGACCCTCAAATCTCCTGCGTTCGTTCTAACTAACAGAAGAGACCTCAGGATATCTATTTCTGTTCTGCTGCAGCCTGCGACTCTGACTGCTTATCTTCCGTTTGGACGGTTCATCCATTTCAATTTACGAAACTCAATCATATGAGGCTTGAGGCCTGAAGCTTGAAGCTTGAAGCCTTGCGATTCTCCGTGTGTTCGTTCGCGGGTGGTAGCGCATTTTCCTTGGAGGGCTCGCTACAGCACCGTCGTCTAATAAAGCGCCATGACCTGCCTGCATTAGCAGACATCATCAACTCTCTTTCATAGTGGAGCGCATCCGAAACGAATCCTGTAAGGGTCATCCAAGCCCCCAGCTCCACAAGTATTCTTGGAAGTGAGCCTGTGTCAGAATTTCCCCCACCTCGCTGCTCCAGTCTCCCACCCTATCCAACTTCGTACAAGATAGAGCGCTCTCAGGCTAGCTTAGTACTCCATCGAACCTGCGTGGAGCTGTGCACGGTCGAATTGGGAGACTTGGTGTCCGTGTATACTTGGACATGGCGGCCACGTTTTTCGAATCAGCTTCAGTTGGGATTCTGAATCCGCGGCGATTGGCATGGATTGATTTATCTATGTCCGACCCTACCCTGCAGTGTATAGCGTCGGGAGGCCGAAGACGAGGATGTACGAGCGAGTTGTGGAATGAGAGGACGTTTCACGTACAGCCAGCCCAGCCGTAGGTCGTTATTCGCATCCCGTATTACTCACAAGTTGCTGATCGCTGCTGTGCTCGCTATGGTTCGGCAGCGCCAAAAATCGACATACACGTCGCATCCGTATGTTCCATTTAGATGCATATACCAACATCAACGCAGGGTAAATCTGCGAACAGAAACACCTCGGCTAAGTTAAGATCGCACCGGGCAGAACGCGAAGATTCATGGAACTAAAGTCGCCTTGCAGACCGAAGATGTGGCGGCGTAAACGGTGTATATCCGGGGTTCAGATTTCCCGTCGTGCATTTCTCTTCCTCGATGTGTGGTGAGCCGGTGGCCTATCGGTTCAGAGCCGTCCAGCAATAAGTAGCCTGTGTCGGCGAAGATTGTTGTGCACGCACAGTATGACTCGAGGGTATGATTCATGCATTCCAATCCCAATGTAGCCCAATGTATGGTGTTCATTTACTCGCCACATCTTAAAGAGGAGCTTTACGACGATGCAAACATATTGATACTAGGATGACTACCCAGCAATCGTGGTTTTTTGGAGTCACAGAACACTCTGCCAGAAGAGAAAAGACCACCACATACCTATCTTCCAATCCTCGATGTCCGCAACAAGCCACGGCGGAGTCGAAGCCACAGGAACGGCCCTGTCTAGGAAGCGTAGTTGGAGGTCCAAGTAGGTGCACGATTTGCTGGTTATAGTTTGATTGTGTGCGATTGCGTTGAATGCGAACAGCAAAGATAACGCGCTATTGATCACGAAGAACACCCGCCGCCTCAAATGAAGGAGGGAAGCAGTGTCGCGAGAAGATGAACGTTGTTCGTCTTCAGCCACTTCAATCGATGTGGCACACGCTCGGGAAAATGCGGCACCCCGACGTCCGATCGGAGGCAATCGGACTTGCTACGGTCGTCTTTCTTTCTCTCCCTTCCTTCATCTCCTCCGGCTGTGGCACAGCTTTCCTGACTTCATTTTTTCGCCGCTATTTTCGTCTGAGAATTGTGAACTTGACTACTTCTCAAGTCCCCTGCCCATTTTAGGAACCTAGACGTTTTACGCTAATGCTTGGCCCGATTCTGACGTTACAGCCTGAGCGACAAAATTGCTCGGTCCGATTTCTGTGGTTATATCCCCATACCGTCAAAGCTCGTCCTCGACAGTAAACGCCGAGATGAATTACCGGCTACGAAGATACTGTTTTTATCCCTCCCGCTATTCCTCGACCCACGGAGCGCCTCTTAAAAAGCGCTCGGTTTGGCTCTCGACCTGTATGGACCTCGAACCCATCACACCTGCTAGCTCTATGGATCTATGTATCTTTTTCTGGCTGTTCCGACTGGTCGATCGCAGATGAAAACCTTGTTATCAGAGGTACTCCGAAATCCCTGCGTCTACTATCCTTCTTCCTCCCGGATATGCACCGGCCCTTGCACGCGAGTGCTTGGCTTGTGTCGCGCTCCCGACTCATAATAAGTACTATCTGAGTAAGGCTGATGATACAATTTTACCTGGCAGATGTCGAAATCCTGACGCGCTATATCCACAGACTACTGCAAGATGCGGCTATTCGAGGAGATCGGTCCGAAGGATCATGCTTGCGACGAACACCTATGACTGTAGCCACGTACCGTACGCGGGCGGTATGTGCGCTTACTCAGGTGTGTTGTATGACATCTTCGGAGGCACGAGGTGCTTGGTAGGACGAGTCTTTCTGGCTTGCCCATTTCTGTTATCGTATCCCTCGGTTGTGCCAACAATCTAATCCTGGACAACTCAATCTTAACGTCCGATTCTCTGACGGCTTCAAACTTATCAAGGTTTGCCGATATGTAGGCAGCTGTAGGTATTCACGGTGAAATATCGCTGTGTGAAACGCTTATACTGCTACGCGTCAAGTCAGGTCAGACGAGCTTATATCTATCGACATGAACGGGTCCCACTCGTACAACGATAGGTTGAGCCTTCTGTGAAGGCCGAGTCTTCTTCGTAGTAGATGATTTTCGATCGGACCCGCAATGATCAATAGTAGAGAACATGTATCTGAGATGCGCCGCAGACATGGTCTAATGTCCAGTTATTCCCTAGCTCTATTCGACGCTTGAAACTGCATCCGCCTCATAACGGTCCAGTCTCTCCAGGTCTCCGGTGAGATCACTCGCTAGTAGTCTACACACGCGGTGGCACGTCTTTTGTATTCAGTCACCTAGAGAATCACGCCGGTCCAAACAAACTCAACATAATATTTCCAGATACCGAGAACAGCGTACAGAGTAAATCACTAGGCATGTCAAAAATTATCATAATGCTTTTTCATAATTAAATCTAACTTTCGAGACTGACTGCGACATTCGCGCTTTCACTGCACGAAATGTCCATGAATTGAGAAACCCTTCTGGAAGTGAAGTATTGGAACCGCGAAGGACCACCCTCAACTCTCGAAGGGGAACACCCCATGTCTTCCTGAGATCTACAACCAAGATCAACTTCTGGCAGAATTGAATGAACACGTCTTCATCCCAGACATCGGGTAGCTGGACGCGGGAAAAGAACAACGACTGCAGAGCGGGAAAGATGGGAAGCACCGTGGAAGCGGAATTCGCCAGTTCTTCTTCCGAATTGGAGGTGGGTTGTTCGGTGTCGAAGGCACGCGAAATGTCGAGGGAAATCTGATTTTTGACAGATAGAAGAGGGATTGACGATGTCACTGAAACCGAGACCTCGAGATGACGAACATTCTGCATTTCGTAGAAATGATCGATCCAGAAGCTATCTGTTGAGGCAGCGGACTCGCAGCCGGATAGGTCAACGAGAAGGTCGACGACATGCTGGAAGGGAAGGGTTCGGCATACGACCTTCAAGAATTCGAGCATTTTAGAAGTCTGCGGGAACACAAGTTCCAACATGAAGGCTTGATGTAGCTTCCTGCAAGTGGAACTCTGGGAGTTGGGTGAGGAGACCAACAGCGAAATTCCCAGTTGTTTCTGGTTTGGTGGGTAAGTGATGGCTAGCTTCCGTATGGGAAGATTGGTATAGTCGGGGTGCTTGAACCGATCAACCAAGAATGGTACAATGTCGTGGAGAGATAGGGTATTGTTGAGCGATCGCACACAAGTCAAGCTTACAGTGGCCGAAGCGGGAAACATTATGCAACGGAGGAACTGTAGGCAGTCGGCGATATGACCTGCCACTACAATCTTCTTCAATCGTGTGAGTTGGATCGGATCATCTCCGGCTGTCAAGAGGTGTGGTGCAGATACAATGGGAGGAAGCCAAACGAGACCGTGAAACACCTCAAGCAGTGGTGTTCTTTTCAACAATCCGTACAGCTGAGAAGGAGATGGCAAGACATCGGCTGCTTGACCTCGAATATAACCAGGCCCGAAGGCCAGTAGTTTCAGGCTTTCGTTGAAGATCGGCGACTCCCAGGGAATCCTGCAGCCCAGAAGTCTCGCAGACCGCAGTTTCGGTGCATGGAAGGCAAAGAGGTCCGGCGGTAGTGTCACAATCCGATCGGGGGTCTGATAATGAGGCGTCGACACGGTAAGTCTGTATAACGAAGGCGCCGGAACGCGAATATCTTGGATGATGTCGCAAGAGATGGAAAGGTCGAGGGAGCGGACGATGGACATCGTATTCGGAGATTGCAGATGACGAGACACAAGTCTGTCAGCTATCTCGTGTGGTGCGTTGCTATGGATGTCCAGAAGCGACGTAGAGGACGCGCGACGAAACATCTCCTCAGTCCATCGAGGACCGATGTCAGTGCAGATTCTGGACCAGAGCATCGTGCTTGCGAGAGCAGCGTCTCGCCAGAGTTGGCAGACATGAGTGACGGTCCGTATCCACCCCAGACTTGGAGCCTTCGGTTTCTCTGTGTCGACGACAAACTTGAAGATACAGAGAATAATCTCGATTGGAAGTGCGTTTATGGGAGCTATTTGATCGATCTTGGCGTGCCAGACAGTAAGGGACTCGGGGCTTGGGCGGGAAGTCTTTTCCTCAAAAGCGATGAGAGTGCGATTGTCAGTGAAAATGGAACTCGGAGGTGTCATGGCCGCAGAGCTGTCAAAATATTGTCTATTAGTTGAATGGTGTACGGAACGCGATCATTTTACTCACATCAAGATTTAGAAAGGCCCTTCATAGGACATGCGCCTCATGAGTTTGCAACAGATGAGAGCAAAAGGACAGACCAGGAGAAGGCTCGAGAGCTTATCCCTCGGAAACAACCGAAAGATAGAGATCGCGCCTCAACTTGACACCACACACATCGCCACACAGTAGATGTTATCTGCAGCCTGAAAAACGGGAGGTTCTGTGAGCTTCAGATCGGCTACTTTGCAGGTCGCAAACTTCAATTTTCAAGTAATATTTCGCTTCCAACCCTCGGTAAGTGCCAGACGCAGGCCAAAGGAGGGTGATCGGCCAATCACAGCCGGCCTACATATTCCCCTTCAAAATGAAAATTCACTGGAAATTCTCGCTTTTACATTTCGTTTGCATCACCTTGCAACCCAAAAGTCCACTTTTCAGGCTGCAGATAACATCTAGTCCCGTCGCCACAATTTTCGCCATCCATCTCCGTTACCTTGAGGTTCTCTACTGTTCAATAGTATTCGATCGTTGGTTATCACTTTCAGATCGCATCGTTCATATTCATCCATAATTTTCGACGGTGATAACCCATGTACTGCACAACGACTTACGTACCTCGAGCTCGACCATATTCATCATGATTGCAACCGGAACACTACAATAAAACATTCGCCAACTGCTCTTTCTCCAGTCTACCCCACTTGCTGAAACAACCAGTAAAATACGAAAGGAGAATACAGCTACAAGTGCTATGGTTCAATCATGAGCGGTAAATATAGGATAATTTGTGCACAGAATCCGAGAATATGACCTTCGAGACCGACTTCTCTAGCCTCTTCTTCACCACATCAAAGGTCGGCGTTTCAAGAAACCCTGCGGCAAACCAGCGCGTCGGATCATAAAAGACCACATTCAGCTCTTGGAGAGGGACTCCCATCGACTTCCTGAACTCCACGACCCATGCTAACTTCTCGCAAAAGCGCAACACGGGGTCTGTATTCTTCGCATCGGGGAGTTGGACGGAAGAAATGGTCAATGATTGCAGAGCGGGAAATATGGGGACTGGCGAAGAGCCCTCAGTACCGTCCAGCTCGTGGTCAGACCCTGTCATGACTTGTTCGTTTTCCACACGACGTGTGATATCGAGCGGAATGAGGCATCTGCTATACGGCGTAGGGATTGCCAATGTGGACAGACTGGAGACCTCGAGACGGCGAACATTCCGCATTTCCCAGAAAAGATCGACCCAAAGGCTGTCTTCGAAAGCAGTGGACTCGCAACCAGAGAAGTCGAGGACGAGCAGGTCATTGACGTGTTGTGGCGGTAGCGCTTGACATAGATCCTTCAAAAGTTCGAATATTTGGGAGGCCTGCGGGAACGCGAACTTCAGCAGGAACGCATGATGCGCCATGTCAGCCATTCCAGAGATGGGAATGGAAACAGACAGTGATATGCGAACTGATGCGTTTTTTCTTCGTGTGAGGTTACAATGTATGGATAACCCTCGTATGGGCATATTGCGATAGACATCTTCGATACGATCAACTAAGAACGGTGTCACATCATGTAGGGACAAGACGTTGTCGGACAATGACCCGCAAGTCAGGTTCGTATGGGTTGTTGCGGGGAGAGTGATACGACGGAGGAGTCGCACACATTCGGCTATCCGACCTGTTAATTTGATATTTTTTAATTGCGGGAGCGCCACCGGATTGACATGACCACCATCGGTTGAAAGTGGTGGAGAATGACGAATACCAGGCAACATAATGCAAACATCCAACACTTCGAGTGACGGCGTTCTTTCCAGCAACCCGCACAACGACGAGAAGGGTAAGTTGTCGGCCACCTCGCCCCGAAAAGATCCAGGTCCGACGAGAAGTGTGGATAGGTTATCGTTAAATATCGGGGACTCCCATGGTATCCTGCAATAGCTAAAGCTCGCGTGGCGTAGTTTCGGGGCGTGGGAGGCAAAGAGATCCCATGGCAGTGCCAATACATCCTCGATCCTCTGCACGCTCGGTGCGTCTATGGTAAGCGTGCATAGAGAAGGTGCTGGAATTCGGATGTTGTGGAGGATGTTACAAGTAGCTGCAAGGTTGAGACTGCGGACATTGCACATGGTGTCCGGTAACTGCAGATGATGAGACAGAATTTGATCGGTAAGTCGATCTGAGGATTGATTGTCGATATCAAGGTGTACGCATGAAGAGCGACGAAACATCTCTTCGGTCCATTTTGGACCGATGCTGGTGCATATGTTAGCCCAGAGCGACGGGCATGCGAGGGCAGCATGCCTCCACAGTCGGCAAATATGAGACACTCGAATCCACCCCAAATTTCGAATATTGGGCTTCTCCGTGTAGGCAACGAACTCGAAAATGCGGAGAAGAATCTCGACAGGAATGGTGGATATAGAAGAAGGCTCATTGATGTCAGACTGGGCAGGCAGAGTCTCGTGGCGTAGATAGGAAGCCAATGCCTTGAGTGTGACGACGTTACTACCACTGCCAATGCCACTGGAAGAAGCTGCCATGACCGTTAAGCTGTGACAATGTTAGCTGTCAATTTACGATATAGGATGTAATCCGATGCTCACGCTAATACCTATCCTTTATAATGCCCAGAAGGTCTCAGAGGGCGGAAGATTCAGAGACCTGTGGTGGTAGAGAGGAAACAGGAGGGAGCTCGAAGAAGGAAGGTCCTGGGAGCTTTTTGAAGCAGCACGTGCGAATGAATAACTTAGGTACCGCGCCACCGTCCATAAATTATAAGAAGACCCGTAGCTTGGTATATCAACAGGATACATGGTATAATACAACACGTAGCGATATCACGAAAGTAGGAGCAGAAATATCAGTCAAGTCTTTGCGGCTAACGCATTCTTCCGCAACTCCTCGAACTTCGCCCCCTCACCTTCAGCACGCTGGATAATCTGCATCAAGGAGCCTTCTCTGGCCTGCATACGCTGGTCCAACCCGAGCACAAGCAATCGCACCTGCTCCATCTGCGCAAGTGTGGCCTCGTTCGTTGTAGACGATGGTTCTCCATTCTGTGGCGGGCTTGTGATCGATCCACGTCTTCCGAAGAGGGTTCGCGTTGGTACTGTGGCGCCGGCAGGGGAAGCCGAAATCTCGAGCATTTCCTGAGACAGTGCATGAGGAAATGTGGGATGAGTATATGATATGTGTAAAACACACCTGCCAATTATCGCCGACCAGCTTCGTCAGTTCGCGTTCGAGCATCTTCTCTCTTGTCTTACCCCTGCGCCACATCATTGAGCTAACCATTAGATGCCGACGAAGATGGGACATTTACCTGTCCAGCTCCATCATAGCCCTCTCGTTCTCTCTCTGTGTCCCTTGAAGTATCAGCTCGAGATTCTTGTACTCCTTTTCCAGTACCTGTACGGCCTCAGCCGGTGGTCGTTGCATGAGTTGTGCCTGTAACCCTTGTATCTGCGTCCGAAGCTGTACAACTTCATGAGCAAACCATATGTCTGCTATGATGAAACAAATGTACTACGCACCTTGTCATTCTCCCTATCTTTCTCTAGCAGCTGTTTTCTCAATGAGTCCTCTGCAGTATCCTCTATTTCCTTCAACACGCTCAAGTCGTCCGCTCCGCCTGTGCCCTGAGCTGTCGAAGGACGACCGTGATGCCTTGTACTTTGAGCGCGACGCATAATAGAGATTGACCGTTAACAGTAGTCTATAAGTGGTGGTTTCTTGAGATGTACGCAGGTATATAAGGGCAACGCCACGCGAACACAGGACGGCGGTGAGTGGTATGTAGGAACGTTGGGAACACGAACGGGAGGTGAACTGGGGGTGGCACGCGTTTCGACGCGACCTCGCGACCTCGCCACATGAGAATTGTGGCGAGACTGCGACGCAGTCTGGTGCAGCAATGCCAGTTGTCAGAGATCATGCACTCGCACTTAAGTGAAGTGTACAAGTATGCCGGAGTGAAGAAAAAATTATAGTCCAAATATGTACAGTGATTGCGTCCCAAAGTAACGATATGCAACATGAAAGACTCAAAGACAAGTCAATGTCGCCGAACCACCAGTTTATCAAGAGCCATCGTACTAGAATCCCAACTGCTCCACGAAATCCTGCCATGTAGCATCCAGAATAAGCGGTGTCTGCGCCGTCGTTGAGGATGTCGGCGGGGAGTCCGACTGGGCTCTCGAAGTCGAGCTTGAGGCATACTGACCCAAGCCTTGCATCCCAACGAACATCGAGCTCGGTTCCGTGAACTCAGCGTCAAGATACGCTCCGCGCGAACTCGACGATACTTTCGCCAAACTGCGATGGACTGAGGAAATATCCTGCGTTTGTCCGTACTGTCCAGGATGTCTATTTCCTTGCGAATCTGAGGATGTGTAATCGAAGATGTTGTATAACGAAGAGGAAGTGGGATTAGGAAGGGTAGCGGAGGTGGAAGAAGTCGAGGTTCTGTGGCGACCGAACGGGGTGATCGGCGTGAAGTCGTACTTGTATGCTGTTTCTGCTGGTATCGCCGTCGGCTGTGGGTGAGGTGCCGCATTGTTGTTAATACTAGCCGGTCGTGGAACTCCTGCTGTATCTGCTTGACTTGGAATTGGAATTGGATGCGAGGGGCCCGCTGAATTTGGCGAACTGTCTGTAGAGGCAGCGGGTACAGCGGTTGCCATGCCAGGGGTAGAAAGTCTTTGTGTCATCGCTCCTAATCTAGAGAGCTCTTCGAGGTTCCTATCCTGCCCTGTGACGGTCTCCGTCCGGTTTGGTGAGCGATAGTTGTCCATCGCTTCGTGACCCTGTCTGTGTAGACTCCGCATGGCGTTCTGGAAGTAGAGAGATGTTTGAGAATAATTGTATATGAGGCCGAAAGAAAGACGTACCAGAATGTCGGCAGCAGGATGACTCCCGAAGAGTACTGAGTGCTCGAAGAAGCTTAACACAAAATCGAGCCGCTCGAGTGCTCCAACGGCGAGGGAGCTTGAGGGGGCGTTCGTGACCAGGAGGCACATTACGATCTACAGATAATGTAGTGAGATCGGAGGACAATCGGAGTTTGGAAATATAAATCAGGAGAGCTACGTGGGTTAACGTAGAGTTTGGCGGTGGAGGTAGATCAGACAGAAGTCCGTGGTAAATGACATACCGCTGACGAAAGGACCTTGGACCATCCGAAGCTGAATCTGAAGACTGCAATCGGCGGTGTAAGGTCAAACCAACTGTGATATCTGGGAGAGTATGTGACCATAGCCATACAAGACTGTGGTATTGCCCCTACCGCTTTCGATCCTGCCTCGATTATACGGTTTGCAGCTCGGTATATGGCCAACACGGAGGGCCCATATTTGTGTTGGACTGGATCAACGGAGTGATCACGAATCGCGGCCGCAAAATATGGCCGATGGAGATTCAGGAGGGCTTTGGAAAAAGGAACAGTCAACCTCCCACCATCAAGACGTGGAAAGGAACGCACTTACTCCATTCTGTATTGGATAGAATAATCCACCGTCTCACAACAAGTCTTGTTGGGCTGGCATGGCTTTGGGCAGGATCAGATCGCAGATAGTCTGGGATGTCTATATCCCTGATCATACTATCGAGCTCGAGGATAGTCCGATAGTGTGGCGGACGTGCACCAAATGCTTTGACCATGACATCGTGTAGCGACTGAGAGTATAAATAACACCAATTGTACCCTACAAATCATGAATATCATTAATAAAGCAAGGAGACGATGATGACTGTATTAAACGACGCACAGCCCATGCTCTTGCTCCCGTCAGGGTTCGTATATTGCTCAAAATCGTCAGGAAGCGAACAGTTGACGAACACAGGATTGAAGGTTGGCGGTCTCCCGAATCCGAAACTCTGTGAGAGATTTAAGACTTCAATATCAGTTCTAGATATCTAAGGCGTACATTCCATGCATCAAGGGCGAATAGGTGCCAAAAGCAGCGGCTGCGCTTTTGGCTCTCCTCACGGCCTATTCCCCATGGTGTGCCGTCGCGGTCTGGGGGTCTACATGTTAGAGACGCCTACATGATGATATCGATTCGACTTACGCAACCCCATCTGTGAAAGACATTTTGAGTACCCCACACGCGTCAGATGTATGTGTGAAATTGGCCATGACTTACACCTTGCGCTAGCTTTGAAGCTAATCCTATATACATCCAAGACCTGGAGGACCCTCCGGGGAACAAGCCCGCATCACACATCTCTAGATATTGGCCCATGAAAGTCTGTGATATTGGATCAATTAGTGCCATGGTACGTAACAGAGATATTGAGATATCTTTACTGTTGCTTGAACGGCAGTAACGGTGGCTCGCCGTACGAATGGTTTCACTATGAGCGCCGCCCGACAGAGGGAAAAGTAATCGTGAGCGGCAATTAAATGATCCGTGGCAGACATGTCGTAATATTTTCCTAGGCAGATTATAATGTAGAATAATGCTAGGGAGTGTGACGAGTCCTCTGAGCCGATCGACCTGGTGCATGGTAAGTCTCGTCGGAATATAGTAAAGGAGATGACAGCTTACGAAGATTGATACAGTTCTGGTATTAATTCCTCAAACAGTTCTGTTCGAGTCATTGAAGTTGGGCTACACAGTCATCCGTTGTTAGAAAGATGAACTATCTTGTAATGGTATGGTTTGGTGACTTACAAGTAATTCGAACACTCCATGAAAACGTCGGCCAATGTGTATGCTTCGGACAGAGGTGGCAGATGTGACCAGACGAGTGCTCTGACAGCTTCACTATCCCAATCGTCCTCACATTCCGGGAACGGGACGTCCAGTATGCGCGGATCAAGTTGGCTCTGTGAGAGATATGATGTTTTCTCGGTAGGGCGGGCTAACTGCATGGAAACATTGTCGTCGACACCGCGAAATCTTGCGGAACATTACGAGATCTTCTCACCTTGAGAAGATACTGATCCGGGGATAAGTCAGACATTAGGTCATGAGTGCCAAACAGGAGTGATAGCAACACACATCTGATCTGGCAGTGGCTCCCAAAAACGTGGATTCGCCCTCGGCGCTGATATTGAGGGTTCCTGTGGAAAATCAGTAAGTGTTACATCCGTTTGAGGGAAACAATGGGTAAACGTACCAAAGGCTTCGACCACATCTTCCTCCTGGACGTTGTCTTCCATGCTCTCCTCCGCCACATCCTTCGGCGTAGAGCCAACAGGCGACGACCTATTCTCCAGAAGTGGATGTGGTTCACTCGAAACAGTAGCCTGTAGTAAGGAGAGGCCATGCTCCAGCTCGCGAACCCTGATAGTCAGCGCATCAATCTGGGCATGTAGCTCTTCCGTATTGGCGAGGATATATCTGCGGGTCATTACAATCAAAACATCATGCATCATTCCCAAGCTGTTACAGAAACACGCACCTATTTTTTTGTGGACCGGTCGCTAGGGTACCTACGCGCCATGCACATGAGGGAAGAAGCAAGTCAGATGCAAGATGAGGTCGTACCAGTTGGACAAATCGCTGCACATCCTCGTTTCGAGCACGTCTCACAGGGCACCTGTATCTCTGCGAGTGAGTTCACAGAAAATGGCACTGAAAGCCAAGCATTCCCCGCACTTTTCTATCACAGCGCAACTTCAACCTGTAAGGCATTCGGGTCATTAGCATCCACTACCGCCGGCTACGAGGGGAGTAGAAAAAACCTCCGACATTCAGCACAGCTGACCGGAACCCTTCCTGGCCGCTTGCGCTGCTTTTGAGCAGGAGATGGATCATCCGTCGCCTTCGTCTTGCCCTTGTCTGTCGGTGGGACTTTTGGAGCCATGTATTAGGGTCCAGAACGGAGTACAGGTGTAAGGTGATCCGAAACGGGCCACAGAGAGCGATTCAACGACGCCGAGATGTTCAGAGAATGAAGGACCACAATTCCGACGCGGTCAGGGTGGGTGATGGTACAGAATATAAATGCGAGGCTATGGCCCCTGACGTCTCCTCGCGATGGGCTCAGTCAGCAATCTAATCTTATCTTCTATGATCTCGGGTGCTTAATGCTTCCGTGATTGGCAGTTCGATCTCCGCGGCTCTGGATCTTCTTGCTATTTTGGGAATAAACTTTCCTCTCTCGGCAAAGAAAGAACGCCACCAGACTGAGAAAGCATCAAACCTTCAGCAGAGTGCACGTCGGGTACGTTGTGGTGACCCACTACTTCCGTGATGTTAGTTCTTGTTAGTTGCGCCCAAAATTTGAGCTGAGCCTCAAATGTAAGGCCTGATTTGCAAAGAGATTCGTAGGACGCTGGTGAAACGACTTCACTGTATTTAGCCTGTGCACCACGAGTTAATCCGTCTTACAAGGAGTCCGGGCAGATTCAAAACTCAGAGCTCCGGAAATAGTGGACCTCGATGTGCAGTTTCCATCCACGATCAACCAGCGACGAATGCGCTGTAGTCCAGAGACTTGCCATTTGGCAGTGAACTAGCAACGCAGATAGAAAATACAACAACAGAGGCAAATCGAAAAGAAAAAGAAATATCGTCAGACATAATACAAACAACCTCGACTTCGACCTCGACACCCGAGGCACTACGGCATCTCCTGCTTATTTACTACCCCGAGTGCTGCGACGGGTAGTTTTCCCAACGCTCGCCTTCGATACTTGCTCTTCTTCATCCTCGTACTGATCCTCAGTCACCACAGGCGCACTCCCCAGCTGTCTGTACACCCATCAAAATCAGCGTCTGCCAAAAATACACCTTGAGTATGGACTTACCGTGTCTTCTTCTGCACAGTTTTTCCCTGCGCAGACTTCTTCGAAACGTTCTTGGGTGGCACAATGATCGCAGAGTCGTCGTAATCCTCATCATCCTCCGGCTCGGTGTCATCATCATTACGAGGTTGACGGGACACAGGTGGTGCTTTAGCCTTGGAGGGATTGCTCGTACGAGAAGAGCGGCGATTAGAAATTCGGCGGCCGCTGTCCGCTGTAGAAGAACTTGGATCAACGGCGAGTTTGCCCATATCGTCGGTTATCTCCGAAACGTCGCTTTGCCCCTTGCGAGTCGAGGTCCTTTTCGCTTTGACTGTCTGGGGTGGCAGAGGCGCAGTATCCTCTTTGAAGATCATAGGGGGGAGCTGCTTCAGAGGAGAGTGTGGCAGTATTGTGCGCGGCGGAGGACCTTTTGCTGGCGCTTTTGCTTTCGGCGTTGGCTGCCCCTTGGAGGACTCAGGGACCCAATCTTCCTCATCCGTTTCTTCTTCCGACTCGTCCGTCCCTGTCGCACCGTCGTCTGATCCTTCAGCGTCTTTTGAATCCGTTCCTGCGTGGCTCGTGTCGCCGTCATGGTAACTCCCATCATCGTCTTCCCCCTCATCATCCTCCGTCTCCTCCTCGCTGTCCTCGTCTCCCACACTCTCAGTCACCCGACTTTCCGTCTCCGTGCCTGTGTCTTCAGCGTCCTCGTCATCTGACGGAAGAATGATGTGCTCGGGCTCCGGTCCAGAAGACATGGGCACGCGGATCTCAGAGCGTCGAACAGACTGCTTAGGGAACCTATTCGACGCGGACTTGCTTTTGCCTGCCAGAGGGGACAAAGATTCGGAGCGGTTCGAGCTCATCTCGGATTCGTCTTCTTCCTCAGACGGATCTTCCTCTTCAATCTATCGCAAATTTATTTTATCAACCCTAGATCCTATATCAAGATACGAATGGGAAGGACGTACAATACTCATCTCAACATCTTCCTCATCCTCCAGGTCCTCCAATACCCGTCTGGACTTGCCAGGAGTCTTTCCGAAGAGACCAGACTGATGTAGCATATCTATCTTGGCATCTATCTTCATCTCATGTTGCTCGACCTAACGTGCATGATAGACCGAAATGTGCAGTTAGAACGTTTATCCCATCTCGAAACTAAGGCGTAAGACCTGCGCTTACCTCGTTCATCAACCGCCGAGCGAACATCTTCTCCATATTTCGGATTCTCTCCTCCATTTCTTGCATGACTTCCTCACGTGTCTCGGCTTCGATGATTGCGCAGCGCATCTCTGCATTATAAACCTTTATTGCAAAGCCATCAATACATACCCAAAGGAGTGATACGGACGTGTCGTACCTGCATACGCATCACTTCAAGCTCGTCAAACAAGGCTTCGACCAGCGGGTTTAACGGTTCATCGTCAAAGTCATCTTCGACCGACGTTTCTTCGTCCTCTGCCGGGGTGTGTCAGCCATCGTTCAAAGCGCTAGCACGAAGGTTCCATTGCATACCTTCGACAATCTCCACTTCCGCCTTGCTGGGTTTCCTCCCACCGTGTCCTTCAGTCGACAGCGTGACTGTTCGACGGTGTGGAACGACTTCGCGACTCTTTGCAGCGGCGCGTTGAGGGATCAAAGTCTTGCTCGGCGTAGGTGGTACTCTCTGGGCCGGTGCAGCGGTATAGACTTCCTTCGCAAGAGCGGCGAATTTCATGACGTGAGAATTCTCGTCGTAGCCCGTATCGTAAGGGTTCACATTGACGATCATAACCTGACAATAATAGTCGCGTAAGTCAATGACCAACGGGGCATAGCCATCTCAAGAATAAAAAGGCGGACTGACTGCTCGACCATCGCCCGTGAAGTAATCCATAAGAACCTCAGTAAGCTTGCTGTGGCGGAACGGCACGACCGCCAATGATTTCTTGACATCACGGGTGTCCGAACGCTGGTGCTTTGGACCGCCGAGACTCTGAGCCACACGACGCTGGTTAGCACGCATAACCTCCATGCATTGGCCAAGGACCATGAGAGACTTGTTGATGTTGCCCGCTTCCTTGAGGCGATCACCAGTCGTTTGTGTGTGTTTAGTGCGTTCTGAACCAGCCAAATCGACGAGTGTAAGGCGGCATGTGTTGAAAGAGGCCGGTTCCTATAGGACATGTAAGTTTGGAGCACGAAACAAGATTGGGCCGTAAGAAAAAAAAAATACTCACGTCTGGTTCACCACGATGCTTCCGAAGTAATTTGATCGTCACCATTCCGTGGCTGCGACTACTCTGACTGTTCGCCAATGTCCCAAACACCCTCCTATGCAACTGCCCCAACCTCACAAGGGTCTTCGCCTCCCCCGCATTGTTCACTCGAATGTGCTTCAGACCCGAGACATACTTCCCCGCCATCGTACCCGGGGGTCCGTCCCACCCGTCAGAAGGAGGCGAAGGTTTGATAGGCAAAGCTTTCCTCGTCAACAGAACCGGGCGTCGGGATTGACGCGAACCAGCATTGGCATCCTCTACGTCGGCAAGGAGGTCGTAGATCTTCTCGTTATAGACCTCCGAGTAGGAGAGCCAGATAGAATATTCGTGGTTACGATCGACGGAGAGTACAGTTGGGTCGATGTCCGTATCGAGGTTTACGTTCTCCTCAAGATGTTCAGCGAGGACTTCTGCTAAAATGGGCTCATCGATGGTGTCCAGAGATGGACCTCGTGTGGACATTTCAAGGGATCCGTCACCGGATTCGATACCATGGAGTCGGACAGGCCGATGCTGAGCAACAAGAGGTTAAGCTCCCATTCAGAGCGTTCAGGTGACGGGTGTGCTTGCCTTTGAGTTACTTTGCAATCCCTCAATACTATTGAATATCACATCAAGCGTCCTAGGAAGAATACCAGCAGAACCGGGTTCGGAGCCACCTTGCATGGTGTACGTCTTCCCGGAGTTCGTAACACCATAGGCAAATAGCAAGCCATTCTCGCCATCGAGGAGGCCTCGCACGAGTGGCAGAGTGGTCTTTTTGAAGAACTCAGACTGAAGTGACGAGTCGGGGAAGACATGGGAGAAGCTATAGATGGATGGTTGTGGCACTACGGATGGCCGGAAACGATTTCGGGAGGGAGCATTCTGAATCTCATCCTGAGCAGGGTCGGACATTCTAACAGAGACATCGGTAAGATGTTCAAGATAGGGCACTGATGTTGAAGGTCCATCATTGAGATGGGGGCGAATGCGGAGGAATGCCTGGTTTGTTGTGTTGATTCTCATTCATTAAGATACTGAGAAATCAGAACGTACCTTTATGGGCTCCCTGTCATTATCCACAGGAACAACCGTTGGTTTAGATGTCTTCGCCGCGACATTCTTAGGTACTGCAGCTTTCTAGAGCGCGCAGCCATACTGTAAATCGCATAAATCTGCAGAAAACAAAAGCTTTCCGTACATTATTGGTCTGCCTTGCTTTCGTTGCAGGAGCCGCCTTTGTGGTTTTGGCCCGAGTGCTGGCTGTCGTCGTCGCAGCCTGACTCGGAGCTGGCTGGGTCTGGGCTGTGGATCTCGTCGTCCGAGACGAGGGTCTTGCTGGGGGTACTGAGGGCGCTGAGGGTTTCGTTCGGGTGGCCATGGATCGTAGAGGATGGACAGGATGTGGTTTGTGGCAAGGCTGGTTCAAGGCAGACGCGAGGCCAACTCGAAAGGTTTGAAATTGACGCGACACGTGTGGCGCGTTCGCGTCTGTCACGTGGTCGCGCTCAACACGGTCATTTGTTGTTCTAGGCTCTAGCTCATCGTCGCGTCCGACGACGAGCTCTTGTCTATCTATCGCAGAGGACTCTACGTGTCCTATACTTCTTGCTTTTATTTCTTGACGCATCCAGCGGCCCTGCGATAATATATCTGGAATATGGCCCCTAGTCCTTCTCGCCGGAAATCCATCGCGGTCCCTCAACATGGAAGCTCGTTGCGTCCGTCTCATAGACGTCGACCCCATAGTATCACACCAGGCGACGCGGTGCTGAAACAGCTTAGTCCGGCTGCTAGACGGCGTCGCTCACTCGTGCGTCGTTCATCGGAACACCTATCGCACGTGAATACTCACCGTATTGTCAGGCTCCGCGCAAAAGCATTCTCAAGCTCGCAATTCCCGATAACACAGATGACACGGTCTCCCAGGACGATGCTTCATCCTCTGCAAACACTATGTTGTCGCGCAAAAGTCTCAATCGTCGCATCAGCTTCGCCGAGGATGTGACGGTCATGCTCTTTCGACCCCGCGCTCGCGAGAGACGGAGCTCTAGGCTAGATCAACAACCGTCACAAGCCGAAGAAGAACCTGACGGAGAAGAGAACGATGGTCCATCAACCGAAGATCAACCACCAGCCCCTGCCCACCAGACAGACGAGAATGACTACCCAGGTGCATCAAAGTCTCGTCGTCGGAGCTCTTTACGGCGACGATCCGCTGCTTTTAGCGAGAACGGGGAGGCAGATATGGACATGGTTTCAGAGTATGGAGAAGATGAGGACGATTACAACGTGACAATGGACAGCTCTCCGCTTCCTCCCGGCTTCATGGACGAACATCCTGAGGATGAAGATGAAGGCGACGAGGAAGACATGGAGCTCGACTCTTCTCCCGTCAAACGAACGACAATTTCCGGAAGGCGATCCTCCCTCGCCGCTCGTCCACCCCTCGCCGAAGTGTCTCGCACAGATGCTCCTGATGTCCAGCAAGGCGAGCAAGACCAGTCTTACTCCATGTCTGTCGATGATTCCATGAACTCGATGGACATATCAACTTCCACGGAAGAGCCGATGGAATACACAATGCCACTCAACAAATCTCTGCGAAAGAGCCACCCTCCGAGCCAGGAGTGGTTACAGCTTCAAGCGATGACCCACGCCGGTATACAAGGACCCGAACAGGAGCAAGGCGAGGAGTCTTTCGATGACCACACCCACATTAGCGTTCGTTCAGATGAGGACATGGACCTAACTGAAGCGCAGACCCGTCTATATGCTGCACGACAGTCTCTTGTCGCAGAACAAGCTCTCCCCGAACCTCGGGACGATACGCTGACTTCCAGCGAAGGCGACTCGGCTGACTTCGGGTTTGATAATACAAACGAGACCGTTAATCTCACGAACGTTTTCAGAGATAGCATAGGTGGTAGGACGGACGCCAGCTCCGAGATGAATCTCACAGACGTTCAACTCCCTATTGATGATGTCGACGAGCCAGCGAATGAGCCACCTCCGACCAGTTCACCGTCCCCTGAGCCTCCTCAGGCGGAGTCATCGTCTTCGGAACAGCGCAAGAGTACACCACCACCTCCCGCACCAATGCCCCCTAGCGCTCCAGCTCCAAATTTGTTGTCTCCGTCTAAAAACCCACCACCGACACCTCAAACCATATTCCGCTCGAGCGTTTTTTCCGCTCCATCAGCATCCACATCCTCTCGTCCACCACACTCTCCCTTCAAGCCCGTGAGGCCCTCACCTCAACCTGTCTTTGCCAAGCCAGGCCCCGTGTTCTCAGCACCGAAGCCCGCATCGCCTAGGAAAGGTGGCACCGCTGCATTCGCCCCTCCCGTGGCCCGGCCTTCTCCCAAGCGACCTCTATCTGCGGGTGGGACCTCTCAGCTAGATCAGAGTCTCTATAAACGCCCGGCCGTCGCTTCATCTGATCCCGTTAGTGGTCGCGAGTCCCCCGCAAGAGTCGCCTCTCCGAAGCCTCCGCCTGAAGAGATCTCGTCCAATGGGTCTGCCTCAGCGACTCGTCGACCCAGCTCCGCTGGCGCCTTGCGACGCCCGTCAGGCTTCTTCGCTCAAAGGAAGAGTATGGGCGGTCTCTCCGCCTCACAATCGCAGAAATCTGAACCTCCGCAGAAGAAAACAGACGCAGGGCCAGGGCCAGGAGGAGCAAGCGTTGGGGGCGGCACTGAGCTTTATCCAGACCTCAACGCTGCATTCGAGCTGAATACCCAGCAAAAACCCGCTGAGCAGTCAACCTCTCTCGATGAAGAAGACGTCCAGATGCCTTTCCGCCAGATAGTACAGGCATCGCCGATGAAATCTCCTCGCACGCGTTCACCTGCGAGGAGGGTACCGATACCGCCTACACCGCCTCCTCAGGATTCTTATGAGCAGACACAGACGTCGGGTTCGTTTGTAAATGCAGTGGAGCAGACAGAGCAGTGGAGAAATGGGTTACCGCTCGAACCTCTGATGGAGGAAGACGAAGGCGTTAGTCGCACTTCAACCAAAGCTTTGCTCTTGATCTTACTATTCTGCATTTTTCTAGCCTCCGATATCCATCGACCAGTTCTTCAGTATGACTGGGATCCGTTTCATGGACGAACTCACGGTTCCTCGACGCTCTACCATCCATCCTTCCCAACTCAACCGGCGAACCTCACTGTCCGAAGAGGAGAATTCCCTCGCAGAATATATTGTCGCTTTGGCAGTTGATTTACCGCAATTAGAGCTCCACGCGAGTGTGGCAAAGGACCTTCAGCTGGGTGTGCAACATATCAAGGATAACTACAGGCAGGCTGAGGAAGAGGCGGCGAAGTGTACGCCGGCTCTGTTCAGAGAGTATCAGGAGGCAGACGAGGAGACGAAGGAGGAGTTGCTGGTCAGTCATTTATTTGATTTTAGTCTGAGATGTGGCGCTAATAGATAATCCGACGATTATATTTGACTGTACAGCACCAATTGAAGGTTATCAAGGCGAACAACCATGGGTCTGCCCGGTCACAATGGTATGACTGGAGACTTCAATGGGTGCAGCAACTGACTGCGACTGCCGACGAGGAGTTCAAGTCCCTTGAAGAGGTATGATTTTAATGAATGTGGATCCTTGTATTCTGCTCATAAACGTTATGTCCGATATTTAGGATGCACGCAAACTTGAAGGTATCGTCAAGGAAGCTCAGACTGTCCTTCCTTCGCTCCGTGAGGAACACGCGAGGGTTATGAAAGAGCTCGAGCAAGAGGAGGCCATTGCGGCCGAGATCGAGAGTTGTGACCAAGAGTACTTGAACGAGCTGAAGGGCACTATCGCCGAACAGAGGTAAACGCTTGCACCGTAATCTCGCCGTCGACATTTCTGACTCAGAGCATCGCTCTCTTTCTCTAGCTCCACTTTAGAAACTTTCCGGGCGGACGTCGGCGAAGTCAAGGCAAAGTACGATTATCTCAAAGAGAAACTGGACCAGATCGAGGCGGAGAAGAAAGAGGCGAATGACGCTATCCGGGAAGCCAAGCGGATAAACCACATCAGCGAAGGCAAGGTCGCCGCACTACAAGGTTCGTATCCCACCAGTCGTCTCTCCAACGCATTCACTCGCTGACCCTCTTCTGACCAAAATCCAGGTGAATTAGCCGTGCTAGATGCTCTCGACCTCATCCATATCACCGAGATCCGTGCCAACCTGTTCGAGTTCGTATACGATTCGCGGTTCCGGGTGACGGTCCCCTGCAAATCCTACCGCACGCTCATATCCGAAGCCACTATATCCCGCGTGAAAGGCGCCCCGTCGAAGTCCAAAGACCATTATCCAGAGTTCACCGAAATAACGCTCGCCGTTGCCCGGCAGAGGCTCACCGCGCTACCAGCAGGCACCGATATGAAGCGGGTACGTTTATCATCCACCACGCCTCTCATGTACGGTCGAAACTAATCACACACGTTCCCCGTCGCTCCGAGCAGATCGTCACCTCCCTAGGAGACTTCTGGTCAGGCTGCCACGAACTCCGCAAACAGCTCGTCTTCCTCTCCATCAAGTACCCACTCACGATCGAAGCCCTCCCCCGCACATCCGACGGCCTCCTCTCGGGCATGAAAGCCACCGCCTCCGTGCTCTTACTCCAATTGAACGCGAAAGTCTACATCTCGTATATCTTGGACAACGAGACGCTTGCGAGGTGGCCGCGGTCGCTGGAGGACCTGAAGTGGGAGATCAAGGTGGCGTATGGGGATGTTGAGTGCGTGTTTCCCATACTTTGCGTCATCTTGTAACGAGAACTAACGACGAGTTGGCCCGATAGTCAAGCAAGTTTTGAAGAGATAAAGCAGTCGCTGCAAGAGCGCCTCGCACAGGCCACGCAGGACGATAGCCACGGATGCTTGCTCGACGCGTGCATCGCAGCGTCCGAAAAGTACGAAGACGAGGCGCAACAATGATCCCGCACTTACTTTATGCCTCACTGTTCCATGTCAGCCCCATACCTATGACGATTCCACCTTTGCCCGTATACCCTCGGTCTCTTGATTCGTTCTCTGTATTTCGTTTGGTTTCCCGGTTGCCAGGTCGCTCTGTACCTTACTTTCGAATTTCTTGTTGGGGGAGCTGTAGCTGTACGAGTTTCGTTATTTAAAGTCATGCACACGTACTATAGAGATACGCCGCTACCGCCTATTGGCTGGCTAGGATAGTTATACAATATGTTACAAAGACCAGGCGATGATGTCTAGTCGACGGACGTGGATGTGGTAGCTGTGGGTATGATGATGTACCGAGCAAGTGATGAGTGGGAGAGAGAGATCGAAGCAAAACGAACGAGTGTGATGATATAACAATGTGGGGACAAGAATAGATGAAGAATGGAAAAGAAAGAGATAAGAGAGAAAGAGAGAGCAAAACAATATAGGCATTTAGACATGGGCGAAGATCGTTAAGATAGGCATATGGGCATGGCAACAGGCTTCATGAAAACAAAACAACGTGCAGTCAGCATGACACCCATCCAAATCTATCCTCCCACCGCAAAAAAGGCTCACTCACCATAATAACATGAGAAAGTGACTATATCACTTCGATAATGGAGCAGCAACAATATGCATCCGACTGACCTCCAACCCCGCCAAAAGCACACCCAACATCTCCCTGCTCGCCTTCACGAACTCAACCTCCCCCATCGCCACATCCTTCACACTCCCCCAGCCCATCTCCGCCCCCTTCGCAGCACAGAACATATCCTTCTTCCTCGCCTCAGCTCTAGCCGTCTTATCCCTCTCCTTCTCCGCGTTCTCAGCGGCCCTCTTCGCCGCATTCTTCACCGCCTGCTCCCGAACAGATATAGCGACATCGAGCTGTTCCTCCAATGCAACGATATTCCCAGCCTGGTCCTCCGACGCGCGATCACGAGCCTCAAGTGCATGTCGCGTTTGTTCCTCTAGTAACGCCATCTGACGAGCGAGCTCAGTCGTTTCGTGCAAACGGGCTTGTTTTGCGGATTGGAGCTGTTGTTCCAAAGCCTGGATCTGCCCGAGCCGTTCCTTCGCGATCTGTTCCATAGAAGCCAGCTGAAGTTTAAGCATCGTAGCCATTCCGCCCTCGTTGCCGTTGCCACGGATCCTGCCTGGCGTCCCGAAGGCGTGTTTCGCTGGCGAGGGTGTGACTTCGGGTAACAGGATCTGGGAGATGGAACCGTAGCCTGCGGGAGAGGGCATCGTGCTCAGGGAGGGGCTGTCGCATTCAGGGAGAGAGATGGTGCTGAGGGCGGGAGAGGAAGGGCCCGAGAACGGTGCGGCCATGTCTGCGATCATGCTATCCGCTTCGCCTTCACCTAGTGTCATATCTCCAACCGCCACAAGCTGATCCCACGAGAGGAGTGAGCCACGATCGTTGCCTGCTGGACGTAACGATCTCTTCGATGGAGAGTCATCGCGGGTAGGAGGCATGGGAGATAGATACGACATGTTTTGACGGGAGGGAAGAGTGGAACCTTGACGAGAAGGTGTCTGGGGAACCTCGTCGGGGGTCCGACCCTTGCGGATACGGGGAACGGCGGGGGTAGGTGCGGTAGGAGAGGCGCCTGAACCGAGCATGTATTCGACATCGGCGGCATCGATACTTTCGAGGCTGTTGCCTTCGTTGAAGATAGACCTCATAGAGGTAGGAGTGGCTGATCCGGCCTTCTGACGATGGCCTGAATCATGCGAGCCCTTGACCGCATGGCGCAGAGGACTGCCCTTCCCGACGCTCGTATCAATTGGAACGGCCTTGGATTTGGCGGCGCGAGCAGCGGTCGGGGTCTGGGGAGAGCGCGGAGAGCGAACGGAGCTGGAGGACGATGAAGAGGATGGGGGACGAGCAGGGCCCGAAGGAGGAGATTGCGGTGTCGGTGTTGACGACTTCTTTGTTGTGGCTTTGACGGGAGGACCATTGGGTGAGTCTCTGCGAGGGATTTGGACCTTGTTGACTGAAGGAGAGGGAGAGAGGGTGATGTTGACACTGGTCTTGGGAGCACGACCGGAGGGTGGACTGATAGGCCTCGCCGCCTTATCTGGGATTGCCTCGGACGATTCGTCGTCCGACTTGGTCACTTTCTTCCCCTTCTTCTCGTCCTCCAGCTCCTCCCAGGACTCCTCCGAGCTGCTGAGTTTGCGTCTGGACGATTTCTGAGGCGAAGCCGCGGGTGGCTTCTTCAAAGCCTGCTCGAGATGGACAGATCTCGGTCGATACTTGGGTAGCGCGGATGGGTTACCAGCCTTTCGGGGACGAAGACTAGCAGCCCTAGTCATAGGTGGGGTCGGGGCATCCTTAGCAGTCGGAGTCGCACTGTCTTCCGATGGTGTTTCGAGAGTAGGAGTGGGTAATGCAGATTGTCTGCGCGAGGCGCGAGTGGTGGGTGCGGTCGCAGTGGGGGGGTTCGTCGCAGCCGATTTCTCGCCTACCGAGGCCCTGCCCCGGGAAGAAGAAGTAGGAGCGGTCACGCTAGAACGTCTTGCAGCTGTTTCTTTGGATCGCTTAGCGGATTTGTCGGTCGCTGTGTCCTTGCTGCTGTCCTTGTTCATGCCCAACGCCTTCCCGACCGACGCGAGCGAGTAGCGGGTGTGGGACCGCGTTTGCGGCTTTGTTGAACCAGTAGAAGTGTCGTCAGGCATGGTGATTGTTCGCTAGATTTGTGTTGTGTTGTGTTATGTTGTGTGTGCAAGGGGGCGAATGGGGGGAGCGAAGAGGGGGCAACGGCGCGTTGCTAGCGCTCGTTCATGAGGGAAAAGGAAGTTCAACTCGGTTCGCCACAGGCACGCGTTGTTTGGCCCTGTTGTTGCGCCACACTCGTAAAGGCCGTCTTTGTCCATGCGCCCAACCATGAATTCAAAGGGTGTTTTCTCTACGCGTACGATCAATATTGTATGCAGGTACGCGAGACTACCACATAAAACGTCCGACGCCTACCCTCTCTTTGTACAAAAACACCCACATCGTCACCGCGTTCACTGCAGCATACCACGCACCCTCCAACAGCAAACCCCAGACTGGCACGTCCACGACCTGCGCTCGCATAAGAATATAGGGTATCAGGAAGTATCGAGGCTCCAATAGGGGTGTAGGGAGCAGGATAGGTAGCGTGCAAATGGGCAGGAGAAGGGCTTGTAGCTGCGACTTGTCCCGGCCTGTGGTCGAAGATCGAGAATGAAGGGTCAGTGGGCGTTCGATCATACTCGAGTGCAGATCAACAGGCTCGACGTACCGATGGTCAAGAACCACATCCATGCGCAGGCGATGTAGCCGGGGATATAGAGGTAGGGCACTATAGGGTGGGGTAAGAAAAGCCTCTTCCATACATAGAATGTGTAGTGCCGATTGTCAGACAGTAAGAAGGGGTGGTGTATTCTATAACGCCTAGAGTCAGATCACCGTCAGAATGAACGCGGGATACACGTACGTGAATTTGTGTACGGTAACACCCATGATGAGGGAGAGTACAAGAGTGATCGCTATTCGGCTGATCGAGTGGTCAGCGACGTTTGCTGGCACGCAAGTCAAACGACTGCTCGCTTTACCTCGGGGTTTTGAACATTTTGTTGTATACCTTACGCATCAGCAGACGAGGGCCACCGTGTGTGCTGATTAGTACAGGCCATCCAAGCATGGTAGAAAACGCCACGAAGTAGTACAGTTGCGGGATGTGGAACGCAGGGACATGGTTTGACTTGTCACCTGGGCGGTTTGCACATCAGTCATTGAAAGCTTTAAACCATTGACTCATACCTAAGACAATTCCTCCATTCCATATCACAAACCCAGCAAATATAGCGCAGACGATGGCATAAGGAATGAACGCAGGCAAGATGTCCAGCAACACTCCCGGCAGACTCAGGACCGTCCGAATAAGGTCCCCTACAAGTCGATCGCATCACCAACATTAATAGCTTGTTGCACCTGATCCGGAGGAGCTTATGAATCGCACTCACTTGGTCCGGCATCCAAGGCAGGCGGATCATGCAACTTTGCAGGAGGCTTCCCGTCGTTCCCCACACGCCTATACTTGAGATACATCAACTGACTCGACGCATAGGCATACAGCACCCATATGATGTTCGTCTGTCTGAACGTGCAGCTAATGAGACCTAGCTAACATTCTGGCGTCGGTTAGTGTCCCCTCATACACACTGAACGCCACCGCCACACAAGTATATGAAGGACAGACGGACGAACCAGAGCTGCTAGCTTGTGCTTGTTCTGGGAAGACGCAACGATCGTGGAGACGACAAAGAGGAGACTCGGAACCTCGGTGTAGTATAGGAAACCGAAGAACCAGACGATGGGGAAGGCAGAGAGAACGACGGCGTCGAGAGTTGGTACGAATGAGGAGGATGGTGTGCGGACGCGTTGGTGGAAGCAGAGGAGGCGTGTTAATGCAAACGGAAGGACGAGGAGGGTGACGAGCGGTGTGAGACGGAGAGTGGGGAGGTTGCATTTGAAGAGGAAGATGTTCTTCATTATTATGGTCAGGCCATACCTGCATGAGCGTGACCACGGTAAGTTCGGTGTAAGGATAGAACGCAAAGAATCGTAGTGACCTACAATCCTGGAGGCGTAGTTATTTTCGGGTCCCAGTAGGTCCACTCTCCCCTACAGTATGCCTGCACCTGCGGGACGTGGAACGGCTCATCCTACATATATCGGTACATATGAACGCCGTCAGCATTGAGCTGATCAGGTTATGAAGGTATAGACGACGTTACCATGTACGGTTTTTGGACCTCAGTGTTGAGTTCCTTGAGAGTAATTACAGAGATGACAGTGAGCAGCACATATGCTGTCGCTCCGTACTGTGAAGGAGCCATCGCCGTCGATATATGGTTGTGCTCGAAATGGTCGTTATATTCGCGCTTGCCACGAGGCTCGACCTGGCTCGACACGTCGCGTTCGTAGACGCGTGTTCTGTAAAAGGAAAGCCCTTCCCTCGCCACCTAACGGCTCCTGGTTTCTCCTGGTGGCGAGCCCTCTCTCAGAGACATCGACCTCGTGTGTTTCAACTGTCTCTCCTGTTTCGCACCAATTTCGACCCCTTGTTCTCTTGCGACCTTCGTTTTTCCGTTCCATACAAGTGCCCACAACGTCACCCAGGCACGATGGGTTTCAAGTTCCCGTGCCCCCGCTGCAACTCCGAATAGTCGCTGGATCTTTTCTTCTACATATATGTACAGACATAAAGGAGTCCCAGGCCGTAAATATCTTCCGGAGTGGTGGTGAGTCAAGTACATCCTACACGCATTGTCTATCAACTCCTCCATAAGGGAGTCAAAGCACTCCCCGAGTGCGCGGTCGCCGTCGGGCGCGCGTATCGCTACCAGTAGAGTCGTGCACGCCGTTCGTGTATGAACCTAACCTAACTCCAAATTTGTCGATGAATGGCTTTTTTGTTATCGCCGTGTGAGATGAGGATAAAGTTGAGGCTCAGTCGCAGTGGCAGGGGTAAGACAATGGTTGTCGGATGGAAGCCTATGGCAATATGGGAACGCTGGCATGTCCGTCATACGACCGTCAGGATCCGATGCGAGGTACTGTGTTACCTTCGTCTACAGTTGTCCGACTTCCGCATGATGAGCTGTGGTATGGCTGTCGCGTACGGCACCGTTAGGTTTTAGGTATCGGATGTCGACAAGTGTGGCCCATAGTAGCAGCTCTATGGAATGGAACACATGGACTCACTCATGATGCGCAGAATTTCTGGGGGATGTTGGATTTGACAACTCGTCTCGACCAGCGTCAGGTTCTTCTTGGTCTCCGTCGCGGTAACGCCGCTATTATATACCCTCATGATTGAGCACAAAAACACAGGTCCCGTATCGGTGTCATTTTAGACGTATTGCCAACGACCCCTGCATACCAAAACAATACCGTGGCTCCGATACGACGTCGACTATCCCATATGGAAGTTGACGGCACTACAGTCAGGGCTCGGCTACACAAGAACTCTGTCTTGTGCACAAACAATAAGGAGGAGGTCGCGGAAAACAAAAAGATAGAAGATCGTGTACGGACGGCATCACCCGATCTGCCAATATGCCTCCGGCGTCGAACGAGCGCCTGGCGCGTCGGTTGCTTTGCATCTTTGCCGTGCTTTGCTCTCCTTCGTCATTCCTCTTTGGAGCATCGCCTCATGTCTGTTATTTGTCACAAAATGCTTGGAATGTCGCTCGATTGTGAGCAGAGATGCTAGAGGGCAGGGAAATAAGTCGCAGATGTATTTTGTTCTGCATATCAAAGGGCATTTGTCGAGTTGGCGTGGGTTCAGAAAGTTTCACCGCAACTTTTACCCCTGTTCTGTGCCGTGGAAGATAATGTTCTTGTTCGTAGCGTGACAAGTGTGGTGTTCACCGGAGTCATGCGCCGTGCCGCCGTTCCTGAAGGTAATAAGTTTTTGTGTTGCGTGCCAGGCTTCGTCCATTGCTTCCTTCCTTCCCCCGTCTTCCTCCTTATTGTCTTCAGGCGCACTTGCATCCACCGATTCCTGGGCTCATTCGACTGGTATAAGACTCTTTCGGGTCGTTGCTCCCTCTCGATTACCCATCGGTGCATGTCAAGGGCGCCCAAAGCTCTCCCTCCTCCGCCTCCCCCAGCGACACCCCCCGTTGTTTTCCCTCCTCTAAGCTACTGGGCCCCTTTTCCGACACTGCTGCACCTCTTCACACGTTAACGATGGACGACTCCTCACCGACACCCATTGGAATGTCCGAAGTTCGCTACGTTAACTCGCCTTCATCTTCTTCTCATCTGCGACATCGCCACTCCACCCCAGACGTGCCGCAGGACGTCGAAGACGATCTCTGGGCACACTTTAACGATCCCAATTACGATTACGACGCGAGCTCGACCGCAGGGTCCACTGCTCGCGAGTCCTTTGAGCTTGGCAAGAAGGCCTCTGCTCGATGGTCCGATGTCTCTATCACTGTCAGCTCCTCGGAGCTCGAATCTCAGTACGACTCCTCGCGGGCGACAGAGTCGAAGGGAAACCTTGGTTCAGAGGCTTCCTACGATGAGTGAGTCTCCTCCTGGCTTGAGTAGGAATCGTCTAGCTTACTGATGCCAATCTTGTAGCGAGTCGCCCTATCCAGAAGTCCGCGCGGCTGTGTCGAATACTGACGACCCGTCCATGCCCGTCAATACCTTTCGAGTGTAAGTTGACCAGCTAGTATTTCCTCCATCTCGACACTAACTTGTAGCCTTTTAGTTGGGTCATTGGACTTTTGTTTTCTGTTCTCATCCCCGCCTTCAACACCGTCTTCTGGCTACGATGTACGTATCTGGTCCTTGTCTTATCGGCCGCATGTTTCTAATCTGATTCTCCTTATGCAGACCCGACCGTCATCGTTAATGCACTTTTCGTCCAGCTCGTCACGCTCCCAATCGGCAAGCTCTTCGAAAAGGTCCTCCCTACCCGCCGCATCACCATGTTTGGCTACGGCATGTCGCTCAATCCGGGGCCGTTCAACGTCAAGGAGCACGCGCTCATCTCAGTGATGGCGAACGTCGTCGTCGGCGGCGCACCCTTCACGGACGTCATCGCGACTCAGGCCTTCTTCTACCAGACGCCTTGGCCTCTCGGAAAGCAGCTCATCCTGTCGCTCTCCATTCAGATCCTCGGTTTCTCCTTCGCCGGCCTGGTTCGCCAGTTCCTTGTGTGGCCCTCCAGCATGATCTGGCCCGGTGTTCTCGTGCGTACTGCTCTGCTCAACACGATGCACAAGAACTACGGCAAGAAGGACAGGAAGCATATGTCGCGCGAGACGTTCTTGGCCCTCGCCTGCATCTGCAGTTTCGTTTGGTATTGGTTCCCCGGCTTCCTGTTCACCGCTCTCAGTGTGTTCAACTGGGTATGCTGGATCGCACCCGACAACGTCGTCGTCAACTCGCTGTTTGGCTACAACACTGGTCTCGGCATGGGCTTCTTTACGTTCGACTGGGCGATGATTTCCTACGTCGGCAGTCCTCTGGTCATTCCTGTAAGCAGACTGTCACATTGAATGCTCAGCACCATTTTACTCATCATCATTTATAGTGGTGGGCTCAAGTCAACAGTTTCGTGTCGTTTGTCTTCTGGATCTGGCTGATTGTACCGATTCTGTGGGGTACGCCACATATGTTCCTTCTTGCGCCACACACGCGCTAACTTGTATTTTTCTCTCCAGCCAAGAACGTCTTCTTCTCGAAGTTCATTCCCATCTCATCGGCTGGTTCTTTCGACAACACGGGCGCGTCCTACGACCCTACGGCCATCATCACGGACGGCGTCTTCGACGAGGCGAAGTACAAAGCGTACTCCCCCATGTACTTGTCCGTCACGTTCGCGCTCACCTACGGAACCTGTTTCGCCTCCTACACGGCCGTCGTCGTTCACACCTTCCGTACGTCTTGCCGTGTTTTTCTGTTACTCACTCCGTGAGCTTACGTATCTCCTTTAGTTTGGTACCGTCACGACCTCGTGCGCCAGTTCCGCAGGTCTCTTGGTGACGAGGGCGATGTGCACTCCCGTCTGATGAAGGCCTACCCGGAGGCTCCTCGATGGTGGTATGCCGTCATGGGCATCGCGTCTCTCGTTCTTGCTATCGTCGGTGTTGAGGTTGGCGACACGAAGTTGCCGATCTGGGCGCTCTTCATGGGTTTGGTCCTCGCCGCGATTTTCACTGTTCCCCTTGGACTGGTTCAGGCCATCACGAACCAACAGTTCACTTTGAACGTCCTCGCAGAGATCATCATCGGCTACACCCTCCCAGGACGACCGCTTGCCGGCATGGTCTTCAAGTCGTTTACCTACAACACCACTTCCCAAGCCATCGCGTTTGCCAGCGACCTCAAGATGGGTCACTACATGAAGGTCCCCCCTCGCTTGCTCTTCCTCGCCCAAGTCGGCGCGTCTATCGTCGCCGTTTTCGTTTCCGTTTGTGTACAGCAGTGGGCCTTCAATGCTATCCCGGATATCTGTACCGACGGCCAGCCAGACCTGTTCACCTGCCCTGGTCTCCTCACGTTCGGTACGGCGTCTCTGATCTGGAGTGGAATCGGTCCACAACGGCTGTTCAGTCCTGGTACATTGTGCGTACTTATCTCGCCTGATCATTGGTTTAGTTGATGCTGACTTCTGGCTGCAGGTACTACCCCCTCGTCTGGTTCTTCCTCCTTGGAGCTGTGCTTCCTATTCCTCCTTACCTCCTCGCCAAGCGATTCCCTCGTTCTTTCTGGAGATTCGTCCACATTCCCGTCTCCCTTAACGCTCTCTCCGTCGTTCCGCCTGCTAGCGGCATCAACTTCTCGTCGTGGTTCCTGGTCGGGTTTATCTTCCAGTGGTTCATGCGTCGCTTCCATTTCCGCTGGTGGATGCGCTGTAAGTTTCCTTCTTCATCTGAAACTTAAAGGGTATGAGCTCATGTTTTCGATTATAGATGTCTATCTTCTCTCCAGTGGTCTCGACGCGGGTGTCATCTTTGCTCTGGTGATCATCTTCTTCTCGCTGCAGTTGATCAAGAACCCAATCAATATCAACTGGTGGGGCAACACTGTGTGGCAGAACACGGCAGACGCGATGGGGACGCCGTTCTTCACGCTCGCACCAGGCCAGACGTTCGGACCTCCACCAACATAAAGATCGACCGAGGGTTCTTCGCTTTTTCTTTCGTCATGCTCACGGACTTTGAGTGTTGATATTCTTATTCTTTCGGGGATGGTAACTGGTCACGGAATCTTTTTTTCGCGCTTCCCATAGAGGAAAACGACTCGACGAGTGATACCAACTTTACATGCATGCTTTATGCTTTTGTCGTCCATGTCTTCCAATCCGTTCACTCCACTAACATACACTCACACACAACACATACTCACCACGCATGTCATTCTTGGGTTTCTTGTACGATGCGCTCACCATACGGGGGATGGCTCGAGAGTTTTGCTTTTGTATTTCTACTTAACACCTCACGATCTTCTTTTGGGTATCTGGCTATTACCCTCACGCCGCTTTTTAGCTTTTCGTTCTTTGTTTCATTTACCCTTGTATCTCTCTCTCTCGTAGTACGGTTGTACCGCGTTCTTATGGATCTTCACGACTCCGCAATGAGAACACGACGAATTTTGGACATTGTAATGCCTCCGAGTCAACTCGCTGCAATATCGACTTATCTTCTTGTCCGAGAAGATCAAATACGAGTACATAGATGAAAAATGTCTGTTGTAGAACTCTACGTCGCAATACTCGATCCCAAACTCAGTTCGTTGAGGCAGCCTGCAGTATCATCTCTGCAGCCTTCTCTCCCACTCCGTACAAGCCTAGCGTACAGTGCGGGAAGACACCTAGCGGCATAATCGACGCATCCGCCACGCGAATGTTTGTCGTTCCTACATGCAGACATCACGAGGTGTTATTAGCCTCCGATCGGCGTCGACAAACATATGAATGGGACGCACCGTATACTAGTAACTCGGGAGAAACAACGCCACCCAATTCCTGGGGCATCATGGAATTACTTCCAATGAAATGAACTCCGGGCAGATATCTGCAAGTATGACAATCGATTGTATCCAAGTTGTGGTCCATGACAAAAGATAAGATATACTGACGTCTCAAGCATCCATACTCTCCATTCTTCATCCGTCGCATTCAACGCAGGCATACCCGACTGCGCGAACGCCGTAGGCGTAAGGAAGTCACTGAAGGGTGGCGTCGCAGCGGCTTCACCCATCCGTCTACTTGCGCGTATCATGATGTCGACGTCGACTTCATTGCTGAGGTACTCCGGATTGATGACGGGCATGTCGGAAGGGTCGGTGCTGTTGATTCTGACGGTACCACGGGAGATGGGTAAGACGGATTGGGCCCAAATGCTGAGCTGGCTTCCAGGCGTGAAGAATAGCTCGATGAGGGGATCTAGCAATAGTTCGAATCATATCTTTGGAGGCATTGAAGACACTGGACGGTTCTACTTACGGTCTGCTTCTATGGCATCTGCAATTACCGAAGCCTGTTCAGACAAGGACTCGAAATTAACGACGCCACCGGATTCCAATGCACGTTCAGCAGATATATTGCGGTATGCGGAAGCTACCATTGCTGTACCTAGAAGACGCAAAGTGGATGTCAGCCTAAGTAATCCACGGACAGCACTGGTGGCATGTCTCATACCATTAGGGCCGAAAGCATTGTCGGCGGTGGCGTGGGCCACAACAATCCCCAGAAGTGCCTCAGTGCCTGTGATGTTGGTGTTAGACGCAGACGCATTGTTGATCGGGAATGAGATGTTGGTCATCAATGTCTGATCTTGAAAGCTATTGTGGGGTTCAGTGCTCTTGTGGGTGCTTGAAAGAGGAGTGTGTACAATGCTACATAGACGAAGTACTCACTTCGAGCCAACACCAGGGAGGTCCAGAACAGGCGTGATACCAAGACTTTGCAAGAACCTTCGTTCGAGCCGTAGATCAGAATTTTGTTCGACCAGAAACGATTGGAACATACGTCGAGTTTCCGATCCCGCTGTGCTGCAACACGGCAGGTGACTACGATTCACACAATATTATCAGTCTGTCGTCTCTAGATTGTGGATGCGGATTAGAATGGCACCGCATCAGACTCACGAACAGAGCCCCAGCAGATACAACCACTTCTCTCGTTGCATTAAAAGTGAGAATTCCGCCGCTGGCTATAGGTTCGACTACCGTGCCCGTAGCAGAAATATTGCTGTCTACCGCGGGTGTAGTCAGTATAGAGTTGACGCGGTGCTGGGTGAGGACGGTCAGTCCCGAACGCTGCTGATCCTGTGGATATAAATACGACCAGGCTGAAGACGAGCGGCGCTGCTCTTGGAGGGTTTCGTTGAAATGTATATGGTGGTAGAAGCTTGAAACATGTCCTATGAATGAAGTACGTTACGCATGGTATCAAAATATTCAAGGTGGAGTGGTCCTCACCCCCAGAAAATCCATCGCCTAGATCAGTAGTCAATGTCAACCCATAGATGGTTTCAGAGGTGTTTTTGGCTGCGAATTGCATCTCGGGCGCGATCAACGGATTGGCAAACGAGACACCTACAGGTCCAGAGAAGCCGTGGACTGAAGCGTTGAAGTTGGCCCCATCTGCGATCTGTCCCTCGTCGGGCGGGGAGAACGTCTCTGACCTTTCCATGAACCTGCAGACAATAATCCATACTGGGCGATATTTACGAGAAAAATTAGTTACTGACGGTAAGAAGTTGTCCCATTCCCAACCGGGGTTTCCGAGAGCTGCTATAGCGTCCATACCCGCAACAGTGGGCCTGGATCCCATCATTGTATTGATGGATGAGCCTCCTCCAAGGCAATTACCACTGAATATGAGGTCGTGTTTGAAATCTAATTCTCTGCTTGAGCTGACAGAATGCACGTACAATGCGACTGGTAGCACGCGTGTCTCGTTCGCGCCGACTTGTGGTGGAGTAGAACCCGCTAGATGGCAAGTCACGCTGGCCGAATGTCTGCAATACCAGACAAGGCGTCAGCGATATATCCGTTAATGCGGTGTATATACTCACGCCCCGAACGGTATAAATGGATTGTTGATCCCCTGACAATAGACGAAGGTCAAATGTAAATATCATAGCCATTGTGACGATCACCAACTTTACCTCGTTATTGATCTCGTCATCCCCACGTTCTACCACCAACACTGTGTGCTTTACTGAGAGACGATTCGCAATGGCTAGCCCAGTGGTTCCTCCGCCAACGATGATATATTCGAAAGATGTAGCAATGGCAGAAGAGTCATTCGTAATAACTGTAGCACCAGTGATGGTCGCAACGGTCAACAACAAGGCGGCTAGGCGATGGATATCCATTTGGAGGGCTGGCATACGTAGTGCACACTCGCCTGCGGTTCTGGCTCTATGTTTTTATACTCAAGATCCGGTGCTGAAACAACCGTTATGCGCCCAGTACACTCTTGCGACTGCCAGTGAGGAAGGAATACTCTCATGAACGCAACGCGCCCGATGTCATGCTTCGTCAAACCAAGTCAAGTGGATGTAGTGACTGAAAATCGAGGTATTGTGGGACTCATAGAATGGGGTTTGCAGTGGTAGACACCCAATATAGGCGACAGACTCACATGAGGGTGGAGCCATCACGCGTTGACTGTGGGTTGTGTCCAAAGAAGTGAAGTAGCGGGTAGGCGAACAAGAGGATATATGCTGCCTATCCGATGTCAATTCATAATAAGAACCTCGACGGTAAGAGTGAAGAGCAAAGCAAGAGCTTTCAGGTTTTGGTCGTGCTGCTGAGAAGTTGACTGTTTGGATTGATATCATAGCGATGGTTCATCGCAGCAGCACTCGTTACAGCAGTTCATGGGGATCACGAGGTACATAGACAACTGGAGCCTGTGAGGAATAGTACGAAGGTAGAGGGGAGTTTGACGAGAAGAGTCGCAGAGGAACTCGGGTAGAGGCCGCTCGGCTGCTCCCGTCTCGTTGCGGCAACGAGCCGGAATATGCCGGGTGTATTTCTTGAGCAATTTGCCTTGTTTATCTATTACTTATTAGCCACGTCCACGGGCAATCGATCGTCTGGCAATTGACTTCGAATCATCCTCACAGCTTGCTCACAGCCACAGCCAACCATCATGTACACCTGCCTGCGCACCCAAGATCATGCAAAACTGTCCAAGCGCAAGGCAGATCTAGAGTGAAAGGGATTTCAACTAGGCAAGCGCGGCGACGTTACGGTGAACTTTCCGGGTCGTGAACAAACTTGACGCGTCCACTGTCTTGACACGATTTGTCTGCCACTCACGCCAGCTGCTCTCCTTCGTCTCCTTCTGCTCCTTTATTTGTATGGATGTATACTGTAATATGGACTCTAACCTTTGCTGCCTTCATCACACGCGCGTCCACGGTGACATCTCCAGCGCTGCCCTTTTTCAGTCATGGTACTGCCTCGTCATGATCTCTGGACACAGCGATTGTACGCGCTTTAGAGCGAGACGCTTAAGGTTGTAGCCTCTATGCCTTCGTGGTTACACTGTTCATCAGGGCGTATCATGAGTGCACGTCCGAGTATCAGACTTCGCACAGCCCCCCATTGAAGTTGCTCTTCCTCCTGTGATCCCTTGTCACTTGTACTATTCATATTTCATCGTCCTGTTGTATGTGGGACGCTTAAAGGCAGCTAGGGTTTATTCTTGAGCATTCTCACCGCACCTCTCCCAATACTCTCCTCATCGACTCGACCACTCGACAGATGTCTTCGTCCATTAGCACCTCTATCACGGGCGGTCTACCCACCGTCTCTCAGGACGTCGCACCATCCGCCATTTTCCTTGTCTTGTACTCTGTGACCAACGCTATCTGCACATGGCGTCTGATCACACAATATCGCAAACCCCCGCGAATAATGTTTTCCTTCCTCCTCATACAAGTCTTCCAAACGGTCCGCATCGTCACAATGATACTTCGTGTCATCGGAGCAATCAACTACACAAACACCGTAAAAGGCACGGCTTCGTTCAACCTAGGCCTAATCATAGCTGAGCAGGTGGGCCTCGCTTTATAGCTTCTCGTAAACATCAATTCTGAACGATTCTCGGCAGGTATTGCTCAGCCTTGGCTATCTCATGATAGCGTCGACCTTGGTCAACCTCACTGCGCTCCACGAATCGCGAGGGATTGACGGAGTCACTGTCCAATCTAAGCGGAGAAGGAGAATAGTCACAGGTCTTTTTGAACTTGCGATTTTGGTGGCGAGGTATGCTCCATCCACATCCTTCCTGTTATGCATTACTGATATCCTCGAAGTGTGTTTGCTATCCTAGCTGGCACGGAATTTGGCAACAGTTTGACCGACGCAAACGCTGCAAACACTGTGCGCAATTATAGGTTCGTCGAAAACAATGTACCATATCTGTGCAGCAACTAATTCGCCCTTACATCCAGGGAAATCTCAGCGATCATCATTCTCGTTGTGTTAGTCGTTCTCATCGGCTATAACGCACTCCTATCCACACGACCAGACCTACCTAAAAGAACATCGATCTGGCTCATCATAACTTCCGCCCTCCTCGTGAGTCACTTTTGTGGCATTCCGCGTTTCGTTTCCTTAATGAAAAGCGTCGCCCATTAGATTGTGGTGCCAGCCTACCGTCTTGCACAGATGGTGAACCCTCCATCCGACTCCGACACTTCCGCACAGAAAGCGGCGTTTTTCATTCTTCAAATCGCGGTGGAATGGCTGACGGGTGCTTCCCTCCTGGCCGTCAATGCGAAGGAGTGGTGCGGGGTTGACGACTACAACGGACTCAAGACTTCTGCCAGTGAACAGTTCATGATGGGGGAGCAGGTATCCAAGGCTTGATGGGACAGAACATACCTTACCGATGGACAATTTTGACTTAGATACCTATATGGCAGTTAGCGTAGCATGATATCGCTCTTTCCGGGCATCCATTGATATATACATATATATTGTATGCTAGCCATCTTTGCCGCGATAAAAGTACCAGTAGCACACCTTAACAAGAATAATTTCATTTACATGGTAGCGGCGTAAGCTTTGTCAGTGTTAACCTATCAAACACAGCTTGCGATTGAATATGTCGGCGCCTTACTCTCGAAACCGTCCATGCTATCGTAAACATCTCAGCGGAGGGTTTCAGATATTATACCATTGGATCATACATCTCGAGACACCATTTTAACCGTTGCTCGGATGAGCGAGCACAAAGACTCTACCCCGGCACAATCCAATTCAAAACCCCCTCAGGATGATTGATTAAATCACACAATCAAGAACTACTGCTGGCAAGGAACTGCGTCAAAGGAGAACTGTGCGCATAGATTCGTCAAACACTCACGTCGAGAACACCTGTACCCCACATGCTCAAGGCAAGCACTGGCTGTAGTAGCTGTTCGAGGCCTTGCATGAGCCTGATGCACAGCTCGTGGGACCAGCCCAGCCCTGCAGAAAGCGTTCCATTAGTTCTTGTACACAATAGTCCGAGCAAGAGTCAAGACATATTAAAGATACTCACGATGCCGCCGCATTGCCCGTACAAAGTCTGTCCTGGAGCACTGGCGGTACTCGTGGAAGTGGGAACAGTCGAAGTCGGACCAGCAGGAACGCTCGCACCGCCACCAGTGATTCCGAACCACTCCATGTCTTGGTCACCTTGAATGGGCACGGTGTGTCCGACACCCTGTGCGAGGATACCCTGCAAGTTGGGGCCGTAGACAGACTTGGTGTAGCCGGGAAGGGGCGTGTTGTCCTACGAGACGAAGATAAAGACGATGATGAGTCAGTAAATAGATCTCGTTCGTCACCTCACTGATTATCGCTACACGGAAGATGTTCAACTCACTTGAACTGTCGTGGGAGCAGTCGCCGAGTAGCCGAAGACGCCGCACCACTCCTTAACTTCCTCGTTGAGGTTGGGAGGGAAGAGAGTCGTGTCCGCCGTGCCGTGGTATTCTTGCATCTTGGGGTACGAACCCGTGTAGCCAGGATACATCGCAAAGACAGTGTTGGCCCATTGTTGAGCGCTCTCGTCTACCTGTCCCTCAGCACATGACGAGTTCCAGGCATCGACACCTCCGGTGGAAGAAACGAAGCAACCAGCGGCGACGCCGGAGTACACGGTTCCGGCGGCGAACATCTCTGGATAGGTAGCTGCCATGACGTTGGTCATCATAGCTGGTTCGCGAGAGCACAAGGAGGTGCAGTTAGCCTTCGAAAGTGGAGAAGAGTACACGTATATCTTTGCGAGCAAGTTATATGCTTACCACCAGAGGAAGAGCCAGTAACGAAGACGCGAGTCGAGTCGACATTCCAGGTGCTAATGGCATACGTGACCATGTTCGCGATCGAGTTGGAGTCTCCTCCCCCGTTGTGGGTGAGGGTAGCCTTCGAGGAGACGTCCCAGCATGTGCCGGAGTGAGGAGAGCTGGGGTAGATGACAATGAAACCGTACTGATCTGCGAGTTGGGCGTAAGGTGAACCGGAGAAGTAGCCGGGACCGGTGACCGTACACTCGTGAAGGGCGACGATGAGAGCAGGATTCGTAGTGACGGTCGTGGGCTTGTAGACGTAGAAACCGACGTTCGTAGGGTTGGTGAAACCGGAGGTGATCTGCTGGAGAGACGAAGTCAACCGCTTCTGGACGCTAGCGCCGGAGGTGAAGCTGGCGAGCGCTGCGAGGAAGAGTGCGAAGAAGCTAGTGAGGAGATACATGTCTGGTGCTAGGAGGCCGAATTGTGCTCGAGTCTCTGAACTTTCGTAGCACAGCGCATCACGCTTTATACGAAAGCTTGAAGAAACGGGCAGATGGCCAGACTATGATTGGCATGCTTGTATAAATAGAGGTCTGCCAGGAGAAATAAGCGTTCAGTGTGACAAGAGTAATGACTAGGCATCGGTATGTATTCGGCCCACTGTCGGAAAGAGGAACACAACTTACTGGTCGCTAGGCCACCTTCAGGGCATTCCGACCACGCGGTGACCATGCAGACGACAGTTGCAAGCTGGTGCTGACCCGCCAAGTGCGCTCTCCGAACAACAGAAGACACGAAAGCATTAACTCTATAACCACATGGTCAGAACAATGCAGGATCAGCGGCGCGGGTCGAAGATCATATGCGTTACGGACCTACCTGCTCTGCAGGCGGATTTGTTCTGCCGTGACAGTCCATCTCTCGTTAGCGAGCATTTTCCGCGCATTATGAATGACGGTATTCAAAGCGGATCCATCATCTACCAACCGGGTCCGATGGCAAGAGACCTAACATATACTTATTCCAAAGAGGTTTGCATCATGGGACAAGGCCCTAGCGCAGACGGCGAGATGGCAATAGTGGCTTGAAGCCCCCAAGACGAATTCTCCGGAAGACGATAGAAGTATGGTGATAGCAGAGGTTTCTCCTTGCAATTATGCGGGTTTGCTTTCCAAGGGCTATAATTGTTAAAAACGAATCTCATTACCGTGCAAGCCGATCATAGCGAAGTAGACCATCAATCACAGACACGGAAAAGGTTGCATGAGGCATTGGACGAGTTCGGTCACGAGGAACATGGAGAAACCAAAAGCTCCGGATACGGATGCTTGGCCCAGCTTCGAACACTCAAGTCGGTCTCGGGAAGAACAGCAGCATCCTCGTTCCAAAGCTTCCTGTCGTGACATGAACGGCTTGTGGTCGCAAAACATGGTGCGAGTGTTCATAGGTTGATTTTCCAATACAGAGCGAGTACGGCCATGAAACTTACAACATAACATAATACAAATCATAAAGATGCGGAAGGCGCTAATCGTCCAAGGTCAGACCCTCAAGAGCTGGGATTGGACGTTCGGCTTGAGGTCTATGGGATCGTATATTCAGTCTCTGGCACATATAGACGTATCATACCACTCACGTTATTCTCACACCGTGACGACGCTCTTTCGTCTCTCCGTAGTCGACAATGGCGGACTATATCGATCGATGAGCAGGAGAACACAACCGAGCATACACACAGAGACTCACATGAGCGGTGACGCGGTTGTCCCACAGGACAACGGCGTTTGACGACCATTTGACGCGAGCCTGACAGTCGGCAGCCTTGTCGATGTGGTCGTACAGGAAGCGCAGAATGTTTTCTGTACACGAATATTAGAACAGTATACGAAGCAGAAACACGGGGAGAAGATCTCGTACCTGATTCCTCTCGCTTAAGACCAACTATACGGCGAGTGAACTGCCTGTTAACGTAGAGAGCCTCTTCACCAGTGACGGGATGACGCCTGACAACTGGGTGGACAGTCTCCACAGGCTCGCGTCTCACAATCCCTCCACGCTTGCCAGACCTGGAGTGTTCCGCTTGCTCGACACCAGAGTGGACAGCCTTGAGAGTTCTAAGGAAGGCCACGAATTGAGGCGAAAGCTTCTTGAGCGTAGATACTTGTGATGCGTAGACTGTGTCGCCACCGGAGGCAGGAGTTGAGACGAGGAAGAGAGCTGTGAGGCCAGGGGGTTGTTTTTCGTAAGAGACGTCCGAATGCCACGACGTTGAGGTGATGCTGTCGTCTCGTTCGAAGTTGAATGTTTTATTGGCATCCCTGTTAGACATGGTAAGTACCTGCCGGTGAGGATATATAGTCGAGAGCAGACGAACTTGTAGACGAGATGCAGCTCAGGGTACCCTTGCGGGTGGCCGCTAGTAGGGTGAATATGCAGCCTTATAATGATTGTCAGAGATGAACAGGCACATTCATGAGAGGTATGCCATGCTCACCTTCCGAAATGACGCCCGAATTCCAGGTAGGTATCAGGATGTCTGTCAATGAAGTCCTTCTGATCCCTGAACACAACAAGGCCACGGCGTGCTACCTAGCGTAATTAACAAGTGAGCATCGTTGTTCGCATCTATCGATTAGGAAATATCCGCATACCAACAATGCAAGCTGGTCTCTACCGTCACTGTCCAGAGCCGCCAGACTGACGCCGCTAATGTCCGTGCCGAAAAAAGGTGTCAATGCGGTCACGCTGGTCGCATTGTCTAAGAAAGACTGGGGGTTTGGATGTTTCAAAGCACGATGGCCGGGGTCGACATGCTCGAAATCGGTCAAGGGAGGATAGGTGGCCGGGGAAAAGTGTGGGTTAAGGTGAGCGTATTGATAAGGCTCCTCTGATTTCTCCTCCGAAGGTTTATCGGAACGAAGGGTCAGCGTAGGGAGAGCTTGAGTGACGGTTTCGACGGTGGTGGCCATTTTGCAGTTAAGTCAACGAGAACGGAATACGAGCTCATTTTAAGAGGGAAGTAGATGTTTGTCAGGAAGTCGCCATCACTGATTCGATGTGCGCAATCGCTCGCAAGAAGGTCACCCGGAACGAAAGTGGGGAACGAGAGAAAATGGAGAAAATGTCCCCACGATGGCGGAGTACCGACCCGTATCCAAGAATATAAGGCATGGACTCCACTGCAGGTTTCGGGAGATAACTGGTGCATGACACGAGGATGTCGACAAATTCACAGTCAATAGATCATATCAGGTTTGCGAGGCTGGATATGTCTAGGTCACCTTCACCATTTTCTGTTAGCGTTGCGCAATTGGAGTGAGCTGTGGCGCGTACCTGTTGTGCCCCGGCCGACTCATCCGCGTCCAGCGACGTCGAAAAGCCTACCTCTCCATTGAACTTACATATGATGGGCTGACGACGATAAGAGGCCAATCTGCGCACAAGCAAATGGTGGCAACATGCACAATGATTGTGGTAAGCCACTCTGAACGTACTGAACAATCGAGAAGTTAGAACAACGATGAAAATGCTCACAGCCGCTGAGCGGCATCAGCGCCGAATGTGTCAATATTTCCCACGACCTCGGCACTGTCGGACCGCGGCCGTCCTTGTCCTACCACCACGGTGACAATTCAGTGGCACCGCCGTCTCAGACTCGGTTTGTTGCTCTTGAGTCTCTTCTCCACTCTGTTTTCATCCAATGCACTCTTGATTTTTTTTGAGCTAGAATTTGACACTCTGCTGGGTGAAAACGGAATCATTCCGGACGCTCTTGGTTTCATGAGTTGATCCATTGCGTTTGTGCTGGCATGTTCGTACGCGTGCCAGCCTTGCAGTGATCTAGCTCATGCTCTTCAATGTTTTCTCGGAATCTTCTGTCGCGCTTCACGGTAAATATCTTCCTATGATACCACGAGTCGCCTCGTGTGGATGAGACCCTGTGGGGCACTGTGGCGATCTTTAACATTCCATTTACGGTTTATTGTTTGTCCATTGTTTCCCTTTTGGCGCTTGGGTCTTATTGTCTTGCGTTACTACCGCCACAACCACGAGAACAAAGACCCTTCAGTTGTTTTAGGCAAGAGTGGTGCTGCGCTCGCGCCCGGATGCTCCAAGTCCCCACAACGCACTACATAGCGTTAGCCCGGCTTCCGTCCTCTCCTTTTCACTCTTCCTCGTCGACCGTCATGCCCCCCTTGCTTCACCGTCACTCACTTCCAGATGTTCCTGAGGACATAGAAGACGATTTTCTCCTTCATCTCAACGATCCAAACTATGACCTCCACAGCGATTCAAGCTCTACCATTGTCGCATCCGACCCACCTAGCGCATACAAACCCTCACAGAAGTGTGAGGATGGATGGACGTCTGTGTCCACGATTAGCCCACAGGGAGATGCAGACTTTCAGCTTCGACTGGATGAGACGCAGGCGAAATCTGAAGGGACCTTCGAACGAGTACCGCCAATGGAGTAAGTCATGTTCACTCTCAACCTTTGGCACTTTGACCTAATATCGTCTTAGGGACTCTCCGTATCCCGAGGTTCGAGCATCGGTCTCGAACACTGATGAGCCTCTAATGCCAGTCAACACTTTCAGAGTGTACGCTTTCTCGGAATGCCCATTCGTCCGATTTTCTGACAGCATTTTTAGATGGTCAATCGGTCTCACGTTTGCAGTCCTGATTCCTGCCTTCAACACAATCTTTTCATTTCGATGTGCGTGCTTCATCGTTAAATTCACCTAACAAGAAACAAGGCTCAATGTGAACTTTTAGATCCAAGTGTCGCCATCAACGCGCTGTTTGTTCAAGTCGTGACTCTGCCTATAGGGAAACTCTTCGAGAAGATCCTGCCTACCCGAACCCTCACCATCCGTGGCTATTCGATGTCCCTGAACCCCGGACCTTTCAACATCAAAGAGCATACCCTTATTTCTGTCATGGCGAACATCGTCGTCAATGGTGCTCCCTTCGCAGAAGTCAGCGCCGTCCAGACATACTTCTTCAATTCGCCATGGCCTCTAGCAAGGCAGTTCATCCTCGGCATCGCTATCCAGCTTATCGGATTCTCTTTCGCCGGGATGGTACGGGAGTTCCTCGTTTGGCCGGCTAGCATGATATGGCCCGGTGTCCTCGTCCGCTCTGCGCTGCTCAACACTATGCATAACAACTTCGGAAGGAAGGACACGAAGCACATATCGAGGGAGAAATTTTTGTTCTTCGCATGTCTTTGTAGTTTCATCTGGTACTGGTTGCCTGGTTTCCTTTGGACTGGACTCAGCATCTTTAACTGGGTGTGTTGGATCGCACCGGACAACGTCGTCGTGAACACCCTGTTCGGCTATCAGTCTGGTCTCGGCATGGGGTTTCTGACATTCGATTGGGCGATGATCTCTTACGTTGGAAGTCCTCTAGTTGTTCCGGTGAGCATACGATCCTCTAGTCATTTCATATATAGCATACTCAACAGTCATACAGTGGTGGGCTCAAGTGAACTCGTTCGCCTCGTTCGTGTTTTGGATCTGGCTCATCGTTCCTATCCTTTGGGGTAAGAGTTTCCTCGCACAATTTTTTGAACAATATCTCATTCCCAGTGCCGAAATTATAGCCAAAAATGTGTTCTTTGCGAAATTCATGCCCATATCCTCACCAGGAGCTTTCAACAACCAAGGCACATCGTACGACCCTACGGCCATTCTCACTGATGGGGTGTTCGACCAACAGAAATACGAGGCATATTCACCCATCTTCCTGACAATCACTTTCCTCATCACATACGGAACATGTTGCGCATCCTACACAGCTGTCGTCGTGCACACGCTCCGTAAGTGCTCGTATTACTCTACCCTTGGTAGCAAGTTTGACACTATTTGAACAGTTTGGTACCGTAGGGATATCGCACGTCAGTGCCGGATGTCTCTCAGGGAGCAGACCGACGTTCACTCCCGTCTCATGAGAGTGTATCCTGAAGTGCCGCGTTGGTGGTATATCGGTCTCGGTGTAATATCGTTTGCGCTCGGCGTCCTCGGTATCGAGATCTGCGACACTAAACTACCAGTATGGGGATTAATTGTGGCACTGTTATTATCGATGCTCTTCCTCGTTCCGTTGGGAATCGTCCAGGCGATCTCGAACCAGCAGTTCACTCTGCACGTCCTTGCAGAAGTCGTTGCTGGGTTTGCGTTCCCTGGACGCCCACTTGCCGGGATGGTGTTCAAGGCATTCGCCTCCAATACGACCTCCCAGGCGTTGGTGTTCGTGGGCGATCTCAAGATCGGTGTGTCCCCAGTCGCTTTACAAGTTTCTATCCAGTATCTCACTTATGTCTTCGGTTGCTCTAGGTCACTACATGAAGATCCCTCCGCGGATGATGTGGAGTTGTCAAGTCGTCGCATCTATCGTGGCAGTCTTCACGTCGTTCCTCGCGCAGACTTGGGCGTTCAACAACATTGAGGATATCTGCACCCCGGGACAGAAGGACTTTTTCGCCTGTCCGGGAATGATTAAGTTTGGGACTTCGTCCTTGATATGGAGTGCAATTGGCCCGAAAAGGCTTTTCGCCCCCGGAGCACTGTGAGTCGTCCTCTTTCTGACACGCTCGCGCAAGACTAATGGACGTGTCTAGTTATTCCCCACTGGTGTTCTTCTTTCTCATTGGTGCCATAATGCCCATCCCATTCTGGTTCCTCGCAAATCGCTACCCTCGTTCATCCTGGCGTTACGTCCACGTCCCAGTCCAGCTTATGGCGCTCTCCATTGTCCCACCGGCAACGGGAATCAACTACTCGTCGTGGATTCTCGTTGGCTTCATCTTTCAATGGTTCATGCGTCGCTTCCATTTCCGCTGGTGGATGCGCTGTAAGTCCTCCCCGTTTCGTCCCTTTCTGTCAACTTTACTTACCACCTTTCTCGCACCACGCAGATATCTACATCCTGTCTAGTGGACTCGACGCGGGGGTCATCTTTGGTCTTGTCATCATCTTCTTCGCTCTTCAAACGTCCAAGCACCCCGTGTCCCTCAACTGGTGGGGTAACACTGTCTGGCAAGAGACGGCCGACGCGAAGGGCACACCTTTCTTCCAGCTCGCTCCGGGCCATACGTTTGGTCCCAAGCCGTGGAACTGAACGACTCACAGCATACACAACACGACACCACTATCTTTCTATATCTGACGATCATGAGATGACCGTTCTCACATTGTATATATATAATTTCGTAACTGATCTGTGCACCTGCGTTTCTTTTACACTGTAGCAATTACCTTTCACGACCATTCTCTCGCATTAGTTCTCTCCCGACTCGATGACTCTCATTTGACGACTATACAATCCTTTCAGTTTAGTGACCTATCTTCTCTTTCGCCTTCCGTATAATACTGGGTATTATCAGCACCCCTGAACCTTTCCCGCTGAGCCGGATTCCACGTCTTTCGTAGCTAGGCTATGATTAGATATCTGTAGCACTACTCACTCTTCCTATCACGCCGAGCGATTTTATTCTTACTTACTCACAGTTAGTGAACCTGGTGTATCATCTCCTACTGTACCCCCGACTGGCAATGCCACGAACTTGTTTTACGATATGACCACAATTTCTGGTCCAGTACCGCACGCAGGGAAGAACGACATCGTTCAAGCATACAGGGAGTCGAGAAAGAAACATAACTGGGCTAGCCTCTCACGCCGGCGCCCCCCAAATCCTGACCTCCCTGCCAGTAGTTCCCCAAATTTCCTTGCTCTCCGCTCCAAACGCCAACGTCGTCGCCTCCCCACCCTCCTCAAACCTGGCGAGTTCCTCCCACGTCTTGTGCGCGAAAACCCTGATACCTTCGCTGCCCGCCACACCAAGAATCTGTGCGCTGTAGTCGTAAACGACCTGGTTGATGTTGAAGCCCTCCCCAAGATTAATGGTGGATCCGATCTTCTGTCTCCTGAGATCCCAGATACCGACGGTGGAGCTGGACGTAGGCGCGGCGAGGTGGTATCCGTTCTCGGAGAAGCAGAGGGTGTTGACGGCGAAGGGAGCACCGTCGGGGGGAGTGAGCGTCGCGGCGATGTCACCAGACCGAATGTCGTAGACGTGGATGCTCGAATTGGGCGTGCCCAATCCCATAATCGCACCGTCCGGGTGTATGGACAGCGAGGAGAAGGGATCGTCGAGCACAGGCGAGTGATACACCTGGCTGAAATTGGAAAGGTCGTGAAGGGAGTACGTCTTATCGGAAGAACCGAGCGCGATGAGCGTATTCGTAGGGTGCACCGCTAAACCCGTTACCTCGCCCTTGTGCGTTTTGATAGTGGATCTGGGGATGTATTCGCCCGAAGCGGAGTCGTGGGACCATGCTCGCGCGACTTTGTCTGCGCCAGCAGAGAACAGAAGGGTAGGTTGGTCGTCGCTTTCACGAATGCAGACACGGTTGACCTTCTTCGTGTGGCCCTTGAGTGAGGCAAGGACTTTGTCGGTGCTCCTGTCGTAGAGCTGAACGATGTTGTCACTGCCACCAGTCAAGAACTGGGTAGGGTTGGCAGTAGAAACAGCGATGGAAGTAATGCCGGCAGAAGCGGAATGGAGAGAGGGAATGGTGTGCGTCGATTTGTAAGTTTTGACGTCGGCAGGGGTAGCAAAGCCTGGTGGCATCTTGCGCTTTTTGCGGGTGGAAGTCAGGGCAGTGTGTGTAGCGTCGATTTGGGCAACGATGGAGGCAGGGAGGATGCCCTCTTGCGAGGCACCCTCTTCTGCCATCTCCACATCTCCTTCAGAGGCTGATGGTGCAACGCCCATAGAAGCTTGAACACTGGCTAGCGCTCTGAAAAAGATCAGGTTAGTCCCGTAGAAGAATGGACTGCGAAAGAGAAAATCCGCACTGTCTGGCCATGTCACGCTCCCTGGTCAGACGTGCAACGACGCGACTGGCGGCATCCTGAGCGTAAAGCGCGTAGCTCAGTTCCTGACGGGCAGAGTTGTACTGCTGCTTAAGCGTGAAGGTCTCGAGGACGAGGGCATCCCACTCTGTCTGGAGCGAGCCCAAAAGAGCCGGGATGGAAGAGTGCGCGGGTGGGCGTGGAGCAGCAGCATTTGGGCCTGTTGCAGTGTCAAAAAAAGACATGAGCAAGTCTCATGAAAGGACAGAAGTGAGAGCACGCACTGGCTTTGACCGACAGCAGGTCGTTCTCGTCCAGTTTGTCGCCCGTGATGGGGTCCGTGCCATTCTCTGTGATGTACTTCTGAATGAGCCGTCTCTCGTATACATGACCCGACTTCTGGGAGATGACCGGGTCCTGCGGGGGCTCTCCAGAGATAGCACAGAAGAACATTGTATGCGAATGTCAACGACGCGCTTGTCGACGTCGAGCTGGAATGATGAGGGAGGGTGTGAAAGTGGTCCGAAGCGAACGAACGACTCGAGCGACGCGTCTCGTCTGTGTGTACGTGTTTACTCCTTGGATCTCGTCCTCATACCTCTTCATCATGGCCGAAAAACAGCAGCGACTCGTTCTCTCTATCATAGAATTCTTGAACCAATCCATAGAGAATGGAACAATAAAGCAGGATGATAAGGAGAGTTTGGAAGTAGCAGGTGTGCCCTTATTTTCCCGTCAATATTTGTAGTATGAGACTGAGCGCCTTCTGCACAGTACAATGTATTGGCGAAGCCTTTGGTGTGGACCCATCGAACAAGGAGCAGGCAGAAAGGCTCTCGGTCAAGCCTGCCACCCTTCCTACTATTTTTGATGTCTTCCTCAAGACGAGGGAGAAGGTTGGCACAGGCGCTCAGTCCGCCACACCCTCCACGCCATCTGCAGCTCCAGCCGGGCCCTCTCCAGAGGACAAGGCAAAAGCAGAGAAACTGAAGGCCGAAGGAAATGCTCTGATGTCCTCCAGGCAGTACGATCAGGCTATCGAGCGTTACACCGAAGCTGTGGCCCTCGACGACCGCAATCCCGTTTACTACTCTAACCGTGCCGCTGCACATTCGAGCAAGGGTGATCATCTCTCTGCCATCGGAGATGCCGAGAAGGCCATTGAGGTCGATACCTCCTTTGTCAAAGCGTATCATCGTTTAGGGTATGAATGTTTCTGATTCTTACATGTATCTGATCGCTTACATCCATTGTGGCGTAGACATGCTCAATACTCACTGGGCGACTATTCGGCCGCTGCCACCTCCTTCCGTCGCGGTCTCGAGCTCGACCCTACCAATGCTGGTCTCAAATCAGGCCTCACCAACTCTGAAGCTCGCATTGGCAACGACAGCGTATCTCCCGTCTCCGGTGCATCCGATCGGTCGACTTCACCCACTGCGGGCGCCACACCAGGTGCGGGTGGAATGGCTGGAATGGCTGGAATGGCTGACATGTTGAGGGGCATGGGCGGTGGAGCAGGTGGCGGTGCGGGGGGCATGCCAGATATTGCCAGTCTCATGAACAACCCGATGATGATGCAGATGGCCCAGCAGATGATGGCGAATGGTGGTATGGACTCGTTGATGCAGAACCCCTCTGTCCGCAACATGGTGCGTTTTTTCTCTATTCGATACAACATCAAACACTATACTGACGAACATGGGTCGAATATAGATGGAACAAGTTCAGAGCGGTGGCGGAATGCCCTCTATGGACCAGCTGATGAACGATCCGACTTTGAGGGACCTGTGAGTAGCGTCCCGTCATCGACCTTTCACTCTAAATACTTTGTTCTGACGTTTGTGAATTTTAGTGCGGGCAAATTCGGTGGTCCAGGTGCCGGCGGTGTGTAAAGTGCATGATAGTTACCGTGCTAGCATCGGATATTGGGACATTCGCCTCGTCTCGGATGGGTTTTTGGATATCGCTATAGGTTTCAGATTGTGCGGATGTACTGTAACTAATGTAACAAGTCGAATGTTTCCCAACCCGGACTTCCATATGTGAGTTTATACTCTGAGCATTGCCCCCACTACATCGATTGCATCGACGCTTGCGACTGAATGGTGTTTGTGACAGGTTTTATCATTCCTTATGATCGACGAAAGATCCTCTAAGCAGGCTGTAGCATCCACGCACCGTGTCACAATAGGCTCAAACTCTTTCATGACTTGGACTCTGTTGTCGGGATCTCCGAATATGCGCACACGTAGACTTCCAGTTCAAGATCCTACGTGGCGAGAATGACCGTTGGTGCATGTTTGATTTTACAGTTCGCCACCTTGTTCTACGTCTCTGAGCCAGGGTAAATGATGTGAATGAGGTCCAGTCTCAATTCGATATCAGCTGCTCGACGGACGGCGCCAATTCGCTGATTCCTGCAGCCTACACTTTCATTTCGGTACATTCGACTCCGTGCTGGTATTGTTTATCTTTTTCTCCTATGCACGACATCAGCGATTCGCCACTGGGAATAACTGTGGCTTCAGATAGCACGACGGCGGTTTGGTCTCGCCTTGGAGTCGCACAATGGCACCGGATTCCAGCTGGTAAAGAAACAGTAGTCCAGTGCCATTCTGCACTCACTCAGAGCTGTCATGACGAAGTGGCGCGAGTGAGAATAGATTTATGCTCTATCCATCTTTTTCTGGGCACCGCGGTGTCATTTCGGTGGCATGAACGCAACTGTGAGTGATTTGTCCAATACTTTCACCAGCGTCAATCAGCCGAAGCCCCACCTTGACGCGACAGCTCTGAGCGTGTGCAGAACGAGACTGGACTAGGGTTTCTTTACCAGCTGTCATACACTTAATAAAGGTCGTGGACGTGTTGCCACTGTGTATGGCGCACCATTGACAGTGGGTCCTTTACAAGTTAATTTCCGGATCGTGGCGGTCCCACTAACCTTTTTTCACAGTGGCAACGGACTGGACCGTCCTCCCTGGGCCCTGGTTGAATTGTGTGTCCACATTTTCGTTGCCGATTCTTGTGGCGACGGCTGGGAACGACTGGGGTCGTGGACAGGTTCAGGATCTCCCGATTAGGAAACGGTATTACGCCCTGCGATCGGGTTCACTGCCTCCGACTTCGAGCCTTCGTACGGCGATTTGGATTTACAAGAGGGACTCGCGGAGTAATCATCCACCATTTGTATAAGATGTAGGTCCCCGTCCTGCCGGGCTTCGTCCGTGGGCATTTTGCTTTCATGGTTAGTTGCATCGATATCTGCTGGCGCTGTATGTGCTTCAATTTCAGCTTTTGCCGCGACGTTCAATCGATGTGAACGTAACGTGATGATGGGATCTTCCTAGGAGCTCGAATATGACGACTGACGTATTCGGTTGGTATGATGTATGGCGAATCAAACGCAGAAGATGTTGGAGGTTCATCGCGTCCCTTGTACCAAGAAAGGACGTGCAGAGTAAGTTACCTCGAGCGACGTGCGGGCTAAGTCGGGCCTCTCAATTGACTCTGTGGACCAGCTATCCATTAACCCAGACCATGAGACTTGCGTCGTGGGGACCACGATACTGCGCGAGGCGATCGCAGTCTCTCGTAACAACAAATAGCGGTATACCTGGATCCATATGGGTCCAACGTGTAGCGTCATAGTTGGGTCCCTTATCGGCGAAGACTATGACTCTGCCACAGTGTTAGCAGGAAAGGGTCGAGGAGTGCGCGTTGCAGGGTGCACTCAGACCTGGGACGTGTATGTGCGACGTGAAACAGGGAGTATATAGACGGGTCACCCGATGAGTGCATTTCCCCCGCCGAGCTCTGTTTGTTCTCTTACAATCGAGGTCATCCAGCCTGCAGTACCCCATTCTCCTCGTTGTAAAGAACAAACGGCGCCCACATATTCTTACACCATGTCCTATGAATATCAGTTCACCTCATCTCACACCGATCACTTTCCCTACGACGACCGTAATACTCTTCATTCGTTCCATGACTCGACCTTTGCGGATGACTTCGGCCTGATGCCTATGGGCATTACGGACGACCTCTTCGCACTCCATGGCGCCGGTGCCACGTCGTCATTCTATACGGATCTCGGTGAAGGCTCCAGGAACTCGTACGGCGTGAATGAACAGAACATGGATCGCAATCTACGCATTCAGACGACAGACATGGTGAGTTCATCTGGAATGTTATTACTCAGAGTAAGTCTAACATCGTATTCGAGAATCATCCACCTATCGCTCCAGATGTGCACCTTCAGAGACCATACATGCTCCCAAGTGGACAATACCGAGCCCCCGCCCCGCACGAGCACGCCGCTCACGTCAATGCAGATTGCGTTCGCCCACTCGATGTCCTTTGCCACCCAACCACGTCTTCTTTCAACCTCCAATCGAACGTTTATCCCGGTCGCTCCTCGCTTGACTGCAGTCCCACGACTCCCTTCAATCCCTCCGCCACCCCATCATCCGCTCTATTGCCAGCGGCATCCACGACCTACAAAGGCGGCAATGTCCAACGAAGGAACACCATACACTCTGGACAAGGTTTGGTCGGACCCGACCGAAACATGGGCCTCAGGGGCACACAGAGAACGGATGGGTCCCTTGGAAGTACGTCGCAGGAGATTCGACGGCGGTCGCGGCAATCCCCCAGTCAAACGGCGACGGTATCAATGACGGAGCACTATGAACCACAGTTCATGGTACCCGTCAGTGATGACCGTCCCGTGGGGATTCCCGCTTCCGTCGCACAGTCCATTCCACCAATTCATCAGAGACCGAGGGAGGTGAGGCTTCAGGCGGCAGTGGATAGTGGAGTTGGTGACGATGGTTTGAGGAAAGATGATGGACGATGGGTTTGTGAAGAGTGTGGGACAGGTGTCACATATAGAAAGTCTGACCTAGCCCGACATAGGGAGACCCACGGCCCCAAACAGTACCGGTGCTCGAAGGAGGGTTGCGGTAAGAGTTTCAGTCGCCCGGATGCGGTGATTAGACACGAGAATTTGACGTGTGGGCAGGGCAAGAAGAGGGGCCCAAAACCTGGAAAGAAACGGAGCGATTCAGATTGACAACGCTGTGGAGGGAACCAAGGTTGAGATTGTACGATATCTGGTCTAGATGATGAGTGACTCGAACTTATTTACTTTCATGTGAACATCGTTTGCTTGTATATTTCTTGCAGCCGTGAATTCTCCTGTCGTTCTGTACTTATGTTGTAGCCTCAACGGGGATGACTGATTAATATATCGTGGTGTACAGTGAGAATCGTTGGTGCCGGGTAAGCCCTGGTCCACGAAGACGTGTTCGAACCATCAGGTCCACCCGACCGGAAACGAACAAACTCGCCGCGGAGTTTTCAAACCTTGTCAACTGTGCCGAAAGGCAATACAAGGACGGCCATTAAATCAGCGTGGCGATATAAGCACACAAAAACGAATAGATGATGGGGATCCACACGACCGCGGCTCCGCCACGGGGCTTCAAAAGCTTGAATACTCGTCCAAGCCCTGCATGAGGCAACCCTGATCGGTCTCAGGGAGTTTTCCAGAAATAAATGGCATGTCTTCACAGAAGGTATAGTGGTCCAGTGCGAATGCACGCGACAACGACGAGATAGTGCGGTCGCTATTCCAGGATATGAGCGATGAGATTCTAGACAACGTGCAGGGCCACCATCAGGGAGATTCACGAGAATGAGAAGGTGGGGTTATAGCACAAGAACGAGAAGGCTTGCACCAGCAACGATAGCGCCCCAGCCCCGACGCCAGCCCACCCACCATGGCGCAAGACTTGTACATGGGCGACAGACTCCCCGCACTCAACGACGAGGTGCAAGAAGTTTCAGATTACGCGTCTTTGTTAGACGAGTGTACCTTATTGGCCCTGATGGAAGATGCAGATTTCGTACGTTCATGTTCTCTGGTTAGGACGAGGCGTGGCGCTGACCGGAACCTACATTCCTAGTCCCGTATGTTAGCCAGTACGCCTTCAGGAATCGACGTACAGAGCACTTGCCAAGATGTATGTCTGCAAAACAACCTCGCATCACAAACTCGTCAATATCCTTCCACGCATGCCGAGCCCAGCCGCTCTCCAACGATGACAGAGTGCATCGAACCGGCTCTGACATACGCGCCACATCGTCTATCTCTATACGCCACACGCTCGAACAGTGTCCCATTCGACGAAAACCATGCTCCCCACCGACTGTCCCTCGCCTGCGCGATACCAGGCCCTATAAGCCCTATCACGGAAACCTCGCCAATCGAAGACCAGGAAGTAGATTCCCAAGGAACGCGAGACGATGGGCGTTTCACGGAGACCCCACCATATCACGCCCATTGTCTATCCCCACCGAATTTCATAGTCCCAGACGAGGCTATGGAGAGTGGAGTATGGGAGGTTAGGGCAGGTGAAGGTGGAATTATACCTCAGCGCTCAATTCCAGCGAGAGTCGACCATGCTGAAACCAGCTTCCTCGAGCGGGTCCCAACACCTCTCCGTTTCCAGCTCAATCCTGCAGCAAATAGATCTTTTGTTCTAGAATCACCTACCCATTCTGCTAGCCCCGAACCTCATCACCCTATCCATGCCGCACTTCGTTTCGTCAGCCCTGCGGTACCTCTCCTGCCCGCACCTCTCTGCCAATCCGGCCCGACTACCTGTCCTCAGTCCCTCCGAGCAGTATCCAGAGAGACAGATACGGTAGCTTCAGAAACTCAAGAAGAAGAAGAAGAAGCGGAAACCCTGGTAAAAGTAGGAGAACGTTGGGCCTGCTTAATATGTGAGGGGACAGCGTTCCGCAGGAGGACAGATTTGCGGAGGCACATGAGGGGGCACAATGGGCAGAAGACGAGCTGTTCGAAGTGTGGAGAACTCTTCAGCCGTCCAGATGCTGTGGACAGACATATGAGAGATTCGTGTGGTCAGAAGAGGAAGCGGGGGCCAAAGCCTGGTTCACGTCGACGTCGAGATAAAAGAGCATGACTTGACCGGGTGCATGGACTTGTCTTTGTTTGTCGGAGCCAAATTGTTGATGATTCGACTTCAAGCTGTCTTCTCATTCTCGTTGTACCACGTCCTTGCTCTCTAGACCTGCCAGACTTGTTGTACCGATTATCTTGGATTATAAGCATTACCACCACATACCTACTACATACTGAGCGAATCTGAATCTTCTTGCCCTACACGGCGTACAACCGTGACCTCGATATTTTTCTGTGGTGCGTCCTTCCGGGTCGAATATGCAAATCGGTCAAAATAAAACTGAGATGAAGCTGGATTTCATTTCACATGCCAACGCCCCAATGGCATCATAGCAGCTGCGACCCCAACCAAACGCCAACACGCACCTGCGCCGCCTCGTGTCTTCCTTTCACCGTCATAAACTTCAAAGTATTCCTGGATAACAAGGGATATCTAGACCCCCTGGTTGGGCAGAATGATTGGTAATAGCATTCTGGATTATGTCCTCATTCGAATCTGCATCGTTGCTTTCCGTCTTGTGGCACCACTGAGCGCTTTACATGCCGTTGCGAGCATCTACCTCGGACACGCTGTGGTCTCGAAATATCTACTTTACTATACCTTCCTGGAGACATTCTTCTTTCTCGGTGTATATCTACCTCGGAAATGGTCTCTACAAACCGTGCGTTCCAAGCTCATCTCTCCTCGTCGTAGGCACTGAACCTCTGGTCTCTCCCAAGGCTACAATTCACCCTCAGCTCCTGCCGCGAGCGGAACGACGAGCGCTCTTCGAGAAATGCTCACAGAAGATGAGCGAAGCCACTATTCGACCTTGGTTCCTCCAAACGGAATCGGGTCGTATCATGCGCGATAACGCCGCGGACTGGATCCTCTGGGCGCTCTTCTCGACCCACGAGGGCGAATATACGGAGGAGTGGGAGGAGGAAATCAACGAGTACCTGGAGATGTTCGCGGAACGTCTTGGACGCCCTTTGGCGCAGGGTCGGGATGCAAATATCAAATGCATGAGGTTGACGTTGGACCCGGTGGTGATGTGCCATCGTCCATTCCTCTGGTATATGGTATGTTTGGCCCTCTACTTATTGTATTGGCGTCCGAAGGTTGAATGCATTCATATTTCTAGATCGTTGCAGGAGTGGACGCTTTCACCTCCGTCAGGTTGACCTACATGGGATTCAAACATCATAATACGCGACGATGGTTCACTGTCTTCCCTCCCCGTCCGCTGCTCAGCTTGGTCTCCCGGCCCTCTTGCGACCCAGATATATCTTATTGGTACCGTCCACATCGATCTACAACCAAACGCCCCATCCTATTCATTCATGGTATTGGAGTACGTCTTTCTTGGCCGGTAACCGATATAATACCCTGCTAACCGCTTTGTTCAGATCGGACTATACCCGTATAATCCGTTCTTCAAGGAATTAATTGCCCAAGACCCAGATGTCGGCATCCTCGCCATCGAAATTCTTTCCATTTCCATGCGCATAACCTCCCCACCACCCTCCCGAGGTGCGATGTACGACTCCATCGCCCGAATCCTCGCCCACCACTCCCTCCCACCCGTCACTCTGATCTCCCACTCCTACGGCACAATCGTCACCGCCCACCTCCTCACCTCACCCAAACTCGCCCCTCGGATCGCTAACATCCTCTTCATCGACCCTATCCCCTTCCTTCTGCACCACCCTGCCGTGGCGTACAATTTCGTGTACCGGAAACCTAAGCGGGCAAACGAGTGGCAGCTCTGGTACTTCGCGAGTAGGGATCCAGATATCGCGAGGGCGCTGTCTAGACACTTTTTCTGGTCTGAGAATGTGCTGTGGAAGGAGGACCTGCAAGGCAAGAAGGTGGCGGTCTCGTTGGCGGGGAGCGATCAGATTGTCGACGCGAAGGAGGTGCGGAGCTATTTGGTTGGAGAGGCTGAGAACGCCGGGAATGGCGAAGACAATGGCGTGGAAGAGGCTGAAAAGTCGAAGGAGATGACGAGATGGGCGAAGGATGATCTAGAGGTGCTGTTTTACCCAGGGCTTGACCATGCCACGGTGTTCGATACTCCCCAGCGGAGGAAAGGATTGACAGATATCGTGCATAGATTCGTAGAAATAGAGACTTGATCATCGACCTGTAATATTTTCAGTTCCTTCTGTGGGTTCGTGCATGAACCCTCGTTACTTTGACTTCTATATGCTCTCCACATATTTAAGGGCCGGTTAGATCTCTTTATTACGATACGGTGACTTAGACATCCCTACTACTACTACGATAATAGATAGATGGTGAACAGAGAACGAACCCTGATGAATTTTCTTTGGTTGACCGACCGAACGGGAAACATGTCCGGTTCGCTTGGTTGAAGAGCCTATGGAGACAACTTACTGCATTACCAGGAATACTTCGCGCCGGGTGCCGCTTGACTATAGAGACAGAGAGAGGAGGGTATTCAGGTCTGTGGACATGTAGACAGGGAGGGGAAGAGAGAGTCTGGGAGAGGAGTTGAGAACGTACAGCAAATTCTGAAGACTATAGGCCAGTCAGGAAGGCATATCATACCCCTCTAGAGTATTGTCGCCTCCGCGCAAGTTCTTTCCTAATGGACTTGATCCATTTTCGAGGGAGAGGGGTACTGAGCGACCGAACAGTCCACCGGCTGCAAAGGTCAGTTCGGTGAGCTCTCAAGGGTAAGGAATATTGGACAACCGCCGACGTGGCATGCAGCGTGCTTTTGAGCCGTGTTGCCCCTATCTTGCGTGAAGACTAACCGGCCCACGCCTTTCAGTCAAGCAGCACGCAAGGCAACAAGAGCAGAAAGTCGTGGTCCATTGATGGGAAAAATGCTACAAATTATGTGAGATATGGTTTCAACAAAGCAAAGCATGATAAGTCCAATGATGATGTCTATGTGATCGAGTCGAGTCGCTACACCAGAATCCGAAAACCCATACACCCCAGATACCAAATACCCTCAATTAAGAAACTTCGCCGAGCCGCTGGAACTTCTCCGCCATCTTCCGTGCCAACGTCGGTGGGACGTCGTCTAGCTGCATAGGAATATTCTGCGGATGTCCCTGAAACATTGAAAAGGAATGTTTCACCGTCAGCTATATGTTACTAAATCGAAGGAGAGGTAACACAGATGTGGGATAGTTTGATGAATGTGTACTGACGTGGCTCTCATGATACCTCAGTCCGCTGAGTTGTTTGTACACCTTGGAACACTTCGGACATTGATACTTCTTCTTCGCTTTCAGCGTCTTGCCGGAGTCCTTTTCGCGTCCCGGCGCTGGGGCTGATGGAGGACGAACAGTGACGACAGCATTGTCATCAGCCGCCGGACTATCGATATCCACGGCAGATGAGGGTGTGAGATGAGTGATTGCATCCTGAAAATGCGCCCTGGAACTATAGAGTCGCACGATAAATGAGTAGGCGAGCACGTCGACTGGTGAACAGACGATGAGAAAACATACACTTGGAGATGATACATAAGTCCGTTCAAATTCTGCACCAAAGTTGTCAGCGCGCGCGTTGGCAATGAATAGGAATCGAGGAAAACTGACCTTCCACCGATTATCGCACAAGCCACATCTATACGGTTTACGCTCGTAATCCATATTACTACGATGCATTTCCTTGCAATGGTCGCCGAGCTCCTTCGCCGTACAGACACGAAACACACTTTTGTCCATGCCATCAGGCCAACAGTCTGGGTGGCCACACGCATAGGCGAGGATGTTAGGACTATACGAGTGAGTGAATCATGATGACATTATTAGAATCTTCCAAAACGAACAGTGGAATAATGGGGTAACTTACTCAGTACTGGCAGCCAGGTTAGACGACAATTTCTTCGCTGGCTGTGACGTCGGATGCTCGAGCCGGGACAAACAGGTCGAACTCGGGGTCTTGGGCGTGCGTGGAGACTGAGGGCTGGGTATAGAGTGTATTTCCGATTGAGAGGTGGAGATGAAGGGCCCGCGCGGTCGACTGATGGGAGACCGTACCACAGACGGGGCTCCAGATGCATTAGACTGTGACGTGAAAGATGAAACCTGGGGCAATGGGAGTGGTATATTGAGGCGGGTCGGAGGTGTGGCGATAATTGGAGTCGAAACACTAGAGTCGGAAGCAAATGCAGGAGATGGCGAAACGTCAGGATAGGGCGAGAACGCGTTCTCATGCTGGTGGTGATACAAGATGGATGCATGGGAGGGTAGCGGTGTAGAATCGCTAAATACAGGTGAAGTATCACCGCTGAACAGTTCGGCGGAGCATGATTCAGGACTAGGTTGTGGATCCGAATGATTGGGCATAGTGTATGTCGAAAATTCGTATCCTTCGTGGGGCATAGGAGCATACTCGGTCGATCGTGGTGGCATATGCGATATTGGATTATATGATGGTTGGCTTGCGCGCGGAGTGTTATCGGGGCTGTCCAATGCGGCGCTGAGGGATGACGGGGTAGATTGAAGCGTGGAGTGGGTGGTATGGGAATGATCTTGCGCGAAGATGATGGTGCCCTCTGAACGCAAGGGGAGGGGAGGGGGATAAGAATGGAAATTCCTAGAAGGGTGAGGTGGCGGGCCAGGCGGAGGAGCGTAAGCAATATTTGATGCGGAGGTAAGGTCAGGATGCTGATTTGACTCCTCTGGGAGGAGGAACGAGGAATCCATATTGAAGTCAGACATGGAGGTGGCCAAAAGCTGAGACAGTTGCGGATGCATCAGAGGAAGAGCTGTCCACAAAGACGTGTTGTCGGAGGATCCAGGCGATTCAGTTTGGTGAGCCGGCTCGGAAGGAGGAACGTGAGGGACGAATCTCTCCTCTACGAATCTCTCCTCTGGTTGCGCAGCCGATGTACGTTTTCTCTCCAATAATCGCCATCTACATTCTCTCAACCACTGGCATTGGTGGACAAATTGATAAGCTACAGACCTGTTTCGACAAGCCAATCCACTTCGCCTCTGCATCTCCTCTCCAATCTTGCCCCACTGTCCACCGATCCGCGAATGAACCTCCAGAAGCTTTTCGTCCTCCTCTGGTGTCCATTCATCTTTCTTCAGCTGAGGGTCTAGAGCCTCTCTATACCGTTTGGAACAAGCGTCATCAGTTCTGCCAGGAATATTTCGGGCGATCGCAGACCATCGAGTGCCGTGAGTGGCGTAGAGCCTGAGAAGACTTTCATCCTCTTCGCGGGTCCAAGCAGACTTCTTGATCGTTGGCGATAGAGAATGAAGCCATCGCTGAGAGCAAGAATATAAATAGAGGGTGGTTGCTTTTAGTATAGGTGAGCTTCCCGACTGGTTTGTAGTAGCAGACGGACCTTTCGACATGCTTTATTCGTACGGTCGCGCACATGGAGGGCGATGGTCTTCCAATCAGAGTTTTCGCCATAAGCGCGAACGGCCTGTGTCAACTGATGGTCTTCTTGTGGTGTCCATGGGCGACCAGCATTCCGCGCCGCCATGCAGAGAACCCAAAGGGCTTAGCAGTCGTCAAAGGCAAGAGCGAAGATGGAGGAGTCAGACAAGAAGGAAGCGGTACGGTCACAGTGACATGTGGAAAACAGAAGACCTGACGCCACAAAGCTCTTATGTAAGCGATACCGACCTGAGACCCTTCGAGCCAAGGCGAGTCGCGTTCTCGAGTTCACTCTTTCTCCGTCCGCCACTTGCACCATGCCTATCATCTCAGGATACGATTCCGACGAGGATGTCGACCCCGTCGAGTCGAGTAAAGATGCTTTCAATCTTGCTGCCCTCCCGTCCGCAAAGAGGCCACGTGTCGACGCACCAGTCTCACATACACCAGCAATACAGGCCGCTCCAGATGTCCTAGCTGAAGTACAGTCCAGTCACTCTTTACTGAAGTGGCATGTACTGAAAATTGTTTTGTACAGGACCCTATGAAACAAACCTCATTGATAACGCGTCCAACGGACAGCCAGATGATGGTCAACATTCCCTACAGTGACATGACTCTTCCTCAACAAGGCCCTGAGAACCCATTTGGAGAGCGTAATCGTTTCCAGAACCAGAACGCTCTCGCCGGGCATGTAGAAGAACAGTCCATGACTGAACATTCCTTCCGCGCACAACACCTCACTCACGCTATCCTCGGCTACTCTGCCAACCCTTCCGTCGATCCGAATGCCCCTACCATCGTCGGTTCGCTCGAAGCTGCTCGCGCAAATAACTTCAGCACGACTGACACAATACGCGCTCCAAATGAGAAGAAGAAGGAGCTCAAGCGGAAACGGCATGGGAAGGGTGATCTTGAGGTTGTGGAGGGCGAAGGAGCGTATGTTGGACCTTGGGCTTCATGGCAGGGCGACGACATGAAAGACGTGGTCCCAGAAGCGACCACTGGTGCTGAGGAGCAGGACGAGGAGGAATCGGAAGAAGAGGTTGTGGCGACGAGGAAGGCGAAGCCCAAGCGTGGTGCTCAGGGGCAGGAGACTTCAGTATTCCATGGCAAGTCGATGACCGACTACCAAGGACGGACGTACATGTATCCACCACTGGGAGAGGCACCTCAACTACAAGCCGAACCAGGATCACAAGAAACCTTCATCCCGAAGGTTTGTATCCATACATGGACGGGCCACACCCAAGGTGTCTCCGTTATTCGTACTTTCCCCGAGACTGGCCATCTCCTGCTCAGCGGATCCATGGACACTAAAATCAAGGTGAGTGTGGCCATCGCTGGTTTTCCTTCGCGCGGTGCTTACCTCTAAAATCGTGTAGCTTTGGGACATCTACACGCATGGCAATTGTCTTCGTACTTTCCATGGACATGTTAAAGCTGTCAAGGATGTGACTTTCTCAAACGACGGACGGAAGTTCTTGTCGTGCGGGTATGACAGGCAGATGAAGCTATGGGACACGGAGACCGGGCAATGTCTTCAACGGTTTAGCAACGGCAAGATCCCTTACGTCGTACGCTTTCATCCTGACGAGGACAAGCAACACATCTTCCTGGCTGGTATGTCCGACAAGAAGATTATCCAGGTATGTCAAATGCTACTCCGTCGCCCAGCCTATCCATACTGACTGGGGCGCTGTAGTACGACATGAACACCGGAGAAATCACCCAGGAGTACGACCAGCATCTTGGACCGGTGAACACCATTACTTTCGTCGACGAAAACAGGCGCTTTGTGACTACGTCGGATGACAAGACGATCCGCGCTTGGGACTTCGATATTCCCGTCGTCATCAAGTACATCGCAGAACCCCATATGCATTCCATGCCTGCTGTGACACTTCATCCATCCAGTAAGCTCATCAATCCGTCTGCTTTCTGAAACGTCCTTGCTGCAACTCACCCGTGCCAATCGCTCACCGTCGTTAGAAAAATACTTTGCCGCCCAATCGCTCGACAACCAGATCCTCATTTACAGTACGGACAACTTCCGGCAGAACCGGAAGAAACGGTTTGCTGGACACACCGTCGCCGGCTATGCCTGCCAGGTCGGGTTTTCGCCTGACGGGAAGTGGATCAGCAGTGGCGATGGAGAGGGCAACGTCGTATTCTGGGACTGGAAGAGCGGGCGGATTAAGTCGAGGCTGAAGGCACATTCGAAGGTAGTCATCGCGCACGAATGGCTACCACACGAGTCGGTACGTCGGCCGTGTCTATTGCTGGCTATGGTCATTGGCATGCCTATGTCTATGCCCATCTGTTCCTCCGATGTTAACGCGCCAGTTCTCTCCTTTTCGTCCCACAGTCGAAGTTGATCACGGCATCTTGGGATGGGCTCATCAAGCTTTGGGTATGTTCTTACTTTCATTCTCTATCCAGATTGGTCATTTGATGCGTTCCTATGCCTTCCCATCTTCTTTCTTCACACAGGATTAATACGACGACGCGTCCGAGATAGGCATACCTCCAGGAAGGTGTTGGCTGTACGATGATATCACGAGGATACACCTTGTTTCTCGTTCTCTCGTCTTTCATGCGCGCGATTTCTCCGATAAGCAACTTTCAGCTTTCCATTCCAGCCGGCGGCTTTGAGCAGGGGCAGGCCCCTCAACCATCTCTCTTGAACTCTCGTATCGTGAAAGTAAAAATACAGTGAGTTTCCCTCTGAATCCGGGCATCTTGGGCATTTTGGCGATAGCTCGTTGCCTGCTTCTTTCGCCGTTGCGCCAGCGATACCTGTCCCTCGAGGAATGTCCGCTGCACCGCGGCACATTTTCAGGGCGATGTATATCAGCCCCCCCTTACGACTGCAAGGCGTGTTGCTGATCCAGACATACGGCCTTCGTTCCTATATCGTGTTCTGATGCAGCTCTACATCCACTGGAGCGTACATTGTCGTCGGCGAGGCGTTTGAACGCCTTATGTCTATCTATTGCATCTCCGAGAGGACAACGGAGGCTTGCGGTGTCCCAGATCGTTCCGTTCACTCTACATATCTATTATTGTTCCTCGACCCCAAGGGTCTATGCCAAAACCTGCCCGTGTCACGCAGTGCCACCATTTTGACTGGGAGAGACGTACAATTGGACTCGTCTACGTACGACCCCAGGCCGCCCGGGATCTCGTCCTCATGGGAACCCCTCATGAATGGGGCCACAATTGTCCAACGGCAACAAGTACATTCTCCTGGTGTTATGACCAGGAGGCTCAGAGAAACGCATTCAAGGTCTCACAAAAGAAATAATTGTGTTCAGTTGCGTCCGATCTTATGGGCATCATTCTGACTTGCCACGCCACCATGAAGCAATTGTAAAGGAACCTGGAATGCGTTGAGCATCTTGTTGGTTCTTCAGACCAGTGGGTGACGGCCTGGTGGATTGTTGTCCCGCGGAGAACTGTTCATGGAGTGTGGCGTTGTTCGCGACCTCGGCTTGGTGCATCCTTATTCGCATCCCGTTGTTTCCTTTTTGTAATCGCATATTCCAGAATAGAGTTGCAGTTATGCTCTTGATAGGGTTGTTCGGCAGTCTCATTGGTATTGTCATGGCCGACACAAGGAACGATAGAGTTGTGGCGCAGCGGTGAAGTCGTTTTCAATTATCGTCGGGTCGTACGCTGCATGGAGATGGAGAACTCGCAGCGGTGTCTTGAGTAGAGTATTGAAACTCACCGGGTTGTTATCGGCCAGAAAACAAATGCGAGCCGACCGTGGACATCCTACGTCGCTTGAATTCGCGAGCGGCCTTCTCGTTCTCTCTTACATGCACGGATCATTGTCCGTGTCCGATAGCTCACTTCCTGCTTCGTGCTGTGGACATTACCATGCGTACTGCGCTCAAACATCGACAGGGCGTCATGCATGACTGCTGATGAACGAATTCAAGATCTGCCGTCCGGCTTGAAGGCCTCTTCTATATTAATATTCTCTATTCCCCACTCGGACATGATCATGGAATCATCGCAGCACCACCGTGCACCACAAACCACATTCGCCTCTCAGTCATCCCGAATCCTCCCTCGAACAGACACATATATGACCCACCGTGTCTACGTCCGAAACAGACTCGCTGCGGGTCATGAGAGCAAAGCGTCCGGCTGAACCGTGTTTCACGGTGCAAAGTAAGGAATAGGACGCTCGCAGAGTACCTTCTTTTCCCAACAAGACAGGATCCGTGGACTATTGTTAGTTTCCCAAGTGCTTCAATGACGCCCAGCTATGCTGAAATGAGACGAGATGTTGTGTCCGTTGGCCTGCTGTGCGTGAATGGGGATTTGTCGCCTGTGGGAATGGGTTCTTGGCCGACCAGAAGTACGGCCCGTTAATTGTCGAAGCGTTCGGAAGGGCTGAAAAGGATGTGGAGAAGGTAGTGTTCGAGTATAGATGGGTATAGATTGCTATAGGGGCCGGAGTGTCCCTCCGGAGCTCCAGCGGCGTACATTGACATTTTGTTCTCTGACGTTGACGTTTACATACCTATCCTGTGTTCAGGCAGATGCTTGCTCTGGAAAGATGTAGATGTTCCTTCATCACACCATGAAGCGTTGATCGCTCTCCAAGTTGAGAGACAGAGAGGAAAATCGTACCGGTGATCCATGTCCTTTCTAATAGGTCTCCTTCCACTCTAAGGTGTTGATTGAGCGATACCTCCTGTTTCTAGATTCTGGGCCCTTCCAGCATCGTTTTCCGAACTTCTGTGTACGCCAGCTCGCTATCAAACGTATCGTCCGGATCTGAAGCTTTGAAGAACTGACACTCACGGCGATTGCACTTCTGAATCTTCATCGGTGATATGCCCTCTCTGTCATCCTTGGATGTATTCTTGGCGACGTGAAACTGACAGTGAGACCAGTGATGGTAGGTAAGATGCTATATCAGTGCCGGCCGAGTCAACCCGCCAGAAAACCGATCCGAACTGGAGCCTCCTTATGTGACAGTCAGTAGATTTGTCGGAGCAGTACTTGTCATACTCGTCTGCGGCCCTTAAGCAGCCAACGACGCCGAGGATGAAACTCATTCTGCTGCAGCGCTCGACAGCGCAGCGATGCGTCCAAGATTATCTTGGCTGCACTTTATACCGTCGCGGAAAGTGAGAGACTGATATATTATATGCACCTTACCAGCGATGAGCTTCGTGGCGCCACGGGCACGGCGGGTGCCAAGGTGCTGAGTAGAAGCCCAAAAACGTTCAGGTTCAAAACATCCATGGGCGCATGCTCAAAGTTGGAGCTGGAGTTTGTGCGCTCCTGTATCCAAGAACGTTCATGGTAAGTAAAATATAATTAAGCGATCCAAAACACTCCCGAACGCTCGGCGACACTCGGGATGTGCGAAGCGGATGCCGGCGGCGGCGGGGGGATCGAATTCCAGAGGGCTCCAGTCCGATGCGATATGGATTTTCGTGTCGGGAGTGGGCCAGACGTCGCGTCATTAAGGCCCCGAATCGACGACGCCGTCTGGACGCAGACGTCGATAGATAATTCAGGAGGGAAAAACAATGCGGTGGGCCGGTGGCGGTTACGGTGGTTCATCTACGATCGAGGGAATACTTGTGTTTGCATTTTTGTGGCGTTTTTTTTTCGTAAGTACACAATTGATGGGGGTTGCGAGCCTGAACTGCGTCTTGTTGTGCTTTCGTACATATCTCGTTTTGTGTGCAGGTCGGAACAAGATCAGGACGTGGCGTTGACCGTTTTGAAAAGGGTGATCAAATATGGAATGTGCCAAGAATACCGGACGGGCGGAGCACGAAATATTGGTCTGCGCGAAGGACCGACAATTCGGGCTGAACGTTACGGGAGGGAAATGCGTGCTTTCTTGGCTACGACTACCGTCACTGGGCAGGGGCAGCGGGCGAGGCATGGGCAAGGGCAAGGGCAAGGCACCGCAGAGACTCAGGTTGCAGCACGCTGGATAGTCGTTGTCTGGTCGAGATGGATATTCCAGGCTTTGTTGAAGTGTCGAAAAGCCGCAGAGAGTGGAGCGAAGAGTTTGGAGGACGTCTGTCGAGGGCAGGGAACGTCTCCGAAAGCGGTAATGGGTGGACCGTGCGTGTCAAAGCGCAGGAGCTGAAAATGTCGGCTGGGTAAAAGTAGAGGGGTTCTCATCGGCGCCTTTGCCGCAGCCCGGGATGACAGGCCTAGGATTGATGGCCAAAAGGAGCACTGAGTGCTGAGCGCGCGACGTCCCGCAAAGCATAAGGACCGGTGATATCACGCGCAGAAAAGATCCGAACAAGGAGAGTATTGTTTTCGCTCGAGCACAGAGAAAACATACAAAAAGGCGGATGGAGGGCAGAATAACAATGATAATAAACATAATAAACAGGGGGAGTGGGAGGAGTGGAGCGGGGTGTGTGCCTGAGCCAGGAACGGAAGGCACGGCGTGCAGATGCAGCCAGCGATCTCATCGGCGCACACGGCCCACCAATCAGCAAACGTGAACGCAAAGTCTATTCGGTCACACAAGACGGCATATATAGCCAGCCCATACCCATCGACGGCCATCCCTCACTCCGCTCTTTTGCCCCCCCCGCGCTCATTCCCCTCATCAGCTTCAAACCATGAAGTTCTCGTATACCCCCCTGCTCCTTGTTCTCTTTGCTGCTTTCGTAGCGGCTCTACCAGTGCGTATATTCCCCGTCTTTCCAATGTCGGACCCACGGAAACTGACGTACTTTATGTTACAGGCTGTACCAGTAAGCCGTGACCCTTCGCATTCCGTATTCATGTCGTGCTAAATGCCACATTGTCCACAGCGTATGTCTGGTGAAGGTGGAGACCAAGACTGGAAGAGAGTAGCTGTCCCAGACGTCGTAGAGGTGAGCTCCGTCATCACATGGGTCCGTGGGGCGGTGGCTAATTTTGCTTCGATCAAAGCGTATGTCGGGAGAAGGAGGCGACCAAGACTGGAAGAGGCTGTCTGGCAAGGGTGGTGACCAAGACTGGAAGAGAATGTCCGGAGAGGGTGGTGATCAAGATTGGAAGAGGATGTCTGGAGAGGGCGGCGATCAAGACTGGAAGAGAATGTCGGGTGAGGGCGGTGATCAAGACTGGAGACGCTTTTCGGGAGAGGGCGGTGATCAGGACTGGAAGCGTATGTCCGGGGAAGGTGGTGACCAGGACTGGAGGCGGATGTCGGGTGAGGGTGGCGACCAAGACTGGTGACCGTTGTTGTGCTGTACTGTGAGTATAGTCCATCACCCTCCCCATCGACGCACCATCTAACGTCTGTTCACAGGCTTTGTTTCTTCTGGGTTATTGTCTCTCACTTTCGTCGCTGGGTCGCATTCTGTCTGCTGTAATGATCCCCGAACAGCGCCCACGGACGCTGTCTTTCTTTTTCTCTCCCCCTCATATTTCGTCCGCATTGTTGCGATACCTGCATTGTCTCGATGATTTGCTCACCATAATGGGTCGCCACGCTCTTTTTATGCTTGCTCTGTTTCCATAGTACTCGCTGTGTTTGTACGAGTTTATTTCCGTGTCGCATTGTAGGTTATACCTGCATTTTCTTTTGGCCTGTCATTGGTCACTCGTGTTAGCGGGCGCATTGCAATCAAAAAATTTGCCTGCCTGCCTGCCTATCTGCAATGTCCGTGATATCGTCTCCGCCGGTTGCCTGGTGAGTACGAGGGCTAGAAGAGAAGGTGAAGAATCAGTATATATGAAGTCTAAAAAGCTTGAGTTGGCAGAAGTTGTTCGAATGGCGGTGGAGATGAACCAATCGAAGGCAGGGCAAAGAAAAGCAACTTTGCCACTCCTTGGGGCTAACGCTGTCGACGCGACGCGATTCTGTCACGTGACGGGAGAGCTGACTGTAGGGCAGGCTTTTTGGCGAGACGCGACGCGATTCTTCAGTAATTGAACTCTGGACGCCTCTCGCATACCCCTCACCTCCTGCTCCACTCTCGGCTCCCCTCATCATGTCTTTACTCGACGAGCCTGTTCCCCAAGATGACTTGATGCGCGACCGGACGCGTATCTTTGAAGAATTTCTTACATCCGAGTCCGCGATCTACAACTACAAAGATGACATCCTTCGCATGCTCCGACTAGACAGGACGCGTCTCATCGTCAATATCGACGACCTACGCGACTACAGACGCGATTTTGCAGACGGCCTTCTTCGACAGCCCGTCGAGTTTATGCCCGCCTTCGATGACGCGCTCAGCACCGTGATACAACAAGTCCACAACGCCGAAAAACACGAAATAGAAGGAAAAGGATACCACATCGGATTCAGCGGCTCCTTCGGCGACCACCATGTCAGCCCTCGGAACCTGCGCGCGTCGTATCTGGGGCAGATGATATCTCTCGAGGGAATCGTTACGAGATGCTCACTCGTTCGCCCGAAGATGTTGAGATCTGTGCATTTTTGCCCGGACACGGGACTCTTCCATGCTCGCGAGTACCGCGACGCGACTTCGTCCACGTCTAACCTCCCGCCGACATCGTCCGTCACACCGCAGACGGACGAGGAGGGTCACCCGCTTCAGATGGAGTTTGGTTTTTGCACGTTCCGTGACCACCAGCGGATCAGTATCCAGGAAATGCCGGAGCGTGCGCCCGCCGGTCAACTGCCTCGAAGCACGGATGTAATTCTTGACGATGATTTGGTGGACAAGTGTAAACCAGGAGACCGTATTCAGCTCGTTGGCGCATACCGAAGTGTCGGTGGAGGTGCGAGTGGCACATTCAAGTACGTCCAATCCGCTTGATTCCATTCTCATAATACAAGTATTAATAAGGACTTCTAGGACGCTCATCATCGCCAACAACGTCATCCTTCTCTCTTCAAAAGCCGGTGGTGGTATCGCACAGGCCCCACTCACCGACTCTGACATCCGCACGATCAATCAGCTCGCAAAACGAAGAGACCGCAAGATCTTTGATCTTCTCTCCCAATCCCTCGCTCCCTCCATCTACGGCCACAACGAGATCAAACAAGCCATCCTCCTTCTCCTACTCGGCGGTAACGAGAAGAACCTCCCCAATGGAACCCATATACGTGGCGATATCAACTTACTCATGGTCGGCGACCCGTCCACCGCGAAATCTCAGCTGTTGAGATTCGTGCTGAACATCGCGCCGTTGGCGATCGCGACTACGGGTAGGGGAAGTTCGGGTGTCGGTCTGACGGCGGCTGTGACGACGGATAAGGATACGGGCGAGAGGAGGCTGGAGGCTGGTGCGATGGTGTTGGCGGACAGGGGCGTAGTGTGTATCGACGAGTTTGACAAGATGTCGGATGTGGACAGGGTGGCTATTCACGAAGTCATGGAGCAGCAGACTGTGACTATCGCTAAGGCTGGGATACACACGAGTTTGAACGCCCGGTGCAGCGTCGTGGCTGCTGCCAACCCGATTTACGGCCAAGTAAGTTATGTTTCACCCTGCTCGCCAACGTCGGCAATGTGCTGACATGGACTGCCTCTAGTACGACGTCCACAAAGACCCACACAAAAATATCGCACTCCCCGATTCCCTGCTTTCTCGTTTCGATCTCCTATTCGTCGTAACCGACGACGTCAATGACGAACGCGACCGCCTAATCGCAGACCACGTCCTCCGCATGCACCGCTACATCCCTCCCGGCGTCGAAGAAGGCACCCCCATCCAAGACACGCTCTCCCAGCCTCTCTCCATCGACGGGCCCAACGCCACCGAAAACGGCCCAGAAGCCGAGACCAGTCCGTTCGAGAAGTACGATCCGTTGCTGCATATCGGGCTCCAGGACAGGGCGAAGCCCAATACGAGGGGAAAGAAGAAGAGGCAGGATGCGAAGAAGGAGGTGTTGACTATGGCTTTTATTAAGAAGTATATTCAGTATGCGAAGAGCAAGCCGCAGCCGGCGTTGACGGTCGCGGCGGCGGATACGATCGTGGAGGCTTATGCGACGTTGAGGAATGAGGACGAGGATAATAACCGGAAGAGGGTGAGTTATGCGCATTATGTTTATCGTCTTGAGGTGTCGCTGACAACCATTGCGCATTGTCGATTTCTAACAGACCTCGCCATTGACCGCTCGTACGCTCGAGACGCTCATCCGTCTCTCCGCCGCGCATGCCAAAGCTCGGTTGTCCACGGAAGTGACGGTCGAAGACGCGGAGATCGCAGTCGAGATCCTCCGTTTCGCGCTCTACAAAGAAGTCATGAAGCGTAAGCGGACCGTTCGCCGCAAGAAGCGAAAGCTTAACACTGGCGACGCTACCGGCCGAAGGGGAGATGGAGAGGACGACGAGGAAAGCGACGAGGATGAGAGTGATGAGGAAGAGGAAGTGGAGGAGAATAAACGGATGGAGGCACCGGTACCGCAGGTGGAGAAGGCGAAGTCTGTGTCTGTTAGGGGTTCACCTGCGCCACCCCCACCAGCACCTGGGCCATCGAGAAGTCAGGACCCGATATGGGGAGCGGAGGAGAGTCAGACGCAGACGCAGACGCAGGATGTGGATATGGACATGGACGTGGATGGTGCAGCGGGTCCCACAGAAGAGGGAGGGATCCGTAATGAGCGGTGCGTCAGCTTTCGCACCTCTGGCATCCATACGTGTGTTACTGAACCTTTCTTTCATTAATGCAGATTCCAAGTCTTCCAGTCGAGGATGTCGGCTCTCTGGGTCACGACATTCGAGGACGAGGCCTCCATTGAATTCCCCGAGCTCGTCCAAGCCGTCAACGCCGGGCTGAGCACGGACGAGCTGTTTGGGTCGGAGGAGGCTTTGGCTGCAGTGAAAAAGATGGAGGACGATGGGGTGATCATGTTTAGCAATAATGTAGTGTACCCTATCTGAGGTGGCACCGTTTTTATGTTTTCCGGTTTTGCTTTCGTTCATGTTTTGTTAGTTGTAATTCTAGTACCGTTGTGGCCCGTGCGGCGAGCGAAGGCCGAGCGTGAGAAGATTGAACAGGGGCCCGACGACCTCGTGATCGCAAGAACGACCTCTAAGTTCTAACTTTAAGCAGCCTCTAGACAATGAAATCGACCACTACGACAGGGTTACTTCGTTCAGCCAGTAGAACCTGTTCTCTTACACGGTGGGCGCTGCGCTGATCGGCATTCGAAGACTATGTTCACTGACGTATCTATATAAATCCATGCTTATCAAGGTCCTTACCAAAACGCTGTTCGTTGGAACAGCGAGTCGTCGGAAGAAGCGATAGAATTCACCTGCCAGGTTCTCTATGACCCCGAGGTCGACCACCTGAGCTTTCATCTTGATGACCGCAGCACTCTGAACATCTAGACATACGGCCCGGTAGGTCGACGACCACTTCGTTCTCTCAATCCTAAATCCTACATAAGCCACCCAGGCTTTGTCTAGCCTCAACCACCCCACATTCATCATGGCCGCACCAGTAGACTCTGGCTATATCCAAGCGACTGACCCCACGCGTCCCCACACTGACGCTGCTGTTCCCTTTCGCGAGATCATACCCGCGCCTGGTCACCCCAGGATCGCAGGTATCGAGTCCAGCGACGCACATACCTGGTGCGACTCCCGGCGCAAGATTGATGCTCCCGCCTGGCTCATCAACCGCCTCGACGCAAAGAACCTCGAAAAGCCCTACGTCGGCTTCACGACTGACGGAACGGTGCGCGAGGGTCTGTACGAGTACCCGGAGGACGAGGGCGCGCCCGTCGAAGAGGCGAAGGAGGCGGCGGATGCGCTTATAGCGATGATGAGCGAGGAGGAGAAGGTGCGCACGCTGTTCCCATCGGTCGAGGTCGACGAGATCCGGCTGTGGTCGAACCCTGAGCTGTACGTCAACCCGGGCGGCCTCCGTCTCGACGAGTGCAGTCAGTCCATCCGCGACGCCGTGCATAATGTCCTCAAGGCCTCGCTGTCCTGGGAAGGTTACGAGAAGACGCTCGCGTGCTGTCTCACCAACGCGTTCCTCGGGAAGCTCGTCCACGGACCTCGCGTCCTGAATGAACACTCTTACAACTTCCGACTCTTCGGCCAGCCGAGCACAGAGAAGCACCAGCCGTGGGGTTATACGTTCTTCGGACACCATCTGTGTCTTGCGGTCGTGTTCAGCGGACGGCGTATGGTCATTGGACCGACGTTCATGGGAGCGGAGCCGGATATGATTGATGAAGGACAGTATAGGGGATTGCGGCTGTTTATGACGGAGGAGTTGCAGAGTTTGAAGTTGATGCAGAGTTTGAGTCCGGAGCTGCAGAAGAAGGCGACGTTGTCGGTTGGGATGGATGGGAATTCGTTGCCACCGGATAGGTGGAACCCGTTTGATGAACGGCATCTCGGTGGTGCTAGGCAGGACAACAGAGTCGTTCCGCTCGGTGAGTGGTGTACCTTCGGGCGGGGTTTTATCATCCTATATCTAAATCTTCGCTAACGACTATCTGCAGAGGGCTGCCCCGTCACCGAGTTTCCACCCGCACAGCAAGAACAGATCATAACACTCTACAAAGCCTTCAACGAGTACTACCCCGCTCCAGTCCTGGAGCATCGTCTGAAGACTTTCAAGCAACATCTCGACGAGACGTACTTCGCGTGGATCGGTCCGCACGGCGACGATGATCCCTACTACTTCCGCATTCACTCTCCCGTCGCGTTTATGGAGCTGGACTTCCACTGCGGTAGTGAGTTTTTTCTCTCTCCCTTCCTTCCATCGCTGTGGCGTGCTAGGCATTCAAACTGACGTTGTTGATAGTCTTCTTGACCAATACCTCGCCGGCGAGGTGCCATATCCATACAACGAACCGCTTGCCGAACAGGGGTGATTATGGCAAGGTGCTAGTCGATCAGGCGTTGAAGCGCAAGTCTGTCATGTAGAAATAAGGACGAGGACGAGACCGATGGTTTGTAGTATTGTATAGTTAACATCCCAGCAAGTGTACAATTAGATGCGGAATTCGACCTTCTGACGAATAGTCTCGTATGACAGCGAGTTGACTTGTGTCAAATAAATAGAGGTTCGTGTATTCTTGGAACTTGGAGTGGTGTAGCGGCGCCGCTCCGGTACGATGCGCTTCGACAAGGATCATCATGGCTCACTCGACGTCAGACTGACGCTGTGTACAGTCTACCATGACGCACCGACCCCTCGTTATTTGAGCAACCGAAAGCAGCCTGAGGTATATTAACGTCCACGATACCCTCGGCAGCAGTCACCAATAGTACCAACTCAATCAACAATATGTCGTCAGTTACCGGAAACCCTCCAATCGTGAGTCCTTTCCTCCGCTATCAGGTCTCGGACAGTTCTGGCTGCGAGGTTCGATTGACTATTACCCTCGCAAACGACAGGTCCCTTCAGGCTACAGTCAGTCGACCTCACGCAGAGACTGCGTTCGGCGTAAGTACTGACGATTCATACTTTCCAGCGGCCAACATAAGCGCACCTAGCGCCACCAAAGGCGTCAAGGAGCTCGAATCCCAACTTCCCAAGCAGGAGAACCCTCTAAAGACGGAAGCGAACAAGGCAGGACTGATGGCGCCAGGAAAGCAGGTTCGTCTTCTCATTGGTGACGTACCCTTGTTATCGTTTACCGTTGACTGTGTCCAGGGTACGACTGCTAACCCGAACATGCCTTCAGAGCCACGGGAGAGGAAATAGAGGTGTCGGGACGGGTGCTGGTCAATGCGAGTTGAGGGGGTATCGGGCTTCGGATTGAACGTTAATATTGATGAAGCTCGTGAAGGAAGTTCGATTCTGCATGGACGACTTGATTGAGAAGATATACGATATTATTCTCTGTACTATATAATGGTGTTCTACTATTGCAAGGCATGTCTTCCATGAGGATACTGTAGCAAAGGGTGCCAGTATCGCTTGTAACAGAGATAGATGAAGCACTAACAGGATTCGTACATTCGACTGGCCTGTTCCTCTATCCACTGGGTCCTGGGTCTACCAACCCCCCATACCTCTAACCTCCGACGCGAGACACTTCCTAAGATGTAGCCTGGTCTGCCCTACCTTCCACTCTTCCTCGCCGCCATCAACCTTGCCTTGTTTCCCGAAAACGAAAGGCCTAACACAGACTTCGCCGATCGCGTTGAAAAGGTCCTGGAGGATCCACGTCAACCGTGGACCAGTAAGTTCGATCGCGGGCTCTGCGTTGACTTCGAGAAGCTTGACTTGAAACTGAGCTGATGATGGGTCGAAAGGAGATGCAGACGGTGTGTGCGAGACGAGAAAGTCGATCCCGTAGAGCTCGAATGCATTTGGAAGGGGCTATAAAAGTAGGGGTGAGGTCAGCGTTATATTCGAACCTTAGGTGTATAGGGGTGTAAGCAGACCTGGAAATGGATCGGTGACTCTAATGCAGCTTTGAACGTCTCCGCGAGCACGTCTGCCATTTGGTCTTGAATTGCCTTTATATCGTCTTTCGTGAACTTCAGCAGGGAGCCAGCGTGTCCGTCCGAAAGGATATGGCAGCCGACGAGTTCATCCAAGAGACGTACGCCTTCTTCGCCACGATGCGTTTGCAGAGATGTGTTCGTCAAGTGGGGAGCGAGATCTATGGGAGTACCGTCCTTAAGATTGGCGGTGGGATGGACGTATTGCTTTGCGGAGAAGAGTGCGAGAATGCGGTCGTAGAGATATAACGTGAGGGCGCCTGACGCCACACAGTACGCTCTGAGATGGAACTAGAGTTAGAGTGTCAGACTCAGTGTGCCTCAAGGAAGAGTTGAACAAGATGACAAACTTTATGGCCTTGGAGGTCGGGTGAAGTTCTCGGAGGAATATTATCGAGCGACCTTTCCCCGGGATCAATGAGCAAAGGTGTGTCGATATATTCCTACTGTACGGTATGAGATGTAGGAAAGAAATGGAGATGGGCTTGGCAGAATTGTTAACCTGAATGACAAAATGTCTGAGCTGAGAGGTAACCACAGCGGTATTCTCTCTTGTATCTTCGTCCCTACCTTGTTCTGTGTCGTCTTCGCCCTCTTCTAGTTCGTCGTCCTCGTCCTCTTCGAACGCCTCAAAAATCTCCTGTAAAGCCTCCTTAGAATCGAACATCCGGATTCCCATCCCACGATCCGCCATTCCCGGCTTCAAGATCCACCACCTCTTCTTCAATCCATCCTGGTCTCCGGCCTGCACATCCATAGCAGCGCCTAAATCCCAAAGCTCGTCTCCCCACATCTCGTCCAACTCATCCGCGAACGAAATCTCCAGGTCCCATGTTTTCGGGACAGCCTCCCTTAAGCATGACTGAGGATTTTTCACCATATGGGAATGCAAGCATCTCGAAAGAAAATGTTTCCGGATAAGCGCTTTTCGGATCGTGTAGGACGAGGAGAGGACAGTAGAAGGCGAGCCATGCGTGAGGTCATGATCTATTGCGTCGTAGGTGGACCATTGTACGAGTTTCGCTGTAGATTTGGGTTGATAGTGAGCATACGGCGGCGGTAGTGGAGGTAGCGATGAGACCAGCGGGGGTTGTAATGGGAAGGAGAGGGCGTTACAGACGAGGGTGTTCGTGAGAGGTGCAGAGGGCCAGGAAACCAGAACATTATATCTTTTGTCTGAGTCCATGATTCCTGCGCCAGATCTCGAAGGTGTGTGGCTTATAGCACCAGGCATTGTACCGGTCTATCCAGAAGAGCAACTAATATTTGTGGAATATGAGGAGCCCGGACAGCGAAGAGGGAGAAACAGGACGTTAGCGCCGGAAAAAAAAAACGCCACACGGAAAATTCTTTGCAGATTGATGGATGTATGTAGCCCGACCCGGCGGCATGGCGTCAAATACTATGAGCCGCTGAGGCTCGCGCAAAGTGGACAAACCATTTAGTACAGAATTTACAAACTATATATATGAGGATGGCGAAGGATGCGTGATAATGGAGAAGACAAAATACTTACGCTTCGAGAATATCTATGAAGAGGCCAAGTAGGTTCTGCTTGTGGCGATTCATACATCGTTTCTCAGGGTATAGGCTGTAACAAGCACAAGAAATATTGTAATGAGTGGAATGGAAGTTCGCGATTCAGCTGATCAACGCCTAGGTCCACATCCGAATGTTGTGGACCAAAGTATCGAATGATGAATGGTTGGGTGATTGATGAAGGCGACGGATGGCGACCTCGATCGGCGCAAAGAGCATGGATGAAGGATGGAGCTGTAGATGCTGGGGCGTCGGGGTTTTTGATAGTGTTGTCGAATGAGATGAACGCACACGCGAGGCATGATATGGGGGTAACTGTCTGGAAATTACATTACAAATCATATACGGCATTCTTCTTCGTTCACGAAAAAAATACACGGCTGCCTTCACAGAGAACAGTGGAACATAAGGAATAAGATTAGGCAGTGGCACTGTTCTTGATCAAGGCCTGGGCATGAGAGTGGGCGTGGGTTAATCTCTAACACTAGCTCCGAAGTGAAGACAGTACGCACCTCAAGAGCACCAGGGTTTGCACCAACGACGTCTGCGAGCTTCTGACCGTCCTTGAAAGCGATGAAGGTGGGCATCTGATAATCATTCGCATGAGCATTCTGCATGGAACGGATGCCGATCAATGAGGAATACTTACAGCGCGTACGCCGACCTCCTCAGAGACCTCGGGCTGCTCATCGACATCGACCTTGAAGAATTCGATTTCGGGATGCAGAGTGGACAGTTTCTCGAAGATGGGGGAGATGACACGGCAAGGGCCGCACCATGTAGCCCAGAAGTCGAAGACGGTCACAGTGCTCTTATTGATCTATGATTTGCGAGAATGAGATCCACGAAATTATGGACAATGTGAGGATATGTACGTACGGCGGCGTGGAACTCATCGAGAGACTTGATGGCGTTGACGGTCATGGTGAAAACAAAGATGAAAAGTACAAGAGAAGTTCGGGCGGGATTGTAGGTGTTGGGATGAGAGATCACAGAGAGCTCGCGAGGACGCTTTATACGGCCGATTGCTAGATATGATGCGATTGCTCTTTATCAGCACATCACGTGGCCGTCGTCCGAATATGACGAATTGGTTGCGAATTAGTCCGCCACACCGACCCCGACCGCCTTCGTCGGCATGCCCGACGTATGAGTCCACTGTTCAGATACGGGCATTCACAAGTATGCTATGTACCCTCAGGACCTTTGCAGTGATGTTAGTACTTAACCTGACTGCTTAGTCACCGTAGGAAGATTAGAAAGATGTTGTATGAGTGAGAGTCACAGATATGACAGCTAGGCGACTGCTGTCTCGTTGGTTGAGAATGAAGGCTGGCATGCCTGGGAGCTCCTGGGACTAACGCATTGTAACGTGAAATCTGAATGTGACCGATAGTGACCTGCAATCTCTTAGAATATCATAATTACACCGTGAATGCGAACGTTCCCAAGTAGTGTCAACAGGAGGATAGACGAGAATTAGCATTGAGTGAGAGCCTACCGTCACTAAAAAAGTCACTCACAAATAATCTCAACTACTAGCTGAAGGTTTCTTTAGAGCATCTGTAAACAGGACAGTCATTGGACAGTATGGCTGATATACCGTTAGGTCAACAGAGTTAGAATCGATTCCCAACACGTTCTGCTAGCATCGCAGAGATGATATCGTCAAGACCATTGTGCTATAGATGCGTCTCCGAGGAGGAGCAGAAGCATTTGACGAGTTCGCGCCGGTGTGGCGCGTTGCCTTGGTCGAAGTTGGGAAGAAAGAACAACTTCGAATTCGAACTCCGATACACGCACCGACGGACAAATGCAGTGGCTGTAAATTTGCCCATTTCGGGAGTTGACTTCGACACTGGCCTCTGCGCCGTCTTTGTTTCTTCATTTCTTGCTTCGTCTATTGTCCCCCGGTATGATGCCTGCGACGGCGGTGGACACCGAGACCTCCTACGTCGAGGTCAAACCCATGCATACTCCGGTAGAGTGTGGCAAAACTCAATTCGACTCTCTTTTGCCTAGTGCCGACTCTGCTGTGGCGGGAAACGACACGGTGGCCTCACAGAAGAAGAAGAAGAAGAAGAAAACACGAAAGCCCACCAAACCTAAGGACACGCAAAGGCAGCACCCCACTTCTGTGGATGATGAACAGGAGCTACGACCTCCTGTGTTGTGCATTAGCCGTAATAAACACTGGCGTTATATCAGTTCCTATCATGTGCGTTTGTTCACTCTTCTCGGTAATCTTTCTTGACCAACAAATCATTCGAAGGGTCCTTGGTTACAACTACCCATCGAGCTGCTTGAATCTTTTTTGGTTCTCAACCTGGATCCAACCACACTCCAGACATCGGAGACACGCATACCGTCCATGTCGTCCCCCACTACACCCACATTCAATGGTAGCGGCAACTACAGCTACTCCAATCCTTCATCTCGAACCCGCGACCGCGGCTTTGCAAGTCTACGCGATTACTCACCACCTCCCGATTCTCTTGCTAGTGCTTTCGCGTCTTTACCCCCGCTACCGCCACTACCCACTCCTGCTGCTGGCAAAGCAACTCCTCCTCCCATAGACCCAGGTGTCTTCCGTTCTGTCACCACTATACGGCGTCTCATCGACGAGGCTGCCGAGCTCTCCGTTCGTGCAACATCTGGCTTATCCGCTGCTGCACTAGGATCTATGCGAAACGGTCCCAACATAGGCAGCAGTCCATGGGCACTCGCTCAAAGTCTCGGTATCAATCCCTTGGGAGACTCTGGAAATGGCAGGAGTGCGCCTATGTCGGCCACACGAGTGCATAGGCTGAGGACATTGGCGGTGCAGAAGTTAGCAACGGCGTATAGGATGGACGAGATCGCGTCGAGCGTGATGGTCATGCAAGGCGGGAGTATATTTGACGATATCGCAGAGCGTGTCCTCAAGATCGGTACGTTCTGTCTTTCTGTTGCTGGCCCACTTCATCGAACCCGGATGTAGATCCAAACGACATGGACGCAAAATATGTGCATTTTTTCCACGAGAAAATACCCTCGCGGTACGTCTCTCGAATTCGCGACATACGTCGTGGCTTATGTTGACTTTAGCCTTAGCCAGCTAGCGGAGTCGACGCCGACTCACGTGCTGGACGAAATCATCGCTGCAAATCCAAATCATCTCGAAGTCCTTCGGACACGCGGTATTGTCCATACCTTCCGAGACGAGTATCCTCTGGCTGTGCGGGATTTCACCCTTGCACTCAAAGAAGCTCGTGCCGTCCGTAAAGCGCGTAACATGCATCGTACCGAGGTCTCCCTGGGCGGTTCCGGCAGAAACGGAAAGAAGAAGAAATCTGAAGGCAAAAAGAAAACGAACGGACAGGCGCCGCCAAGTGGCACCAGTGCTGCTGCAGAAGGAGGGGATAAATCAGAGCCCGAACCGGTGATCTTACATCCTTCCGTACTTCCCGACGCACCGGAGCCTATCGAGCCCCAGCTCCTCTTCCTGCGTGGCGCAGCCTATCTCCAGCACTCCGTTTTCCTGATCGAAGAAACCCTCCTTAAGCTCGAGGGTATCCGTAAAATGCCCTCCCCTGATGGGGCGGAGCTCAGGCTGTGTTATCTTGGAAACGGTAGGTATGGTGGAACGGAGATCGGTAATCCTGATGGACCGTTGGGCAGCAAAGATGGCGTAAAGCTACAGGCATACCGGCGAGCGTTGACAGATTGTCCCTTGAAGGAGCAGATCCTGACACTCTTGAAGAAAAGCATGAGGGACCACGAACGCTTCCTTGGCCACTTTGATACTTTAGAGTCATCCGTCCCCCTTGACGAAACGGAAGATCTCGCATCGCGTGCGGCCTATGCGTTCCTTCTTGCTGAATCGCTCCGTCCGGGCTCATCAGCCACCCCACCTCCACCGCCCGAGTCACCCACCGCGTTTACGACGTATCATCCCCTTCTCGTCGAGGCTCATTTTTCCATTCTTATCTGCCAACTCATGATGGGAGACTTTCCTTCTCTACTGCAGTCATTTGTGAAGACCGCTGCCGTCATCGACGGTTTGGAAGGTTACCCTGTCTTCCTTCCGCCCAGATCAATGTCGCAGGCCGAGTTCGTCGAAATACTAGAACGTCTTGCGGGAGGGTGGAAGAACGGTGCCGCCATAAGCTCACTCGGTCGACCGAGACTAACCAATGGCTCAGCCGCCAACGGGTCTAAAGTCGCTAACGGCAAATTGGCAATCATGCCGCCCCCGTTCTCTCCTGCAGAGCTCTCCCCCTCGTCCTCCGCACCTGCATCGCCTCATCCTCATCTTGGTCCCTCGACGTCCTTTGCCTCTTCGTCCGCGGCCACTACCCCGGCGCTTTCTATACCTCCCTCACCCCAGATTCCTTCCGGTCGAGACACTCCCTCGTCTGGTTCCTCCGCCATAGATCTTGTTGAAGCTCTCAACTGTGCACGGATACTATTGGCACCTGTCGTGGCCAAACAGAACGAGAGGGCGGAAAAGAGCGCAGCGGAGAAGGCGGCTGGAGGAAGAAGGAAATCGACATCCCCGATCAGCATTCCATTACATGGGCCAAGGGTGGATATCGTGCTTGCGTGGTTGGCTGCGGTCTGGTTGGTGGAGTTGGACGAGGTTGCGTGAGCTGAGGGCAGCTGGGGATCGTAGTGGAGAAGAACTATCGAGGGTTTTTTTTTTGCGTAATGACAAGGGGTAATGCGTGTTCTTGTGTGGGCGATGCCTACTATATTTTTCTGGTTGTGGAATGCAAGTGCTTGTGGAGGGCAGGTGAATTCATCTTCGACCAGCGTAGAGGATCGATATTACGTATTTCTCACCGACCGAGTTCAGGCGTCTGTCGGAGTGTCAAGTATTTCTTGCCTGCAACCGCCACGGCCCTTGGACACTTCGTTGTCGGACTCATGTTTATGATATCCCGTAACAACCACTCATGGCCATCGACAAAGCACTCCTTTCGATGCGGCTTCTTGTTCTCAGGCCTCTGGACTACGAGTTCCCTCGGGGTCACCGGAGTAATGGCATTGTCACATGGAATTTCCCAGGCAGCATCCGAGTCTCACATATCAATCAAAACAAACTGAATCACTGATAATATTCGACATTGTCTTACTCATATTCTGCTATGGGCGCACTCTTCTCTACCGCGTTCTCTCGCTACGACCCAAAGCGGGACATTCCTGACTTGACGGGAAAAGTAGCCATTGTCACGGGTGCCAAGTGTGTATTCATCTTTGTGTTCTATTATAGTCTTTGCTACCTCCATATGGAGTCTGCCTACATGCTTCGCGGTGAACGCAGCGTACGACGTTGGAATGAGCGAATGAACTGATATCATGTTTCAGCTCTGGTATAGGCCTTCGTACAGCAGAACTGCTCGCAGTCCGCGGAGCCAAGGTGTACCTCGCTTGTCGAACCGAGTCAAAAGCGACAAATGCCATCTACCAGATTCTCAAGGCCCATAGCGATATAGTTGGTCTGAATGAAAGGCTCGCTTGGTTGCCTCTGGACTTGTCTTCCGTCGTCAAAAGCGAGCAAGCGGCAAAGGATTTCCTAGCGATTGAGTCGAGACTGGATATACTTGGTGGGTCCTTTTGCGTAGCTAGCGGTTCCGATGCGTGAAAACCAAGGACTGACCGCTTGATGCGGAATCTTTCCGTTTTAGTGAACAATGCGGCTAGGGGCATCGTGCCGTATGCCTTGTCCGAAGAGGGCATTGAACTTTCCGTCGCCACAAAGTACGTGATCACTGCACATCATACCTCAGTGCTACCATTTATCTTTGCTCAGTCATCTAGGCCACTTTGTACTTACGAACACGCTGCTACCGCTACTGACGACCACATCACGGATGCCAGACACAGATGTCCGTATTGTCAATGTAAGCTGCCTCCTTATTTCTCCTCCCTAGCTTCGTACTGATTTTCAGCCACCACAGGTTGCTTCTCATTCGTATGCGAGTAGTCAGGCAGTCAAGTTCGACGGTATTGAGGACCTCAATAACCCTCAGGGCGCATCAGGCAAAGAGAACGGGATCAGCGCCAAATTACAACGATATGGTGAGTGTCAGCGCTCGAGTGCCATAATACATGCTCATAGAATAATTTGATAGGAACGACAAAACTAATGAACATTTTGCATGCTAGAGAGCTTCAGAGACGGCTCGATGCTGAAGCCATCACAATCACAGTACTGAGCTTGCATCCTGGAACGGGAGTAATCACCGGTCAGTGCTCATTGACCTCTCCATTTCGCCTCGCTTCTGAGATCCTATGCTAGAGGGTTACTATACTGGGAATTATGGGGTCCCTGCCTGGCTAGTGGCGCTCCTTCCCATCATACGCTTTCTGTTTCTCCCGATCACTACCACGCAAGGTGCTTACAACTCGACGTTCGCTGCCACCAGTGCAGAGGTCGCTGCGGAGCGCGGGAAGTACAAGGGACAATATCTGGAGCCTCTGGGGAAGATTGTGGCCTTGAAGACGAGGACGGCTACTGACGTTTCTCTTATTCAAGACAAGTTGTGGAACACGTCGGAAAAGGTAGTACGTGATACCTTGCAGGCAAGAGCTGCTCCGTAATATGGACTGCGGATTGTTTTTGTACATCACTTTTCCTGAGCAGGTTCGGCGAAACGAATACCGTTACCTCACGGATCAACATCATCGGAACTTACAGCGCTCCTGAGTCCCTGGAAACAAGAAAGACTGGACGTGTCTTCACTCTGCAAGATACCTGGTGCTTTGAGTGTAGGTCCGCATTCCATTTACGCGCTCAGAGCCTTTCAGAGCACGCTCTGGCGAATGCTTTTCGCATGAAGGCTTCGGCTATCAACGCTATCAACCTTGTCATCAATGTCCATGTCTCGCAACGTGCAACTAAGCAGTGTTCGTGCACAGGACTATTGTGCATACGACAGACCGAGGGCGCTGAGCGCTCAGAGTACCGGAGGGTGTACAGGCGATTCGGCGAATCTAGCCCCCCATCAACAAGATATCCGAAGAGGAAATTTAAAGAGGGCGTGGTCCAATGATTGTGTCTGTCCTCGGCCCCACTTCCAGCATTACTCAGCGCCCTCTGGGTTGCACCCTCCTCTTTCCTCCCGCCACCTCTAGCGGTGCATAGCTGGAGCTTCCGGAATGAGATGGGGCTTTTCAACAGACTCAAGAGTCGGCGTCAGAGCAGTACAGAACACAATGATCGCCCACGGCCTAATACGAAGATAAAGCGCTGGAACATACTTGCCAGTGCGTTTCAAGTCTTTCACTCAGTACGATGAAGCCTCGCGCTTGGTTCTGTCATGAACCAACGAAGTCTCCTTATATCCTGCGCCTGTCTCAATCGGACTCGAATGGTGCAGCTACAGTGCGATATCGCACAGATGCATACAATTTTCGATAATGAGAAATACAGGCCATAGTAGCAGGTCTCCGTTTCGTGTCCGGTCTGCGCGGCATAGTACTCGACCTACTATCCCTCAGTGTATGTATGGCCAACTGTTCCGATGCATCTAACAGGTTTTCCGCACTTGTCATTCCTTAGATACTACCTTCAAGCAGCAGCGAATGAAAGCATGGCAACCCGTCCTCACACCTAAAACCGTGCTCTCCACGTTGTTCAACGTCGCTCTGTCGTTAGCACCCATAGGAGGCCTTCTTATCTGGGGGAGTGGTCAGGTACGCATATACTCCCCCTTCTGAGCTGTATCTGACATTTGGCGGAAACATATAGGTCACAGAAATGACATTCGACTACACACAATGTGACTCGGCTGGTGGAAATGCTTCGTCTCTCCAGGACGCCATCACGAATCACGCCATAGACGTACCCAACTATGATTACCGTCTGAGATCCTCAGAATCCCACTCCGGTTGGCACGGCGCCAGTATACGCTTTCTTCACGAATGACAGCGCGGCCATTGGCGAACAGCACCAGTGTATCATTCAATTCGAGATCCCATACGACATCAAGCCAACGGTCCTCCTGTACTACAAACTCACTGGGTTTCACCAGAATCACAGGCGATACATGCTGAGTTCTGACCCGGATCAACTAAGAGGCAAGTGGAGGAGTACGTCGGATCTGCAAAAGGGCAAATGTGACCCTGTTGCGCGAGTCACATATTCCGATGAAACAGCGCCGAAGGGTATCTATCCTTGTGGATTGATTGCTAACTCCATGTTTAATGGTACGTGCTCACCGCTAGTTCTCGTTGGCCACCACTTTCAACTGCGGCTAAATTTCTACCTGATCAGACTCGTTCAGTAATCTCACTGAGGTCGAGCAAAGCAGTTCGTCGAGCGAGAGCAACACGTACATCCTTTCGGAGAGCGGTATCGTATGGCCGGGCGAGGAAAAACGATATGTCGAGACGCCTGGCAATAACATCTCCGAGCTCGTACCACCTCCCAACTGGGCACTCAAGTATCCCAATGGATACACGTCCGACAACCCACCTCCCAATCTGAGAGCAGACGTGCACCTCCAGGTATGGATGCGAACGGCTGGTCTTTCTACCTTTCACAAGCTCTGGGCGCGGAATGATCACGACGTTCTTCGACAAGGGACCTACCAAATAACTGTCTTCATGAGTACGTGGCCATGTGTTGATCACGGTTGATGCACCCTCCTCATCTCCTTGGCCTTCTCCTTGACCTTTTCCTTGTCGCAGACTATCCGGTCAAGAGCTACTCGGGCACAAAATCCATCGTAATTTCAACAGTGTCTTGGGTTGGTGGAAAGAACCCTTTTCTGGGCTGGTTGTACGTTGCTACTTCTGCGACTTTCTTCTTGATTGCTATTGCCGGCACTGTTAGATATGTTCTTAAGCCTAGGTCAGTTCTAACATCCTCGATGTTTTGTGGTCGACTATTCGCTCATCCTGCTCGACATGTTTTCAGACGCCTCGGCCCTCGGCGACCTGAGCCTTCTGTCGTGGAACAGGGAGTGAAATCACTCTTTCCAGTCTTTATTATCGCCCCACTCCTAGGCATACGACCCTCTTGTCTAAGGCCACCGGCGACAATATATCTTGATCACGACGTTACTTTACTGCATTATCGGCTACTCTAGTCTGTATTCCCTCGGCTTATCGGTGAGCTCGGTATAACCACCCGTGTCCCATATATCGAGGTCGAGCAGCGTCGAGCATCCCCGGTCAGTCTTAACCTCACCGGTACAACGTCGGGCCACAATCAGTCCTCGCCCAAGGGCTACGTGATATTGTCTCATCGCCGCTTAGCTATCATGCCTTCAGTATAACAAAAGACGACCCATTTGCATAGCTATCAGTAGAGGGCACTGGACGCTAACAGTGCAATATAAGCGTTTTCAGGCTAACTCGATGCGGGCTGTGTCCGGGCTTATTGTTCGTACCTCTCGTTAGAATTGGGAGATCTGCTCGGACATGAAGTTGGGATCGGTGTGGAGATTCTAGGAACTAAGAGCCGAGTCAGAAGCCAGATTCAGATCGGTCCAAAGACCATGGAGATAATTCACCGCTTACCGCTCGAGAACACTTCGTTTCGCCTGGTCGTGTAAGTATTGCCGTTGGTTGCAAATTCAAGTGACTCTTTTGATCGACTTTTCTGTGAAGGCCGCACCAACGCTTTGATCTCCACATATGGAGTGGTCAAAGCTCATAATTAAGAGTGTGCCGGATGGCTGCGTCCCGTGAGCTGATGGCTCACAGGCCAACTCATAACATCTCCCGCATCCACCCGTCGTCTGTTCACGATGCATAGCCATTTTTAACATCACAATTAACCGTCCACACAAATAGCGACAGAAGTCTCCGGGATAACAACTATACACCGCGGGGAAAGCTGTAAGGTTCAAAAGCTGGCAGCGAAGGGAACCGCCATATACCTTCGTCATTGTGGCACATATGGGGATACCGGCACTCGATACTGTGACCTGGGGCCAGAGTAGACAGTCCCCGTCTTGCCATCTCCAGAGGGTATGGACCATTAGGCTCCATCTCCTCCGCTTGATATGACCGCGGCAGCCTGACGGTGATAACCCAAATGGTCGATAAATAGAGCGGCTGATCCCGTGTGCAGGGTGATCCACGTTGGTTTGCTAGTTGAGGTGAGGATATCGATATGAGGATTATACTTCCTCGAATGAGTTGCCGTCCACCCTAAATTTAGTAAAGGTGGTTAGTCTAAGTCGTCAATAGTGCTAGCAAGAGATTGAAGACGGCAGACCATCCTGTCTGCATTTACGGTAGGACCCTACGGTTTACCCCGGTAGACATCAAGCATCTACAATCTGTCCACAGCAGCCACAAAGCCGTGTTTAAAGCCCAAATGGAACTGGACTAAAGCGACTCTCTCTCAGCGCGTTCCGTATGGTCTCTATTCCTCAGCTTACCAAGAACGGCCCACGAGATCCTCGGAGCGACGAGAACCGCACTCTGTTCGCGTGTCGAAGACGCAGCAGGACGGCGAGTTGACGGAACAACGACTTTGTCCATACCCACGTCCACGACTTACCTTTGGCCATGGGTTCTCACAAGACCTGCCCTCAGGAGGTACGCAATGCCTCACGCCTCGGCCTCATGTCGAGCACGCACCTACCGTGGGTCCCTGTTTCGTTCTCAACCGCGACAACCTTGGTCAGGGTGCCTGTTCGAAGTAGGCTCGAGGCAAGATGACAAGGCTGGCTGAGAGGGGCAGAAGGGTATAAAGAGTCAAGGGCTGGATATACGAGAGAGTGCAATGAATAATGTTACAAGTGATTCGGATGCCGTGAATGTGGGGAGATGAAGATTACGAGGAGATAGTGATAGCGTTTAGAGTCCGTTCGATGTCGAGGCCGGTCAAAACCGATGGGTCATGCCTGTCCATCAACCTGCAGCTGCAGAACAATAATATAACACCGCTTTTGCCTTGCCTCGCCGATGCCACACCTCCCTTCTGTAAAAGTTCATGAGCTCATGGTAGGCCAAAGACACTGATTGAATGCCCAAAGCATAACGAGAACGGAGTGAGATGAGCGCGATTGGAAGGGAAGATGCGGTGATGAGGTGGATGGGCATCGACGTGAGGATCGTCTACGCACCTCCAACAGCCATCGAATAAACCTTGCACTCGACGTTCGGAGGGCATATGACTAACAAGACCCTGTAGGTAGAGCGCACGTTAGTTAATGGAGCAAAACGTACAGTAGAGCGAGGTCATGAGCGTTATCTTTCGGGGAGGGCATCACGGAGGGGCACGCACAGCGTATGGGGCACGACTCAATCGGTCCACATGGTAAACCTGAAGTCCCGCCATATCCGATCGACGGTAAGGCCGTTGACGGGACTCACAGAGCCCGCCTGTATCTGTTGTTGTTGCTGGTGATGTTGTTGCTGTGCGAAGAGTTGTGAAACCGTGCAGTGGACGTCTCGCCATGCTCGTGCACTTCAACATGTACGCATCACAGTACCGATAGGCGCACAGGGGTCACGTCCACGGTAACGTCCAATTCAATAGCGTAGCATGTCATGATAGAGAGAAGTTATTCAGTCGGCTGTTTGGATTCGTCGTAAGGGGCAAGAACGCTGCTGACTTACGAGACGCTGGCGAGCTTCGAGCGCGTCTTCAACACGTATCTGTATGTCGAGCCTGCCTCTAGCACGAGCGTGATGACCTCTCCTGGCTGAAGAAGGACGAACGCGCCTGCGTTCCTGCTGTATTCTCGCAGTAGCTGTACTGTCGCGCAGTCGTGTGTATCATTCGAGAACTTGAGAAGGACTTCATACTCTTCAGCGACCGTGGGCATAGCGCAGAGGTCTCGGAGGTGTGAATGTGCGGACGGGACGGGGTGAGCTGGTGAGTGCTTGGTGGATGTGTTCTAGAAGAGGACGAGGACGGATATAGGATGGGATGTCTCGAAGGAGCTGGCGGCAGTTGGTGGGAAGAAGAGTGAGAGTGTAGAGGAAAGGGAGCCTCGGTGACAGAAGTTGGATTGCTTAGGGAAGGAAAGAAGTCTAAAATCAACGCAGCGTGCGTTTAAAAGGGAAACGAGAGCGGGCGGCAAAGGCAGGGCACTCTCTGAGACTCTTGTTGTTTGGCACCGTTGTCGCGACGTAGAGAGGGAAAGTTTGAACTGGCACGTCGGATGGACACCGCAAGGAACCGCCTGCTGATGAGATTTACGGCAAGCGTGTTCCAAAACAAACGGGCTTGGAAAGAAAAAGGTGAAACCACAGGAGTCAGGTCGGTCGAGAGGACGAAGAGGGGGAACAATCGAGCTTCTGCCCTAGCGATGTAAGCCAATATACGATAGTGTATACATATTTGAGGAAGAATGGAGAGCATGGCACGGCCATGGCAGCAGGTGAGGCCATGTTGCCACGTTGTGGCGAGTCGTTATTGTTTTGCACCGGAGAAGAAGATAGAACGGCAGATGGACGCCCGGATGGCGAGGCCTGCCAACGCCCTGGACTCAAGGGGAAAATGAAGCTCATGTCTGCGAGATAGAATACGACACGCCAAATCTGGAACAAACATGCGAGAAAGAGAGCTCTGCTGACGGCCTTCGTGGCGGTCCCCGGCTCCGGCGGAAGTAAATCAGGTTTGTTCCCTCGCCACAATGATCTCCTTCCTCGACTTGCCACCGGAAATACGCCTGCCCATCTACGCCCACTTTCTTGACGAACATACTCGCATCCACCGCAATCGCCAACCAAACAACGGCCATTATCGTCTCTTGCATGTCTGTAGAGCAACATATTATGAGGCTCGTCCGACTTTCCGGACATATGTCTCGTTGGCGTACGAGAGGCAAATAAACGCCTTCATACGTTGTGTGGACCCTGAAGATCTTGCGCACATTCTCTGGGCCGATGTCGCTAACGATGGTCGATACCTGTCAAATGTCGACCCTCGTCTTCTACAGAATTCTAAGGAGAGCAGCAGCGAGGTAAGTGGCGAACGATGGGAGCGATACTCACCTAGCACTGAGTCGATGGGCAATAGTGACTTTCGTAATTGTCTAGGTCATTAACAGGCCTATATCGAACCTTCACCTTGCGCTCCGAAGGATGACATCGCTGCAGCGCCTGCGAACATTCGACTGCCGGCATGGCGCTCCAGCTGCCCGTACGTCTGCTTCTTGATTCCCGCTCTTTCGGCGATCTGCTTTTCCAAGTTCATCTAACGGAATCATTCACTCTGTCATCCTTTCTTTTACATATCACAGCCAGAATAGGGTCATCTCTCAGGATGTCGTTCGAATTATGTCTCTTCCCGGATGTTCGTCCAGATAACCTAGTCTCCTACGAACTCTACCTCGACCCCACAACCCAAGCCTCCATCTTCCAAACCGTCCCCAACGCCAAGCTCCAAAAACTCCGTCTATCCGGCGACTGTCGTCTCCCGAAGAAAGAGCCGACGCCTTCCCTCCGCTCGCTGAACCTCCACGCCATCACCTCGAACCATTTCGACGTCCGTCCCATAAATGACACCTTCCCCGATTGTCATCTCGACTCGTTCGCGTACTCTATGGGCCACAGAATGGGATTCGAGATACGGGATGCACAACTTCGGTCGCTGGTACAGGGAATAGGATCCCGTCTTCGGAAACTCGTCCTCCTGGGATGTAAAAGGCTGACGACCTCGGTGATCTCGGAGTGTCTTTGGGAACTGCCAGGGCTGGAATGTTTCGCGCTCTCGTTGATCACGCACGATGAATTGCGGTCAAATTTTGTTTCAGCGTTGGCATCAAGCGTGCGAGTGGTCAAATTACATGTGGTTGAGGGGAAATGGACCCAGCCATTTGTAGAGGAGGAGAATGCGCTATGCGATGGTTTAGAAGAAAAGATGAAGCAGGAGCCAGCGTTGAGCATTCTGCGTCTTCACTTCCGCGAATCTGTCATGGTGTCGGGCGGCAGAGCAGCGAGGTGGAAGGAGATAGCAGCCGATGAAAGGCTTGACCTTAGATGGGGGAGCTGGGAAACCGATGAAGAAGTGTAGTCTAGATTAACTTACGCTGACCACGCCCATAGGTTGCATGCCATGATCCCGCTCGTTCCAGCCAACGATAACAGGCTCAAATTGGCCGCTGCACAAGTCAACGGACAGAAGTACTGTACGATTAGAGATGTAAAGTCCGATAGCAGTCCGAATATATCAAAGTACAGATCAGAAAAAATCGTGTCAGGTAATGAGCGATGGTCCAGACGAATGACGAATGCAGGTACATAGAATGTCTCGAATTATGTACGCGCCACACGCGATACTTAAAAGTAGTCTCCGGCGCTGGGCTGCACGTCCGCAAGTCAGCAACGAGAATCTAAAAGAACACGGCAACGAAACGCGACGGACCTTTCTCAGTCGTGGCGTCTTCCGACCAAACGAGCCTTCCGCTGCAGTAAGGCACAAGAAAAGGAATATCAGTTCCTGTTGCCGCCACATATCGACAATTGGATCCAGTGACATACATGAACGGCCACAAGTGCTGCCCACGGAAACCAACAGATACACAACAATCGAACGGGTGCCCCACGATGCATGTCACTCGACGATCAAGGTGATGACTGACCGGGGTGCGACTGTGAATGCTGCGGCCTGTTCAAGCCCGGCTCCCCCCCGACACCACCGACAACGGGAGGATTATTGGTGTAGTATGGGTCTGAGATGTAGGGTGTAGGTTGGGCTTCATACGTGCGTGCGTTCTGGGGATAGTCAGGGAAAGGCTGACGAGGGTAGGCATCGCTGAGCATAGCGTCCTCGCTGACGTTGCTGACGTTTCTTACGTGACCATAGCCGTCTCGCGTCCCAGATGGACCACCGGCGAGGGGAGGTGATGGAGATTCTTCGCGGGCGTCCCAGGGATCGCGCTTGGTCATGGGTATCTCGTTGTTGTAGCCGTTGACGGAGTAGAGGGAATCGTATTTCATATGGTCCTCCTGCTGGCCTCTCGAGTAGCCTGAGAGAACCACATAGAAATAGAACTGATGAAGTTGATGGTTGGTAAACTCTGGTACATGATCTGATGAGTGTGGGGGCTGCGTTACCTGTGAGATAGCCAGTAATACCCAAAGGCCGCCCATCAGGCCAACGTCGACCCACGGGAATATTTGACAAAGCGTCTCGCCTTCGGAAGAGACAGCGGAGGAGGTGGAGTTGGAGGTGGAGAAGAAGGTGCTCTCGCAATCACTCTTTGCAGTAGAGTGTCTGGCGGCAGAGATGATGATCCAGGCAATGGCTACTGAAAATCCCGCAAGGGTAGTCATTATGTGGAGGGTCAAGTAGCGCCGGAACGTGATGGGTTTCTCCTGCGTATGTGATGAGGTCAATACCCATGTCAGAAATGGAGAACAAAGATTGCACATACCTGAGCTACACCCAAGAACCCAAAGATCTGGATAGCAGCCGCGACGTAGCAGACAATGGCAAATATCCATTTGGACCAAGACCATGTGGCGGCCCCAACAACTATGGACATGAGAGATACGTTTAGCATCCATAAGCCACAATAATTCACCGTTCCGAGACGTACTGTGTGTGGTGGCGATTGCAAGTGTACCTGCAGTGATACCAAGGGCCAGTTGCTCGACGAGGATAGTATAAACGCCAGCGTTAACTGTGGGGATGGCACAACAGCAGCGATCGCGGGGCTTCATAATGTCAGATGTCAAGGGTCGTTACAGTCGAACAAAGCGATGTGGAGACGAAGAAGACGACAGAAATGAGAGAAGAAGCGAACAGGAAAGAAGATGAAGGAGGACAAGATGGAAAAGCGCAGCGTCGATGAGTGAAAGGGCAGACGACTGGAAAGCTGTACATGGTGTTCGCTGTGCTCGCCTCCCCCTCGGCTCGGTCCTCGTCACAGTCACGCTGACGCACTGTCACAGGCTCGGTATACAAGCCCAGCTTGCCCCATACAACTTGTTCTCTACCCCCTCGTCCTTGCCCCTTCTCCTACTCAATCATGGCCCGGTTCACTCTGCTTTCTCTGCTTGCATGCACGCTCTTTAGCGCAGCTATCGCTAACCCGGTCGACAGCCAAGAGGCCCTCGCAGTCTCAGATGGAACCGTGCATGCCGCAGCAAGCTGGGAGTGGTCCTCTTGCGGTATGTTCCACATATATTGCAGTGCAGAACACTCCTAAAGCCGCTCTATAGGTCTCTCTTCTGATCCGATTCAAATCGAGTCTATCGATGTTTCGCCTGATCCTCCAAAGCCTGGCGAGAACATGACGGTCACTGTCAAGGCTTCTGCCCAAGAGCTTATCGCGGTGCGTCCTCCGCCAATACTTGTGCCGGCTCAATCCTACTGAATATGTCTATGTACTCTGCAGGAGGGTGCCTATGCAGACGTAACTGTCAAGCTTGGGCTCATCAAGCTGCTACAGAAGAGTTTCGACCTTTGTGAGGAAGCGTGAGTCGTATCATCAGCGATGTAATCATCACACATCTCAAATGCCTTTCTTGCAGTCGTAATGCTGAGACGTCCGTACAATGTCCCGTTGAGCCTGGTTCTTACACCGTCGAGCAGACGGTAGCCCTTCCAGCTCAAATTCCCCAGGGTCAGTGCCCCAGTTCATTCCGCCCACCAATCTCCGTCCTCTGACAATTTCCCTACAGCCAAGTTCAGGGTTCATGTCGATGGCTTCACCGTGGATGATGACCCCCTCGTCTGTGTCGACTTGACCGTCAACTTCATGAAGATCGGCGGCTTCTGGTAATGGGACACGTGTGTGGGGTGAGGTGGTTCAACTTGATGTCCTGCTCGTGGTGTGGCGTGTGGCGTTTGTTGATCGTTGAGTGTTCATGATTTCTTTCTTTTTTCTCTTACTTGACGAAGTCCACTCCTCACGCAATCATGTTCCTCTATGACTATTCCTCTGTGCATAATTTCGGCTTTGTACAACTAATTGTTCAGCCCACGTCTGCGTCTCAGAATGACAATCAGTTCATGTTTCTGTTCACACAATGTAACTGTTGTGCTCATGAAATAGATCTTGATAGAGACTCAGTGTCAAGGTAGACTCTACATAGATGAAGGCGACCATTTCCAAAGCTCTATAAGCAGGAGGATTGTGTATGGTGCCAAATATCGGTAGTTGGAAAGAGCCTGAGAGCGGGCCACCCTGCCGTAAAAGATCTCGGGATCTAAAGATAAAGCAGCATCATAACATGATTGACACGAGGCCATCTACTCCGCTCTGTCCGTTGAGGTTCCCACTTCCATCTTGACTCACCTTGATAGGCCGATAGGCTGCATACGCCGATGGAGACCTTTCGCATTGGACTGAGGGTGAGTCACTTCCCCCGATCTTCTGGTGTGACTTCGCTGCCCTTGCTTTGATTGACTTCAAATCGCCAACATCCTTCATTCAGAACATCACGAGAGCCACTCCTCGGCCGTGCATTAGAGGGTCCACACGAACATCCACGCCAATTTGGTTCACCGCTCGCCTGAAACATACAGCGGCATCAATGGCACAAGCAGCCGAGACCTCCAACACAAAGTTAACCCACTTGGCCATATTGGACTTCGAGGCCACCTGCGAACTGCCATCAGGTTCGAGAGAAGAGATGGAGATCATCGAGTTCCCGACTATCCTCTACAACCTGAACACGAAACGCGTACAGGCCACCTTCCACGAATACGTCCGACCAGTCATCTACCCCCAACTGACGGATTTTTGCCTCGACCTGACCGGGATATCACAGGTACGTGACCTACGCGTGTCTGATACTCCCTCTTGAAACGTGATATGCATTTTGCCGAGTTCGTTTGACTTGGGGGACTGAATTCCTCGTCGCGTTTTTCGTATCCGATCCCTTCGTCTCCTTGCCTCGTCTCCAAGTTCTAAACGTTGAATGCTTTCGAAACTTGCTAACGCCGGTGCAGGAAACAGTAGACGCCGCGGACAGATTCCCTGCCGTTTGGACACGCTATCTCGCGTTTTTGAAGGCTCAAGGCGTTTGGGAAAATTCTTCGGCGCTCGCGTTCGTCACCTGCGGAGATTGGGATCTCAAGACGATGCTCCCACAGCAGCTTGGCTTGTCCTTCGCGGATGATGCGACGAAGAAGCATGAAACAGAGCACGTCCTCTTCAAGCGGTGGATAAACATAAAGCGGTCTTTCCACAGTGTCTACGGAGGAAAGAGGCGTCCGAGTGGGCTTATTTCGATGTTGAAGGCTTTGGCAATAACGCACCAGGGGCGACACCATTCGGGGATTGATGATTGCCAGAATTTGCTTTCTATTGTCGAGAGAATGCGAGAAGATGGTTGGAAGGCCCACGAAGATCCACAGCTTCTTTTGCAGATGTGATTATTGGCGACAATGGACATGTAGATTACGCAACGGGCAAAGCGATACGGTTGCCATTACTTTGTATACATAGTCGGACTATGTCCTTCGATACCAGCCACAGCTCACATTCGTAGTAACCATGGACGTACATATACACGTGTGGGTGCCATTGTCCTCGGAAAGGCACTGCAACTAGGGGACTTTGTTTACGCATGGCACGCAAATAAGGGGCTTCGCATTGTCGGTGGCAACTTGGTGGTGTCCGACGCCAGTCTCGCGGGCACTGGGCCAACAATGGCGCACAGCATCAGATGCGAAGTGCCTCCAAATGGAGGACAACTACAGATTCATCGGCATCTCAGAAGGGCCCGCCCAGGTAAAGGCGTGGCAAGGAAGCCCATTCTTGTTCCCCAATTGTCGATCGCGTTTGTAGATCCCTGGTTTTCCACAACTGTCACCCCCCCTCGCCCACATATATAAGGACTGGGTGATTCACCTTGGTCGCTTCTTCACCACAACCACCCACATAATCGTTCATACACCCCCACACCCAACGCTCACCTTTTCTTGCAACTTATCATGTCCGCCGACTACGACGTGGTCTGGACACTGCACAACGACACGCCATGGACATGCACCTACGAAGCCTGGGGCACTAATCATGCCGGCCGAGACAACGGTGTCGTCGTTCTCCTCAAGTCTCAAGAGAGCGTCTCCTTCATGGTCAACGCTTCTCTCACATACTATTATTGCGTCCGGATCCACGGACTCGAGGTCGGATTCCAGTAAGTCCCATCTGATCGCGTGTCCGTTTTTCATTCTACGCGTGCGATGCTGACGATAAGTGACCCCCCGGCCTCATCTGCTGCAGAGTCAGGATTCGAGTAGACACGCCGTGCGCTATGTCGGAGCTCGTACCCAACTTCCAGAACTATCAGCTACTCCCGGCTGCGCCTTGGAATGTGCAGACTCGTCAGGGCATCATGGTTCAGCGCTTCCGCATCCTGACACGCCACCGTTATGGCTGGTGAGTGCAGTCCCTAGACGATTCTGATGATGACTGTCCGATAGCTGACGCAACATTCGCATTATAGAACATGCTATAATAGAAGATCAAGAAGAAGAGCGTGAACCAGACCTTCCCGTTTCCGACCCACCTGTACTTTTAATTACCACCGTATGCACTCCGAATACGCTGCTGTCGTGTTTTCTATAGGCTTTGCTATCCTAGTATTCTTTGTTATACTACCACAATCGAGATGATACGTATCGTTAACAATGCTATGTTGCTCTATGTCCTCGGTGTCGGTGTGATTGTATTCGTCGCCGCTGGGCTTTGAACTGTATGATTCGAGGCACTGTCAGCGTGAGCGTCTTATTGTGAGAATGATACGCTGAAAGTAGGCATCCATTCCTGCATATACGTTCTAGCACGTCGGAGTCTCTGATCCAATGGCGTGCCTCGTCAGGCTGGATAACCAGAAATGGATGTTGTGGATGAGTGAAGGGAGAGTGCCGGCAAGCGCCGGATCCCTCCAGACGAATTTCACGCTCCAGCCACTTGAGCAGTGCCACATTTATCGAGCTCAACCACCATAGCCCTCAAGCATGCCCAAAAGCGCGAAAAAGAAGAAGGACAAGGCGGCTGATTTCTCTGTGAGTGATCGTTCTCATAGTAATTCTTTGCACAGCTCATCGGCTGTCACAACAACGACCACAGAAAGCCAAGCTCAAATTAGGCAAAGGGAAACAACAGCCTACAAATGCTATAGACACCTCTTTCAAAGCTCGATGTGAGCAAAATCTTTCATTATTTTAGAGAAGATCAGTACCCTTGAATGACTGATACTAGCCATTGCACTACCGACTCAGAGTATCGCGGTCGAAAAGGATGCGGGTGTGCCAACCACGAAAAGGCGGCTTACTTTCGAAGACCTCATCTCTCACTTGAAGCATTACAATGCCGGTACTCGAAGAGGTAGGCCTTGTTGATTGTATGAGATAATTTGTCTAACGACACGAGATATAGATGCATTGATGGGTCTACGGGAATTGTTTGAAGCACATCCTCATCTGGTCGAACCCTCCCTCACAACTCTTGTCAATGCTTGTGTCCGGATAATTGGCGACGACGTGGGCAGCCTCTCTGTCTTCCTCTTGTTTTCTGATCTCATGCCATATTTCTCAGGATGCTAGTGTGCGCAAGTCGTTGTTGTCCTTTCTCAGCTGGCTTCTGCCTCAGATACCTCCCGTCCGTCCTCTTCGCTTTCACATATCTCTGCTCCTTGACCGACAGCTAGCCATCAAATATATAGGAAAACATGATCCCACACTCTTCTGCCCTACTTCTCTTCACAACCTCAGCGCAAACCCATATTTTCCCTGAAATCCGCATAGATGCAATTCGTTTCCTCGATCTGTTCCTGGACCTCATACCGCAGATCGTCGTCGGAGGGTGGAGAGGCGGGAAGGCTGGACATGGGAAGCGGGTGCTGGGAGGATACTTGGGTATTTTGAATGCCGGGACGAAGTTTGGTGATGACGGAGGTCTGTTACTCAATTCACAGTCACTCTTTGCCGTGAAGATTAACGACTGGCGTAGACACGGGTCCTGTTCGAGCTACCTCCACTGCCAGCGTAGTTTTATCGGCTGCAGTGAGTGATCCTCTATCTTCTATCCACGGACAAAGTTTGACCCCATCTCTTTAGTCCAAGCTCGTCGTCCTGCGATCTCTTGCCAAATTCCTTCGACATGCCATCTCTCCGCAAGCTACCTCAGCTGAAGAGTATTCGTCCACCTCCGCCAAGTCCACCACACCCACGTGGTATCTGTCCTCCTCGTTCCTAAATGAAGATGCGTTTCGTTCCTTCGACTCGCTCCTCCAGCCCTCTTCCTCGTCACAAAAATCCGGAGGCTCGTCCGCGCCTGAAACGAAGGTTTGGCAATCAGAATGCGATCCCGAGACTGGAAACGAGGAGTTCGTCCAGTGCTTTGAGGCCGCAGATACTGGCGCTGGTGTGGAGTCCTTCTGGACGTTGCAGGAATTGTCGGAGGCTGTGACTTTGGAGGATGGACGTCGGGAATCTGAATCGGATTTCGATATTGTACGTATGAAATTATCAAACAAGGCCACGACACTGACAAGTCTTTGTCCGCCAGCGATTAGCACGAACCTTACATCCCACATTAATGTCTACTTTTTTGGATTGTTCGCCTGCTGTGTTTTCACCGAGCGCCTCACCGCCGGACACCGAGCTGTCCATGGTACAAGCTGTGACGGACATATATCGCACAATGCATGGCTCGCTGCTGCAGAATACCGACGTACGTACTACCGATCATCACGCATCATCGGGGACACTCATCGAGGTTATTCGTGTACTTGGTGTGGCGGTGGCGCAGATTGATACGGCCTCTGTCCACGATGACGTTAAGGCCATACTGGTCCACATGTCAGCCTACTTCCCCTTCCATCCCAGCGCTGTCATCAAGCGCAACATCAAGGTAAGCTAACTTCGTGGCTTCCCTTCCTGCTTTGCTGACCATGAGCGGTAACGCAGGTCGAACAGGCCTTCCAAGACCTGAACCTAATCTACTGCGAACTCACCGCTCTCCTGGTCCTTGCTTCCCCATCATCTGCATCATCGCAATCCGCGTCTCGCAGAAAAGCCCGTCAAATATCAGCAACATCCCATATGAACGCCACCCTTTCCCTCCAACTCTCTCATGTCAGCAACTACGTCGTCCATCTTCTCAGTGGCGAGCCTTCCAGCTCGCAGCCCAACGCTCTGTGCCGTCATATATCAACGCAGGCGTACATCGCATTGATGCCGACGATATGGTCGTTGATCAACAATCCGAGTAATGGCGTGGCGGTACCTAACGGGATTGACGAAGATGGCGATGACACAAGGAGTGTGCTCGCGGCAGTTCTCGCTCATGCGATGAAGTGCTCGAGTACATCGGCGGTGAAGAGGCCAGCGGTGGAGTTCGTGTCACGTTTGGTCTTGGTAAGGTCCTATTCTTCATGTCGTCTCATCGCGTTCACTCATCCTATCGTGCTTCAGCTGGAATCGCATCGGTATTATACCGGTATATTCAGGCTCAGTAGATACCCCGAAGGGTTCAAGCAGGCACAGGCATGGACAGAGGGTTTACCAAGGACACTGTGGGAGCTTGGTACGAGTAATCCTACTCTGACTGAGGTGCGTCGACCTTCCTTTTACCTCTTCTGGCGAGAATATTGGCTGAATTGGGCGTCAATCTGTATAGTCTATCCTACAATTCCTCCTTAGATTATTTCAACGACAATCGCCTCTTCTCACTCCTCAGGTATGTTATACGCATCTAGCTGAATCCATTCACCGGCGGAGTATCGTCTAAACGATTACTGATAATTTATCCTCCCGTTCTTTCATAGCTCACCGCCTCCCTTCAATCTCGTCTCATCCCCTACTTCGTCATCATCCACCCTACGCGCGGAGAAGTCGCAGGACCTTTCGCCAAGTGGGACAACATGGTCATCCGAAAACTCGCACTGGACGTCGTCGCGACCATGACCATCGTCAATCCCCCAATCTCACGGGCTGCAGTCAGTGAAGAAGGAACCACACAGAAATTGAGGGATGCCGTGCGGAAATGTGTGAGCAGGACTGAGCTAGAGGAGTATCGGGTCGAGATTTTTGATGGCGTAAGGTGAGGTCAGGGTGGGACTAAAAGTATGCTATGGTTTGTGTGGCTTTTAATGATCATATATTTCATGTTTTCTGCCACGTTGGATTTCCTGTCACGATTTTCATCTGCATAGGAGTTTTCGTTATTCTCCTTGCTCTTCACGCTAATAGTCACATCGTGAAAAGTACCACTGAGACGCCATATGCATATTCCTCCATGCCTGAACAGACATCTCCCTCTGTACCCCTAAACGCTTCCCCGGCCGGACGCAACGTCCCCACCACATACAATAATAACTGCCTACAAAACATGCATAGAAACAAATCGCTCACGAAGAGCAAACAAAAGGAAAAAATTGGCAAGACCACGACAGCCCAAGAGTAGTCTGAATCGAGTTTCGCGCCGCCAGTCTCTGACCATGATACATCTCGCCCCGAAGGTACGAACCATACCACAGTCCGAAACCCGCTAAGCACGAACCGCGAAGTGGACTCAAGGATGCGCCCCTCCATCGTCAAACAATCCACCTCGCCCCATCCCCCCGTAGTCCCCGCTTCTTTCGCCCACCCTCCGCTATCAATCGATCTTATTGACTTCCATGGACGGAGAGCATCTTTCCACCCTCAACCATTAATTGTGCCTTAGCAGGTACGTACGTTGAGGTACATCGAGTGGCCAACCAACGATGCGGGCGCGAATACGTATGGACATGACCGAGGAGACAGGGAAAGAATGAAAAGCGACGAAAGAGAGGCGCACCCGTTTTTCCCCGCCACGCGTTTTCAACCAAACAGCCGTGGAACGAAGGAAACCGTCCCGCGCAGCTTTTCTCTCCGCTCGCCAGACTTCAACCCAACCAGGAAGAACTTTAGACGGCATCTTAGGAAGCTACGCGGCTGTGGGGATCGCTGGTACGCCGCTCAGCTCGTTAGAACTGGATCCTGCTAGGATCGATTCCAGGGGGAAGACGAGTTATCGTCTTTTTTTTAATAAGCTCAGACCTTAGCCCGCTCACGAAGATGGATGTGCGATGACATCCCGTGTGGTGTGAGCCTCGCGGCTTTCGAGCTGTCGTGGTGGTGAAGAAGACGAGATGATGTCGAAATCGTGGTTTTTGAGCCCGCAATGTTGAAACTCCGACCATGGTGTGGCACAGCGTAACGCCACACCTAGCTCTGATGAGTGACCATAAAGGAACTTAGATAGTCGGGCTCTGCAGACGTAATGCTACTATGATATCTCTCAGTCGGTTTTATAGCACAGGATGCCGAACCTAATAATCAAACCAGGAGATCCTGCGTCACTTCACTCGACGCCCGTCTTTTTCTGTTGCCTTGCCTTTTCCCGCCGCTGCACCTACTGCGCCTTCTCTGGCCGATGTCGAGGTATGCTCTCGTGGGGGCGGAGGGGGTCCCGGGTCGTATTGTGCGTCAAAAGGAAACCAAGGTCTTCCGGAAGGATCGCCCCTAACACGCATAGTCCCCTCAGCCGCATCAAACGTAAAGCATTCCGTATCTGGAATGGGATCCATGACGTTCAGCCGGTTGACGAGCCTGTAATATATGGCAAGTGCGGATATGGCGTCGTTGGCGGCATCTACGCGGAGAACAAATAACATATGAATTGATTCGGAAAGACATCACGGAACATATGCACTTACATTCCAGTTGCAGCGAGGAGAGCGCGCGGGACCAGTCACTGCGCTGAACGCGACCCTTGGGTAGGCGACGGTCGAGATACATCTCTGTCAAACGTGCGAGACCTATGGGATTGCGATAGGGTCCTTTCCATTGCGGATCGCACGAGCGTGCGAGAGGCGATAGATCAACACAAGCATTGATAGACACTCCGTAGTCCTTCCAAAGCTTCTTGCAGTCGCCTGAATTCAATCATTATCTGAACGACATTCATACAAGAAATTACACACAATGTACACACCTTGTATACCGACACCGGCTTTGAAGACATGCGGCGACGCAAGAAAATCAAGCAGGGTTTGAGGAAAGGCTGAATGATCGTCGAGTGCATTGACATGAAAGGTATTAGTTGGAGCAAGTTGGAGCAGGACAAAGGATGCTCAAGGATATGCAGCGAGTGACAATTAGTTACCTGACATGGCACTAATTTGGACGATTAATATACTCTCTTCCGACCCAATCTGCACCACCGCGACCGGGTTCTCAGGCAATCCTTTGCTGAAATTTGGTTTCCATTCCATGTCAAAGCCGACGACAGAGTGCGGATAGCGAGTCCAGAGGCGTTGCACTTCGGCATTGGCGGTCTTGACGGAGGTAATGTAGACGACCTTTGCCTGAGGAAAGAAAGAGGACCACTTGAATAGAGGGAGATCTGGATTAGATTTTTTGTTTTCACGAGCTTCCATGAGATTGAGTATGCTGCAGTACAATCTAGAGGCAGGTTTCAAGTACTGTCGTACTGCAAGTGCAATGGTGAGGGCCGCGGTAAAGTTGCCTGATTGGTGTTTGTGTGGCGCTCGTTGCGGCTCGTGTCACACCCTAATTTTGGTCGGCGATTGGAATGACGGTGGCGCGCAATGGCACCAACCAGATTCAAAAATAGGTCGACTCCATCAAGGCTTCGCTCTTACTTCATCGAGCACTCGGGGTTCCCGGTTGCTTTAAATATGTGTACCCGTAACAGTCGTGATGAATAGTAAGTACGCTCGAGGTGTACTTGAGCTCGCTCGTTGTGAAGAGGTAGACTTTCCGACTGTTGTGGCGGAAGATATTGGGGCAAGCGAACAGCCATGCGATAAAAATGCAGTGCATGTAGGTCCGGAAACATCAGAGTAGAAATCCAGTGTGTATACTGCTTATGAAGACCAGATTCGAGCCATGCCATAGACACGTCCAATATACCCACCGACGAGTTGGGTGGAGCGGCGGAAGGGGAGAAGTCGAGATCTGTCTCAGCGCATCCCGTGCACCTGTCCGTCACGGACTCACGGTGATATCGACAGATCTGAGGTCTGCCCTCCTCTACGATAGAATAGAACATTAGTGTACTTGAATGCCTCGAGAAACATGTACATGTGCCAATGATCGATCATCCTCTTGTTGCAGACAAGGTTGTTGTCTTGCGTTCTGCCATCATAGCCGCTGAAAAACTTGAAATAATGTGAGCATGGTGAGCTCACACACTATCGCAAACAGAGATGTTTGTAAACTTTCTCAACACTTACTGGCAGCTGTTGGATAGAAGACACCACACGGTGATGCTATAGTCTTGAGTATCGGTGGAGACTCGAAAGCATACAGCAATAATCACAGAATCTGGTGCAACGAATTCCGGTCTATACACACTCTAGAATGAGAAAAAAAATGCCAGTACCCCAGGACAACAGAGAGAAACAGCATGGATAGCTTGTAGCATGTGCAAGTTTGAACATCTCCAGGGTGGCGGAGACGGCGAGATGGCCGAGAGCCTAGCATCAAGAGCAGAAAGCCAAGGTATATAGTTGATGTTTAGAAGTTGGTCGCCCTGTGCTTCTTTGTGGTGAGCTTTGGGTTTGCTTTTGTGCCATGGAATTTGGTGATGAAAGAGAGAAAGGCGGGTGCGTCTATGGGAGGAGGCAATCCATCCGACCTCACCATCAACAACCAGATATTCAAGGTTTGGCCGGCACTTGCCCTATCGGCTGTAGTCGGGAAACCGAATACGCCTGGTGCCAGGTGCGCCACACAAGCGCTACAGTAGGGCGCACCAAGTAAGACCAAGTGCTGTGAACAGGTGGCCAAAGTCTTTGGCGTGGCAGAGGTTAGACTGTGTATCTGAACCATCAATATTCCAAGGCTTTTGGAGGTTTTAGGAGCCATGAAATTTTGCTGTAAGGTCTTTGTGTCGAGAAGACCTACGGTGGCGCCAACCGCGACCATGGCTCGCACATTGTCGTGGCCATACAACACCGCTCTTACAAACTGTAATGCTTGCGCCCTTTGACCTTTGTGATGGAATGTCTTGTTTCGAAGCCGCGATGTCGGGTATCAACTCGTCCCCTTCAGGTTTGAGCTCGCGAAACCATGGCAAGACTTCTACAACATCAACTTTGATTATTTACGCCCAATAAAAAGCAATCGACAACCCAAAGAGAGGAGAAACCACACGACCAGCCTGATCAAGCCCGGACCAGGGCGCATGTGAATGTAAGAAAAAGGGCCACGCTGGATGGAATGTGAAAACGAAAGTATTCTGCTCCTCCTGGCTCGTCCTGGACGGCAACTCGCAAGCGAAGGGTCAAGTGACGAAAACGCCCACCGGGCGTCGAGGTGCAGAAGGATTAAGGTAAAAGATAAAAAGGGTGGAAAGGAAGTAAGGGGTATGGTGATTATGATGCCCAGACCCAGGTCATGCCAGAGATACGACCAACGGACTCGTCGGCGAGTTGGTCGAACGCGGAAGGGGAGAAGTCGAGATCGGTTAACGCGCATCCCGTGCACCTGTCCGTCACGGTGATATCGACGGACTTGCCTTGATCTAAGATAGAGTAGAACATCAGTGCGTGTGCTTGATTGTGATGGGGAAACACGTACATGTGGCGGTGATCTTCTTGTTGCAGACAGGGTTGTTGTTCGGGTTGGTGCCATCATAACCACTGTATAAATGAAAGAGTGAGCATTGTGGGCTCGCACACTATTGCAAATATCACAGGATGGTTGCAAGCGTTCTCGAAACTCACGGGTAGCTGTCGAACAGGAGGTACGACACGGCGGCGATATAATCGGTATCGGTGTTGGTAATTCCACTGTAAAATCGAAATTCTGTTAGCTGCAGCTCATGCATACATACAGGAGAAAGAGTATTCACCAGCTGCCCAAACCCGTGGCGTAGTAAGTTCCTAGAGACGCAGCGTCAGCCAGGACCACCGTCAGAGAGCAAAGCGACACACCTTGTCCGCTTTGGGTGCCTGTAAGGTAACTTTCGGAGGAATCCGAGGAAGAAGAGGTAGCGGCAGCAGCGGTCGATGACGTCGTGGTAACAGCCTGTTCAGTCGTCGTAGGTGTCGAAGAAGTAGTAGGGGCGGCCTCGGAAGTCCACGAGGTCGTGGTAGGGGCGGCCTCCCACGTCGAAGAGGAGGTAGTCTCAGGCACCCAGGTCGAGCTCGAGCTCCATACGGAACTGGAAGTGGTCGCGATATTGGCTGCTGCGGACACAGATACAGAGACGTCTACAGATGAGGAGGAGGCCGCGGCGGCAGAGGACGAGGACGACGACGACGAGGGGGCACGGCAGCGCTTGGCGTGGAGGTGACGTGCGATGTGCGGGCTGGAGACGGCTACGGCCGAGGAAGAGGAGAGGAAGAGCGAGACGAGTGCGGCAGTGATGAACTTCATGACTGTGAAGGGTGATTTGATTTCGGTGAGGAGGATGGGGATGGGGGTGAGTGAAAGCGAGGTGATGTGGGGGGGCGAGGAGATTATCTATTTAACGAGTGAAGGCGAGACGCGCTGTCCGAGAGTCGAGGAAAGACAGAAACAGGGTCTTTTTTACGAAACAAGGAGGGTAAGCACAAAGGAAAGTATGGAGCGTGCAAGCAGGGAGGAGGAGGCGAGGAGCAAGTGAGGGATGCAGGCACCCAGCTTTTATGTGCGCGCTTTGACTTGGCTTTGACAGTCCGCAGTGACGGGATCAGCACCCACACACGTGGCGCGCCTATTTTTGGCATCCGTTGCCTTTCGCTCCCCGCAAATTGCTCGCAGAAAATTTGTCTTCGCGCAGCGGACGCCCCTGCCCAGTGGGAAATTTTGAGCAGGAAATAGAGCAGGAAATCAATATGGATATGTTCGAAAGAGGAAATACCGGCGCAGCTCGAGCTTTCCCATCGCTAGGTAACAGGGAGGCTATGAGCTTTTGGATTCCGGGGAGCCTATGCAGAGGCAACAGCGCACGAACGCCTGTTGCGATATGATTCCCGTAAAAGCTCTGGATGCAACGACTGAGAATAGTACATCCGGCGCTCACGGAGTAGCCAAAATACACTGAAACACACATACAAAAAAATTCATACCCGATCAAGCACTCGAGCCCCCCTTCGCCGCGTACATCTTCACCAAATTCGCGCTCGCTGTCCCCTCCAGCGTCTTTGCGTACGCATCCATCTGTCCCAACAATAGCGTGCTCTCCAACCGGCTCGGCTCCGGCGGAATCTTGAACATCCTGCTCACATCGTCCTCAGGCAGTGGCACCAGCCCCTGCGCCACCCTCTGCGCGTTCTCCTCCCTCCTCTTCGCCATGAACTGCTCCGCCCGAGCTTTTTCGCGTCCGATCTGGCGCGAGAGATACGCCAGGTTGTTTTCCTCCGTCTTGAACGCGTCCATCGATTCGATCACGAGCTCCAGGTTTTTCGACGTGTTGCCCGTACCGAGGTCGAGTGTCGAGAACGTAGGCGGCAGGGCGGCGGTGGACGTTCCCAGTGGGCTGGAGGCGGACGAGGCGCGGTGAGGGGTGCTGAGCGTCCCAAGGAATGCACTCAGCAACGGGTTCGTCCGGACCGTGAGTGGGATTTCCTCGAGGATGGATGAGAAGGTAAGTTGGTGGTTGATCAACCTGAGGGGTATCATGTGTTAATCACCGTGGCCAAACTCAAAATGTAAAGAGACTGAAATGAATGAACTTACGACTGGCTGCTAAAGTTCCGCCTCTTGTACGCATCCAAGAACGCCTTTGACAGTCGGAACGCACGGAACGCAGCGTTGCCCCGTGCAGTCTGAGAGACATCTAACGTGAGAACACAAGAGAGATTAATCAACGCATGTCAGTGAGAGATACTACAGGACGATGTCCCTGAGGTTTCAGCAAGAAATAATCACCGTGAACGAGAACGACACCTCCATGCCTGAGCTTGTCTTGATGAATCGCTTGCGTATCGATCAAGGCCTGTTTGAAAAAGGCCCCCATCGTCGTGGACTGGTAGAAGCCCACAACGCTATCGTTCGCTCCCACCTCCTTCAGCGAGCGCAGCATAGACGTCTGGTATCGGCCTGTCCAACAAACCCGCAATCGTACCCAACCAGCACCCAAACCACGTCCAAACACATAGAACCATCAATCGTCAGTATGATGAAGAAAACGATGACTGAAGAGAGCTTTCAGAAGACGCACCGACGCTTTTCGCAAGCTTTTCATCGTCGTCGCTTGCAGTATGATGCGGCAGCGCGAACGAGTTCGAAATCTCGAGGACACCGTCAAGGTCTAAACCGAGCAAGAGTCCGTGCACGATCGACGAATGCGAGTCCGATGCGTGCTTGATGATTTTTGAGACGACCTAGAGCGTGATCATATGAGTATTGAAACGATACATGTTGCGTTCGTCCGAGAAGGAAGGACGAAGGAGGGTAAGGGTTCCAGTGTGTGAAGACAGAAGATAGCCGACGATGCCCTCTAATACGAGGACCCAGAAGTACCGGTAATACAATATTCGATGCAGCGAGGGCAGGCAAAATGAGATGATAGCCCATGATAGACCAGAGTCCTCATGACCCTACGAGTCAAAGATAAAAACATTAAACGTACCATTCCATCCAGCTGCACGCTACCCAACGGAATATCCCCCTCCAAATCGATCACCTTACTCATCGAGGCCGGGATGGCTTCATGCGAGGGTTGGGCTGGTGTGAGCGCCGCAGAGGGCGCAGGGAGCGATGCCGCGAGTGCGGCTGCCATTGAGGTCGCCATTTTTGTTGACTTTTTGTGTTCGGTGGGATGTGTTGTGGAAGATGTGAAGTGGGTAGTGTGAGAGGGGAATGGAGAGTGAGATCTTGAGAGGGGAGAGCAAGTATGAGGAGGAGCTCAGGATGCAAAGGAATTGATGAGGGCCCGAAAAGATTGGTGGCCACGAAATTGAATATCCCGGAACCGACACGCCACGCGCTGCGCCACACTGTCACAGGACAGAAACTCCGTCAAGATGATGGACAATTTTGCTTAATGCTCGAGTAACTTACCACTAGTCCTGTTTGGCGAAATGCTTCGATATATACTGGAAAGTGAGCTCCAGCCATGGGTTGTAATAACCTAGGCACCATTGGGGCTCAGGCTCGGGATTCAAACTCACATGCTACAAGGACTGACAATAAACAAAAAAAGCCCAACTAATTCCGTCTGACTTGAATTGCGAGAAGAATACGTCAAGGCTACAGACTACTAATACTACGTATGATACGAACAACGATGATGACAAGGAGAGTATGCATAGGGGGAGAAAATGTGAAGAAAGAGAGACGTCCGCGGAGCAACCGTATGTATTGCTGCTACCGTTAAATAGATCGAGACGAGACGACGAACGGCTGTAACTCAGGGGTCGAGACTGCGATTTGATGAATGAATGTGGAAGGTCAAGATCACGGCTCTCCTGGCGTGACCGTGCCGCTCAGAGGTGCTACGCAATAGCGAATAAGAGTAGTCAGTTAGTCGTTGTATGGCGTGTGCATGTAAGAAAGAGGTTGAACTTACGACAACATGCATTTCCTGGGTCGCAAGCCTGGTCTGGCGGGCAAGAGATCAGACAGGCAGTATCATTTGACGTCTAGACGCAGACAAGGTCGCATCAGCACGCCTATACTCACAAAACATAAACGTAAACGAAACTTACCTTCAAAAACTCCTCCGGTACGGCCCCACTGCTTGGATGATACTCCGGCTGGATGGTGCTGGAATGTATCCCATGTATATGCAAGGTCCTCCTGATTTCGACCGCCACGGGCATGAAGTCGTGGTTCCTCGATGCCATTACGTGCACAGAGGCAATGACCTTTGCCTCTGAGAGCTGCCAGATATGGAGCTCGTGAACTCCGAGGACGCCGTCGACTTTGAGGATCGCGGTGCGGACTTCTTCGAAGGAGACATCCGGAGGAACGCCTTGGAGCAGGATGAAGGATGCGCTGCGCACTGTGAGACAGGAGTGAGGAATGAGGTTCTCTGCTGACTTGTTAGAAGTAAACGAACGTACCCAAAGGCAAAGCAGACTGGAAGATGATGACCGTGATGACGAGACTGATCAACGGATCGCAGTAGAACTTAAAGGACCACTCCGTGAGCCAGATAATCAATCCCGTCGCGATGACTCCGACGTTCCCCAACGCATCGCCCAAGACATGAAGCAACAGTGCCTTCATGTTCATTGAGCCGCCATGCGAGTGGCCTCCATGCGAATGCGAATGTCCGTGGTCATGTTCATCAGACTCCCATGATTGGGATTCATCGGCAGGAAGATCAGCGGTTGGACGGATGAGTGGCGTTCTCTCGTTTACAGGTGTTGTCGAACGAGAGTGACGCTCTTCCTCTTCGTCATTGACGATGGTCTGTTGACTCGAATTGACAGCTTCTCCATTCAGGCTATCTATCGAATGACGTGCTCTCGACACGCTCGAACGTGTTCGGCGATGCTCGGGAGCGGGAGAGCTTGCTCGGACCATATCATCGGCTCTTTGAACGAGAGAAGCGCGAGTAGCGGCAGGGTGACCGTACAAAGAACTGTACGAGTCGGAACGCTCCCGATGACGGGGAATTTCGGAGGCATGAGAGCGGATTGGTGTCATTGGTGGGCGACCGTCTGTGGGCAGGTTATGGGAATGACCGTTCCCGTCGGGGGTTGGCGCGATGCTAGGTGTTTTGCTTGCCGTAGAAGATTGGTCGTGTGAGTGGCCCCCATGAGAGTGGCCGTGTTCTGATGCGTGCATGACGGGTATGTCAAAATAGTATATTAGTGTGCGTGTCGAGAAAGATGGGGATGCTGACAGACCATGGAATAAGAATAAGCCGACGATGTTGGAAGCGAGACCGAGGGATCCGACAATGACGACAAGTTTGGGGTTGGATACCTCTGTTCGGACGGCGTAAGTTACTAGATGTTAGGGATATAGAGGGTAGCAATAGTGACCTGGTGTTGAGAAGAAACGCTGGAGCGCGTCAAGTGTAATGGAGAAACAGAGGGCGAGAAGGAAGACGCCGTTGACGAGCGCAGCCAGGATTTCAGCTCGGTGCCACCCATATGAATATTGCGTATCCGGGGTGGATTGAGCAGTAAGCTAGACAAAGAGGAGTGTCAGGAATGTTTCGTGGACGGTTCTCGAAGTAATAGGGTGTGAACTGGACCTTAATAGCGTAGAGCGCGATCACGAGACTGACGACATCACTGCAAGTACAATGGCCCCGCCGTTAGTGACACGAACAAAGTCTCTGAAGAGTGAAGAGAAGCGCACTTCAGCATATGGAAACTGTCTGCGACGAGCGCAAGGGAGCCGACTGCATAGCCTGAAGCGGGAGAAAAAGTGTGTAAGCTGGAGGGATAGACAGAAATAAGTGGTACTGACCGACAAAGAGCTCAACGAAGAAGAAGCAAACATCAATCACAAGCAGCAAGGAGATGCGGGCTGTGCGAGACATGCCCAATGAGACCATCGCGAGCTGCAAGCGTCGCGGGAGAAGGAAGAGATGATGAAAGGACAGAGAAGTGAAGGTTGCTTCAAGCTTTGAGCTTTGCAGAAAGTCAATTGATGACAGATCATATGGTGTGATCAATCTTATCATTATCTGATAACGCCGCCTGACGCCACGCCACATCTGCGCCACAATCTCCCCACTTTCATCCTTCTTTTCCCCATCCCCCATCCCCCTCACACCACCCCACAAACACGCATCGGGTACATTTCTTACCACGCACTTCCTCATCATCAAGACCTCCGCAGTGACCACAGTATCCTCTGATGTTGTCGAATCACGCCCTACTACCTTCTTCCCGTTCATGGAGCTGCCCAGGCCTTCCGCGACCGTAAAGAACAGCAAAGAATCCATCTGTTTCGTTGGGGCAATTGTCAAGAAACGACCACCCTGACGCCGAATACATACGCGGCCTAATGCCTCTCCGGCTTTCCCTGCGGCCGATCTGTCGATACTTCGCATTATAAATGTCCAACGGGCCTCCTGCACCCTGTCAAATATGCCCAGGTATGCGAGACTGTCATCCAATGGGATTTAGCAGGCTTACTGGGGGCACCGGTCCTCTTCATGTCCGTGTAATTATAAGTACACGTAACACCAGATACTCGACCTGACGTCGAAACACTGTAAGTAACTAGTTATTCGGCTTGAACATCGTATGTTGTCAGATATGGAGTTGTTGAGCTTGGGGATCCCGGTGGTGGTATATAGAGTACATGTGAGGCTAGGGTTCTGGTCCGAAGAGTGGTACCGATGCTCGCTTCCGTACATACCCTTTCGTATACAAAATTCTGTTCGTACACCATCCGCGCAACGGAAAGTGACCAACATACGGTTTGGAACATCAGGACACGTGGAGAGGCTAGCACCTGGGGAATCATGATCCTCCAGGAAGACGTGTTCCACGACAACCACTCGAAGGAGATTCTCTGCACCGTTTCATGTATCAACACTTCAGAGTGAATCGTACATCGAGTTTACAAACCACCATCGAGTTTTCCCAGATCCAAAGGAGGACCGTCTCGTACAAAGTATCCCCATCGGCCCTCAGATCTCCGTCTTGAACACTGGAAAACTCGCCACAAACGTCCCACTAGACGCTAACCTCCCTGCAATCAACTTCGCCGTCGGACTATTCTTCCTATGCCTCAAATTCCCCGCCAGCCTCCTCGCCATCGAAGAACTCGGTTCGCCTAAAGGATACATCCCAGGACCCTTCAACCTCTGCTGATCTCCACCGGGGATTGGCACAGGCGTTCGCGGACCCGTAGCTGCGGTGGATGTGGAGGTATTGAGGTTAGCAAGGGAAGGGGAGATTGTAGAAGCATTCGTAGTGATGGCGAGTGCTCGTTCGAGGTATAGGGCGCTCATGACGGACGAAGCCACGATGCCTGCTAATAGCTCCCCGAGCATCGAATGTGTTGCGGTGTTCACCTTGGCTTGCTGGTCGACGTTGTCCATCAACGACGGGAGGACATTGTGCAAGAATATTGGGAGTAGTGACCATCCTCCCCCTACTCCTCCCATTCCGCCTAGTCCTATTCCGGCGGCTGGAGTGAATGGCGTAGTGAGGACGTATACTGCCAGTCTTCGATGAGAATCCATATCCAACGTCAACGTGTGCGATCCACTCAAACAGTCCCATAACGTGAGCAGGAACTTGGTCGGGGTCGTACACAGCAGAATGTTTTGGATTGAGAGGCCGAAGACTGCATTTGGTGGGACGGGCATGGAGACGAGTGGGGGAAGAGACGGTGTTTTAGATGGAAGGGACATGGTTGCTGTGCGGGTGGGAACGGAGGAGAGGAACTGAGTTAAAGTGTCACGAGGGGTGTCGGGCCAGGAGCTGGTGGAGGTCATGGCGTTTTGGGCGGCTTTGTAGAGCAAATAAGAGATCAGAGTGAGTACGAGAAAGAAGAGTCGGTAGGAGTGAAGAATAAGGAACATACGGGGCACCGGTAGACCTGTCACCTGGTATATTCGCGCACGTATTTCGGCGACGTTTTCCGGAGAGGCAGGTTTATATCGCTGTAAGTTTTGGTCTGAGAGCAGACGCAGTATACTGTGACTGCAGAGGCAGATGACAGGTCGGGGACATGTTGAGGAGAGCAACAGCGTGCGGAGGACATTGAGGTGATGCGGAGACTGGAACCTGTACAAATATGCACGCTTCAGTCCGGAAATTTGGCTTGGGACAGATCAAGACAACATTTGTGAAAGAGAGACTCACCTAGTGAGCTGGATCTCTTTCAGTATGGCCTTTATGATGCCGACCAGGGTCCAGTTGAGTAAAGGGCCCAAGAAGTACGAGATTCCATTGTTGAGGACATCTGCGTCTATCTTCCCCTGTGCACAAGCACTGATCGCGTCCAAACACTGCGTTGCGGCCATGTTCAGCAGAACCTTCGGCCTCGTCGATCTTCATTTCCAACCACGTTTAGGAACGCAGTGTTTTGGACTTTGTACAAAAGAACGTACCGAAGTATGCCATCATCAATTCCCTCGCTACCGTTATCGAAAAGTGCCTTGGACCACGACTGGAATACCGGAAGCTGATCTTCTGTTCGTTGAACTGAGTCGGTTGTGCGGAGGAAGTTGGGGTCTAGGACACGATCGCCAACCGTCAAGCGATGGGTGACGAGCTGTTCCAGACATAAGTCGATATGTACATGGTGAGTAAGGGAGATGCCGAAGATGATAAAGCGAGCTCACACGGTACTTCGTTGCTGTCCACTGTAAAAAGAGAACAACATCGCCGAGCTGTGTCACGGCAGTCTGGGGATCGCCTTTTTACAAGATGTGTCAGTACGGGGTATGACCTGAGACTGGGCAAGGAGATACCACGACAACGTACCGACGACTTCACAATCATAGTCCTCGATGAAGACCAGTGCGTGTGCAATGAGGTCGCTAATTGACGTATGCAGTGAGACAATGTCAAGAGCAGGTTGATTAGTATATAGAATCTTGGCCAGGTGGCTCAACGATTCTGCGTCAAAGCTTGCAGCCAAGGATTCAAATCGCTGTACGACCAATGCTACGGGGTCAGTTGGCGGAGCATGATTATTGCTCGGAGACGTACCGCTCTGACTGTCTCAGTGAAGATTGAGTGTGAGCTGTAATCCTTATAAACCTTCTCCAGGAATATAGCAGCCTCCTCGATGCTAGTATCCGTCGATATCTTTGTCGTTATGAATGACTATAGGTGATTTCAGTTTCGTGGCATTCAGAAATACGTAGTACAATGTCTTACCTCCAAGTCCTGCCCAGCATCTTCAGCTTCTGCTTGTAGACGAACAAGAGTTCCGTTTGGGTCCACTCTGGAGACGAATGCTTGGTCCACTAGTCCGAGCACCTGTAGTTGTTGAGTGAACTCTCGAGCGAAAGAAGGACCACTGCAGACAAATAACGATCAGTAGCTGCATTATTATTTCGGAACAACGTACTTACGAGGAGTTCAAGCTCTCAGCGTTCGTAAGCACATTCATGTCCGTAGATGTAGCCATCATCTGGTCGTACTGCAGGAGCACAGGCGGCTTATTCTGCGGAGCGCAGATGGTCCCCCACGCGTCTCGTATGGCTGAATCCAGATTGGTTGCGCTTTCTGCTTCGACAGTCTTTGCGAAAGAGAGTAGAAGACGAGGTAGCTTCATTGTTTTAAAATGTCAGGAGACGACCAAAGGCTGTGAGGAAGTCATACATACCCGCCCGAGGATGAAAGCTCGCCACATTGAGTCAATTTTTGGATTGGATTGCCAGTCTTGTACAAGACAGCTTATTGCTGAGAGAAGAAGTCGAGTGTAGAACTTGGGGAGGGGCCATCCTAAGGACCGATATAGAGTGGCTAGGAGAGCGGTGGCATGAGAATCGTTTCCTGATCCGAAATCACTAGCTCTATTCAACACCTAATAGAGAATATATAATTCAAAACAAAAATACAAGCAGAAGGTGACTCGTGGCGTACCAGGTGAGAGAGTAGCAGGCAGCATGAAACGGTGTCCGTTTCTGATCCCGTGCCAAGGATGTCGCCCTTCCCCAAGGATGACTGCGTGTTCTGCAGCATTTGTACTTCGCGCACAGTCGAGTTATCGCCCTCTGTTCTGTGACCAATTGAGATGGTGAATCCCTCTATAACGTTTCGAATATTATGCGTCAAGGAATATATCGTCTGCAGCACCTCTCTAGCCTCCTCTCTGCTTGCCATAGCCTGGGCGGATGAGCAAGTAGAGATATCGTGTAATGTAACGGAGTTCAAAAGAAGCATAACAAGATTCTCCACGGATGCAAATAGTCTGTGGAAATGTGGTATTGGAAGTTGATAGGTCATCTTGAGCAGAACGAGGGCGTCGCGAATTGTGGCAAGCAAGGCGTCGGAAGATGTGGCAAACGCGGTTAACTGGTTCGGTGAAGACGGTCCTCCCGAGGAGAAATGAGCCTCCATTGCTATTCTGCAAAGCACGTCCAATGTCGAAGGTTCGTGCAAATCAGGAGACCTTGCTGCCTGCAGAAAAGTCGTCATGAAAGTCGAGAGCGACACGAGGCCATCTTGGATGGCGGATGTAAGGTACGCCTGTAGCGTTGGGTGTCCAGGATATGAGCTAAACAGAATGAGTACCGAGTCTGTGATAGCGCTTGAGTACATGTACATTGCTTGAGATACATATGCAGTGCACTGACTACTGACGGCAGTTTCGGTATCATCCAGCGAGTGATTTGGGTTCTTCGTGAGGAATAGCCTACAGAGTTTGAGCCACTATTTTGTATTAGAGGTGAATATACAAAAGAAACAGCTTCAATTCACTTTGGTCGATGATACGCCTCCTTGAAAAGAGTTCCTGGTAAGGTCAGAGAGTGACATGACCCGTCGCCACTTCAAGAAGTTGCCTAGAGCGGTGTCTTGATGTGGTTGAAGCTCAAGAAGCTGAAGATGCACACGTTCCAATAGAGCGCAGAGATACGGGTCTAGATATGTATGCTAAGGGAGAGAGCAGATGAAGCACAGCAAGATTCTGACTGCTTTAGAAGGTGAATGTTGGGACACGTCCGAGTCGAACAACAAATCGGCCTGTTTAGTGCCACCGGGAATAAGCGGGGAACAGCAGCTTGGCGAGTACTTACAGTTCCCACGGTTGCGATGGGCGAATCACAGGAATCTCGTCCCACATTCAACCAATCGTTGACGGTAGCCTTGAAAAATGGATGACTCGACTGAGGAAGATACCTATATATCTGCCTTCGCTAAGGCACGCATTGCTGACAATCTTGTTCTCCCCATCTCTCTTACTATCACTGTCTTGTCCAGTAGCGACCTCAGGTTTTGCACTGACTAGGGATGAACGCTGCGAACTATCCTCTTGGTAATCCGGTTCCGTTTATCGAACATGCTATCTCAGTTTCTCTGCCAAGATGGCAGGATGTTGTGGGGTACGAAGAAAACTCTTCAGAGGTCGTTGACAAGATGCAGACTGGGTATCCTCGCTTCTTCATTCATAAGAGTATCGAGAAGGTCAGTTCGGGCCCAATTTTAACATATCCCATATCTGCAAACTTGAAAGCTGACAATGGACCGAACTTGCGCACTATGTAGCTCGCCGCTATCATTGAGCATAAATCTGGCGCCACTACGGAACGCGCTATGCTGTTTCCTTCTTTCGCAGTGGCCGAAGCATGTCGGGCCTATCTCGCAATACGCTCTGTTTCCGCTCACATCGTTCCCCAAACACCGCTCCCTTCGCCTACTTCCATGACCACGCACGTTTTCACCGTATTATTTCCTCGGGACTCCTTTCCTGTAGCGAAACTGTTTTGGCAGCATACAGGGCTAGGTATCTCCAGCCGTTTTGCAGAACATTATCTTCGTATCCTGCCGTCCTCTCCGGTATCGAGCAAATCACTCCAATCGCGCGGGCTCAAAGCGGTGACAGGGAACAAGCACTATGGCTCGAAACCGACACGGTCTCATGTGGCACTGTCAATTGCTTCCCCGTCGCTAACAAATGCACACGAACCCCCTACGCAGTCGGCCTACGAAGAGGACTTTGGCAGAGATCAGGCAGTGTTTTTCGAAGAACGTTACGGGCGCAACTTAGATCTCTCCTCTGCAGCTCATGCGAAAATTGCCCTACGCCGGCGCATCGCTGGAATGCTCGTAGCTGGCGAGGAGTCTGGTGAAGACGATGAAGTAGAGATCGCCAATGGACAAGACATGCGGGGAGCTCCTGTTACGGATGACGATGTGTATCTGTACCCTACGGGCATGTCGGCAATATGGTCCTCGCATCAACTTGCCTTGCAGACTCTCGGCGAGAGGAAAAGCGTTTGCTTTGGGTTAGTCAACTTTGGGCTTTCTGCATGATGTTCTGGTATTGACCAAGTCTCAAGATTTCCTTACGGCGATACATTGAAAGTTTTGGAGAAATGGGGGCCAGGCGTCTACCACTTGGGCCATGGCACCGACGCCTCTATCGATGAGCTCGAAACGATTCTATCCAGGCAATTCTCTCTTGATCCATCGAAGCCTCCGGTCCTCGCACTCTTTACCGAATTCCCCTCAAACCCTCTATTACGGTCGGCAAACCTGCCGAGGCTCCGCAAGCTCGCCGACAAGTACGACTTTCTGCTTGTCATTGACGACACACTGGGGAACTTCATGAACGTGAAAGTTCTACCTTTCGCCGACATTGTCGTGACCAGTCTCGCAAAGCTTTTTAGCGGCGACGCGAATGTTATGGGAGGAAGGTGGGCTCCCGCAACTTCTCGTTACAGTCTTCGCCTGTCAGACTCAACGACACATTTTATTGTTTAGCTTGGTCTTGAACCCCTCGAGAAGGCATTACATCGCATTGAAAGCGCAGCTGAAAAGCTCCTATGAAGACACCTACTTTGACGAAGACGCCATATTCATGGAGCGAAACTCGAGGAACTTCGCTAAAAGAGTCCCGCTCGTTGATGATAATGCTGCTGCCGTCTGCGAGTACCTCCATTCTACGGTCTCCAGCACTTCTGTAATCACCGAAGTGTACTATCCGAAGTACATGACACCGTCCAACTACGATGCCTGTCGCGTCAGACCGTCAGCCGGGTACGGTGGATTATTCTCCGTGGCCTTCGCTTCTTTGCATGCGTCTCGGGCCTTCTTCGACAATCTCCAATGTTACAAAGGTCCATCGTTAGGGACCAACTTCACTCTTGCCTGTGAGCCTTATTTTACCTTGTCGTCGTTCACGTCGCTGACAAATAGGAATTGTGTTTAGGTCCGTTCACTATCCTCGTCCACTACGCTGAATTGGACTGGGCTGCCTCTTGGGGTGTTCCAGAGGGTCTGGTGAGGGTCAGTGTAGGACTGGAAGATAGGGACCACCTGATGCAGATCTTCCGCGACGCTCTGGAGGCTGCAGAGCAGGCCCAACGCGAACATCTGCTTTTGTCCGCCACCGCCACTTAAACGTGGCAACGTGAGGTGAGGATGGTCTAGTTCGTGGTATTGCTGATTAGTGCTAATGATCAATACAGCCAGTGAATACGACAGCCTGACCATCCAACTGGTGCAGAGCTTTGAGCAAGAAACGTTCATCCAACTGAACACCATTGTCCATCCAACCGGATCATGACATTGCTGTTCATCCAACTGAACACGGTTTGGCTGACCCTCCCATCACCAGAGGGGACGCATTACCCATCCAACTGGGACAATGCAAGCCTGTTCATCCAACTGAACGTCTTCGTGCATCGTATGTGGCCCAGATGTGGCGGGTCACCGGTCCATCCAACTGGTCCTGTTTTTGGCAGCAACCTAGGGGATGATAAGCAGAGAATATTTTATGGGATATAGCACGCTGTGTTGTGCATGGAAGTATGGTGGTGCGAGTGCATTCGTTTGCCAACATAACTGTCTACGTCGAAGTCTTTCTTGTGGTAGTGAATAACAGTACGAAAAAGAAACCCTTCATTTTTCCTTCGAGACCTTCAAGCGAACGTGATACGAGGCCCCACTCTACAACACAGCCTTGATCGCACCATAGAAACTTTTCAGTTCCTTCACCGACGAAGGACCCCCACGAAGCAACTCCTTGCCCTTGACCGCATATTTGTACCCCACGCAGACCGGACATGGTATATCCCCCAAACAGCTGCCAAACAAACTGCTCCACCTGCACGTCCGAAACACAGATATTCAGCACAAGGCCTGAAGTCTGGAAGGTCGGGATAACTTACCGTCGACTAACGCCACCACAACCCGGACAAATAAACCGATTACCGCGACACTCAGGACACTCGTAATTCTTCCTAACGATGCCGCCCGTACACGGGACGATCGTCTGCCTGCATTTCTCGACAGAAACCCAGGTAATAATAGTATCCCGACTCTTGTCCCGGTTGGCCCACTCGTCTTCCCAGTCGTCGTCGTCGTGGACGATCTCCACCTCGACACACGATACTTCCATATCAAGGGCTTCATACGATTCGTCCGGTCGCAGAATGACGGGACTGTAGACGAGCATGTTGAAGCATTCACCTTCTTCTTCGTGGGGGCCGAGCTCGAGCTCACGGATGACGAACGGGCCAAGGTCTCTGCGTATCCATGGCACTTTCAAGTTGGCGCCACTCGACTCGAACTCCTCTTCGTCCTTCAAGCAGAGAACGACTTCTTTGTCCCGGCAGTCGCGGAGGATGTCAAGAAAGAGCTCACGACGGAGGAGATCGTTGAAGTGTCGGCAGACGAGAGCCAGGTTCTTCCGGTCGGAGAGGGGCAGGAAGCTCGAGATATGGAGTTGGAGTTCGGGGGGCATGTCGCAAAGTGATTTCTTCGGTGTAGAGCGTCGATTTTGACCCTGACGCCGGGGTTTCCTTTGCTGTTTCTTGGACTTGGCCATGGTTGTTGTGGCCGACAGTGATAGTTGAGGCGAGTGGGAGAAATACGAGGAAGAGGTGGTCAGAAAGGTTAGCGGCAGAGGAGCTTTATATATGCGCGCCACCGTCGTTATTGCCCCTTTGTTTAAGACCCAGAAGTCGAACAAAGGACATATACCAAACTTGGTCTTTGTCTCCCTTTGCTCTGGACCAGGAGCGTGGCTCCGACTCATCCAGCCAGGTAAGTTATCAAGCAAATGAATCAGATTGTGGTGGTATATGATCCAACAAAATAGAATATTGTCCATAGCATGCAGATGAACGCGGATACGATATGATATGATGTGCGAAAGACGACAGAAACAAAGAATAAGATAGATGAATAGGGAAATGTACCATCAGACTTTGGCTATCAGCCGACGAGTCTCCTGGGGCGTGAAATGCAAGATGATAGAAAGCACCCGGACCAGATTTGGCTATGATCCAAAAGGTCAGTCAGTACGGGTTCATGCTCAGGCTCTGGGAGAATAAGCCGCTCACCCTCATTTCCTTGTGCTCCAGGAACTGCAAGATCACGTTCCTCAAATACTCAAGATTGACCTCTTCCTCGTTCGCAGTCGATGGCGACGGCGATCCGACCCTCGGCGACCCATTCCGTGATGGCACAGACGAAGATACAGGCGAAGCTGGTCGAGGACTCTCCACTGGGGGCTCTGCTCGCGGGGAGCTCCAGTAGCCTACACCCGGGTTTCGCTGGCGCTCTAGGAGTGCGGCGGAAGATTGGACTTTGCGTAACTCGTCTCGCAATGTCTGGGGAGAACGGTTAGTTTTGATGAGGAGGAAAGGAAGGATAGAGGAGAAGATGTGGCGTACTTTGTTGTGCGCCCGCGCTTGAGATTCACGGACTTTGACTTCCTCCAGGTGTTGCTCAAGCACCTTGATTTTCGCATTGAGCTCCGCCTGTATCTGCTTCGCAGAATTCTACAACCGACGCATCAGCACTTGCTCCACCACCTCTTCAACTCTTCCAAACGCAAAATAAAAACACCCACCTCAACATCAACCAACTGCTCCGCCTTCGCCTGCCACTGCTCCACCAGCCCCCTCTGCCCCTTCACCTCCTCCCTCAACTTTTCAATCTCCGCCCTCAACCCCTCCACTACATCCTCCTCGCTCTGCCTCGTCCTCGCCGACGAATCGACCGCCGCCCTCAACCTCTCCACCTCCCTCGCCCTTGCGTCCAGCTTCCGACTCCACTCCACCTCCACCTCGTCCCTCTCCGCCTCCACGCCCGCCAACTGCCTCCTCAGCTCCGCAATCTTCGCCTCGTACTTCGCCTCTGCAGACGACAGCAGGCGCGCGACATCTTCCGCCGAGCTCGACGCCAACGATGACCCACGCGCAACTTCCTTCGACTCCTGGTCCCGACGGAACTCGGACAGTTCTTCACTTGCGAGTGAGAGACGGTCATTCGTCTCGCGCAGCTGGTATTGCAGTTCGGTGGCTTGGGATTGGAGGACTTCGAGGTGGGATTGTGAGGATTCGAGTTCGGCTTGGCGGAGTTGGAGTTGGTCGAAGATGCTGTCTTTTTCGGCTGAGAGGACTTGGACGGATGATTCGAGGGTCGAGATTTGCGCGATCTTGGTTGACAGAGTTTGTTCGTACGACGACTGTTACGGATGGCTCAGGTCAGTTGATACATACATATATATATGGACGGTTATCACGTCTTCGAAAGAAACGAAAGACAGACCTTGGAAGTGATGGCCTCTAGCTCAAAATGCGACCTCAGCGCCGCCATATCCCTCTCCGCCTTCTCTTTCACGCCCATCATCTCCCTCTCCGCCTCCCTCCTCACCTGCGCCACCGCACTCTCCTTCTCCCCTCTCGCCCTCTCCACCTCCGCCCCCAACCTCGCCCTCTCCGCCCCCTCCCTCTCCCTCTCCACCTTCTCCCTCTCCCTTAGCTCCCTCGACTCTCTAACCGCCTCGTCCCGCTCCTTCTCCGTCTTCAAGGACTTCTGCCTCACAGTCTTCAACAAACTCATCGCCTTCGTCCTCTTCTCCTCCTCATCCTTCAGCGCCGCCTTCGTCTTCTCGAGCTCCGCCTGCAGGGTGCTAATCTCGGATTTTTGTGCGAGCGATGCGGATTCGAGCGAGGTGGAGGAGGAGGTGGAGGCGGCGAGGAGCGCTTCGGCTTCGGAGAGCTGTTTGCGGAGGAGGTCGATTTGGGCGGATTGGGAGTGCGATTCGAGGCGGTGGGTTTCGCGGAGTTCGTCGATGCGTTCTTCTTGGCCTGTGTGTACGTGTATGTGTGTGCAGAAAATGGGGGGTTTGTGAGTTTTTTGTCGTTCGTGATACTTACTGCGGTGTTGACGTACGGATGAGTTTGCCATTCAGACGTTTGATTTCGTCCTGGGACATCTAAAATGGAGTTTAAGTCAGCGGAATGACGATGCGAGGCTGAGCGGCTGAGCAGAAGAACGGAATGGAATGTGCGCAGAACTGACTTCGACTTTCAGCGTGAAATTGGTTAAAAACTCGCGGAGGCCTTCCGCATCCTGAACGCTCTGCACAGGCGTAAGCTCCTGCACGACCTTATCCGCCGCCAATTTTTCAGACTGAAGCCTCTTGAAAGACGTGGACACATCTAGAACCAAGCCTTGAGAAAGCGTTAAACTGGGATAGGAGGGCAAAAAACGTACCGGAGAACCGTTGTTCGACGAGCTTGAGCCGTTCGCGTAAGGTTTCGACGTCGGATTCGCTGGGACTTGAGGAATTGGCGATAGGTACTTCTTGTTGCTCAGTGTTGAGAGCCTCGTTCGTCTCTTCTGCTTTCTCCTCTTCCTTCGGTTCGTCCTGTGAAGTAGGCTCGACAGCCGACAAAGCTTCACCCGTCGTGGTGACCTCTTCCGTCTGAGCCGGAACCTCTACCTCTTCCGTCTGAGCCGGAACCTCTACCTCTTCCTCCAGTTTCTTCCCCTCCTCGACACTAGTTTCTGCGCCATCTCCAGGGGACGAAACCTGCTCCTCGGAAGGCGGCGCAGACGCTCCCAACTCTTTACCCTCGTCTCCGACAGCCCCATCCGGCGAACTTGGCAACTCAACATCGACTCCAAGATGTTTATCCTCCACCACAGGTACCGGTATCGGTATCTCAATAGCGCTCGGCGGCTGCGAAGTCACAACCGACGAGACTCCATCCGTGTTCAAAGCGTGAATAGAGAGTTGTTCCTGTTCTTGTGGTGGCTGTGGCTGTGGCGGTTGTGGTTGCTGTTGCTGTTCGGGCTGAGGTAGAGGTAGAGGTGGCGACATCGGTAATGGGATGGATGAAGCGAAAGCGGGGACGGTGGGTGAGAGTGGATGGTCGATGACTGGGACTGGGACTGCGGTGGTGGTGGTGTTGGTGGTGGATACGCGGGGGGTATGGCTCATCGAGGGTGTACGTGGACTCGGGTGTGCGATGGCGTTCGTGGTCGGGTTCGCGGCCATGCTCGTGGTCGTGGATGGGCTCGCGTTTGTGTTTGTGGTTGCGCTCACAACAGAATCTCCAGAACCACTAGAGCTAACAGGGCCATGATTCGCAGTAACAGCAGTAACAGCAGCAGCAGACGAAGACGAAGAGTGGCCAGCCCTCGCAGCAGCCGCAGCCCTCAACCGATCCTCCAATCTCCCCTTCGGTCTATCCACAGACGCAGACGACGCATGTCCATGTCCAGGCGCAGGGCTCCCCGAGCGCGCGGTTCCATTTCCTGTTCCATCGACGGAGGGAGCGGGGGAAGAGGTTCGGGGTATAGTGTTAGTTTCTTGGGAGGCGGAGGGGCGGTGGACGGGCTGTGCGAGGCCTTCGACTACGTTGCGGAATTGGGAGAACATCACGGATTGTCTCGCCCGTGTGGGGTTGGGCGGAGAGTGCGCTGGCGGGGCGCCTTGCGACGGTTGGGAGAAGCGAAGGCAGGGTTTGGGTGAAGTTAAGGACTTGTTACCTTGCTTGAAGGTCCTTCCTACCCCCGTAATTCCTCAGAATCGTCCCGGAAATAAACAAGGACAAACAGCGGACTTATTATGTGGCACCAGTGTGTGGCGTCGCAGAGGGTCTGACCGCTACCTTCACTGCGGCCAGACGTGACTGCAGCGATTCAAATGCAGACGTTGATGTTCTGAACTGGGTTGTCGATAATTAACGGCAGCAGTTTAAATATAGGGCTTTGCGACTCGCGGTGCCAGCACAAAATGACGGGGCCTCCACATAAAAGTGCTATACTTGCTCTATCATATAGCAGGGAACCTTTCTATGTGCTGTGAGCATCGTGTTCAAATAACATTGACCGTAATCACGAATCAGTCTCGCGCTAGACGGATAACTTGCCGTCGGATGCAATGAGGGCCCATACCGTTCGCTGCCTTGACATTTGGGTTCATCGGCCTCTGCTTTGCCTTGGAAGAATCTCGAGTCAACTTGACTGGATCGCAGAATGTTGACAATGACTGGGGCCGCCGGGCACGGCGTAAGCACTCCCAATCCCGTTCAAAAACATGTGGTATAGAGCAGACCAGAAGTGCTTGTGCAAGTGATTTACCACAGACTGGTAACCACTCTCTATAGCAGGGTATGTGACGGCTGCGCGAGTACAATGTATTTACCAAGCAAGGTGGCTGCTGCCGAAGGTAGCGCTCCCCCAGTTTCGAGGTAAACGCTGGTAAACGCCGCAGCTTGGCCACGTTCACGTGACGCATTCGGTTCTTGGGCATTCTGAATTCACTGAACAGCGAACAACTTTGGATGGATGAACAAATAGTATTTCAAACGGTGAGACAGGGGTGGTATAATATAGCCAGAGAGATGAGTAATTAGTGTTACAGCGACTGTCAACTACGAACTCCCCTCAGCATCCGGGGCCACATCGACCTCCTTGCCCTTTCCGTTAGGCAACGGTGAGGAGGATGAAGGCGGTAATGAGAACAGGGGGGCAGAGCTAGAAGACGGTGGTGGTGTAAGGCCAGAAGAAGAAGGACCCAGCTGCCATGCGGGTATCGAAGGTCGTGCAGGGATCTTGGGCAACGGAGAGGCGGGTGCGCCACCGACAGAAGGACCACGACTGAGCAGAAGCGCTTTCAGCGACTTGAGCTCTTGTTGGAGTTCCGCTAATGACTGGTTCTGGCTCTCCTTGTTTTTCTCGATCATCTGGAAGACACCGTGTATATTAATACAGGGCAAAAACGTCGATGTTTGTGAGGGTGCGACATACCTTGGGGAGCATATCCCGAATATTGTTCACCTCTTCTCTGATCTCGCGCATTTCGTCCCTCGTCTTCACTTCGCCCTCACGCATCTCCTTCACCGCGTCCTCGACATCAGCCACAGTCCTGTCCACCTTCGCGCCCTGTTCCTCGACCGCCACCTTGACCGCGGCGGTGTCCGCCTGTATTTCTTTCAGCAGGGCTTCGGCGGCATCGAATTGGGCAGTGAGCGCGTCCCGGTCTTCTTCATATGCGGTAGAGGTCGGTGGCCGGAGGTGCGGCAGGAGATATTTCTTTCACGTGAAAACGGTAAGAGGGGCTGGGGCCACAGGAAATAGTCAAAGAAACACACCCTGGCGAGAGCAATAGCACCATATGCAACAGAGCCAGAGATTACGGCTGTAATCTTAACGGTTTACGAAGTAAGAGGAATGTGTGAGCATTAGAGGGAGGAAGAAGGACGGACGAAGTAGTCCCGCCAGTCCCACTGTTGCGCGATCGGGGCCACAGCAGACGCGTACGGCGAGGGACCATAGTAAGAATTGAACGGCTGCTGATACGAAGGGCCTGCTGGTGCTGAACCATTCTGTGTGGTAGCAGCAGCCTGCCTCAGAGCATCCTCGATTTCTGCGCTGTTCAGCCCCTTTGCTTCGAGGAACTGCACTTTCTGAGCGAGGGGTGACCCTTGGGTCTACGGTCGCAACCAAAATACGGTTCAACATCCTTTGATGCGATAAACAGCGAGAGAACACGAACCTTTGGGTCGGCGAGAAAGGCGACGGCATTCTGGATGAGCTCGAGCCTTGAGTGTGGGGTAGTGGACTGCATGAGAGTGTTGACCCTAACCCGAGGCGGGTCTAAGCCCGGGACGGCCCTCGAGATTTTCCGTTTCGCATTCGCTGGCCAGCCAGTTTGCTTTCCTCCTTGCCTCCATCCACCATGTTCCGGTCACACCTCGTGCAGCCTGGGGCTGTCGCCCGCAGGCTGTATTCCTCATCAGGTCCGTCTTCATACGTTCATATCAACCTTCGACGCGACTGACGCGTTTTTGTTTGTCGTTTGCATTCGATGTAGCCGTCTCGAAAGCGCTTGCCAGCCCGTGCGCCCGCGTCGCTTCCCGAAACACTTCGTTGCTTCAGGCTGCATCGTCCTCGAAACACGCCCTTCGCTGGGGTGCGTAACTTTCGCATTTCGTGCTGAGCTATGTAGTTGAATAGAGACGTATTATGTAGCGCCTGTTCGAGGCTACGCCGAGCTGTTCTCCCGCGCCAAGCCGCACATGAACATCGGTACCATCGGTATGTACCTTCTCAACCCTCACAATTTACAACTTATTCATACTATCTTCCTTCGGCGAACAGGCCACGTCGACCACGGCAAGACGACCCTGACCGCCGCCATCACCAAAGTACTCTCCCTGACTGGAGGTGCGAAGTTCACGGACTACTCCCAAATCGACAGAGCCCCGGAAGAAAAGGCTCGTGGTATCACCATCAACTCTGCGCACGTAGAATACGAAACGGACTCGCGGCACTATGGACACATCGACTGTCCCGGTCACGCTGATTGTGAGCACCAGCTTTCACCTTTGCTTTACTCCTTTGCACCCCCCCCCCCCTCTCCCCCCGATTGCGTCACACTCACTGACACGGGATTTACCCACACAGATATCAAGAACATGATCACTGGTGCGGCTCAAATGGACGGTGCCATCATCGTCGTCTCCGCCACGGACGGTCAAATGCCGCAAACTCGTGAACATCTCCTCCTCGCCCGTCAGGTCGGCATCAAGAAGCTCGTCGTCTTCATCAACAAGGTCGACCAGATCTCAGACCCGGAAATGCTCGAGCTCGTCGATATGGAGATGCGCGACTTGCTCGGGACGTACAACTTCGACGGAGAAGGCACGCCGATCGTCATGGGCTCTGCGCTCGCTGCCCTCGACGGACGCGACCCCGAAATTGGCGAGAAGAAGATCTTGGAGTTGGTCAAGGCTTGTGATGAATGGCTTGAGCTCCCCCCTCGTATGTTCCCCTCCGTACCGTACCGTGTTTGCCGGACAGCGCTTAAGCGAGTGTTTCCTTCTCCCAGGTGACCTTGAGAAGCCCTTCCTCATGCCCGTTGAAGGTATGTTGCTTCATAACTTTTGCTGAAGGGAACCGGTTTCAAATACAGTGAACAGACGTTTTCTCTATCTCCGGACGTGGTACCGTCGCGACTGGCCGTGTCGAGCGTGGTGTCGCCACCAAGGGTGCTGAAGTCGAGATCGTCGGTCTCGGTGCTCAGTTCAAGACGACTCTTACCGGTATCGGTGAGTATCATTAGTCTTGATTAAGCCCCTCTTCAGCCACTGATAGCGCTTTCAGAGATGTTCCACAAGGAGTTGGACAGGGTGAGCTGATTTTTTACGAGTCAATCGTGCCGATATGATGGCTGACATTTGTGCAGGGTCAAGCTGGCGACAACATGGGTGCTCTCCTCCGTGGTGTCAAGCGTGAGCAGATCCACCGTGGAATGGTCATCATCGCTCCTGGCTCCATGAAGCCCGTCACCAAATTCCAGGCTCAGATCTACGTGAGTACGGTCCCTCTGCTTCACAGCGTCACATACTGAACATCGTTTATATACATACAGGTCCTCACCAAGGATGAAGGTGGACGTTATACTCCTTTCGTCCAGAACTACCGTCCCCAGCTCTTCCTCCGTACCGCCGATGTCACCGTCGGTCTCACATGGCCAGAGGAGACCGCCGATGCTGACGAGAAGATGGTACGTCCTCGACGACGATAGTTCCATATTCGCGTTCTCGTTCTTGGTGGCTCATTCTGCGTTCGATACAGGTCATGCCCGGTGATAACGTCGAGATGGTCTGCAGTCTCGTGCACGAAGTCGCCGCTGAGGTCGGATCCCGCTTCACTCTCCGTGAAGGCGGCAAGACCAGTACGTCACCCTTCCACCCTATCCTCCTTTCACCGCACGCACAACTGACCGTTCACTCGATAATGTAGTCGGTACCGGTATCGTGACCAAAATTCTCTCATAAAGAGGCTCTGCTTGAGCTCAGCAGCTCATCAGTCTCCGCTTCCTACGGACAGACCACCCTAATTAGACGGTTCAGGTTCAAATAGTCTTGACTACTTACCACAAAGCATATCCATATCCATATCCCATGCATATGGCATTGGTTGTTTGCTCTGTCATCCCCGCCTCTTAGAATCTCCCACTGCCCGAGATCTAGCTACCTACCTACCATCGTCACCGTCAATATCATTCGCATTTTCTCTTTGCTGCTTCTTTTCTTTTTTCGTCTGATGATGATGAGCCGTCGACTTTTACTTTCTTGTTTTCTCTTTCATGTATAGTACCACCCCACATAACATAACATAACCTCCTCCAGCTCAATCAGCTCAGTCAGTCACCGTGACAATCTTTATGCATCTTTTGCCTATGCCATTTGGAGAGGCCGGTGGATGATTCAGTGGCTGAGATGGAGAGGGAAGAGACAAGTCGTAATCTTCGTTGCATGGTCAAAATATATATATGCTCAAGAAACGCCGTGGATTGTGTTTCGGGGAAGCTACTGCAATCCCGATGTTGTTTGGGTGTGGTGTGAGTGCTTATGTTCACAAATGAGCGCACGACTTCCTGCGCCAATAATCCGTGCACATGTGCAAACAATGTGCGAGCGATGATCCTGATGTTTACTTCGATTGCCGAATAAGTACATGAGCCTGACACATAGAGGGGAGTAAAAAAGTGTTTCCAGAAAAAGGGTAGGTGGTAGGTGGTAGGTGGATGGATCGGTGGCTGGGGTGGGTGGGAAGAGAGTACACGACGAGGACAGGCAAGAGAGAGAGAGAAAAACTACTAGAGAAACAACGCCCGTCAGCATCGACTTTAAAAAACCCAATATACAGACATGACATGCATTATATAAAGCACCGACACCGTCCACGTCCTCAACGCCTCGGCTCAACCCACACCTCACGAAGAGCTCCCGGCCTGTCCATGTCCCTGCCCCCTTCCATGTCTCCGATTCCTCCTCCTCTCCGACCTCGCGCTCCCCCTCGCCGCAGCGGCGACCACACTCGGCGGAATACTCCCCCTCTCCAGCGCCGCCGCGATCACCTCCGCCGGTAGATCGATATGCACGCCCTCCGAGTACGCGTACGCGTCCAGCGGGGAATACGCCGGCGGTAACGAATCCGACGACATCTCCTCCCTCTCGATCCGACTTCTTCCTCTCCCTCTATCCCTGCTCAACGATCCATCTTCCGCCCTCAACACCTCCTCGTCCCCTTCCCCTTCTTCACCCTCCCCGTCCTCATCCTCCTCCGCAATCGCATGCGGGTTCGTAGCAGATGCAGTCGCGGTCGACGAAGACGAGCCTCCTCTCCTATGAGCTCCACTAAAAGCCTGCAAATGAATATCACTAACATTCGGCGTCGGCGGGTTCGGACTGCTCGGCTCCTCAGGGTGCGCATGTCCCTGTACGGAATCTGGTGGTGGGGGGAGCATCGTCAACATCCGACGGCCGGGGTGAGCTAAAGACGAAGACGACGAGGAATCTTGGCGACGTTGGGGCTGAACAATGAACGGGTTCGCACCTGCGCCTCTGACTCCGGGGGAAAGGCTTCGCGAGGAGGATTCGTTTGGAGCTCTGGCGACGGTTGAAGTCGTGGCGCCGTCGTCCGTCGACGCCTGTTGGGGTGGTGAGGGTGGAATGTGTGTGTTCGAGGGCACGTGGAACGGGAAATCCGTGGGAGAGACGTATCCGCCCGACGAAGGCCCAGCACTGTTCCCCTCCGGTTCTTCTTCAATCGGCGTGATTGGCGGCGGAGGCGTGAGCGGCGGTGGCGGCGGTGGCGAGTAGTGCACGATCGAACCGTCTCGTAAGGGCGAACTACCGACGGGCGCGGTAGCGACGGTGTTTCTGGGCCGTCGTGTACGGTGCAACCGTCGGGTAGAAGGACTCTGCGCGGATTCTATGCTGCCTGGGACCATCCCCGCCTCGAGCAGGATGCTTCCACGCTCACTTCCATATGCGGGCGGGGGTGCGAGCGTCCCTACGCTCGGTGCCAGGCCCCATTTCTTGACGTTGGCCTCGATGAAGACGAATCCGGCTTGACCGAGGTTGACGTGCAGACTGCACGGTCCGTCGGCGCCGATGGTGGGGAAGAGGTTCCAGTTGTTGAGACCGACGAACGCGTCCTCCATCTTTCGTCCGTTTCTGGTGAAGAAAACGGTGCCGCTCCGTGGACGATAGCCTACGCCGAGAACATCGCCTTCCTTCAAGGCTGAACCGAATGTCTGAGACGTGAAGGGGTAGTTGTAAGATTTATCGCCGTTGGAGTGGTATGCGACGGAGAATCGACTGTGGCCTGGAAGACGGAAGGAGGGATAGGGTTTGGTGGCGAGACCGACGGCGACGTTGGTGCTCTCGGGGAGGTCGAACATCTTGACTTCCCAGTAATAAACCTCGTTGAGTTTGGGGAGTGGGAGGTTGGATTGACAAGATGATGCAGAGGACGGGTCGGGAAGGAAGGTCAGCTCTGTCCGGGCATGGACGAGAAGAGATGAGAGCATCTCGTAATCTGGGTCGAACGACCAGGCCGAGACGCCTTTCTCCTGGATGGAGAGGAATTGGGAGAGAGTAATGTCGGTAGGAAGGGAATTTGGGGGGTATTGGAGTTGGTATTCTGTAGCAGTAGGGTCAGAACGAATATATCAATAATATGACCAGGAGGAACATACCTTTCGCGCGAAGATAGGATCTGCGTTGAGTCTCCGATACACTCTCTAGCCAGCGAGACTCTACACCGTCGAAACCGCCCTCGCCCTCGATAAATTCTTCCCTGCTGAGATCAACCGGACCATCGCTATCCCGAAGAGCGATGCCCCTTCGTCTGCGGAGGAGTATTACACATAAGAGGAAGAGAAGGAGGAGGAAGAGGAAGGTAGACAAGACGATGAGTAGCGGCAGAAGAACTAAGAGAGCATCGTTTGGGTTTTCTCGTCGTGCGGGATCGTCAAGAGTGGATGCAGCATCTTGCGCTGTATGGCCGAGGTATCGCAGCGCAGCCTGAGTAGTGGATGCGACGATGGAGCTGTCTGTCCACATATTGCGGACGGTGCTGTCTACAGAGCTCCTCGTGCCCGTCTCCTCCATCGGTGCACTTGCTATGCGAGAAGACAATGACTGAGCAGAAAAAGAGGAACAATGAAGAGGACTTGGATGAGGTGAGAGAGAGCTGTGGGTCGTGATGATGTTCAGAGCGGTCTGCCTTTCTGGGCCGCCAGTCCCGTTACATCAGCCGGGGATGCCGGTCTCGGGAGCTCTCGGCGCGCACTGCACTCAACTTACACGGTCACCTTGCGCTTGCTTTCTGAGTCTTTCTCACATATTCTCAACCAGCCTATCTGCTTTGTAGTCGCTCAATTGTCCTCAAATTTTCCTCTGGACTGAAATTCTGTTACGCGTACTCAAAGAGGTCTGCAAAGGATAAATATCTGAAGGCCCATCCCCAAGTAGCGCCTCCTGATGATCCGTTTCCTGGGCTTCCGTGCTGGGTTGTACCACTGCTTTGCGATGCCTGTCTTGGAAGACAGCTCAAACAGGCCACAAAGCAATCACTCTCGGCGTTATTCCGCTCTATCACCTGTAGCGTGATCATCATTCTAGTTGTCCAGTGACAGTCGGAACTCATCACCAATCGGCGTCTCCAGCGCAGGCTGTTACATTCTGTATCTGTCGATTTTCTTTATCGAAACGTTACCTGAAAGGTACTTGATGCAATATGGGAGAAGAACGCTCTCTAATCTTTCTGTTCCTCATTCTCTGCTCATTTACCGCTCAGTAGAAGTTGAACTGTGACTATAGTATACGTACCTGATCCCCCTCTTGCAGTTCACTTCTTGACCGCATCTCCTTTCACGGTTTCAATATGTGTTCCAATTATCGTACGTTTTGTAGCAATGAGAAAATACCACTGTAGACCCCCCAGGTATATGAGATGGTGGTCAGAGCTGTAAATCGTGACCGACTGTGCTCAAAAACATCGACTTCGCACTGGGTGGCACCAGTAGCTCGAAGATAGACGCCACACAAGAGACCGGAGCCGAGAGAGCGACGGCGTTGCGGCATTGATGCGATAAGAGAGATGCAGAGATTGCAGTTATCAGATAAGCTGAAAAGTTGACAAGATCGTTCGGCATATCCGTGCGTCACTCTCACCTCCATCGGCCATCCTTCCCTCCACCTTCTCCACCCGTCCTCCCTCGCGACACCCGGTGGTCTACTTCTCTTTCCTTTGCTACTGGTATTCCATCATTTCTTTTCTGACTTTCTTTACTGAACTACGAGAAACATGGACCCATTCGAAGCAAAACTCGTCGCAGCGGCCGCTGGCTCCACCTTGACTGCTCTTACCAGTCCGTTTCTTGTTCTTGTTCAAAGACTCTCTAACTTGCATACTAACACGCGCAATTTCAACAGTGACCCCATTTGACGTCGTAAAGACACGACTACAAACACAACGTCCGAGCACACAAGGTCTGCTCCCAAAGCTTCCTCCTCCAAACGTCTGCTGTCAACCGGCCAACACACCCTGCGTACGCGGAGTTCCAGTCAGAAATGGTCTCAACGTCCGAAACATGTCTTCCCTCGCCGCCGCACGGTCAATACCAGGTGAAGTCGTGTGTATATGGGACCATGGGATGCTCAGAACAGAACGTGTGAATGGCTTTGCCGATGCCGTTCGCCATGTCTGGAGGGCGGAGGGGCTCAAAGGCCTCTGGAAGGGCGCAGGGACAACACTGTCCGTCTCTTCTCTTCTTTCTACCTAGTTGAAACACAACACATAGCTGATACGTGTTCTGTGCGGTTTTATAGAGTCATCGGCGTCCCAGCGTCAACGAGTTACATGCTGACCTATGATTACCTCCACCGCCAAATCCTCCCACTAATCATCCCCTCCCCCACCCTCGTCCCTCTCACAGCCGGCATCCTCGCCCGCTCCCTCGTCGCCGCCATAACCTCCCCCCTCGAACTCATCCGCACAAACCTCCAATCGACGCCCCTCCACTCCGACAACCCCCACACCCTCCGCTCCGTCCTCGCCTCCGTCCGCGAACTCGCACGCACCCAGGGTTTCCACCACCTCTGGCGTGGGCTCGGTCCCACGCTATGGCGCGACGTTCCGTTCAGCGGGATGTATTGGGCGACGTACGAGGGCTTGAAGTCGCAGTTTGAGAGAAGAGGAAGGACGGGCGCGGGCGTGGCGTTTGCGTGTGGGGCGTTGAGTGGGTCGACGGCGGCGTTGATTACGAGTCCGTTTGATGTGCTTAAGACGAGGAGACAGGCGTTAGTGATGAGTGCGCCGACGGGGGAGGCGACACGGACGATACCGCTTGCGTTGCAGATCTTGAGGAATGAGGGGCTTTCGGCGTTGTTTGCTGGCTTGAGTCCGAGGATGGCGAAGATTGCACCGGCATGTGGTATTATGATTGCTTCCTTTGAGGTGAGTTTGTGATTTCGACGTTTTGTCTTGTGTTAGAGGTTCTGACAGTCGTATTGTGCACAGGGTATTGGGCATCTTCTGCTCAAAAAGGAGGACGAGACGACATCATAGAGGATATAGATCTAGCATACGACACCCCACTCATACTCTTCCATTACCCATGCATTAATATCAGGACCCATTCAATGCTACATACATATGCAAACACACTACTCCGCCCGCTAAATCATGAATGACCTCTAAGTAAATACAAAAGTCCCAGTGAGTATAAGCAAGAAATACACCCTATCCCAACCGATTCATCTGCTTCTTCGCCGCCGTCAACTTCCCCCCGACTCTATTCACGTTGTCCGACAAATCATCCAACATCTCGTTCTGCTCCGCAATCTCCTGCGCGATCGCCGTGCCCAGCATCTTCTGCCTCTGCAATATCGTGGTGAGCTGCGAGAGCTGGTCGTCCTGCTGCTCCATCTGCGTCTGCTGCAGCTGAAACACGCCCACATCGTCCAAAGGCCTCGTCTGCGCCGTCTCCTTCGGCTCGACCTTCGCCCCGAACACCCTCGTCACCGCCTTTCCCGCTCCTCCTCCTCCTCCACGCCCACCACCACCACCACCACCAAGCAACGCGTCCCTATCCGACTCGCTCGCGGGATGACGTTCCGCCGCCGACCCGAGCGCTCTCGATGTATGTCTCGCAATAGTCACCATCTTCCCCAACTTCTCACAATCGTCCTGCAGCCTCGCCACCATATCCGTCCGCCTCTGCACCTCGCCCTCGCTCATCCCCGCCATCGCGAGTCCGCTCAACCCGTCAGCCAAGACCCCCGCACGCGTGATCACGCCCGCTAACTTCTTCTTCGCCTGAACGTTAGCGGTATGTGACGCGCCGACGTCACCCCGGTCGGAAAGCGCGTCGCGTCGATTAATATCTGCTCGGATGTCGCGCACTCGGGCTTGCAGGTCGAGGTGCTCGTCGAGCCAGGAGGAGGACGTGAATTGTGATGATGATGAACCGTAAGATGACGACGCTCCAGCAGTAGTATCCTGTTTCCCAAGCGGAACGCCCAAAAAATCCCGAAACGCAAAGCTCTCTCTCCACTTCCCATCCTTACACCCCACAATCGCCCTCAAATACCTCTCCAAGCCTTCCCTCCTCTCCTCCAACATCTTCTCCTCTCCCTCCCCTGCCCCTCCCACCTTCTTCGACAGTCCGAGCGTGAGAACGGACCCGACGGTCGACAGCGGGTGTTTCGGGGGCAGGGTGGCGGGAGGAGGAGATCCGACGGATTTGATGAGTTCGGTGTGGAGGTCGACGAATTCGGAGTAGCGACGCCAGATGGACCAGGAGCGGACGTGTGCTTGGATTTCGATGCGGAAGACGGTGTGGGGTTTGGGGGTGGGGCGGGATTCGTGCGCGCGGACGTAGACGGCTTGGAGGGCTGTTGAGGAGGAGGCCATTGGGGTGTTGGCTGCTGTGTTGCGTATTGGTAGTATTGATACTATGGAGAGATAGGATATCGATGGGTCGATGCTAGGATGTTGTAAGTTCAGGGCGTGCTATAGGAAGAAAGAATTAGTTTATCGTTCATGAGGCGTGGTTTTTGAAACGACTCTGAATGATAGGAGAGGAGAGGATGGAAGAGCACAAACCTTGAGAGAACAGGGGATGCTAAACGAGGATGACGACAACAAAAGGGGCGGTCTCATATTCGAACCCCGCCCGACGCACTCTGCTTTTGAAGCCTATCTTTCTGCACCTTTCTGGGACACACCATGCCAGTTACACGCTACACATTAGATACTGGATTTCGATTTGCATAGAAGCTCGTGTAAATGGCTACAGTCTGGCAGTACGTACGCAGTCAGAGACGTCGGAACTGATTCAGATATGATGGTGTAGGCAGTAGCTATAGAAAGGGACGGCAACAGCACAAAGTAGCAAAGAATTACAAACTAACAGTACAAAGAAAACCAAGAACGCATCGGAGCTCTATACAGTAGCAGCGACTCGTAAACTCATCTCATCTCATCCACAAACAGGAAACGTCCGTCACTCTACAGATTCGACCCGCCAACGTCTAGCTCTCCTCCGGTGCCACCTCTGACTCTGGCTCTGGCTCAGCTGCAGGCGCAGGCTCAGCTTCTTCCTCCGCAGGAGGCTGTTCCTCTTCCGCTTGAGGTTCGGGTTCCGGAGCTGGCAGTTCCTCTGCTGGTGGTTCCAAGGGTGTGGGAGGCACAGGCACTGGTCCTGCATTCTCTGGTGGATCGTGTGGGTTCGGCGTTCCTGCTATTGGTGTCGTTGACGGAGGAAGAGGGCCGACGACATAGCGAAGTACGTCGGAGAGGGTAAGTATACCGAGCAGACGCCCCTTTTTGCCTCCTTTACGTTCTTCCTCCTGTGATTCGACATCCCGGAGTATTTATAGATCAGGAATCGGTAGCAGGAAGCATGATGAAAAGGAGACGAGACTGACCTCGCCTTCTACGACTACGAGTCGATGAACACGCCGTTTCTTGATCAGTTGCATGAGCGTGCCGAGTGAGTCCGAGGCGGTACAGATGACCACTCCAGGAAAATCGGGCGAGCGTTGATTGAGTGCTTCATTGATCGTCAAGTCCAACGACTGATACGCGCCCAACTTCACCAAAGTCTGCATACCGATCCATCAGTTCAGACAGCTGACCTGAAAGAGAGGAAGGCAAAAAGGGAACACGCACGATGACGTCCACGGACTCGTACATGTTCACCACCACGCCGTTCTCGTCTACGATGGGCACAGCGGAGATCTCGCGCTCCGAGAACATATGCACGACGTCGAAGACGGTCGTGTCCATCGTGGCGGTGGCGATAGGGTGCCACGGGTTCGAGCCGTCTGCGGGCGGTGGGTCGTCTTCTGAATGTTGGCCGACGTAGGTGCCTATGCCAAGCTTGCGAAGCGGTAGATGAAGCAGATGAATTTCCTTCGAGCACTGTGACATACACGGCAATAATCGTTGCGGTCGGTCAATATGATGGTGGCGCGGGGATAGGAGACGAGAAAATGAAAAGGACGTACGTTGATGGAGATAAATTTGAGGAGGCGATATTGTGTGAGTATGGAGACGATGACTTCGTGTCCTGTGTCGGAATCGTAGTCTAGCAGAGGCAGCCGACGAGCATGCGTCTGGATGAGGAGGCTCGCGGCGTCCCATAACGAAGCGGAAGGGTGTTCGCGCAGAAGTGGGGGTGGTGCCACACCCAAGATCTTCTCGATGTCTGCACGAACATGCATACCACATCAAAAGTCAGTACATACAGAAACAAGGCGCGAGCAAGGGCGAGTGGAGTGAGACAAGAAGGCTAAGACACATGAACGCACCGCGCAAAGATTCAAGCCTGAACGTCTCGACGTCGGTCGCCGCATTGTCGTAGGACGAGTACCGATAATAGTATTGAATCAGATGGATGATATCCTGCACCGTGAACATCCCCGCAAACTGCGATCTCTCGCTGTTCCAAAGCGGGGCAGAAACGACTCCTGGATATCCTTGCAAGGTCAACTAAGGGGTGATGCCTCGACCGGTCCCCACGGCCACAACAAAGGCAAGAAACGCGAACGCACCATTCGTGAGCAGACACTGCAGCGCTTTCTTCACCTCCAGCTCCAAATCGAGCACGATGACTCTGAACGAGACGGGGAAAGCGTCGTAGGACGTGCGGCCCTTGAGGAAGGCCCGAATAGCTTGCAGGGCGGCGTCGTGCGTCTCCTGCGTCTGCGGCGGGGGAAGATGTGAGCCTGCGCGGGGCCGTCTAGTCGACCCTCTGCGCTTTACTCTGGACGTTGAGGGTGAGAGTGTCATGATCGCCTGGGTGCGGATACAATGGCCATGAAATAACGTCGTGCCTCTGTCGAGCGCGGGGAAAACGACCGCCCCGCAATTTACCCCTTGCCTCTTTCGGTTAGCCTGGGCCACACCTCGCCACTCGCTGCTTATTTCAGTCGACGTTTTGGAAAATAGACCCTAGGCAAACAACAACCAATGTATTTTCTACAGGTACTGGCACAATCGATGAAGCTTCTCCGGTATAGTAAGAACATATGTGTCCATTCATAGACCACCTTTGGTCCGCCCTATATCGTACACATCAGGAGAAACCGTTCACGAACCCGTTAGATGATGATAATCCTTCACCGAAATCACCGTTCAGAAATCCTGGTACGGAGGCGGGCCATCATCTCCTGGCTTCCCGACATCAGGATTCGGTCCACCGGCGGCGTGCAGAATTTTCTCCCTCTCCTCCCGCTCCAGCCTCTTCTTCTCTTCTTCCGCACTCTCGAACGGAGGCGGCCCAGCAGACGATGACTCCTCATGGAGCAATCTCTCCCGCTCTTCCCTCTGCAACTTCTTCTTCTCTTCCTCGGCGCTCTCGAACTTCGGTTGCGCATCGCCTATAAGGCCACCAGCTGGTGTTCTGGTCTCCTCGGAGAGTGTAGGTAGAGCGGCGCCACCATGGGTGACTGCACTGATGCTGCTCATCGAGCTAGTGCTGTCACGGTGTGCTTGTCCGGTAGGCGATGACGGTTTAAGATCGCGCAACGATCCACTGGAAGGACCAGGGCCATTCGGGCTAGCAGCCACAGGGATGCCCGTCTCGGCGACAGTAGGGGTGACAGAAGGCACGGTCACCGCATCCGTCGATGTTGGATCGACGGTGTCCTTGGGAGACAGCACACCGCCAGCGGGAGGGGAAGCCGAGTTTGGAATGTTGGCGGGAGCGGTGTTCAGCGTTGCCGTGTTAATGGCGCTCGATTTCGGCTGCGAAGAGCGGGGCCCGGCACTTGGAATAGCGATGGGCGAAATCTTATTGTTAGAACCAGGGTTCGACGGGCTAGACGACAATGCGCTGGTCTGAAGGGGAACGGGGGCAGGCACATGAACGCCATCGAGTGAAGGCGACTTAGCAGTAGTCACGGTCTCGGTAGACTTGGCATCAGCAAAGGTCATCGATGTGGGGGGTGGCGTCACGGGGAGTGTAGTCGGGGAGGGTTGGGTGGGGTTGATATGGGCGAGCTCGCGAGCGTGGGTCTCGCCGAAACTACGGGTATGGGAGCGGTCAAGGTTTGCTCCTTCAGAAGCGGAGAGGGTGACCTGTCCTGGCTTCCAGTGGTCAAGGGCATGTTGGAGAGTGGCGCGGATGGCACCGGTCTCCTCAGTGCTATTGTAAGAGCCGGGGACCGAGGGCAGATGAGTGAGTATAGATTCGGACGCCTGCGAGAGCAAAGATAGCTTCTCTCCGTACTGCATAAACCAAGAACAAATGTCAGTCAATAATGACAGACAAAGAACAACGGGAAGAAAATATCGATGTACCTCGCGGAAAGCTTCCCACTTCAACCGCTCGCTCTCCTTCAACGCCTTTCTCTTCAAGATCTCAAACTCCCGCTCAGCAGCCTCATCGTCCCTCTCCGCTTTCGTCAGTTGCGCCCTAAGATCGACTAACCGCTTCTCGTAACCCTTCTCCTGCCCAGCCTCGATGCGGCCGATCTGGCTCTGCAGACCGGCACGTGCGGTGCGACGAGGGGCAAGGGCAGTCTCCTTATCGCGGAGCTGCTTGAAAGGTGCCCGGGCTGCGTCGAGCTTCAGAGCGAGGCCATTTGAGAGCGATCCAGATACAAAGTTGATGAATGCAAGACGGTCGGAAACTGAGTGGAAAAAATGACAATCGATGAGTTTGAGATTTATGGAAGGGATGCTCGAAAACACTCACTGTCGCGAACATCTGGAGCATCGCCCTGGCCCCACGTATAGAGCTCCTTGCTGTTTGCCTGCGCATCGCGATTGACGGTCTCAAAGTCAAGCGCAACACCCTTGCCCGTCGTGACGATCCTCTGCACGGGAGTACTCGTACTGCTGAATGAACGAAGAATAGGGGTCAGCGCCACACAACACAACGGCTAGAAGAACACGAAGAACACAAAGAAAATGAGCTCACGTATACTGCTGCTGGAACGTCCTGAAATGATGTTGGAGTTGCTCCAAGGTATGGTTCTTAGCACCACCCGTGTTCCCGCTCGCATCCCCAGACGCTCCGCCACTGGTATTAGGCGTGACTGGACGAGCACCGGGAATATGCTGCGCGAGGGGTGTGCTGTTGATAGCGCTCTGCGCCTTGTCAGCGAACGACGATAAAAATCCTGGGACTGGCATGCTTTGCTTTAGTTTGGTTGTGGTGGTAGAGAGATTGAGGGAGGGATGAAGGAATGGCAGATCGCCGCGGTGGCTTTGCGGTATATATTGGAGAGGGGCACTACGTCATCGTCCAAGCGCAGTCCTTCGCCCGGAAGATACTTCAGAGAGCGCCGGACACAAAAGTTGAAACAACAGCGTCGAGCGAACAGCCAAGCACTGCTTGTTCAAAAAATATGAAACAAATACGTCCGAAAGTCAACGTTGAACGCGTTCATGTATCGCTTTCGCGCAGCTAGCAGCGCTGCAAGGAACTCTCTCGGTCCTCGATGGCCCGAAGGACTCAGCCCTCTCGACGCAGCCACAGCCATCCGTAAAAGACACAAAATTAAACTAGTGATTATCCTCTCTCTTCCAACCCCACCACGACATTCTCAAGACACTACTATGGAATAGCTACATATGCGCCGTCGGCCAAAATAACAACAACAGGGTAACACAGAGCCAACAAAAACCAGGACAATTAACTGTACTACACGATGATCTTCTTCGCCTGCTTCCCCTTCTTCTCCGAATCCTTATGCGACAGGAACTCGACCTCCGTCGCGAGCGGGCCCGCCAGCTTCTGTGAGTCTGAGTATCCGAGCACGCCCATCTTGAAGTGCTTCCCGATCGCCTCCACTCGTTCTCGGATCGAGTCCTCCTCCGCACCGGGAGCGAGTCTCGTCCAGATTGACAGTCGGTAGAATTGAGGGCGTGTCGAGACGATGACGCCCGTCACGAGGGATGGCGTGCCGGGGGGAGTGTCCGGCTTTGCGAGGTATGGGTCGAACGTCTCTCCGATCGCTGCCAGCATCTAGAGGTTATGAGAGGGACTGGTGAGCGGACAGAGGAGAGAGGACGACGGATCGAATCAAGGTTTACGCACGGTGTACAACCACATTTTGTCGACGTTGTTCCGGTTCTTATCCTTTGGCAACTGAATGCTCCACTTTCCTCCATTTTTGTTCGCCTCGTCCTCCCATGCAGGGATGATATTGTCCTACAAGCCACGTCCATATGGTTATTATTATTATTGCTAACCCTCACCACATCGAAAACAATCCCGTTCACGACCCAAAAAGTCAGACTCACCTTGAACAGATAATAGTTCGCCTTTTGCGGCAACTGCGATGGCGGCACAATATTGTGGTACAACCTTCATATTCCCGCACGCCACCCATCAGCATCGCGCATTGAAGGGAAGAAAAACGAAAGGGAAGAACGGGACTGGGACTGACCCCCAAAACTCCTCCACGCTGTCAAACTGGATCACACGCTTGATATCCTCCATCCATCCCATCGCGGCAGCCGCGCCAGGCGTCTGCGGGAGAGGTGTCTGCGGGAACGCGGTCGACGGTGTCTGCGGCAGGTTCCTGCCCTTCGTCGCGGGTGAGTCGAACCAGAGCGTCCAGGGGGAGTAGAGCGGGTGCTGCACGATTCCAAGTCAAACAAAGGGAGTGTATGGTATGGAAATACGAAGATGTGACCCGACACGGATCGTCATCCCAACACGAATCGAACAAAAATCAGCGACGTACGCTCAACGAAAATAAAACGCAGAAAATATGCATGAACGCATAGAGGGGAGCACAGAGACAGCAAATACGCACCTTAACGTTAAAAGTCTTCGGATCGCTAAAAACAGTCCGGATCGTCTCCGCCTGCGCCTGCATATCCACCTCCAACTCCTGGATCTCCCCCGGCTCTATTGTCGAATCGCCATTCTGCTGCTTCTCAGCGGTCTCCGACTCCTTCAACATCGTCGATTCGGGATGTTCGGCCATCGCGGCTTTGATAGCGGCCTGGGAGGCATGCAGAGCGGGTCCGGGGAGGGAGGACGAGGAGGCCATGTTGGTGAACGATGAATGACTGTCTGTCTGAGGGGGATGTTGTTGTTTGTCGTACTCGAAAGAATATGTGGCCAAAAGTGACGTTATGCGTGCGAACGAGCCTGGTCTGTACTGAAAGCTGTTGAGGGGAGGAATTAACACTATCCAAGGGGTCTTTGAGTTTACTTAAGCTGAAAGGACGTGAGTGTCGCCGGCAAAGGACGCGATGTGGGTGTGTGAGCGGTCGTCGTTCGTTTGTAGGAGGCTCTTTGAGATGAATTGTGGGTGTGGTGCTGAGAATTAAGCTGACATAATACGCTGGGTTCCGTATGTACCTCGCGGCGGCATTTCCGTCTGCGGTCCGTGCCGAGGTAGCTTCGTCCTGACGCCACACCGAGGCCACACACAGGAGAGTGGGTCAGGATTGGGAGATGCGGGCCGTTGGCAGTGGGTCAGCGAATCGTTCAAAAATATTGACAAGCAGGTGAGCATTACGCGTAAGTACGATACCGTAAAAAAACAACGATAATTTAAGCTGAGCACGAAGCACGGAGTAATAACAAGCATGGAGAACAATCGACAAAAACAAACCACCGCGAATCGACCAGTCGATTCCAAAAGTCCATCATTCGAACCAGCGTACCAAGTACTGTGAGTCCCAAGCACAGGAATTAAGATCGACCATATTACACAAACCACAAGATAAAAGAGAGAGATCGGAATTTCACTTCGACGGCCGTGACACCTCCTTAGGCTCACTCGGTGGGAAGCAGCTTGGTGCAGGCAATAGAGCGATCGCGGCCGTTCCTGATATTGTCCTGCTCGAGCGCGATGACCTCCTTCGTGAGGTTCAAAAACTAACGATCGGTATGAGAGTGAGATCAGAATCACACGAAACTAAAGTCGACAACGTGAAAGCTCACCTTCTCTTCTTCCTTCAACACCTCTTGATGCAGCTCGCGGAGCTTCTTCTGCATGAACACCAACAACGTCTACATTCCACCAAACAAACAGCATTATTACGTCGGTCGCCTGACAAGTAGACGCGTAGAAATGTCGACTCACCCTCAAAGAACGGTTATTCATCCCGATATCGACCTTCATGATCTTCGCGATAGCAGGCGACTGCAATTTCACGATCTTCATCTGGTCCTCCAAATATCCGATATAAATCTCCAGACATTCCAGATAGTTCCGTTTCTTGTCGTGCGAGGAGATCGTATCGCTATCAATTACGAGCAAAAAAAAAATGTCAGCCGAAAACGACGACTGTAAAAAAAAGAAAAAAGTAGAAACCGTTCCCGAAAAGCAACAGGACGTACGAATCAGTCGGCATAAACCCCACAGTATCCGAAAGCAACCTCAACCTCTGCTTCCTCTGCGTCGTCTCCATCGTCTTCAAATTATCCACCTCCATCTTCGCCTGCACCGCCCCCGCGCCCACACCCGCCTTACCAATACCACCACCAGCCTGCACCCCACTCCCACTTCCGTTGGATGACAAAAGCTCGCTCGGAGTCGGGAACGTCGTCAACAGAGGCTTCGGAGTCATTCCCATTCCCTCCGCCTCCGCCTCCGTGCGCGAACGTTTCCGTTTCGGCGAAGGGATCGTCGAAGGGGGTGGCATGCTGTTGCTGTTCCTAATATTAAGACGGGCACCATCGGAGAACTGGTTGGAAGAAGAAAATCCTGCGTACTCGGAGGAGGAGGAAAGGGGAGGAGGCGAAGGTCCAGGTGCAGGACGAACGGAGGGAATGAGTGACGCGGGTGGTGATGTTACTTGCATGAACGGAGCACTGGGAAGCGCAGGAATAGAGCCAGAGCCCGAGCCGATCCCGGTCTTGCTGGTGTGTCTGCGCGCAAAGACACGAGTGGGATGGATCGCGTTGGTGGTCACCGTGTGCGCAGAGTGTCGCCTGAGAGCCGTAGGCGGACACACGGGAACGGAAGGGATGGTGGGCACGGAGGGCACGGAGGGCACGGAGGGGGGCATGGTCGGAGTTCTCGTGGCGGCTCGGATCGTAGACGTGAACGGCGAACTTTCGAGTGCGGCACTGAGAGAGGACGCAGACGTGGATTGGTGTACCACAGGAATGGAAGACGGCGGCGCAAGATTAGTATTAATATTATTATTCGCACTCGCAGCGGGAGGAGGGGGCGGCATCTCAGAGAATCGCATGGGTCCCTCGTGCTCCGAGAGCCATCTGAAGGACGTGCGCGGATCCGGGCGGATTGGAGACGGCTGCGCGAGGAGGTGGTTTTGACCATCGTGTGCATTTGGGACGGATATAGGCGATGGGAGGGGAACTTCCCGGTCACGGTGGCGTGTGGGGATTTGATGGGTGCCCGAGTAGTAAGCGTCTGCAGAAAAGTCGGAATGTACGGTGTTGGAAAGCGAGGAATCGATGGGATGGGTAGATGGATTGAAAGGCTGCTGCTGATAGTTATTCTGCAGAGACGAGGCGAAGCCTGGTGTGGATGTCCACTCCGATGGCGCCACTATATTGGGCGCACTGTAAGAAAATGGATCGATCGAGTCGTTACTCGGGTAGGACGAGTAAGAGGGCTGCATGCGAGGGTCTGCCTGAAACGACTGGGACTGGGTGGCAGGATTTGCCGGCCGATAGTCCATGTCGAGTGTCTGCAGGTGTGGCGGGAGCACGAAGCCCAAAGGGATATTTATGGTGGACTCTGCCGGCATCTCAAAGGTAGGTTGAGTGTCTGGATAGGAATCGCATCCACGAAAGGCTGGTGCGTACGAGTCCTGATAGACATCAGAATGATGTTCTTGGACGCCGTTCTGCATGGTGAAGTCAGGGGCGGCGAGATATTGCTGTAGGTAGGATGAGCACGGTGTGAGGGGACGAGAAGAAAAAAGAAAAAGAAACATACGGCGGCGAACTCGCCATCGAAGATAAAGGCGTTGTCGGGTGCGTGAGGAGAAGTGGCTTGTTGCATTGGAGAGCTGAGTGCCTTGGGGAGATTCTCGCGAAACCGAAAAGGGGGAGTACTTATTAGAGACGGTGGCGCTCGTTCTGCATCAGAGTGAACCCGGGCAATGGCTCTTTGGGAGCGCACGCTATCCAAGCCTGGACACGGAGAAGGACCGTGACGACGTCCTGGAAGATTGAGATCTGAGTCGTCACGAAAATCAGACGTTCCAGAACGTCACCCTCTCCAAATGAGCACCTACTTGTCTTAGTGTCACGACATCCACTTTGCGGCTCCTTCCACTGCGCTGGCCATAGGTCCACGGAGCTATGCTCATGACGCATGACGATGCGCGTGTGAAAGGCGCTATGATATCCTATTAGCTAAATTGTGAGCCAGCTTGGTGCGCTCGACGATGGGACATCCACAGGTCGGGCGTAGTGGAAGCCAGGAACTCCAAAGATTGTATTAGAACTGAGACGTCGCGTGCAGTTCATTTCCGCGAGAAGGGTGACGAGTCGACGCAAGTCACTGGAGCAGACACGCCTTGTCCTCGCCCCAATGGAGCAGATCGAGATGCGGCGTTAGGCATAACTGAATTGATTTATTTCCATGGGACAAAGAAGAGCCGCCTGATGTTGCAAGTGGTTTATCGGCGATCTTCTGGTTGTGACGATTGTGCGAGTGGAGTGCATAAGACCGGTAGCGGAGAAAGAAAGACAGCAGGTTGGACAAGCGGATGGATGAGCGGCGCGTGAAATCTGCTCGGAGGTTGAACCGGCAGCTCGGAGCACGCGAACTGTTGTGGATTGTCCCTCGTCGAACGGGAGCGACAAGGGGGCATCGAGGGTGGCGATCTGCTGATGGTCGATGCGCACTCGGACGAGGCGATTGGAGCGTGCGAGAGAGGGGAGGCGAGTATCGTTCGCGGCAAGGCGCCTGCTAAGCGGGGATCGCGGCGGTCGAAAGAGCAAAGACAGGGTCCGAATCGGGAGTCGACGTTCGGCGCCGCTTTGTTGCAGTTTCTTCCTCCCTCTCCAGCCGGCGGTGTCCCATTCTGATTTCCTCCGTCTTTGGGCAGATTAACTCGCACGTCGCCCACGCCATGTCCCGGAGTCCTCTCCCAATCCGAGTTCTTCTATGTTCCTCTGCGCCGTATTATAATAATTCTTTTCCGCTTCCACTCATCCTGCCACTGCTCCACTCCGCCGCAAAAGAATATACAAGTCTAGGCCTCGTCGTACCTCCTTATAATATTCCGTGTCTTGTTCATCTCCACCACCTTTCTTTTCCTGCACGATGTTCACTCCACAACTCCCTCCTCTCGACACCTCTGACTTCACTGGCGACACTCGCTCCCCTCCATCTTCTCCAGACACTACTTCTCGGCCCTCCTCTGCTGACGGCTCCGAGCCCCTGCAGTATGCTCCATCATCGCCCGCTACCTCAAGCTCGGGCTCTCCTCGTACTGAGCTTCGTCCTGCGCCTGTTTCGCCTGCTCCTGGTACCACCGTCACCATACCCTCTGAATCCTCTTCAATGCTTCGTGCTCCGTCCATCCTTCCTCCCGTCGACTTGCACATCCCTTTGCCTCGCTCAGAGAGCGCACTGCGAAGTGCTGCTGCACCTAAAAGCCCCCGACCGGCAATGGGCATCGCTCATCCTTACGCCCGCCTCTTCGTCAAAAAAGACGGCGCAAAACGCCGCAAAATCTGGAACCATGCACTGGAGAGATATGTCTTCACTCCAGAGGAGACGTACGCTGACCTGACTTTGAACAACTACATGTCCGTCTGCTGACTATTACTGCCGTTCAGTGCGTGCATGAAAGCACCGCAACGACGCCCGATTTACATCGCCAGTCTCGAAGCCCACATCGACGCACTTCACGCGGAGCTGCTCAAAGTGAACCTCGCACCCGTCAATCTCCAAGACGTCGATCTCTGGGCTGGACTGAACTCCAAGATTGCCAAAGTTAGTTCACCTGACAATGCCTCCGCCGTAACCACTGACCGTCTTTTTCACAGAGCCTCGTCGCCGGTCTACAACAAGATACATCCCAAATGAAGTCAAGGTCGGTTTTTATAGTCATGTCCCCTCATCCCCCATGCACGCACTTACAGCAACAATTCTATTTTAGGCTGCGTGAGCTAGAGAGAGCGGTGAGTCGACAATCGTTTACGATATGTGACCTGCAGGATCTGACTTTCGACCTTCATCTCCGCGTCCTAGAACTATCGTCTCAACGCTGCTATAGCGCGCGAAAAGCAGCTCGCTTCCCATACGGCTTCCTTTGCCACCGTCGATGCCAAGCCGATGCAGACCGTCGTCGACTCTACTAAGCCCGAGGTGTGAGGCCTGGAGAGTGGGTGCGCTCAGGCTGCGCCGTCATGGTGCTTGTCATTTTGATGTAGGGAATTCAGTATCTAGGATCCGAGGAGTTACATATAGTAAAAATCCTGCTTATTTTTGTACTCGTACTACTTAGTCTCCCCTTTCCTATTGCCCAACTCGTTTCTTGGCCTCTTCATACTTTCCGTCTTGACGCCACAGATTTTCAAGGACCCTTTAACTCGTGCGCGTGATGGATTGAATTGAACTGATTTCAACTTTGTCGGTCTCGTGTCTTTTGAATATGGCGTCTATCGAGGACTCTTTAACTTGGCACTGGCAATGCATGACAGCCTCCAGCGTTCCGTCCTTCTTACAGCCGCATCCGCTCCCGCCCATACTCTCGATATCTGTTCCGTCTCCCTGATTGAAGTATCTTTTTGCTTTTGGGCCAGGGTTGAAAGTCCCGTCTCGGGAGGCGTTCGACTTAATTCAAGGAAGGAAAAGGATCCACGCTACATACGCCACACGTCGGAGTTTCAGTCGGAGTCTCGGGATCCCGGGTCGTCGCCACCGGGGTCCGTCGGGCCTGCGACCACCGCCAAAGCATCACACCTCCTGATACTCGCTCTTTGCTTCATTCGTACTACTTTCTAAACACCTATACCAGAAACAACAAAACATGGACAAAGCCGACCTCGAAACCTACCAAGTCCAGCTCTCCCAAGTCGAACTCGCGCTCTCCGCCGACCCCGAAAACACAGAACTCGTCTCCCTCCGCTCCGAACTCATCGAACTCATCGACCTCACCCAAACCTCGCTCGCACAGAACGCTGCCGCATCTTCGGCCGCTTCGTCATCCCATCATAAAGCTTCTGAAGGTTCGGGTTCTGGTTCGGGGTCGGGGTCACGCAAGTCTGGAGGTGGTGGTGGTGGTGGGACGGGAGGAGGAGAGAAGCAGGTGTGGTCGGCGGGGGACGAGTGTCTTGCGAAGTATAGCGGGGATGGGGCTTGGTATCCCGCGCGTATCAATTCCGTAGGTGGATCGGCGGAGAAGAGGATGTACAGTATCCTTTTCAAAGGGTACAACTCGACTGAAATGCTCGAATCGAACGCGCTCAAGCCCTTGCCCGCGAACTACGCCTCGACTGGCCCGTCATCATCGAAGTGGGGCGGGGGAGGAGGGAGCAAGCGGAAGATAGACGCGGTGGAGGAGGCGGAGAGGGATAAGAAACGGAAGAAGAACGAGAAGAAGTTGGAGGTGAGGGCGGCGAAGGCGAAGGAGCAGACGCAGAAACAGGCGTCGTGGCAGAAGTTTGCGAAGAAGTCGGAGAAGAAGGGGGTGCATATCGCTGGGGTGGCGGGGACGAGTATATTCAAGACGCCGGATAATCCGCTTGGGAAGGGTGCGTTTGTCGGTTTCTTGTCGGTTTCCTGTTGTCGGCTCATGGAGAATTGGACTTTCCAGTTGGCGTTACGGGCAGTGGGAAGGGTATGACGGAGTATCATTCGAAGAACAAGCACAAGTTCGAAGCGACCCAGGAGCAGCCATGAGCGGTATGTTCATTCAATACTATCATATGTTGCCCATCACTCCTGTCGACTGAACTCTACTATTATCGGCTTTATGGCGTATTCGACATCTTCCAGGTCTCGGTCGGCCACTCATCTTTTGTCAGGACTCAGTGCTCAGCGGCGTGACTGGATCAAAGCACAGTATCCTATCCTGCTCGTGTGCCGTTTTTACTTCTGTTTTCTGTCTTTCATCGTGTTCACAAGCCCTCATCTGTTTTTGTTTTTCCGTCTTTGTGCTTATACTACAGACCCATCTTCTCCGTCTCTGCCACTCTGCGAAGGAAGGAATGGCAAGTCCTTCGTATGCTCTGCTGCTCGCCGTACGTGCTCATTCGACCTTGCAATGAAATACTTGATTGATGAACGGCGCCGTTGTGTGCGCCTGCATCGTCACACAACATGCTCGATGGAAAGAAATTCGACCAAGTTCGAAGTCGCAGTGGCTCACACATACACTCAGGCTCTCTGCTCGTACCGCACCCGGACTTGGTGTTGGTGGTCGTGAGCAGCTAAACACCGAGCGCTGAGCGCCTCACAGCGGAAGGGCCTCGTCCGCGGCAACCCTCTGTTTCGCTGCGGGACATATGAATGACATACGAAGGTTTGAACCTTGCAGTATCCAATATGATGACCGTAACGGAACACATCTAACGGTCGTCTCTGCATCCCGTAAGTCAAGTATCTCAGATCTCCCTTTCGTACCGGCGAGATAACTACGTCGCGTCCGAACTCGTTCTCCGGAAGGGTGCAAGGCGATATACAAATTGTGTGGTACGAATCTTCTCCATCGCGTTGCCCATTATGTTGTAATGGAGTCCGATTTGATGCCTAACCACCCTCTTAGGGCACCGTCCTAGTCTTCTCAGACGAGAAGGTCCAGAGGACGCGACGCTACACTACTTCTGAGCGTACATGCACACCAACACGGGTTTGTGGAGACGAGACGGTGCCGGAGGTTTTCGCTGGCGTTACGCTATGTACGCTCTATGGTTCTTGATCTTACGATTTCATTGTCCCTGTGGCGTGGTGGTCACTAATAATGTTTTGACTATCACCAAGTTTGGTATTTCAGACGAACTTGGGCGTCTTTCCCTTTCGGTCGGTCGGTCGGTCGTTTCATTCTGCGAACACTGACGATCTCTGTTCCATGTGCTACACACTTACGACTGTACCGCCGTGTGCAGGTGGATGGATAGACCTTGCTATATGCTACTTGGGTCTAACGTGCGAGCGCGAGTGCGAGCTGTTTAATTAATTGTAGCCGACCAAGCGCCTCCATGTTTTGGGACTCTTGGACGAATCTGGTGAGAACCGACATGATTTCTTTTTGCTTCAGCTCTTGCTCGCACATATCCGACCCGGCTGCAGTGGTTGGTTCCCGGTCAGTAACCGAATACGGTTGGTCATTACCCGCAGCAATTATTGTTGATTGGAATGAGGGGAATCAATCCGGTTATCTACTACTTGGGCATATCGTGCGAGTTGTGGCCAACCAGATGAGTTTCTATCATCTCAACTCGGGCTCCTGGCCTATAACCAAATATGATTGGTTCCTCTTCTGAAGCAAATATTATACCTTCGAAGACACAGCGTTGAAGAAACTACGGGGAACTGCATGGACGAAACTTTGCCATTTACTACTTGGGTTTACCGTGCGAATCTTGTTGCGACTACAACCGTTGGTTGAGCGCTCAGCTGATATGGTTGGACGTTGTACAGCGAAGGGATTTGGTTGGCTCCTGGCCTGTGACGGCATGATTGGCTCCTGGCTTGTAGCAATGCGATTGGACGGTTAGTGCATTTATGTTCGACATTCGATGTACTACTTGGGTTTATCGTGCGAGCTGATGTCATAGGCAACAGCTCGAACCTCTTGTACCAATGCGTCGATGACCGAAATGACAACAAAATGGCTTTCTCTAGCTCCCAACTGGTGGTGTTCAATTCTCGACCTGATGTAACGCCATGTGATTGGAAGGCACAGATAGATACAATATGAACCTACAGGTTCGGCGCAAACGACGACCCGGGGAATTGCGCGACCGTGTCAACGAAGCTCCCTCTATTGAGAATTTGGAGTTCCCCCCACGTTGGCTGAGCATGCATACTACACAGCATGATCACTTCTGGGGACTTTTGCAGCGGTGAGATCTGTTTGCCGTCGTGAGGGCTAGACTGCCGACGCACAGAACAACCAGGGTCATCGGTCCATTGTACATGTGAGCAGTCCCCTTGTGTGTCATGACGAGCAAGCCGCATACAGTACAACTCTCTTCGTAGCTCTCGGTTCTATCATACATAATATCGGGGAAGGGAATCTACGCATGTCGGGACACCGTGACGGTCGATCATCTCATGCTTTGTGCCCATCAGAGTCACATCCTGCGAACTTGGTCGATTCATTGTCCTCGGCTCCTGACGTCGCCTTCCTATGATCGAGCCACTGTATAGTCTCCGAACGAACACCCTTCTTCGAACTCTGGGGAGCGCCTGCAGATTGCCCTTACCTCGAGGGGGCACACGGAGAGATCGTCATGGATCGTGTGTATCTCCTTTCAGACCTCGACGGTTGGTAGTTTGCATGGCTTCCCATGATGCCCTTCACCGAGGGCGCTTTTTTGTTATTTACATGTACAGGTACTGTGGTCTAGACTCCTTTCAATTGGGCGGGATAATGACGCTCGACCTCAGAATACTAATATTATCCACTCCGCCTTGGTGCGACTTTCGTAAACCTGTTTGTTCGATGAACCACGACCAAAGTATGATGTCATGTTCGTAACAAACCTGCCCGGCGGGCTGGGCTCATCGACAATAATATCATGGAGAATAAATAACGTACTAAGATGGACGTAGAACGGCAGTTGGACATGCGAGACGCCTTTGTGGCCCGCCTTGCGTCCCTCGTAGGCCCTCAGGCCTTAGGTCTCCGCGGATGCGGGAAGGGGTCGTCATACAAAAAAAGGTCCATTTTCGTATGGCCCGCTGTCAATCAGGACGGTGCTGTAAGAGCGAGAGACATAGCTGCTTGGGGTTCCGTTTCATCCACCGTCACATTCCTATGATGTTTCTCGCCACTTCAGTTGCCCCGACTGGTCTTTACGTCCCTTACGCCGAGATGTGGCACCGCATCGCATGTTTTCTTTGGCTTGAATTGAACGAGTGACAGCAACGGTCAACATGTCCTTTCAGCTTCGGGGTGCCCGGAGTATAACGAGTCGAAGAGCCCGTCTTTGAAATACTAGAACGTTGTGTGACTAGATGAAATGCAGGTCTTACAGCAGGCGCGGTGAATTGAGTAGGAATACAAGAATACAACATCATCAGCATCGCAGACGATCGAGGCCGTCGCTCCAAAAACACGACCGAACACGGCGACGTAGCTCGCCTCAATCCCACATCCCGCCCCGGTCAAGTTTGACCCTCGTATCCTGTTTGGCCTTGCTACCCTGCGGCCTCCCGATACGCTGAGCACCCCGTTTCGAGTGATACTTGCGCTGTTGGCGAGCATGTGCCTTCGAAGCCTGAGTGGCGGCCCTGTCGGTAATAAGATCCGGGTCGTGGTGTGACAGCGAAAGGGAAGCGACATGTTCCTCGAGGGATGATGTGCGTGAGTGAGAGCGGGGAGCAGTAGATTCCTCGACGGGGAGCGGTTCTGATGACTCCTCGGAGGAAGGGAAGACGGCGGGAGAGTCGGTCGTTGGTTGTGCGGAAAGCGACTCTCTCGCTCCGAGGTCTTCTGCTCGCCGTCCGCGAATATCGTCCGACTGCTGCTGGTCATCGTGCACGGAGTCGCGCACGCCATCGCCGCCTTCTACTTCTGACCCATCATGGTTGTTCTCAACCTCATTTTGTTCCTCTTCCTCCTCTTCCTCCTCCTCTTCGCTCCCGCTTTCGTCTTCGCTGTCAGTTTGATCAGGCCCCTCTTCCTCCTTGACCGCGTCCATGTACTGCGTGATTTCCATGAGCACATCAGACCGTTCTGATATCGAGGTGGTTAAAGACAAACCTCCTGGATCACTCTCATCTCTTTACGGCCAAACCCGCTCGCCTCTACGACGACGTCCAGATGGAAGTCTCCGTCTTTATCGCCGTCCTTCATCGTACTCCGGAACCGCGGATAGATCGCGCTCTCATACTTGAACCGTCTCCGAAAGAACGTGCGAATGCATTCCACGTCCCGATTGAAATACCTGGCGGAGATGAAATCAAGATATGGTCTGAGAGGGATCTTGTCGGGAGTGGGGCTGATTTCCTCGGACACTCACCATTCTGCATTCTCGTGCGAGGTGCTGACCATCTGAGGAAAGTCGATGACGACTGGCTCGCCAGAATCGCGGCGAATGAGGATATTGAACTCGTTGTAGTCGCCGTGGATAAGTCCGGCGCGTGCGAAACGAACAATAACATCCATAAGTTTGGAATACAGCTCGCCTGGCGAGGCGACTTCATCTATCTGACGTCTAAGACACCGCGGGACGAGTCAGAAGAAGGGACAGGACTCCGAGTGGCCCGAGCCAGGCGAATAAGGACTTACAGTGGGTACGCGTCGATGAATTCCATAAGGATAGTATGTCTGGCTTGGTCGATAGGTCGCGGGACGGGGAAGTCGTGTTCGTGTAAAACCTGTCAAATAGGGATGAGCCGAGCCAAGGTGGTGAGCCCAAGATCCGAGACACAAAGAATCTACCTTCATGAATGCCCATTCCTTTTGAGCAGCTAACCGCGACATGTACATCCAGGAAGCCGACTTTCGTTTACCCATGTAGTCTCGCTTCTCCTTGATAGCACGGAACGACACACGGCCTAGCCTTGGATCCATGCATAAACGGTTGTATCACGCGAACGATCGGATTATTTGGGCATACCGGTGAAGCTTGAGCACCATCTCGTTTCCCTCCAGGTCGGCAACAATATAGATGTCTGGAAGTGGATGGCAATACAAGGCGAAGGACCGCATAAATCGGCGACAGAGCGGTGAATGAACTGGCGTGAGTAACACAACAAACTACATAAGCAAGGCTCAGACATACCTGACTCCTTCCCTACACCGATCTGATTACCAACCGAGTACATAGAGTCTCGCTTGGACATCGCACGCATGGCGAGGTAATCGTACCCGCCGTACGTTAGCCTGTACCCATCGTCTGGACACCTCAGACTCATTACTCCCCATTGCGCATGACAGACGGCATACAACACTCACACTTTGAGTTTTGCACCTTGGACACTAGATTTCTCTTCGCCAGACTACCGATGAGCTTGTTGACTCCTCCATTCCGTAGTCCTGAGATCTGGACGATGAGTGAGGTGGGCACGACCTCATGATTTTTAGAGCCCATTTCGACCTGACCAACAATTACAAGGTTTATTAACTAGGTCTGAGACATTGTGAAGGGCCGAACGCACTGCAGTGAGAACTCTGAATTCGTCAGAGGTCACATAGCGGAGGTCTGTGGCGTCAAGCTTCATAATGGGGAGACCTCCAGGTTATTGTGGCGAGGAGTTAATTGACTGAAAGCAGTTATGCTGCAGTGACCGTTGGACAGGCGCCTTTCGGTGTGAAATCGAGCAGTAAGCGATAGAGACTTCTCGGGAGCAGAATAGGCTATATTGAAAGGCTAGGTTCAAGTAAGCTAGAAAGCACCAGAGTAGAGGACTGTGGACTGAGGCAGAAAGTGAAGTAGCTCAATCTGCAAAGATTTGCTATGCGGCAACTGCCGATCTCGATCACAGGTCTCACACGCTCCCAAAAAGGTAAGTAAGAAACTCAACCGTTGAACGTTCAACCACTACGTACCGCCACCGCCGTTCCGACTCGTCGCGTTGAACGCCGCTGTAAGTACGCGCCATCTAACTGTCCCACCCGTTTGTGATCTCATAAAACAAACTGCGTCTCCAATCTTGATCACGCTTTGCACACACAGCCCATTGATTATCCTCGTGTTGAGTGGTAGTTGTTTGTGAACAGACTCCACTACAGGCGACATGTCAGCTCGCTCACGAATGCCTCTGCGGAAGCTCTCTGCCACACAAAAGGCCGTGAAAGTATGTCCGCTCGTTCTGCTGCTCCGTTACTACCGTGATTCTATTTTATACTGTAACGTCAGGCGACAGCGGGACAGCTGCGTAGTTTGATTCCCACGACATGTATGGCTTCTCAAGAACAGTGCGTACAATGTCACCTTTGATGCTCTGGTAATTAACACATCATCTTGAAGGTACGATGTGCAGGTATCCCACTCCACGGACCTTTCCGTGAGCGAGCGAGAATTAATTTGGAATATCTTTGAAATGAATATGAAAGCGCTGTGAGTGTGGGATTTCTAGATATTGGTTCATGGTCCTGGCGTCGCTGAGGACAGGCAAATAGTTCTGAGGGATCTTCACTAGGTTGGAATCCACCCAAGAAACGGCGCGAACTATTTCACAAGAACTCCCGCTTCATTCTCGTCCAGAAACCCATGGAGAAAGACTCACCGGCATCCTCCGGCGAGATTGTCGCGTACACGATGTTTCGATTTATTCGCGAACAAGGTGAGAATCTTGTCTATTGGTATGTCTCTTGTGTCTTAATTTGCGGTGGGAACATTACTCAAATGATTACCATGTTATCTGCAGTTACGAGCTACAAGTCGGCAAGGATGCACGACGGACAGGTATAGGCCGACTGCTCATGCAGTACCTGGGGGAAGTGGGTCGCCATTGGAAAATGGACAAGATCATGCTCACTGTCTTTCGATGTACGCCATTCGCTAGCTTCCTTGCGTACTTCCTAAGCTTTCTGACGACTTTGCTTCATCCTTACACTCCACAGCCAACGAACCTGCCCTCGCAGCATACGGCTCAATGGGGTATGTTCTTCGCCTGGCTATGCCTGCAGTTGTGTGGTAGGGCGACTGACTTCATATGTCCGATAGTTTCGCAGTCGATCCCACGTCTCCTGGATACGGCGATGAGGCCGACTGGGACGAGGAAGACCGAACCACAGATTACTGGATCATGTCGAGGGAAATCTCTTAGCTCGTCCTTTCACAGCTTTCTCCACCCCGGACACGATCATCTCGGATTTACATAAATACGGAAAATGCTTGGATCCTCAATCGACAGCTCGCCTCATCTCACATGGAATCTGAACACCAGTATCTGTCATTATATCAGCGCCACATCTCCTTTAATCCCTCATTACCTTAGTAGAACAACACAATATCCAATATAACAAGCTAGAAGTTCAATTACTTATTGGGTTTTATCCGCATCCCGCCCAAAACCCGTCGAGTGTCGGAGTCTTCCGGTGTCACATCTCCTCCCACCAATCTTGCCAGCGTCTCCAACAAATTACCATGCCGGCAATGTCCCTAAGACGTTGTGGCCACTCATCTAACGGAGAATGAGACAGATTGCTACCGAACGCCACCGAACGCCACCTCAAGTGTAGCATAAAGGACCCTGGGTCAGCGTACCAAGTATCACAACGGATGACACCATTGTCTCAAAGGAGTAGAAGAATGGATGTCATCATTCTGTCAAAGCGAGCAACTCACGACGGTCCCTCGCCGCCCTGTCGCCCTCGATCTTCACGCCCATATGACGAGAAAATACAAACTTTGGAGGTGACATGATGGCGAGCAAAGTTCTCGGAAGAGAGTAGTTTGCCTTTAGAGGTACTTACAGTGACCTTTTCGTGACGAAGCCCCGGCATCTCGGAAAACGATCTCCTGTATCTTGAGCTGAAGAGTGGTGGCCTGCACCATATTTGCTGATCAGCAAGACATCGATGTCGTTTCCGACGGTTCCGCTGATGAACCATATTGTGCCGGTGCTGCTTCGTTCGACGACTTCACCGGTGTCCTAATATAGCCATGACTGGCATCCGTTATCAGCTTGTTCGTCAACCATCTTGTGTAACCTGAACTGGCAACCGTGGAGACCGTGCGTCCGCGGCTCTCGCGTGCAACGTACTATGCTTTCCTGGTCGAGCGACACAGCGCCACCATGGTTCATTCCTAACGGGAAAATCATATGCAGTCGGCGATATGAGTAAGAATGTAATACAACGGCAACGGAAAGAAAACTTTCTGGGTATACGTGACCACGAGGAAACGCCAAACAAACACAAGGTTCACGCGTTCATCTCTGAGAGTGCTTTGTCGATATCTCTTCCAGGATCTCCGTCCATACCCGTTTCCCAAGTCTCTTGCCCTCGTCGCTCGTAACGAGTGGACCGGGACTGTAAGTGAAGCAACCAAATATGGTCAGATTGATAGGACGTGTAACCGGTAAGATAGACATACACGGCAATCTTTCCCCTTCTCCAGTATTTCCCATGGCACTCCCGGCCTTGTATGGATGCATGAACCAAAGCTCGGCTCCCTTTTTCCGTTGACATGGCAAATATCCGGAAGAAAACCGCGACGAACGCGCGCTCATACCACTTGTCGTATGCTCTTCCCAGGTCAGACCGAACCAAGCCAGGCGACAACGAATTGACCACGACCGCAGGAATCTCGTTGTCTCCCTCTCTCGTGATGATGGCAGCGAGCTCGGTGGTGATGTACTGATCAAATAATTTCGAGATGCCATACTGCTTCCTCGTAAACGCCTCTGGTGCATTGAGAGCGTGGAGGATGTGTGGCGCGTTCTGCTGCTCCAGGTGCTTTATGGAGGCGTGGACATGCGAACCCACGATACAAAGATGAGGAAGTTCTTTGCCACTTGGATCTGCGTTGTCGCTATCCGGTCTTCTGCTCCCGCGAAGCTTCGCAAGCAGCAAGTACCCAAGCAGCGCAGTGGACAGCACGTTAACCTGCAACGCCATCTCCCAACCCTCCTTGCTCTTCTCGTATTTACGAGGAAACACTCCCGCATTTAAAACGACAATATCCACCGTCGGGAGCTCGGTCTCAACGCGCGTGAGGAAGGCAGAGACGCTCGCATAGGACTCGTAGTCGAGGGTCCAAACCTGTACGACTCCGTACCGTTTGGTGGAAGACTCGATGGAGGATTTGGCTCTGAGACCTTTGGCTTCGGAGCGAACAGCAAGGACCACAGTTTTCGCGCCTAGAGAAACGAAGTGGCGGGCTGCTTCGAGACCGAGACCGGTGTTGGATCCGGTGACGATGATGGTTTTGTCGGAGAATGTGGAAGGAGGAGGAAGAGGTGAACGGCCATATTTCTCCTTGAGAAGACCGAAAAGTGCTGCCATGAGTAGGAGATGCTCAGCGTCGTCAGAGAAATTCTCCAGAGTACAAGGACTAGATGTATTCAGCGCGTTACGGAGAGGAAATCTATCTCCTACGCCACCACTCGTAAACGTCGTGAGATCGCTCTCGGCAAACGCCGGATCGGCCTCACGCTCAACGACGTCGAAGAACCTCATTGTGCTCACTTCATTCACCCTACCTTTTGCCCGACCATGCCGCAGTGCATGACTGGCCTTCGAGCCCTCCGCGGGCGTCCTTCTCGTCAAATCTGCAACAAGCGTTTCGCCTCGCACGGCCACGGCGCACCACGGTTCAACGAACCCTCAGGTTACCTCTTCGGCGAGAAGGTGCGTCCTGGATCTCAACTTTCCACTACTATTGACTCATCGCTATTTCTCGTACTTTACATGGTCTTCGTCATTACCATCATATTCATATATGCGCTTAATAGCCCCCAGCACCCGGACAGAAACGAGTGAAGGAGGACTGGGAGAACATCTGGTACATCGGGATGTTCGGAGGTATGATCGGAGTGTCAGTATTGTTGTACTACAAGCCAGATTCTGCGTGCGTCTGTTTTCTGCATCTACCTTTCGCTTCAAGTGCTAACCCAGTTGTCGTTGGATGTACTCAGTGTTCAGAACTGGGCGCTTCAGGAAGCAAAGCAAAGGATGGAGGCCCGCGGCGAGCCGACCGAGTACAAGCCTTCATCATAACTCCCTTTGCCGCCACCACTACTCCTCTCTTCCGGTTAGATTATTATGGATTTGCTAGCCATAGAGGACCATCAATTATCGACCAACATTATCTCTTGCCTGCTCGCGTATGAAATCAACCAAGCCGAGTTATGCATGCATGTACATTAACCGAAACCTAAACGTGGTGTAAGACCACCCTCCGTCTAGCCTCTACGTTCTCCTTGCCAGCCCCATTACCCGACGCAGGTCCTCCTAGCATAGCGTGAGTGCAGTTGATGCTCGTGATCCTGACTGAAGTCATCGCGGAAATTTGAATTGAAGCGGTTGACGCTTCGTCTATCGGAGCCCTTTATGACGCTGCCTCTTCACAGAAGGCCTTGTACTCCTCCGCGGACATGAGCTTCTCCAGCTATATCATGGCCGACCATCAGCATTGCATACTTGCGTAAACTCATGTTTTACTTTGCACGCACCTCTGAAGGATCCGCGAGTTTGATTTTGCAAAGCCAGCCTACGATTATTATAGCAAGTCAGAGAAGGGAATGCTTAGGATTGACTCCGGCACGTCGGGTCAAACCTATACGTGAGAGTGCCACGTACCTTTCTGTTCTGGCGACTTGTTGAGGAGTGAAGGCTCGCTGCTCAACTGGCTGTTGATATCCTCAATTGTTCCGGATACCGGGGAGTACTATCGTGTCGGCGAACGGAGAACGTACGTTAGAGTCGATTAGCACGAGAATAAGAAAACAAGCAGCGGAGGTGGGAACGTACGATATCAGACGCAGCCTTCACACTCTCCACAGCACCGATGTTGTCTGTATACAAAGAATGAGCATCATACAGACAGCGTAAACAAATAGCCGAAACGCGATCGAACAACCAACAGCCATGCAGAGAGAGAAAGGACTGTAAAAAGGAGAAAAGAAGCCACATACCACCCTGTCCTACCGACGACCCCTGTTCCGACAATTCAACAAAAACGACATCCCCAAGACTTGACTGTGCGTAATCCGTGATCATGACCGTACCCAAACCCTTCTCGTCGTCGAACTCGACCGCCTCGTGGTCTTTGGTGTATCTCTTGGCTATACGAGGACATAATCACCAGCACGTAAGTATCAGCTAGCATCAGATATGACTGCCTGAGCATAACCAGAGGGAGGACGCACTGATGAGTGTCCTCGCGAAGGCATGTCCGGGACGAAAAACGTTCGCCGCAGAAAGAGATTTCAGCGAGTTGGAGGCACGCAGGCCTGTCTTCAGTGAAGACGACGAAGCACGAGAGGTCTGGCGGAGGGCTGCTGCGAGCATGGCTGCCTTTTTAGCGAAACAGAGGAGGGATGAAAAACGAGTTGAAGACAAGGTCGTACAAGCGAAGGGACGATGAACGCGAACACGGTTTATTACACGATATGCACGCGGAGGCGCGGGAATCCGCTCGGAAGGCGACTCTACAAACGTCCAGTTCGCCCTGGCCTTTGTCGGCCTTCTCGATAAGTATTTATTCGACCATACGCACTCGAGCCGGACGAGACTGATGACGGCGAGCACATGTCAATGTACAGCGTCCGGAAAAGGTAGAAAGTTGGTGTCCTTATTGTTCAAATCTCGGAGACTCGGACCCGAATAAACATGGATTCCCTTTCAAAGTTCCCCGCACAATCGCCTTGTTACTGTGACGATTATCATGTCTCCACTCATTTCTCGGCCCACCAAGAAGAGATATCACGCTTTTTCTCGAACATATGTCCCGCCATCCAACCTGATCGAGCCCAGCGGGCAGAACATCGCGTCTGAGACTTGCTCTGGACTTCAGCTATTCACGTCCGATGAGACATCTGACATATTTCTCGACACTGACGCGCAAATATCCAGCGGATGAGCACTGTCTCACTAGAATCACCATTCGTAAGCAATTACTTTTGGAGAGATATAAAATCTCTCCTTTGCCAGCTTGTATTCTCCAGAGGTGGCCCGCGGCCTTCATACCTGTTGTACGTTCGAGTCCTTCCTTGTCCTGTCCTGTCCTCCCACCCCATCCTTCTTCCCTTATTTCGATTGTATACTCACCGATTCATTCTTATATTCCAACTGTCTCTGTAGAACCAGGCGAGGCCCGGTGCGAGGCCTGAATGTGCAGTGAGTGTCCTCCTATCTTCGTACGTGCCCTCTTCAGACCACAACTGACTTAACCGGCTCTCTCTCTGTCTTCTCTTACAGAAAATCGGATCGTGGCCAAAGTGCTGCCGTCCGTGAGCCGGAGCCCCTCGCTTCGCCCGAGAGTGCATGGAGCTCGGTACGTCCTCTCTCATCCATTACCCACCACCACACTTCGTCGACTGACTATCCTCTGCGTTTTTTATTGTGGGCTGCACGCTATACGGTAATAGGCGTGTACGGCATAGAAAGCTTCAATCGTCCAGGCGTGGGAGTGTCACGTCCAAGGGCGAAGTCGCTGGGTCTCCCGTGCTCGTAACGAACCCGCTCTCGGAGGATTCGGTTTGGGTTTTGGGCTCCCTGTTTCGTGTCTCGGTCTCGTGTCTCGTGTTTTGTGTCTGCGTTTTCGTTTCTAGGTCTACGGGGTCTGCGGGCGCCCCTAGGGTAAGTTTGAGCATGGGCCGATCCCCGTGTTCACCATTTCACTTTTTCTCTTCCGTCTGTTACTGATAACCGGACCCCTTGGTAGTGCGTCGGCCTCTTCGTGGCTCAGGGGACTAGTACCCTTCGGGGGAAGCCAACAGACGCACACCTCAAGATAAAGATTCCATGCAAGACGGAGCACTCATGCTTGATGCCGAAGTGTATGCAGTAAATGATTGTGTTCCGTCGAGTTCAGCAACAAGAGTGAAGAAGAGCACAGTACAGACATTATAAACAATATATATGCATGCGTGTGTAATTAGGATTGCATCGCACACATCGACGTTCGTAAAACGAAATCATGCCTTCCAAACCCATCCTCCCTTATTCCTCGCATCCAACCACCTCACAGCCGCCACACAAACCCCCGCACCCACCAACAACGCCCCATCATAAACCGCAACATCCGCATACCTCCCCTTCAACTCGCCCATCGACAGCCCTCCACTGCCCAGATTCCCTGAACCTGTCGAGCTCCTCGCATGGCTCCCCAGTATGACACCCGCGACGGGCGCGCCCATCATCGTTCCCAGTCCGCGGATGAAGTATATCGCGGCGTTGACGGTCGCGTAGTTCTGTATCCCGTACACTTCGGTGATGGTGGTGGGGAGGAGGGCGTTGTAGCCTCCTGCGTAGATACCGTAGAAGACGATGAAGGCGAGGAAGCGAGAGCGGGTGGCGTCGATCCAGAGGGCGAGGACTGTTATTCCGGATAGTATGACCTGTCATTGTAGCAAAATTGAGATGATGAGGCTCAGAGGTATTTGAACGGTCGAGTCGGACTGGGCTGAGAGGTTGTGATGAGCGCGTGCTTACACTGGCTACCATGGTATTTTGCCTCCCAATATTATCGGCCAACATGCCCATGCCGATTCTGGATACACTGTTCACTGCATTGTTGACAGCAAGTAACAGACTGCCCGTCGAGCTTGAATAAGAAAGTACAGAGGTCGAGTACGTCGTCAGATAATACAACGGTATGACATTCCCAGCAGCCTGCAAAAGTGCTCCGAAAGACTAATACGAACCACCACAAATTCAAAGTCAGCACAACTGCCAATGACGGTGAAGATGCAGCAGAAAAACAAACCTGAAGCAAAAACGTCCCCTGCCTAAACATCTTCCTATCCATCCTCCTCCCCGTCCTCCCAAACCCAAACCCAGGCGGCTGCCTCACCACACACGCCACCGGGACACAAACCACCAAATTCCACAGCCCCAACGTCCGCAACGTCCACCTCACCCCGACTTTACTCAGCAGAGCGTGCAAGACCGGAGCGAGGACGAGGCCGCCGGCTCCGTTGCCGGAGAGGATGAAGCCCATGGCGAAGCCGCGGTGGCGATTGAAGAAGGGGGGTGCGAGGGACATTATGGGGAAGTAGAAGAGGCTGCTGCCGAGGCCGTAGAGGAGGGATTGGGTGAGGAAGAGGTGCCAGAGCTGGAGAAAGAAAGCGAGAAAAGGAGATCAGCTGTGGAAGCGAAGCGAGTATCATATTGCGTGTGGTGGGTTTACCTTGGACGAATAGCTTGCGAGGAAGATCCCTGCGCTCATCAGGAATGCGCCAGCCAATGTGATGAGCTTCGTATTGTGCACTCTAGAGATCAAAGGATTGACGAATATGCCGCCACTCCAGGTAAGCCCGCTCCCAAGTGTTCCTACCAGGGCCTGTTGAATACATCGATCATGTTAGACATGAATTAAACTTCAACAGGCAGAATAAAAGTCGGCACGGACAACGAGAGCATCCTGTCCAGCAGCATCCACAATATTACTCTCCGAGGACGTATAAAACTCCTGTTCCACCCTATCAGTGTTAGCACACCCATCTACTAGTATATGAAAGTTCAAGCACCACAAGTCCCACCCACCTGAAAAATACCATACGTCTGATTAATCCCAATAACCTGAAATATCATCATAAACCCCGCAAACAGCAACACAGCCTGATATCGTCTTGTCGGACGCATATCTTCTGCCGCATTATCCGGGGGTACGGACTCGGAACTGGCATCACCATCGGCTTGCTCAACCACGACTCTTGTTACCGGAATGTTCTCGTGGTCTGGTGGAGGGATAGCCTGAGAGCGCGAGTGTGACGATGGTTTCTGCAATTCAGATGCTTGACCGGTACCACCGGTACCACTGGCAGGGGTTTCCTGGCCCGGGGGAAATTCAGCGGTAGAGCCTGAGTCGTCGTGGGGAACGATGGTCTGAAGGGACCATGTCTCCGTCGACTGTAACGGTTCGGATGCGACGGGTATGGGCATCGTTGGGTTACGGCTCCTTGTCCTCAGTGCTCAGTTATAGAGCTTGCAGCAATTGAAGTAACTCTACGTTTCCTAAAAAGGGAAAAGGGCCACAGTCGTTGAGTAAGATCGCAGAGGACATAGTGGAAACGAGTATGGCGCGAAGACCACGGAATTTCCAGATACTGTATTCTATGCTCACCAGGAGGAACGCACTGGCAGATTTACCAACTGAGTGGTCAAAGAAAACCCGACAATCAACTTTCTAGGTTGCGGAGAACGCAACAGCTCGAAATCCAGAGTAAGCGCCAGTGAAGCTCCTGATGGACTCAGTCCAACATCATGCCAATCGCAGGGTACTTAGTTCCAATTCCTCTTGCCTGTTTTGGTCAAATCCTCAAGCCATACCACCGGCAGCACTGACGTGATTAGTCAGCTGTCAAGATCCTTGCATGACTGTAGTTTACAGAGGAAACATTGAAGTGATTTATTCAATAAGACCCAACAAACTGCTATAACGGTTATTGGGCTAAGAAAATGAATGTTGAATGAAGCTGTAAACTAGCTGTGGATGAATCTAAAGTGAATGAAGCCATAAACTAGCTGTGGATGAATCCAAATTGAAAAGGTACTCGCAGCTTGCACTTACAGGCATGGGTAAAATACTATCCAAATCATGTCAATCTAATTTGTCACTTGTGTAGTCATTGTTAGACGTTATCAATATCCATTGGAAGAGCATCATTTTCAGTCATGGTGACCTCACTCCACCGTTGCGTTTTCTGCAATCGACTCGCTGGACCTGAGCACATGGCCCAAATATCCTTCTTTCCTTCCTTCCAGTCAGCAAAGTGCCATTCTCTTCTGCAAATTGTGTAGTCATTCGTAGACAGTACTGTGATAGCTTTTTGGGCATCCTCATTGGATGCACAGTGGCCTCAATGCTCCGTTGCGCTTTCTGCAACAGAGTCACAGCACCTGAGCACAGGGCCAGAATACTGTTGACAAAGTGTCATTCCCTTCTGCGACTAGTCCAGTCATTGTCCGAAAGCGCTCTCATGCATTCTTTGGGCTCATCAATGTACGAACAGTGGCCTCAATGCTCCGTTGCGCTTTCCGCAATGGACTTGTTGTACTATCTGCAATGGGCTCACAGTACTTGGACACAGGGCCAGAATACTGTCGACAAAGGGTCATTCCCTTCTACGACTAGTCTAGTCACTGTTAGAAAGCACTCTCATGCCTTCTGTGGGCTCATGGTTGCACAAATGGTGGCCTCAATGCTCCATTGCACTTTCTGCAACGGACTTGCAGCACCGGCTTTCTCCACAGTATTCTGGCCATGCGTTTCGGTGCGGTGAGCCCGTTCTAGAAAGCCCAACGGAGCATTGAGGCCACCGTTCCTGCATTGATGGGCCCGAGGAATGCATGGGAATGCTTTCTGACAATGACTAGCCTAGTCGCAGAAAGGAATGACACACTTTCACCAGTATTTTGGACACACAGTCCGGTGCAGCGAGCCTGTGGCAGAAAGCGCACCACGTCCATTGCAGAAAGTGCAATGAAGCGTTGCGGCCACCGTTTGGGCACAGAAGAGCCCCAGGAATATTTGACA